TAGAAGGCTAATAATAGCTACTTTAAGAATATATATACTAAAAAAGCTTATAAGCGTATTAAAAAAATAATAAAGGAAATAAAAGAGCTTAAAAGGGCTAAAAAGTCCTTTATTACCTAGAAAAATCATAAACTAGCTACTTTTAAGAAGTCCTAGCTATATATTAATAGTATAGCTTTAGTTAAAGCTAATATAAAAGCTAAGGTAATTAATAATATTACTACTATAACATAAATAACCTTTTTTTTATCTATTTTATACTTATTTTTAACTTTAAAAATAAATAAGTAAAAAGTAACTATTTAAGAATTATTACTATATAACTTAGTCTTTATTAGGCCTCTTCTAGGAGCTAAGCCTTTATTTAGGTTAATAATAATAATTAAGTTATTTAGAATAATAATAATAATAATAACTAGGAAAAGATTCTTTTTCTTAGCTTAAAAAAGTAAATAAAAGAAAAGCTAACTAATCTTAAAGATTACTATAACTTTAAAGTTAGTTCTTTTTTTATTAAAAGTATTAATATTTAGCAAAAAATATAAGCACTTATTACTAAATATAAAAAGATAAGTAATTACTATAAAAGATTACTATAAATCGCTAATAAAACTAAGATCTTATTTACTAAAAGTACTACTATATAACTAACTACTAGCATATAACTCTTAACTAGCTTTTTACTAAGGTCTATTACCTAAAGGTTTAACTTTCTATTTACCTTAAAGTTACTTTTAAAGCAGGCTTTCTTTAGCCTAGTCAAAGTCTACTAGCTACTATAAATATCTTTATAAAAGAGAAATCTCTTCTTTAGTTAGTCTTAACTAAGCATTAAAAAATTTCTACTTCTAGAGACTATAAGCTCTTAAAAATTATTTCCTATTTCTACTAGAAAAAGAAATAAATAAAATTAAAATTTTATAACTAATAGACTTTACTAATTAATTATTTTTTAAGTAATTTACTCTTTAATACTACCCTACTATAAGTTAATAGAGTAAAGGTTTCCTTTATACTATTTAATATTACTACTTAACTTAAGACTTTAAGCTAACTATTAAGTAGTTAATTAAAAAGGTAAACTAATTACTATAACTAATTACTATAAATTACTAATATAAATATAGGTTTAAGGCTCTTTTATTTTATCCTCTTAAGAGGAGATTTTTCTTAGTCCTATAAAGATATAAAATAAAGTTACTCTTAACTTAGAGGTAACTATAAGATTTAGTTACTTAATAATAAAGGCTTTTAAGCCTCTATAAAAGGTTTTACTGCTTTATTTTTAGCTTTAGTTACTTATTAAGGTATATTTAACCTCTTAAAAAAAGGTTTTTAATATAGTTTATAAAGCTATATAAGCTTATAACTTTAATTTTATTAAAGAAATAATAAAAGATATTTAAAAAAGGAAAATATAAATTATAGTAATTAGTTATAATAATTCTTACTTCTTTTATACCTATTACTATTCTTATATTATTTTAGTTATCTTTTTATAAATTTGTTTTATACTTTAACCTAAATACTACTTATTAATCTTTTTATTAACTTTATTTATATTAAGCTAATTTTTTATATTACTATTATACCTTTTATTTTTAGTATAATAAAATAAAAAGTTATATAGGCTTATTATTATATAAATAATTTATATTTATATATTTAAGCTATACTTTAAGACTAAAGAGGTAATTATTTTCTACTTTTATTTTAAGTAACTAAATACCTATTTAATAATTATTTAAAAATAACTATATTAAAGATTATATAACTCTTAAGCTATTTCTAGTAGTTTATTTATATCTTTAAAATCTTATAAATAGTAATAGGTTTTTAAATAAGGAATAATAATACTATTCTAAGTACTAAACCTTATATCCTTTAAGAAATACTAGCCTTTAAGGACTTTAAACCCTTTAATATTTATAAAATTAATTAAACTAATATTATAAATTAACTCTTTAACTTTAATAAATATAAATAAAAAGCTATTATTGAAATAAATAATAATAAAGATATTTTAAAAAACTATTTTTTTTTAATTATACTATTTTTTTTAAGTAGTAGTAAGAATATATATACTAATAAGTATATTATTAATTACTTTAATATAACTAATAAAGTATTTATTTAGTTTTTTATTACCTTTAATTTCTTTTAAGACTTTAGCTTTTTTATAAGAAATAATATATACTTTATAAAGCTTTATAAAGTATAATAAAACTTTATTTTAAATTAAAGATATAATTAATTAATTAATATAAAAAAAGTAAATAATAGCCTATTAGCTAAAATTATTATTATAAAATAAAATAAATAAATAAATAAGTACTTTTTATTTAATAAAAAGATTTTAAAATAACTATAAAAGTATATTATTTATAAATTATTTTAATAATATTTAAAATTATTATTTATCAAAATAAAAAAAATATAAAAAATAGTAATTTAAACTAAAAAAAAGCTTTTAATATATTTAATATATAGTTATAGTACTATTATTATTAATAACTTTTTTTTTATTTTTATTTTTATTAGTTTAATATTTTATTATAATAGTACTAAATATAACTATTATAATAAAATAATTAAATTTTATAATAAATTATTTATAGTAATTAATTATAGTAATAAGTAATAAAAAGGTAATTTTTAAAGTATAATAATAACTATAGTAATATTAATATAAGTTTTAAATATAATAAGAATTTATATAAGAAAATAAAAAATAACTAATAATTTATACTATATAAAGTCTCTTTTTACTAAGATATATAGTAAATGTGTAATAACGTAAAGTTCTATAATCTAGAACTATAATCATGATATACCCTCCTGTTTTAGGCCTAGTGCGACACAATTTGAGTTCAGAGGGTACTTGTGGCTAGTGTTATTGCACATTTGAAATTCTTATTGCACATTTCAGTTCTTACCGCAGTCATTGATCACGCCCTAGGAAGCCCATCATGTCGATTACGGCAGCAATAGCGACGCCTGCGCCAACGGACGATAGAGCCCCGTCCCAGGGCGGCACCTTCGAGGGCTGGACCCCTCTGTCTTCAACCCATCATATCCTATCATCATGTTCATCATTCAAGCATTCAAGCGGTGTGACTGCCTAATAAACCCCGTTTTCCGGAATTACATAGCTGATATTAGCAAGACCGTTGACCCGAGGTGACCCAATTACGAGTGGTGACTTCCCCAATCTCATGTCCAGCGTCTTTGATGAAGCCAAGCATGTCTCAGCTGTTGCGGCGTATTGACTCGACACTCCTCGAAAAGACAAACAACTTACGAGACACCAGACGTATAGGAGTCGACAAAGTTCAGCACGACGGCCAGAACAGCCTGGAAGACTCGTCTGTGACCGACCCACGAAAGACACTGGGGTAAAAACACTGCTGAAGTCATCTCGAAAGCCAAGAGAATTGGTGTCGTCAAGGTGAGTTTGTTGGTGGTGCAGGCGAAGCGACTGGCTAAGGATCCGATCGCGTTGCAGCAAAAGCAGACTGGCATTCAGGCCGGGATTAGGTTACCGGGTGGCTTGGCATGTGGATTACAGAACCAAACTTGATATCCCAGAAGACTTTGAATATTCTATGTGGCCTCTATTGCTCTACTCTTCAATGACACTATTTCTGCGCCCGGATTTCAATGGCATCGAGATCCATCCCCCTGATGGGAACATCCCCCTCAACCTTAGACGATCCACAACTGCACACACGTCATTAGCCCTTGATTCAGATGGCTTCTTCATCCAATAATGAGCATTATCAGCGCCGATGGTTTAGTGGTAAAATTCTCCGTTGCCATCAAGCAGCGTCGGGGAGCCGGGGGTTCGATTCCCCCTCGGCGCAATTGTTTTGTTTGTCGAGCTGGCACAAGTGGAGGCAAAGCCTGTTAGCGATGTTCTTTTGCGCCCTGTATTTATCTACGTGTCACGGCTGCGGCGATCTCGCCTGTGCACCGCTTTTGGCTTTGCTGATGGAAAATGCGAAGAGTCGTATAGGAGAAGGCAACTAAACGAATTGTTCTCATTGAAAGTGGATGACGATTTCTTATCTCAAAGTACGCTAGCAACTCGCTTATAAGTTCTTGTGTGTGTGTGTATGTATGTATGTATGTATTCGCATGTCTGCATACCTGAGGAAGCATCGTTTAATAGAGTGCAACATTCCTCAATGTTCCGGAGATCAGGGGCGTGCATTGATTGACTGGCTATACCATAAACGTACAATGTCAACTAATCGCAGCCGCCAATTGTCATTCGTTGATCTGAAGTCCTATCTACGAAAATCCGAACAGGTGCCGGCACGATCTGTTTCGCTTCCCCTATTGTGTTTGATTCGAGCTCTTTGTGCCATTATTTGCTTTGTTCTGATCACTGTGAATAGGCGTACATTGTATGTACTATGGTTATTTCGTAGTTTTAACCATCAAAACCGGCAGTAGTGAGATAAGATATCTTAGCATGTTTTCTCAACTCCGTTGCCTATTACTAAGATGATAACCTGCAGCCTGTGGTACTTTCGCAATGGCTTTGGCATCATACCTAGTTCATCTTATCTTCCCCCATCACCCATGTCGTGACGCTATGACGATCCTATCACGGCCACTGTCACCTGCCGCTTTAGGTGCACTGGCCCCACCGGAATACCATCCCGCCAGGTGCCGGACAGCCGTACAACGATAGCTCCCTCATAAACAACAACCGTCCCACTTCCCGTGTCCCTTCTTCCGTCACTCTCCACTCGGTACAGTGCAGAATCTCGAGATCGTCTTCACTGACATTGAACTGAACGGTAATGGTGTTTACGGGAAACTGGCAGCCAGTCGGGCGGGGTTGGTTGAGGGCCCTTGCGGTCGGATCTCTTGCAACCTTTGTTTGTGGCAGTCAACTCCAAGTCCAACATGCCGCGCAATACCAACGTCTGGACATGCGAAGTGCCAGAAAGGAGCATCTCTTGGCGCATATGGGACGGCTCGCAAATGACATGGATACTGCGGCAAGCACCTCATCGTCGCCCTCAGCCACGACGACACCGTTGTTGGATACGTTCCAGGTTGCCGAGCCGGTGCTCCTACCGTCCGATTCTGCTGCTGAGGCAGTTACGGTGACTTTGATGGATCATCAGTTTGCGAACAGCTATGGAACTCCATTTGTTGGTAGTTACACACCACCAGACTTCGACTTCGACCACGTCGTGATCAATTTTACTGTGGAGGTCAAGGGTAGACAGTTCGACCGTTGGGGCAGTGTGTACCTGGGCGACATCAATATATTTGCTACGTCTACCGCCGAACCCACGTCGTACGGCATCACCTGGACCTGGATGAAGGATGTGACACCTTACCTGTCACTCTGGAAGCAACCACAGACTCTCATCTTCCAACTTGACAACGTGATCACAGACGTCTATACAGGCCTCTTGAACTCCACTCTCACGGCCACTTTTTTCAAAAGCCCCGTCCAGAGCGGAGGCCAGTCACCTGCAGATCTCATTCTACCAGTCTCGGCGCTGAAGAGCCCCGTCACCGCCAGCTTCTGGACGTATCCCGAGGAAGATGCCAGCATCTCTCTCCAGTTCCCCCAGAACGTGAACCGAGCCGTCTTCTCTTTATCCGTCAAGGGACAGGGCAACGAGGAGTTCTGGTGGAGCAACGTGCCACAATCTGCCGGCAATGCTTTCGAGCCCGACGTCGGCACGTATCCGGGATACTCCCCGTTCCGGGAAGTCCAGGTCCTGATCGATGGGCAGCTGGCCGGCGTGCACTGGCCCTATCCGGTCATTTTCACCGGCGGAGTAGTCCCGCAGCTGCATCGGCCAATTGTGGGCATCGATGCATTCGATCTACGCGACCACGAGATTGATATCAGTCCATGGTTGCCACTCCTGTGTGACGGCAAAAACCATACCTTCAGCATCAAAGTAATCGGACTCGTTGACGATGGGGAATCGAGCGCGAGCCTCTCGAACACCACGGAAAGTAGCTGGTATCTTGTTGGCAAGGTGTTCCTGTGGCTCGATGACGAAGGCAGCGTCACGACAGGTGTCGTCGGGGTCACCAAAGGCCAGGACCCAACCATCGGATTCTCCCAGACCATCAAGCAGAACGCAACCGGTTTCAACTCAACGCTTGATTATGATCTCACAGTGAAAAGAGACTTTTCCATCACCTCGCAAGTGAGCACGCAAAAGTGTAACGGCACGGCAAAATGGAGCCAGACTCTGTCGTACTCAAACGTGGGAGGTCTTTATGCTAATGGCTACGGCGGCATCAACACGTTCTCGACAATCGGCAAGGAAACTTCAAAGAGTTCTGGTTGGAGTTACCAGACGACCTTTTCGTACCCCTTATACTGCAACACCACGACATCGTATCTCCCAGAAGGCAACCTGACGCTCTGGGCTCAGCTTGATCAAGGGCTGAAGCTCCAAGTCCAGGGAAACACTGTCTATCCGACGGGTCTTGAAGCTTTCCAAGATGGGGAGCCGAAGTGGGTCGCCAGCGTAATCGACACGGACAGGAATGGAACAGCAAACTATTCCCGATATGCAGACAACACGGTCACGTCAGGAGCAGGGCGGACGCACCAAATTTTCCGACTCAGTGGACTTACTGGCAAGGGTACATACGAGAAACCAGGAACGGAGTTGTACTTCCGGGATGTGACGGCGTACAATAACAGCGTTGTGGCTGACAAGGAGGTCGTCGCGGGAAAGGTCATGTAATAGGAACTCCGAAGGCTTTGGCCACTTGATTTTACGGTACTTCGGAGGACCGACTTAATTCGAATATAAGAGCACACATTGATGGCGGGCTATGATTGTATCAAACCTGCGACAATCCAGATACTTACAGGCCGCTGAATGATGTTCTTCTAAGATCTAGGTGCAGCCCGGCTCACCTCGACTCACCCTGCTCAACTCGTGCTCATCTTGCAATCTTTGTTTGCCCCGTTCGCACTGATCCAGCATCTCTAGCGCTTATTAAGAAGCTAAAAGGATGAATGGGCTGCAATAGACACTGCGTGAATAGCATAATAATGCCATAGAGAAACATAGGCAGACAGCGAAATAGGCAATAAAGAGGAGCATTAGATATAAAAGGTAGATAGCCAATAGACAAATGATAGGCGAGGTCATCCGACTACACATGAGGTTGACTCTCCTCTTGGGGAGATTTACCACAGAGAGTGCCTACTCATGCCGCCATTTTACTTGGAATCTGATGCTCAACGTCCACTACAATTTGGTCTCCAGCTGCTGGCCCTTGGCGCGCTTCTCCTTCATCTCTAGTAGCTCCTTCGTCTCGGTGAAAATGCGTCTCACCCGCTTCTCTGTGAAGGCCTGAATATTGTGGTCGCCGAAGTGCAGACCAAGTGGGCCGCCCTGTTCGAGATCTCGAGACCGGTCCGCTCGCACCAGCCAGTTCCGTGACTTGATGACATAAAACTCGGCCACGCGGCATTGCCGGGCAGTGCGGTCGGTGGTGAAGACAGGGCGGGCCATCTTGGGCTTCCAGTCGTCAGGGACATAGCGCTCCAGGTCGTTCAGATAGTCGTCGAATGTCCTAGGGATGTAGCATTGCGAGGACGTGTGCACTACACCACGAGTCCCACGTGAGACGTGCTGGAGAATGATGTTGGAGACTAGGTCAACGGGTATCTCGTCCACGATGTTCTTGCCCGACGTATAACCCTCGGGGCGTGGAAGAGCGCGGAACCTCCCGTTGGGTACATCATTCGAGAGTAGAAGGTATTGAGCGGGCAAGAGGCGTTGGGGAGATATAGCTCAAATGGTTCTCTTATCGCAGGCGCAATACCAGTTGGGCGAACTATGAGGAGAGGTAGTCGATGCGCCAGCTTTTGATCCATCAGACACTCCATGAGCCTTTTGGACTTGGCATACGGCCAAGCAAAGCCAGCCCAGTTGTCAGTCTTGCCCGAAATGATGTCCTCCAGGAGTTGGTCCGCATCGTCGACTAGGTACAATTTCTCCTCCATGGGGCCGTCCGGGAGATCACTTAGGGCGTAAGCACTTGAGAGCTGAACAAAGCTGATGAGCTTGGTGAACCTCATTGCCATTTCTCCCAAATCGAGGGCTGAAAGACAATTCTCTTGAACGACTTGGCGCAATGGAAGGCGCAGACTGATGTTCGCGGCTGCATTGATAACGATAGTAACATCGTTCTCCATAGCTCGCACGTCGTGGTCCGCTATACCGTACTTCCGGGTGGTAATATCCCCATATATGAACTTGACGCTGCCTGTGTGCATGATCTCGTCAACGTGATTTTGCATTGTCTTGGCCCATGCTTGAATGGCCTTTTCGGGCGTCTTTCGTATCACCACGTAGATCTTGGGTACTCGAAGGACAACGACGAGCTTGTACAAGAGGCAGCCACCTAGCCCTCCGGTCGCTCCCGTGAGGAGTACTACTTGGTCTCGAAAGAAGTCCATATTTGACCGAAGTCTCGCCGCGGAAATGAAAGCTAAAAGCCAGAGTACTATCACAACTGTAGTCAGGTTCAGCCTGGTATGTCCAGGACGCATGTGCAGGAAACGGCCCAGCTAAGTACTGCTGGACCTCCGACAAGCTTCGTATTTCAATGTAATTTGAGCCTGTTCGGCTCGATAATGGCAGTTTAAAGCTTTGCCAAGAGCCAACTTGTAAGACAGTACGGTGGCGTCCAAGGGGCTCATATACTCTTCTTCGTGCCCATTGGTGAAGTTCGCCATATGCCGCAATTAATGTCTTACCACCTCCTCTCTGTAGCCGAGGAATGGGGGAGTCGAAACAGCCTACTGACTGCCAGTACTTTATGCTCGAACACCACTCATTTGCTTCCTACTAATCATTCTACTATGTACCAGATTGGGCCCTAGTTAGTTGGACTCTATTTCTAAACAGACAGACTTGTTTGTGAGGCATATTTGATTTAGACTAGCGAATTGGCCCTAAATCTATCGGCAAGCAGAGTCCCCAAAACCGCGAGTTTGAGCCCTCATGTGACTCTCCTCATTAGCTTGCTCCCACAGCGCAGGCCATTCAAGGCGGCAGGCGTTGTGGTTGCTGACTAGCAGTCGCTTCTCAGCGGCTGCTTTTACTCATCATGTTCTCGCCTTGGTCCCAAAATACCAGAGAGAGCTCTGCTACTTCATCCTCCAACTGCACACTAAATAAGCGAGGATGGAGAGTATTTTGTACGTGACCACCTTCAGGTGGAGTAGGATCTCAAAGTGGTGTACTAAAATGGCCAAGTAGAGTTGTTAGGGGCCGCTTTTACGTGCTGCTTCCTGTGTGGACGCTGTCGAGCGTTTTCTAAACAGGCTATCAACAGGCTATGCGGTGGGTCTTCCACTGCAAGCTGATGGCTGCATGCCTTGAGAGAGTTTCCATTGGCAGCATGTGTTACACCACATGGTTGGGGGACTCGCTGCTGCGAACCATGAGAGCCAACCGACTTTGGGACGGCCCTCCGCAAACTAGCCGCCTTAGGTCAAGAATAGCTATCCAGGTTCGAACCACAACAATCTTCAGACTTGTGCCGCTTCACTGAGGTTGTGCAAGGGAGTCAAGAGTTTAATTTGAGTACACATACTAAGAACTGCTCATTTGTAGCTTCCTGTGACTCGTGTCCAAGATGTTTTCCACCAGAGAGCCACTACTTGGGCACCTAGTTCGAAGCCTATATGGACTAGGACTAGCTTGTACCTTCGCGCTGGCAAGCCCTTGCTTACGAAAGGCCTGCGTAGCGTTAAAAATTAGTCGGTCTCTGGGGGTATCCACTCTATAAAATCTGGGCTCAGACTTCCTACTTATCGTTACAGTGGCACTATCACGGTACTTTAGTAGCTTCTTTGTGCAGTTATCGCATTACACTACATAGTCCTTCGCTGTTGCAGGCAGGCTACGTGTATCACTCATTTAGGGACTCCATCGGGAGGCCGGGCCAGTTGCCAAAGCGCCGACAACACAACTGGATTCATTTTTTGATTGATTGAACTTGTTATTGCCCTCTGTTTATTCGCCTTTGCAAAACAGCGTTAGTCTGTGGCGGGTCAGATGCACGTGACGTCGGAACTACATCGTGGAAGATTATTGGCATAATTAGAACTTCTATTCATGAGCCTCATATTCTACGGCCATGTCCCAGCGTTGGCCTATCCGCTGGTGCTCGTACCCTCCACTTTGACGGTTGGACATCAAGTCTAGCATGGGACAAGCATGAAGCCATTAATGCTGGTACATCAATTTGAATTCCACCCGTTAGCCCATTTATGTATGTGGAGTTCTTCTGTTCTTAACCAATGAGGAGTACATTTGTGGTCGCACAGAGAATGATGCCGCTTTCTTGACTCTAGGTAGCTGGCTTAGGTACATCATCGCACCGATCTCCACGATCCGCATTGATGCGTATTGATTAATGACACTTGAGTGCATCGTTTCTAGAGTAACTTTGTAGCTTATGATAGTCCGCAGTATCTGTTCTTTCCAGTCGTGTTGATATCCCGAGTGGAATATCTAGTGGATTATTTACATGTTCATTGAACTCTTTGTTGTATAGGCTCTGTCCTGAGATTTACTTCGCTGTTTGATGCATCGTGGGGGCAGTGTCTGTTTGTTAGTTGACAAGGCTACCAAGAGGAAACGCAATCAAAAAACAATAGAAGAATGATCAGCTTTTGTGGCGAACTAAAGGAATGGAAGAATCAAAAGCAATGATACTCTGGTGGGCTTGGGTACCATGAAAAGTCACTCGTGCACAAGTTCGAGCAGAAGTTATCTGTCTACAGTGCCGTGTCAAAAGTCTAACAACCCCCGCATCGGAAGTGCACCACCCACATCACCATCCTTTCGGGTTTCGGACTTTTGACATGGCACTGTATGTCTATGGTAGCTTGTCAGAATTCGCTCGATGTCATTTACCCAAGCTCCCACGCCCAGATTTGTCTTCTAGGTAATGTCGTCGGTGTGGGTTCCAGCACTGGATGCATCCTCGGGAAATTGATAATCCCATACAATGAACAAGCCTTCTTGTTTTGTTTTTCGCTGAGTTTCTTCCTATGCTTACTGATGCTTGTTTAAAGAGCTTGAAAGTCTGAGCTTGCAGCGTGTAGAACATCGAACCATAACTTTGCATCCCCCACATCCCCAGACCCTGCTTGGTGATGAGCATGAATGATCATCCCTGCCACTGCCGAAGACCACCTGTTCCACGGTTCCCAAAGCCCTTTATAGTAACCATACACCACCTTAGCATAGCTAATTCCTTTGTCGTACATCCTGTTGCGACAACACAGTGCGCTCATCGAGCATTGGCACTCTTGCTGTCTGTGGTGCTCCCTACTCATTCCACGAGATTGAGTCTCAAGTATAGACCCAATTCGAGCCAAAGTCCCTTCTGCTTGGCTAACTTCATCCGCATCCAACTGCGCAATAGCCAGACCTAGCAAAGCTTTGCATGATAACCTGTATTTGCCTTGGTTGAACAAATCTGTAGTAGCTGCAGCATGAGTCGAAATGATTTCCCGATATTCATTTCCGTTCATATCCTTTAGAAGCTTGAGAACTGAGCATCTCATTCGAAGAACATCCAAGACATGCTGGATATTATACTCAAGTTCACCCTCAATATGTATAGAAGCTATAGCAAACATGTTCCTCAGAGCCTCAAGACGAACTCTATGCGGAAGTACTTTAAGCTTGCCCCATAAAAGGCTAAGAGGATGCTGGTCTCCTAGAACTTCTTGGTGTACTTGGTAAACAAAGCAAACCGTAGATTCTCGAATATTGCTGTTTAAACTTAAAACATTAACTAACATACTGTAATAGAATCGTGGGTCTCGGATCTGAAGGATATCCTTCAGTGAGTTTAGTCCTTGACGAAGACAGCGAAAGCCGGCTTCTGCTTGATTTAGCTTGAAAAAACTTGGCGCCTTGCTAATATTGGACAACGTCTGTACGATATGGACAAAACCGTGCTCACACAGATTTATGTCTTCTGAGACCCACACGCCGCTTTCGAACGCTCCAGTGTGGTGACTCTTAAATATCCGCATAACATTTTCTTGTAATTCCACGTGAAGGGTCGGCTCCAAGAGGGAGGGGACGTAAGGGATCTGGACTGCTGCTTTTGGTGTCGGGGAAGGGGTCCGGCAGATAATCTCAAGTTCTGACCTCTGCTGACTTGGCGCGTGCTTGTTGTTCTCCAAGCACTGCATCACCAAGTCGGGCCTGCGTTTCAGGTATTGCTCAACGCGATCCCAGTTGATATTCTGGCCGCGGACTCTGAAGCTTGAGTCCTTACCAGCTGCCAGCCGCTGCCGCTTGAGCTTCAGCATGTGCATGACTTCCTTCTCCTTTAGCTTCTTATCTAGTCCCCATCGGACGATCCGAGTTTTGAACATCCTTTGTCTAGAAAGAATCAGATATCAGTTAATCGATTCTGAGCCAAAGAGTATCAACCAGCTCACGTAGCGTAGAAACAATAGTCGCGTTCCATAATGCCCTTGACCTCGTTCAACGACATGTCTTCGGATTGGTAGAGCCGGGTAATGATAGCTTGCATACGGTCCCAGACCTCCTCTGTAGCGTATGGCATACTCTTGACCCGGCGACTGTCAGCCGCGTCCATGTCAATGCCATGTCGGTCTGGCGTTGCAAGGCAAGGATCGGCGATCTCCATTTCGGCACTAGAAAGGATTGGACTAGACTCGGAGTTGGAATACATGTGAAACAGGTATAAGTAAGAGAAAAATCGATGTTGTGATGACGAGGAGAAGCATCTCGCTTTCGAGGGGGTCAGAAGCGAAGAGACTGTGAACGCCCACCCAGCTCAAGCTTCAGAGATGGTCCCGGCAAAAATGCCGACGTTGGGGCGGCTTGTTGGATCACATTTAGGCTACCACAGCAACTCATTGGTTCAGAACAGAAGGACTCCGCATACGCAAATGTGCACGAGTTGAGCAACTTCAAGTCTGACGCCCCAGCATTCAGGCTTACCATGACTGTGTGTTTCATTGGTTCAGAGCAAAAAGACTTCGCAGTCAGAGATAAGCGAACTCGAAACGATGCCCCACTGCGACAATGTGGATGAAAGCCTGATGCATGTAAGCGCTTAAGGAGTGGGCAACGTGTTTTCATAGCCTTAGATTCGTCTATCGAAATACAACCCCCATAGTAAGTAGGTACTGTACTCTTAACAAGCACTTTGTTACCGGAATCGTTGCCAATTACAAATCAACATAAGCGCGGCTCTTAGGTGCTTTAAATGTTAACAAACCCTTGCGGAAAGAGCTCCATCCTAGTGTTGAAATCGAGAAAATAGCCACCCTAAAACCACAATGGCTTTTCCTAGCAAAACTTCACTCCTCCTTTTCATCACTTGCTGCTTTGTGGCAGCTCAAGAAACCTCTACTGTCGAGAGCGACAAGAATCCTTTTGAGAAGGATATTAAATGTTATGGACTTCCCTACGGGATCTCCGGCTTCGTCTCGCACCTTCTAACCTACTACACAGCTACTGCTCTAGCTCATGAAAGGACCCCATTGGCACCTTGGCGTGACCTGGAAGATGGACCAAAAAATGTTTATCTTGCCATTCTCAAAATGATACTGACCATTGTGGCCTCAATTGCCAGTATTGCCACTTGCGTGCATACTTGGTTCGTTCCATTTCTACCCTTTCATCTCACCCTGTTTGAGGACTACGTGGAAAGCGAAGCTAAGAGACAATCATAATAGGGAATTTGCGGCGCTAGCAGCCATGAAGCTCTCTCTTTCCGTGACCTTCGGCCTCATCAGTGTCTACAAAAAGAAACGCATCTCGCTGCTTTACCTACCTGGAGCAATTGCGGGCTTAGCGGGATCATTGTCCATCGCAGCGTCAGACATGTCTGATCCCGCTATGAAACTTGTCACTGGTCTATTTTGGGGACTAGCGGGCATGACTTCAATCCTTATCATCATCGTAAGCATTACAGGCTGGGGTGGCTCTGATAGGGGCGGATCTGGCCGCGTCGTGATTGGGCTGATAGTCTGCGTAATGGCATATGGCGCGTTGTACTCTGACTGGGTGTTGGTGATTGCAGCAAAAACTGATTTATCGGGATTTCCACACCGATCACCGACTTGGGAAAAAGTCCTGTGGGTGCTGTACTTCATTGGGAAGAGACTTACGCTGTTTATGACCTGAGTAATCTGGAGAGCGGGGAGTTCTGTTGGATCGGCAAATTGCATAGAGTATTGCCTTTAACCCATGCTTGAGCTCCTGCAGGAGGTCTGCGGCAGGCTTTGACTCCTTTGATATCAGCGATACCTTTTCGGAAGGGGCTCGTTCTTGCGGACTATTGTCCTTGTTGGGGGCATCACAAGTCCCCTTGGGCAGCTGAGTCATTGTTTCTACGGCCCAACCAGTAGGACACAGGGCGGTCTATCTTACCAGTGCAGAACAGAAGATGATGAGACAGGGCTTCTTATTACCGAAGCTTCTGGTTTGTGGCGCAGTTGATTGTCCTGACCTGCTCCTGACAAGGCTGGATGAGCCGAGCGCCCGATAAGCATTAACGAGAAGTCTTATGTACAGTGTTTAAATAGTAGTTGCCTATTCATTCTCGTGGCGTTATATAGCCAATCAATTACCAAATCGAACCCCTACCTTTGAATGGGCCTGTTGGATCGCTGCCTGACAGTTATCTTCCGACGCCACTATCCTCCTGGCTTCCGTCCTTCGCTTCCTTAACTTTCTTCTTGGCATTTTTTTTGGACAAAGACCCTGTTCTTTTAAAGCCTACGCTGTTATTTCAGGCTCTAGCTTAGATGTGATCTAATCAGTATTCAGATCGCCACCTCTGCGAATGGTTGTTTAATGGCCGTTGATACGACTATTTATAAAAGAGTATCCACAAAACCAGAATGCTCCCACCACAAGCGCGCACAAGTCAGAACTTAGCGTTTTACGCTCTGTTCTCCTTCCAATCCAGAAGGACGACTTTGGTATGATCCGCTGACTACGACGTGCTGGCTATATCTGCTTTTCAACCGCTTTTCCATCATGAAGAATGCAAAGATACCCAGATCAATCCCCATTAGCGGACCTATTGCAACACCAGCAACCCAAGCTTTGCTTCCTTCTTCAGGGCTTGGTGTCTGGCTCGAGGTGGCTGATGGGGTTATGGATGTATACGCGGGGCTCGCGATTGCCGAGAACGATGTGGTCGCTAGTTAAAAAGACAATTCAGCCTCATAATGGCACTTTGTTGACGCCACGATGATGTACAACTCACTAGCTGAAGATGTTATTGGTCCTTCTAGTGTTCGGAAAAGAGATGGTGGGTAAGTTTTAACGGGGGGGCCACAGAAAAAATGTAACCAAGAGCTGTCAGTCTTTGTGGATTCTTGAAGATGTATTGGGTAATACACCTGGCACTTTCGACGCGTTCTTGTAAACCATGGAATAAAAAAGTAACGACGAAAAATAGTGCACTTGTGCCACCACTGAGAAGGTTTGACTTACCATGGAATGGTGCTTGGGGACTGGAGGTAATGAAGTGCCTTGTTGAGGCAAGCTGTGGGATAACTACATGTTGTATTTAGTCAACAGTTCATATACGCATCGAAAGCCTTAAAGGTTTGCGTGGATTCGTCGCAGAATCACGACTTGGCTATGACTAGTAAGCACAAGCCATTTTCACCATTTATTTGGCTGACCCTCAGAAGCTAGATGAGTAGAAAGCAATACTTAATAGTGTCACCTCGCGTATACCAGCCCTTGAAGTTGGGCTTGGTTGAGTCTGCTGTAATAACATCCCGGCCGTTCATGATGGGCAAGATTGGTGCGATGAATGGGAATACGTAAAGGCTCTCTAGACAAGTGGGGGTTTGGGCTTGAATGACCAGGCCACATGGTCAAGAAAACGGCGATGTTGATGTGTTGCATGTGGCACGTCACTAAGGCTGGAAACACAGCCTCCTTGATGCAGAATCCTTGATTTATCTTACAGTAAGGCTGGATAATTAGAGCATGGCGTACCATAGGTCTGTTTCTCCCTTGAATAGTAAATCAGCTATCGACCGATCAGAGGACTATTCTTTTCTCTCTATCACTCAAGCCCGCCGCCGCGTCCTCATTCTCGCGCTTGTCTCTGTGACTGTCATCATGTTTTTTATCTCCTCAGACTTGGCGCCGGCTGGGCCACTCAGGGGTCCAATTGTCAACCGTTCAAAGGCTCTAGCCAGTCTGCTCCGGTCGGCAGCTCGCCTAGCCAAAACCCCAAGCTGCAATGATGACCGTCTCACTCAGCACAACGTGTCGAACCAAGACATCCCCTAACTTCCCTCTAACCCCATTTGCGACACCTTCACCGACACAAGCAGCATCCTCGTCAGCACAAGGCGGGTTTTTCTGAGTCTCTGACAAAGTGCACACCTAGCTTTGCCCGCGCAGAAGACGTTCTCGTCTCGAGGACTTCCTCGTCAATTGACGACAACACGCACGATGCGAATGACTATGAAGACCCGAAATGACTGTGAAGAAAAAGAAGAGCAAAACGTGATTGACTAAACTAAACTAAACGCGATCGCAATTCCTGGTGAGGGACCGTTCATTGTTGTGGTGTGACCAGGAATTCCCACATCATTGTCCATGTACCTGCGCGAACGCGTCGGTCGCAAAGCATCGCGAAATCATCATTGCAAGTGTGTGTAATCCTCCGCAAACCGCCCGATTGGCTTGTCTGGTGTCCAGACTTCTCCCGTGGTTGTCAAGTCATTTCTCCGAGTCGCTGGTGACCTCGTTGTGGTCGATGGGCTTGTTCACAGGGCCCGCGTCGATATCCTCCAACTGCTTGAATTGATCCTCGGTCATTCCCAGTTCCTTGAGCCACTCCTCCGACACCTCCGTGTATTCCTCCAGCTGCGACTCGGTCGCTTGATGTGCCGTGATGATTCCCTTGTCGCGGATGTAGAGGGCACGCGCACCGATGTGAGACGCGAGTTCAATGAGGGTCATCTCTTGGTATCGCTTGGCGAGCTTCGCCCATCGATTATCGCTCGCTACAAAGGCCACGCGACCGTCGGTGACTGTCGCAGTCATGGCGGAGACGGGAAGCTGGAGCTGGATCGCCTGGTGGCCTTGCTGATGTGTCTGCCTTAAGTACTTCATCTTCTCTGACCTCGAAAAGACCATCGCAACCCACTACGTCCGCCACAGTCTCAACAGCGTTTTTCTAAAGTACTGATCCCTTCTCATGATCTCCCTATTGAAAATTCTGCTTTGAGAAACGTTCTCTGGTGTTGTGCGTGGAGCCTACAGCCGCTGATTCAGTTTTGGATAGCTGGAGACAACGTATGACACTGGTGGGAATTGACCTTTGGGACGCCTGCTGACCTGGTGAACGGTTATCCTAAATATGTTTAGAAGAGAGCAATCTCCAAGTTCCTCCGACGAGCCTGCTCATCGATATCGTAGTTGTCGTCCTGCGTATTCCATACTTTATCAAGCATCTCGGCGATGCTTTTCGCGTTCGCCGTGATTCCGTAGGGCTAGCAGATATCGGCCACCCGCCGAAGGATTTCCGTCCAAGTCAGATGACGAAACAGTGCGGCGACTTCGAGCCGAGCTTCTACGCACGGATAGAGAAGCGAGTTGGTGGTAAGGAACTGGGCATACTGGAACCGGCTGCGGGTGTCGCACGAGGCGTCCATGGCAGCCACCAGACGACCCAGTAGTGTATCGGTTGAGGGCATTGCCGAGGTATTGACGCTTTGCGTGCTGCCGTTATCTGTCCACACTTTTCTCAATCGGCGACCAGTAAGGATGCCAGCGATACGATATGACTCCCACAGACTAACCTGTGGTACGTCTCCAACGTCCCCCATCCAGGTCAAGAGATCCATCTCGGAGGACTCATCACGGTGGGTTTTCGGACTTTTGACATGGCACTGTACAGCACGGTTGTTAGGTTACATTTAGCGTGAACTAGAGTTGCTGACAGGTCCCGGTCGCCAGGGACTGTCCTGAATACAGTGTCGGCACTTGAGTCCAGGGGTAGAGTATTCAGTTCCGATTGGCAAGTTAGTCAAGCTAGAGAAACGAGACCATCTCAAACACCAGAGTAGACGTCTGTCATGAAAGCGGCCTTGACTAAGTTTACTGTTTTGAGGTGACACACAATTGATCCAGCAAGTATCTCAAAGGCAGATGGAGTATGAGCTTTGGCATGAAGGGATCGAAAAAAGATCGAAAACCAACCGAACGGACTATGGGAGCACAACGGCGAATTTGTCCGTCAGAACATCTGGAACCAAGACGACTTCGCACGCCAAGTTTCAAACCCCGGGTAGGATGTACGTGCGATCAGTGAGATCCTGGAGCTGTGATTTACAATTTCTACTTGGGAACCTATGGCTCATCTTGAATCTACACCAGCCACAATGTTCTTTCCAACAATACCGTGGATGACTTCAAGGAAAGCAACTCCAACGACCCAAAGTAAAATCCCTTGCCAGTCATTCTGTCATCTTGACACTCCAAAAATACTCAAACAAGCAACCTCTGAATCTGCCTGTCCAGATGCCTCCGGTGACCCTCCGTCACGGGACTTCCCACCTCGCCCAGGATGGTCTTGATCCGCTCCATGAGGAACCCGCGCGGGTTGCACTCGCTGTGGTCCGCGCCGCCCTTCTCCCCGGGCCGTCCAATGTCGTGGATCACGAGGTTCATAAGCGTCGAGTACAGCGTCAGCACGCTCTCCTCGACGTCCTCGGCCTCGGGGATCGGCCAGAGCCCCGCCCGTGTCAGGCAGAAGGTCATGCTGCCGAGGATCATGCTCTCGCAGCGGTGCGGGCCCATGTACGACGCGTGCCGACACCAGCGCGGCCCCTCGTCGACGCGGACGAGCTTCGAGGCCAGGTCGCGGAAGACGTCCATGATGGACTGGATGGTCTGGGTGCGGATGGCCGCGACGCGCTCTGCTCCGAGTCAGTGAGACCCTCTCCCAGACCTTGGTGACCGACTCTGCGGCAGCCTAGGGTAAAGGGGAAGAAAGGAAAACTTACCAATTACATCGGGCGGCATGCTCAGCTCCCCTAGCCCACTATCGTCCCCAAACAAACTCCCACAGCTCTCCATAACCATCCTCCTCGCCGTCCCCTCAAACAGCTGCTTGTGTCCCAGCTCCCACGCGATCCACAACACCTTGGGCATCAGCAACTCCCCGTCTCGCCCAGCCACGTGACTGCTGTTCATCTCTGCCCCGTCCCCGATGCCCGCTTCCCACGCCTGCAACCACGGTGAGAGCACCGGCGTGGCGTCGTAGTAATGCGTCAGGACCGTCAGCTCGTACAGCCTATCGACAGACAGGCTCCTCGGGATCCGCCGGTACTGGCTGTGCGCGATGCTCGCAAAGAGGTCGAACGCCTCGGGCTTGTCGTCCCGAAGATTGACGACCCATTCTTTTGTGGGTGTGCTGGGAGCTACAGATGAAGAAAGCAGATCCGTGGCGGTGGACGTCGGCTTCGATTCCGAAAAGTTGCCGTGCAGCATCCGATCGAAGACTGGGGATACGCGGGCCATGGTCCGGGAACACACGCGGAACCTCCGGACCGGGGTATCGTTGCCCGCGGCCCCGACGACGAAGACAACGTCTCCCCTCCGGTCCATTTCCGTGAGTGCTGGGGTGCTGGGTTCTGGAAGCGGCGACATTGCCTGGATGGGTTGCTGGAGAGGCCGAGAACGTGGGTGAAAGCTGCAAGACGATAGACTTCTTCGCACATTCGATATGTCGTTGCCTGGAATAACCTTTTAAGCTTATATCTGTTGGGGCTTTCGATTCCCAATCTGACTCCGGGGGGTTGGATCTCGTATCTTCTTAGCCTGATTGCTATATTAAGCGTTTCACCATGTGCACTGAATAAATTTCGATCTTGTCTGTGGCGCAGGGCACTGTCTGTAGCCATTGCGCCACGCTTGGCCAAGACCTCTCTACGCTAGAGGGGGCTCATCCGTTCTTTGTTCTTGTGGACCAGTCAACATGGTTCAGTCAATCGGAATCGCTCCAAACCTTGAGTAGGGCCGTCTCGGGGGCCGCGCCCTCCGAGGGTTCGGCAGCAGGCCGGCGGCTCTATCCATCCACTGAGTTCTAGGTCCATGCGTCACTGTACCAAATTTTGGATGCTGGCCGAATTTGGTTGCTTGAATGGTATATTCGTGGTAAATGTGTGCCGTGCACTCCTCCGTAATGACACGAACTGCCTGCCACCCCAAACTTATTCGCCGCCTGTGTTGACGATGACTAGAGCCTACCGAAACATGAATCCAAGATACCAATACCGCGGTCGAAGCTGGCTGATTGAGTGGCCAAAGGGAATCAGCCTAGAAGTGAGAAGTCGCAACCCTTCCCTCGATGCGTTTCCCGAAACTGCTCCAGTCCACTGCGTGGAGACATGCATGCAACTCCCAGGGCGCATCGCCCTCAGTCCCTCCGACCCGCGGGAGTACGTCGACGACCCCTTCTTCAATGCACCAATGTTTACGACAGCCTAAAGGCAGACCACCGATCGTAGAACCTCGCACGTCAAAGTTCAGATCGGCGCCCGAGCTTGCAAGCGATCTGGATTTGACGCCAGTGCGTTCGCTGCACACCCTTCTTGGAAAAGCACCAGCGGCTTCCTTGTTCTGCCCCTAACTGGATTCAGAAACCGCCTAAAGTCGTTGACAGACGTACTCATGGTCGACAGATTCTATAGCATGCTGACTAAGGCCGCGGCCGAAGCAATTGCTTCTACTGGCAGTAGCGCAATGCGGGGGTACAGTTCGGAGGGGGGTATTCGCAGTACCAAGGGGGGCTTCCGAAAAGTGGATCAAAACTCGGAGGGGGGTCTAAAAGTTTATACAGCAGTTATGAAGAGGATAAATAAGCGTAGGACAGTGTAAGACTATGATTGGTTGAGAGACAAGCTAGAATCCTGCATTGTCGATACATGTGTTCCGCATATGCTCTACATATACGAGGAAGACGCAGAGCATAACCTGCAGAAAGTAGCGGTGAAGGTCAGTTAGCATCATCTTTTGCATTCACAGGCGGTGAGAGCGAGGAAACGAGGATAAGCAAGCAATAAAATATAGGTGCTGAGGGAGTATAAGTTGAGTACAGTCTCTGCATATGCTGAGGCCTGGCTTAGACCATACTCACCACATACTTCGCTAAGATCCAACAGCAATGGACAATGTGCCAGACGACACTAGTAGCGACTCTGATTTTACTTCACCACCTTTATCTATATTATCTTTTAGTGGATCTGAGGATGAAAATGAAGACTGGAGAGAAGATGCAGGATATCAGAGTATTGATGAAGATAATACTCAAGATAATGATAAAGATGCAATTGCTGGATCTCATTATCTGTTAGGAAGATGGGTTAATGATGTAAGTTTTTATTTTATCAATATTATTTATTTTACTAAACATTTTTTAGGATCAGTTTTGGCTTAATAGCTATAACCAAGCAAGCAATCACTATGACCCAAAGACGTTACTATGCCAGATGGGTCAGTCTGAAGTAAGTTTTATATGTATCCTTAACATATACCGGATGTGGGATGGGCATATACTGAGCATATGCTGAGAATTTATCAGGAATCTATCCAGCAATTTGGAGTCCTTCTCAACAACAGAGGAAGATACGCAACATCTGCAAGAGATGTCCAAGATCACCTTACTCCTCCTCTTTTTCCTAAGACTTCAAAAACAGGGGTTTTACATTTTATCTCATGCTACGAAAACAATAGCAATATTTCAAAATCAGATGCCCAGCAACTTATAAGCATACTTACAGACACTATCCAATACTCAACTCAACATAAGGAGAAAATAAGCCAGCAGGGATGTCCAGTTCTTGGGTAACATACTCTCAGTATTGTCTCTGCATATACTTGGCATATGCTAACCATATATTGAGAGTAGTCCAGGCAAAAATCAAGTTTGGCACCAATCCCTGAAATGCAGTGGGATCAAACACTGTAGCTTTACTCGCAAATCTGTTTTAAAGCCACATAGGCTTTTTGATTCTGGTAATGCTATTAAGGCACATCAAATCCTTCGAGAAAAAGCAAAAAGAATGGCAATTGTACCTACACTTACAGAGGATATTAAGAGTCAGACGGAAGCGTAAGTGAAGCCTATGCGAGGCATGTGTTGCGCATATGCTATGCATATGTCTCAATTATGAGGTGCTAATAATATATTCTAGTTACTTTGAGTCTATTCAAAAGCTCTGGAAGCTTGATGGACCTTGTCAACAGCCAGCTAGAGATGGGAAACAGCCAGTATCTACTTGTAGAAACCAAAGATTTACCACCTTTACTAGGAATGATGTAAGTTTATGCCTAACATATGCCCTTCTAGAACTTAGTTTATATTAACACTATGTAGGTTACATTTATTGGCTGCCCACGGTCTAGTAACTCAGAGCCTTGGCATACAGCATGGGGAATTCCACAGTATCAAAGTCAATTCAATGTTAACTATTTACGCCAGCTTTGTGATACTGGGCGACTTAGAGGGTGGAGTAATAAGTGTGTTTGGGTTGGGAAGACAACGAGCACAAGGCGAACATGTGGTGCGTATATGCCCGGCATATGCTAAGCATTTACTGATCATAGGTTCACAGGATACCAGCATCCAGCTGGAAGAGGCAGTGGGCGAATTCAAACGCACAAGTGTTCTGTTAAGATGGATATCTATGTTCCTATTAACCAGATTCGGTTTCCATTTATTCTTCTTCTTTGCCGAGGCTCACATACTCATATCCCACCACTACCAACAACACTACCATCTTGGTTATCACATCGCCTTGTACTAGGGCTTTCAAAAGAGCCAGATATCTCAACTTTAACTACACGTATGTTAAGTATATGTTTATATGATACTATGCATATGCTAAGCATATATAGGGAAACTACTAATGAATCCTGGGATTCGTGAGGTTTATCGTGCCTTTGGAGCAACTTGCTTTTCTGCTATTCATACAGCCTTATCTAATGAGGATATCATTGGAGTCCTGATTCGAAGAGCGCGATTGCTTGAGTTTCCAGCTGGTTGTAGCTTTGCAGGTATGAAGCATATCTTCCGCATATGCGCTACAGGTCCTCAGAATATACTAAGCATTTATCAGGCATACTTCGGGAATGGTCATATGACAAGACCAGGCTATCAGAAGAACGCTGGATCAGAAACGTTCATATATTACCTAATGGCCGTTTTATTATTATTTGCATTGAATACTTTAAAGCAAAAGCCTTCTTAAAGGCTAGCTTTTTAGAAATTGATGTAGCTTTTAAGATGGTTAAAGGAGAAACGAATACCTTTAAAATATGTGGATGGAACTCAGATGCCCAGAGTATGTTAAGCATATGCTGAATATGATCTGGACACATGCACTAACTATACTAGAAATTGATTCATACGTCTATGCATGGACAAACCTTCACTCACGAGACGGTTATAAGCTTCTCTTTAAGTATTGCTTTGAGGAGCTTTATCAGGTAACTGGTATAAAGCGAGAATGGTTTCATATTGATCCTTCTTCTCCTTCTCCTATTTATGCTATTACAATGGATATGGATGGTAAACAAGCTGGTGGTAAGTTACTTTTGAGTATATTTTATACTTATTCGTGATCTATGCGTAGCATATGCTGAGTATATAGCAGGCTTAGGCGATTACCTCACTGATCTTGACCCTTCAAGAACATGGGAGGAACATCTATGTCACGTGTTAATCTTTTGCAAGGTTCATGTGCGACGAAATTGGCGTAAGAAGTTTCCTGATCACCCAGCTGAGCAAGAGCTATGGAGAGTATGGCAATCAGACTCTTCCTCAGCATATGCAGCGCATATTGCAGGCATCACCAAACAATATCCAGAGACAATATCCTGGTTTAAGGGAAAAAAGTCTCGTTGGATTATGTCTGGTCTTGCTATTTCTATTAGCAATATTCAACCTGAAGCTATGGTATTAGCCCGGAAGTATGATAATATTGTTGAATCAAGCCATAGCCAAGATAATTGGGCTGTTGGAAAACGACTTCAGCTTCTTGCTGCTGTACTTCGGTAAGTGATAGACTCGACATACTCCCGGCATATGCGTTGCATATGTCCAGCACATACAGATACTATACCTAACATCTTCTAGGCTTAAGCTTCATGCCTTCCAAGAAGCAAAGAAAACGAACATCCTCACTCAGACTGGAATTGAATCTTCATGGAGGAATCAGAGCCAAACAGCAAGATATACCCGCTCACTTGCAAAAGGAAACAAAAGACAAAAGCAACAAGCACAACGTCGACAAAATAACCCAGATCTTCCATTTAACCCCCATAATGCATATGATACACCAATACTTAGCATTGAGGAGGGTGATGTTGCAAGTGGCCAAGAATTATCTGATGACGAGAGCACAGCTCTCCGCATATCCTCAGCATATACTGAGCATATTCCAAGCACACCTTGTGCATCCACACCGCTCATGCAGACCCCATCCTTAGGGTCATCTCCACCTTTACCTGCTTCATCATTGGCATCATCACCACTCACAGTTCGTTCCCACCCACGAAAAAGAGCAACACACTCACGGTCAATGGGTCAACGTGAAGTAGATGCATTTACACAGCGAAAAGAGGCACAAAGTCGTTCGCAACAGCAACGCTTTCAGGCTGAAAGAGAGCAAGATGAAATCAGGATTCAACAGCTTGAATATGAAGTAGAAAAGCTAAGGCGACAAAAGCATATCCGGGACTTAGAGGCAGAGGCAGCTCAGCTAAGACAGGATCTAGATAAGGAATAAGCAAAGCATATCACCAGTATCATTTCAGCATATGCACAGAACATGTATAGCATAGGAGGAGCATCGTCCTCGTTGTCATTAACTACCGCGGCGATTCTCAGCATATGCTGAGTGTCTGTCGACGCTCTCTACTCTATAGACGTAATTCATTCCCAGTTTGTTCCCAGCATATGCTTAGAGACTTGCACTCTATTGGTGCAGTTGATGCTTGGCATATGCTCAAATCTCGTTCGGGTTCTCGAACTTAATCTCCTCCTGCGCGGGGCGGGCGGAGCCTGTTCTCGGGATTAGCTGTGCATATGCTGAGTATGTGCGGGATGTACTCACGGAGAACGCGAGAGGAGGAGGCGGGGGCCTTGCCCTTCTTGCGGGGAGCTGATGCGTGGTTAGTGTTGAGCATATGCAGAGAGCATGCTGTGTACTTACTGGCCTTCTTGCGGGGAGGGGCCGGGGAGGGGGAGGGAGGGCTCTCCTCACGGGGAGGGCCACCGCGCTGGACTGATTGTGAGCATATGCTGAGCATGTGTGGAGATGATGTTCTACTCACGTTCTTGCGCTTGCGCGAAGAAGGGGGGGCGGAGCCGCTGCGCTGCATCAAAGTTAGCTCAGTCCTGCATATGCCTAACGCATCCCCAGCACATATTCCCCATGTTGTTTGCTCGTGTTCGGTCGGTATCGGTTCGGTCGCGGCTCGGCGTGGCTGTGATGTTGGTGTTGGAGGGCAGAGACTCGACACATCCTCAGCATGTGCTAGGGATGTGTTCTGCTTGTTGAGAGCAGATGCCTTTTTGCTCCCCAACACCTTCCTCACAGCCACACGTCTCTGTGACTTGGCACCATGTCGCGGTGCCTTGTTGCGTTAGTTATGGGGGGATAGATGGCAAAGATATATGGTAAAGTAAATGGCATCCTCCGGATCCGAGCATATGCTCAGTAGATGCACTCACAGGGCGGTGGAAGTGCGTGCCATAGGTGGCCGCGAAGTTGGCGTCGTTGCGACTGGGATAGGACGTTAGCTGAGCATATGCTGAGAGTGTACCGGGGATGTACTCACGCAAGCTCCTCCATGCCGTCGGCATAGGTGTGGATGAGGCCGCCCTCAGGTCCAACACTGTCAGAGTGTCAGTTGTGCATATGCTGAGAAGAGACAAAGAACATACCCAGGCTCGCGAATGTAGTTCGCGTGGCGCCAGCCACCGGAACGAACCCAGTTCTGGATAGCACTGCATGAAGTCAGCATATGCCCAGTTGTGGAAGAGAAGAAGAAGCGCATATGCTCAGCACATACGTCTTGCCGGCAGCCTCCTCGGCAACGGTGGTGTTGACGCGGGGGCGGTTGGTGACTGGGATATTGTGAGCATATGCTGAGGATGTGCCAGAACTGTTCACGTACCAGCGCCAGCATGAGCCGTGCGGATGTGGCGGCGTTGCTGAGTGTAGTGTCAGTAATGTCCCAGCATATGCGGAGCATCAACTTACGGCAGGCTGGGAGGCGGTGACGGTGCCGCACATGGCGCCAGTGGCCGCATCGACGACGATGTCACAGCTGAGCGTATTGTCAGCATATGCTGAGATGAGGCAGAGACCATGCTGTACTTACACGCCGGTGTTGATGGAGGAGAGGTTGCTGGCGGGATTGGGAGCGTCTGAATTGATGGTCAGCATATGCTGGGTTTGTTCTCTGCCGCGGACCAGCACATACTGGCGTTCATCTCGGTGGTGACGGTGTCTGGTCAGAATGGTGTCAGCATATGCACAGCCTGCATCTGGGTGAAGCTGGATACTTACAGGCGCGACCGGCGTCATGGGCCTCGCGGACCTCTGCATCAATTGAGTTAGTGTTCAGCATATGCGATGCACAAGCAGGGTTCATACCATCGGGGACCCATCCGTCGTTGGGGTTGGGGATGGGGCCTGCATGTGATCAGCATATGGTCAAACGGAGCTCAACCCACACCCTGCATATGCTCACCATGGTGGTAGCCGAAGCGGCTAGGGTTGGCGGCATTGGAAATGCCGGGGTTGGCGTAGGGGGAAGTCATCTAGAATAGTGTCAGCATATGCAGAGGATGTGGTGAGAATTGATCGAGACAATACCGTGGTGGTGCTCGTTGGCGATTGTGGGATGGCTTGAAGAAAAAAGAAGAGGAGGAAAAACTTTTGCTGAGCAGCAGCTGAGGATATGCTGAGCGTACGCTGGCGCTAAGCCAATTGTGGATCTCAACAACAAAGTCACGTGCCTTTTTCGAGGAAAAAAACTTCACTGTGCCTGCGCTCGAGTATTCGCACATGACTAATCTTGCACAACTCTGATTTCCCACTTTCAGACCCCCCTCCGAGCTTTGATCCACTTTTCGGAAGCCCCCCTTGGCACTGCGAATACCCCCCCCCGAACTGACAACCCGCGCAATGCGGCGTGTCCCAGCCGGCATGCCGACGGCCGAGGGTTGTCTATACCTATGTCAGCAACCGATGGAGAAAGACTTGGAGTTAAGATAGCGTCAGGCCAAAGTAAATAGGGTTTGTCGCATTGGAAGATAGAGTCTGTAGCGTACCTCAGCCTGAACAGCTGCTCAGCTGTGGTCCTGGCGACCACATTGACCATCATTCACCAAAGAAGGTCTCGGGCAACGGCGGATTCAGCTTCGGCCGCACATTGACGGCAGTGGCAGAGCACATCTCATCTTTAGGACCGAATCCCGGTAACCTGGACTTTATGATGGCAACCCAGCACCAGGCACTCAAACAGTCGAGTTTTGAGACCCGCCAACCGCCCCCTTGATGAGCCAGCAGTCCATCAACTTCCACCTCCAACCGATTCAGACGAGCAGATGTAATGGTAATAATGGCATTGGTAGGCTTAGACTCGAGATTGGGCCATTTAATTGGCGTCGCTTTGTCGAATTCATACTCGGGGATGCGATCAATGGCTAAGGGTCTCGTTGGCCGGTACTTGTTGAGGTTCAACTTGTATCCCGCAAGGTTGCGCTCTGCGTAGGAAAGTGGCGGGTCTGCCGCAAAAGCCTGGAAAATCAAATTCATCGACGTCTCGTCAACCAGAGAATGATGGACGGCAAATGAGAGGATGAGGTTGCAAGTCTTGGAGTTAAGGAAGTCAGCCTGAACGGTCATGGCAGGCATTCCAATCTCCCAGTCGACCTCGGCATCGTCCAGGATGAAGCAGGTGTTCTCTTGGCGAAACCAATGAGGCGCAAAGCCCTCCTTCTCGAGGAAGTCGATGCGGCCATTTTGGAACCGTCTAGCGTGGATTTGGCACTTGCATAACTCGCTCGCGAGATCGGTCAAGTCTACAGGAACTGGTGGATTCGATGCCGTAGACTCTTCGGGGGGCGCAGGGCTAGGTCTGGGGTGCGGATTGAGTTCAGCCAAGCCATGTTTGTCGCTCTTGATGTGGTTAGCCAAAAATGGATATCGCAGCAAGACGTTTTCGAGCATTTTAACGAAAGCGTGGGCCACTTCAGAGTAGTCGTGGTTCTGGTACTCTGCAAAGCTGAAAATAAAGGATCTCGTAATGTATTTGCGGCTCGCTGAGTGTGAATGGTGAGCTCTTATTACCATGTGGAGATGGTACAGCAATACCTGGAGACTGCCGACTTACCAGCACGGCCAAAGGGGGTGAGGGCATGGGAAATTGCCTCCGATGAACTGTTGCCCGACGCGCCTGGCAGCGACATAATCGCGTGGGAGGAATCGAGAGGGTACGACAAGCCGTGAACTGTATGATGCGACCGATAAAATGATGACGATGCAATATCCGCGACGATCAGGAAGTCCTGGCGAGTTGAGATGGCAGGAGAAGTGTTTGGCGTGGAGTTCAGCGATCAAGATTCACTTACATGCATTGGAGGGAATGGATCATGGTCTCGTCCTCCCCTCCTACCCTCTAACATGATACGTCCGGCGGGGCCTTCCTCTGGTCCGGGTGGGAGGTCTTTGACTTCCTCGACTGTGCCTCACACCGAACTTGTTCTCGGCCACGTCGTAGCCTTCGCCTGATGCGACATAGTAAGGAAAGGAGGGATGAACGAGCATTACTGCCATGGTCGACAGCGAAGAACCAATGAGATCAGGGCTAGCAAATCGCAGTAGCTGGCTTCCTTTGGAAAGAGGAAAAAGGCGTGAAAGTTTTCTTGCACGAGGAAGCGGAAAGTGCACACTCAACCACCACTTGGTCGAAACTGACTGAGCGGTTACACACTGTCACGTGGAAAATGATGGATGCTGGGACTGGCCAGGCGCCGCCATTGAGTGCACATTGTGGGAAGGAATCAGTTGATAACTCGGTCGCCATTCATCCCGAGCTCAGCAGCTAAATCGAGGAATGACGGAGCCATAGAAAAACCCGAGCGTCCGGCTCACGACCCTGGATTTGACGTCGACCTCGGCGTCGGAGGCTCGCCTGAAAATCGCGGCGCGGGAGCAGCCGTAGGTCGGGACGAACGGCATCAGGCGGGAAGGGGTCTGGGTGGGTGCTTATCGTTCGCTCGCAGGACGAGTGGACGGGGGGGGGTCTCGGCGTCTCTTAGTGAGCGCAAATGTCGTCAAGGGGCAGAAATTTCTCCAGTTCAAGCCGAGGTACGAGCGAGGGAATTGGCGCGCCGGCGTGTGTACGTTTTGGCGTGGTTTGTTGGTTTCCCGAAGGCTCCGAACGGCGGTTCCGTCACTCGCAGCGCTGGCAGACGACGACGGGACATCGACGTCATAGGGCGCTCACAACGGATGACTCAGCTCCACTTTCCCGGCCTCTCCAGGGCCAAGGTCCCCTACCAAGGCACTGCGACTCTCCGGAGCAATGACGAGACCCTTTTCGCTTGCACTTTATTAGTTAAGGTCTTGCACGACCAGCCACATTCCACCTGTTTGTGTACTTTTTTTTTTTTTTTTTTTGCAACATTGTAGCTCTCTGTTTCTCATTCATAAAAAAAGGAACCACCAAAAAAATAAGAGGAAAATCTCATTCAAGATGGCCGCGGTAAAATCAACACAGACGGAACTCCCGACCTTCTCGCCAATCGACTATGCCAAGTTCTTCGGAGCCGGCGCCCTCGCGGCGACCTCCACCCACGGTGTAAGCCATCGCCGTCCCTGAGGCCTCACCCACAAACGCGACCACACGTGCTCACATCCCTTACAGGCAGCAACGCCAATTGACGTCGTCAAGACGCGTATTCAGGTTGACGACGCCATGAAGGGCCTCAACATGATCAAGGCCGGCCGCACCATCGTCGCCAAGGAGGGCGCATCCGCCTTGCTGACCGGCTTCGGCCCTACCGCCGTCGGCTACCTCGTCCAGGGCGGCGGAAAGTTCGCCGGCTACGAGTTCTTCAAGAAGCAGTTCATCACCCTCGCCGGCGGCCCCGAAAAGTCCGTCAACAAGCGCACCGCCATCTACCTCGGCGCCAGCGCCACCGCCGAGTTCTTCGCCGACATCCTACTGTGCCCTCTCGAAGCGACGCGCATCCGTCTCGTCTCGCAGCGCGGCTATGCGACCGGTCTGGGATCCGGATTCATGCGCCTCGCGCGCGAGGAGGGGTTCAAGGGGTTTTACTCGGGTTTCGTGCCGTTGCTATTCAAGCAGGTCCCTTACGCCGTCGGTCAATTCTCCGTGCACGAGGCCGCTGTCGAGGTCATTTACCGCGCCATGGGGCCCGAGAAGAAGGCCAAGATGACGCAGCTGCAGTCGACGGGTGTCGAGTTGGCCTCGGGTATTCTCGCCGGTGTCGCTGCTGCCGTGCTTTCGCATCCCGCCGACACGCTGCTTTCTGCCATCAACAAGGGCGCTGGCGACCCGAAACAGGGTGCCACGAGCCGCATGATCCAGCTTGCCAAGGAGTTCGGTCCCAAGCGTCTGTTGTTGACGGGCCTGGGCCCCGTATCTTCATGACCTGTGGTTTGGTCGCTGGTCAGTTCGTCATTTACGCGCAATGCAAGACCCTGGTTGGCGCACCAGCCGGTATTGAAATCCACAAGGAAGAGTCCCTATAAGATCTTGAATATATCATTTGTATGTGTAGAGGTTAGAAAGACTCTGGGATGGGCTGGCGTTCGGTTGCATTGGTTCCGGTTGTTAGAGCGGGTAGATGAGCGATTGCTTAGATTACATTTGATTCGATCAATCGATTTCTTTCTTCAACGACCATATGTTTAAGCATGAACTGTGATGAGACTTTTGGTCGCATTCAAACGTCTGCTTCCTGAGGATACGGTGACGAGGCTCGATTCACGAAGTGCCTCGACTTCTGTTGGAGGCTTATGACAGGATCCACGCGACGCGCGTGAAACAAGGTTGCGAAGATCTTTCATTACCGACCCGCAATCATGAAGCACAAATCAAGAGGTTGGGTCTTTTAAATGTGTGTTCCGTGTCATGCTCATGTCCCGCTGACAGTCAAGGGACTAAGGGATTGAACAACATGGGTTTTTGCCGCTCTTCTGGTGGCGCCACTCTCGGCCACGATACTCACCGTATTTCATGAGTTTCTTGCAGAAAATACATATAGTTTCGATTTGAAATTACACCATCTAGACTCCCAAAGAGATATAATTGATAGCAGACCATGGATGATAGAAAGTTCGACGTTGTGGGCAGCTCAGTACGGCGATCTAAAGATAGATGAGCGCTTGGCAAAGCTCGACAGTTCTCAGCAAGAACCCAAACTATAGGATTCGTGCAAAGGAATGGGGAGAATAGCCAGGTGACGAATCGCTGGAGCCAGTAATGCAGAAATGGAACGAACGTTGCGTGGTGTCTCTCAGAGAGGTAGTGTGCGTTGGGAGCATGGTGATCGAAGGAGCAGAAATGGAACCCGCAATTAATGATCTGGGAAAGAGATAGCATACCATCCTGACTTTCCATGATAGAAAGGACAAAATTGAGAAAGAATCCAATGATATGCATTAGGAAGATCGCTGTTGCTCGGCCTGACAGGATCGCAAGCCATGACACTGTTCACATTCGGGGCTCTTGCCTATGCAATCGGTACTTCGCTCTGTCTTACATCTTACTTCCTCTTGCACTTTTATTTCTTGTCGTTCCTGCAATGCAGAAGCAGCAAGCCTAGCACCTAGCACACCTCTTGCTCTGGACATTTGGACTGCAACTTTTCCCAATTCATCAGTCCATCCCTTCCAGAAGAAGAAAAGCATTTCCAATCCATCATCACCGATCACCCAGCTATACTTCTCTCCCAAGATCACGAAACAAATCCGCAACAATGCTCGTCAAATCATTCTTTCTTTTCCTAGCTTCCGCGACCCTCGTCACCGCCAAGTCGTTCATATTGTTTGCCTACTTCTCTGAATTGGTCAACCATTTCGTGATGGACCCGCATGAGTTCGCCATCAACGCTCGGAACGGACGTTTCTGGGTCGGTGCTTTACAGCCTACAACCAACTGCCCGAACTTTTCCGGCGCTCATTGCCCACCTAGCAACACGACAGTCGTCGATGATTTGTTCAGACAGCTTCAGGTTTGTCTCGACTGTTTCCCAGTGCCCATTAGTTCTACCTCTCCACAAATACTGAACACGGCACTTGCCCAGCATGGTTTATCACTATAACCATCCATCCCTTTAGCTCTGTTCTCGTGGTCACTAATTGAAGGAACCAGATTTCTAAACCAGGCGGACAAAGAGTCTACGCCGACCCCGATGGTGTCATCTCCTACACCCCGGGAGGTGACAGCGCAATCACCGCGATGCCTGCGGGCTCCAACTTCAACGCCTTTTACAAGACGCCCATGGAGAATCTAGCCTTCGGAGAGGAGGCACATTTCCTGCAGTTTTAGAAGTTCGGCGGAGACCCTGCCTCCTCCAACATCTACGCCTGTCTCGACGACAAGCATAATGGTATGGCGTACCTCAGGGCTCGGTGGACTTCGAAGCCAGATGCTGTTTGGGACAGCCAGTGTGTTGCCTTGGATGGCTTGCTGGCGCTTCCGAGCGAAGACAAGGTTGGAGCGTACGAGTATACCAGGGCTTGAAGGGTCTGTTTTCGCGCTCCGCCGCGAAGTGTAGGCAAACATAGGCTCTGCTTTGGGACTGCAAGAACAGCATCAGAGGTGCAGGGATTGCAGTCCGATTCAATCATGCGATTACCAACGTAGTATAATACAAAGTATCACCATCACTTGCACTTGTGTCACATCTTCTACCGCTGAGCGCCGGGTCATTTGCCAGTGAGAATCCGGTTTACAATTCAATGCAGGCCCTGTCATTGTCATACACATACATCCATCCAACTGCTTAGTCCGATTACTTAGTCCAAAACCAGCTCAAAGTCAAACTCCCTGGCCTTCAACTCATACTGCGGCAACGTCGCCGGCCCGCACGACCCGGTACCCAGACCGTGGTGCGCCCAGTCCAGCCTCACGACCGTGTCCTCCCTCTTGCGCTTGTGTAGCTCGTACGGGTGTTTGCACTCGTCCAGGTCCTTGGTCGTGTAGTGCATCGCCGAGAACGACGCGCCGTCGAGGTCGCCGAAGCGAGCGCGGATGAGGCGCTCGAGGGGCTCGTCCTTGTCGACGGCGCCCTCCTCATCGGGAAGCTGGCCGCGGAACTCGACCCAGCGGACGTCGGTCCTGTTGCCGCCGTCCTGGGGGAACTCGTAGTCGACAAAGAGGTCGTCGACGGTCTGCTCCCAGTTCCCGAAGGCCTGGCTCTCCTTCTTGTCCCTGTAGCTCTCGCCCGGGCCGCGGCCCCACCAGGCGACCTTCTCAACGCCCTTGACGCTTAGCGTCAGCCCGATGCGGGCGAACGTGTCGGGTAGGAGAGGGCCGCTAGGCTTGCCTTTGATCTTGATGTAGACGGCCTCTCCGTGGAAAGTGAACGTGGTCCAGGTGTCGACGGCCCAAGCGAGGACGGGCGGGGCGATGCGCGAGTGGACGTTGACGACGAGGCCGTGTTTCTCCTTGCGCCACTCGACGCGCTTGACGGAGTGGCGCGTCTGGTCGAGGCGGCGGTCCTGCCAGTTCTGGCCGAAGCGGCCGCCGCGGTCGTTGTCGGTCAGGGCGCGGTAGAAGTCCATCACGAAGGGCTCAGTGAGCAGCTCGAGGTGCGGGTGGGATGCCTTGCGCCAGGAGCTGATGGTGCCGAGTTGGAGGTCGAGGCCCCAGGTCGAGAGTCCCGTGGAGGAGGTGATGGAGAGGAGGGAGGGGGAGGTCTGGGTTATGTGCGGGACGGGGTCGACAAAGGGATGAGAGAGGGAAGAGAGGATGGCGGTCATGGAAGGGGCCTTGGAAAGCGGGAGCTGGCCGAAGGCGACGCGGTGGCCGGCCTTAGCCCAGTTCGTGTCGTTGGCGAGGGCGAAGTCGATGTGCAGGTATGCTTCGGCGGTCAGGTTCTTTGGGAGGCCCTTGATTTTGAGGTGGGCTTTGGTGTGAGGTTTGATGCCTGTAGATGTTAGTGGGATGCATGATATTGATGACAACGTGAGTGATGAGACGAATGCTTACCCTGGGGGATCTCAACCTCCTGGTCACCGCCAATGACCATGCCATCGGCCACGATGTGCCACGTGGCGGTGAGATGGTCCAGGGATATAAAGTCGTAGCGGTTAATGATGGTGACTTCGTTGTCCTTGATGTCAAGGGTCTGCACCGGCTCGATGGCCTTGCCATACTCGACCAAGCCGGGCGTGGGAGTGTGCTCAGCGAAGCAGAGGCCATCAAAGACAAAGTTGTAGTCGTTGGGCTCGTCGCCGAAGTCGCCGCCGTAGGCCATGTACTCCTCCCCGTCTTCATTCTTGGTGCGGAGGCCCTGTGACTGTTAGTCGAGGAACAGACGCTGCGTTGCGTGAGACTTACATGGTTGGCCCATTCCCACACAAACCCTCCCATGAGGCGCGGGTACTTGTAGAAGGCCTCAACGTACTCCTTGATACCGCCGGGTCCGTTTCCCATGGCGTGGATGTATTCGCAGAGGACAAGCGGCTTACTCCAGTCCTTCTCGGAAGCCGAGTTGACAATGTCGTCGGCTGAGGCGTACATCCTGCTATAGATATCCGCCGTCCGAGCGCCGCCGTCACCCTCGTAGTGCACCAGGCGGGACTTATCGATGCTCTTGATCACGTCGTACATGTGCTGATGGTTCGATCCATAGAAGGACTCGTTACCCAGAGACCACAAGACGACGGATGCGTGGTTCTTGTCGCGCTGCACCATCTGTCTCGCGCGGTCTTCGTAGGCCTCGCGCCAGTCGGGGTTGTCGGTGGCCCAGTCCTCACTACGGTTCCCCAGGACGCCGAAGCCGTGACACTCGAGGTCCGCTTCGTCGAGGATCCAGATACCAAGCTCATCAGCGAGGTCGTACAGTCGGGGATCGTTGATGTAATGCGACGTGCGGATGCCGTTAATGTTGAAGTGCTTCATGAGCAGCAGGTCGCGCTTGAGAAACTCATACGGTACTGCACGTCCGGAGTCAGGGTTGTGCTCGTGGCGGTTGACGCCGCGGAACTTGACGGGCTCGCCGTTGATGCTGAAGACGCCCTTGATGAGCTCGGTGCGTCGGAAGCCGACCCGTTGGACCAAACTGCACTTCTTGAAGTTGAGGACGAGCGTGTACAGGTACGGCGTCTCGGCGGTCCACTTGTGCGGGTTCTTGACGCGGATGTCAAAGCTGTTGTGGCGGTCAAATATCTTCATATCCTTGGCTATGAGCTTGCCGTCGGCATCGAGGAGCTTCATGTCAACGTAGGCGCCGCGGTCCAGCTCGACGTCGACCTTGAGGGTGGCGTCCTTGTAGTCGTCGTCGAGCAGAGTGTGGACGTGGTAGTCCACCGGGTGAAATTTGGGAAAGGCATGGAGGTAGACGTCTCTGAAGATACCGCTGAGCCACCACTGGTCCTGGTCCTCGAGGTAGGTGCCGTCGCATCTCTGGTAGACCTCGACTGCGAGGACGTTGTCTTCGCCGATCTTGACATGGTCCGTCACGTCGAATTCGCTGGGATTGCGGGCACCCTGAGAGTAGCCGACTTCCTTGCCGTTAACCCAAACGGTGAAGGCGGAATCGACACCTTCGAATCGAAGTCTGAGCTGGTGGTCCGCAAAGTCGTCTCTGACCTTGAAGGTTGTCACATGTCGGCCGCACTCATTGTCATCGTAGGGGATGTTGGGGGCGTCCACTGGCCAGGGGAAGTTGAGGTTGGTGTATTGCGGACCCTTGCCGTAGCCCTGGCACTGCCACATGCCAGGGACGACAATGTCGTCCCATTCGGACGTGTCAAAGTCGGTCTTGTAAAAGTCCCGAGGTTCATGGAATGGCGATGTGGTCAGATGGAACTTCCATTTTCCGGAAAGGAGCTTGGACTTGGACTTGGAGGTGTCCCTGGTGAGGGCGTCCTCTTCATTATTGTACAGGAAGAAATAGCTGCGGGGCGGGAGCGTGCCGCGATGGATGACCTTGAGGTTGCTCCAGTCCGGCAGACTCTGGGGAAAGGTGTGCGTGGGGGCCTTTTCGGCGGTGGTGGTCTGTTGTCCAGACGGGCCGGCGCTGGATGAGTCGTCACTTGACGAGCTACCCAGGCGGCGATGACGGCCTAGCTTTTCCATGTAGACGCTCAGATGGAGGTCGGTCTCGGAAGAGATATTGACGTAGTCATCGGAGATTTCGGACATGGCGATACGAGGTTCGGCACCGGCAACCGAGGTGGAGGGCGATGCGACTATGCTGTCAGGTACGGCGAGAAGGGGTGGAGAGACAGAACGGAGCCAGTGGAGACACGATGAACGGAGATGAGATATTGACGGGGGCGGGCACGCAAGGAAGATAGTGTACACGATAACGAGCTGTCTAGCGAAAGGTGGATGGGGGCGGGTTGTAGTTCACGAACGGCCCTATCAATGGTGGAGGAACAAAGAGGGAGATGGAGATGGAGACGAAGATGAAGCTGGAGGTTGGAGCTGTGTTTGGAGCTCGGCTCGGCGGGAAGCGAGTGAGAGCTTTGGCACACTGATGTCTTGTCCGTCTCACAAACAGGTTCCGAGCTCTGGGTGTCTGTCCAAGTCAGGAACGTCACCTGAGACGGTGCAGCGTCTGGGAGTGCGGGGAAATCACGAGGGACCTGCTGCAAGGGGAAGTATTGGGGGAAGCGGGGTAGCTGGTGATTGGCCGTGGTGAGGTCGAGCTGGCTTATGTAATGCTTCAGAGTTGGAGTTAGAGCATTGAGGCCTGAGGATAGAGGGGCGAGGTCGGGATCCAGAAAACAAGACGCACGTGACCGTCGGTGCTCGATTCTTGGGGGTTTGCGAGTCTCGAGACGAACACCCGGACGGGCACTGACTGAGCGCCCAGCCGGGATTAGTTCGGCTATTGTCGGTTGTGTGACCGAGGTGGCCTGGAAGAATGCTCATTGTGATGCCATCGCCGACGTGCCTCGGACAAGAGTCCTTGGCGGCGACAGAAGTAGCTGTGGATGTCGCCGTCTTTTTTTCGTCTGCTGCACCATTGTCTTTTTCTGTCACTGACCACCAACTTCCCGACCCTCGTGTGCCTTACTACGAGCCTTTCACCTCCCGTTCTAGACCAGCTCTCGAGTCAGGCTCGGACTCCATCCGAGAATTTCTCCATCGCCCACCAGCCAATGATCGCGCTGTCTGCGTCTCCTCGTGCGGTGCCTTCCGCCGTGGGTTGTGTGGGAGCAAACCCCAGGATCCATGATTCCCCCAGTCGGGGCTAGCGCTGAGAGAGGCCTCGGCTTTCGACCCCGTCTGGGGATCAGGAGTCTCCGCATCGGACTCCATCCGTTGCTTTCGGAAAAGGGTTTTCTTTCTCATTTTTCTCTCGAGTTCTTTCCCAGCCTCATGCCGCAGGTTGGCCTCGGCATTCTCCCTGTCGTCGATGGTTTGTGCGTTTCGATCTGTTGCTGTGCCGCACCCGCGACGGCTTTATATTAAATGATCGAACTTGGCGGACGTTGTGCCGGGTACCGCTCCGGGGACTGGATCGGTTTGCAGCCACCACACACCGTTGTTGGTTCGCCCGCGCCTTGGCTGATGCCACCACCATCCGAACCGGACACGCTTTCGCGTGGTTCCCCTCAAAAGCACCCATGTTGGCCCTTTGGTGCATGTCAAGTCGACATGGTTCGACTACGCGAATCATACGTCGCATTTACGACGCCAGGTTCTGACTTCCCCCTCGTAGTTTGGAGGAGAAATGGGGTAAGCCAGCCCATTGAGGACACGATACGTGCGGGGATCCAAGGATTGGCAGCCTTTTCAATATGCTAAAACCACTTAATGCATTTAGTATGAACCAACTATACATCCATATCATTTCCTGACGGTCATGTTCCATGTCACACAGAGTAGTCGCTGGGAGAGAAAAACAGTCCACGTGCCACGGCTCCGTCTTCCCCGTGCGAAGCAGCCCAATGCCTGGCCTGTCCTCGAGCGATGTGGAGACGGCCATCGAACCCCCGTAATCCTGGGGGGGGGGTTAGGGTGTAGGGTGTGGGAAGATAGAGATGTCATGTAACGGTGGCTAGTCGAGTCCCGGCCCCATGGTCGGATCCGTCGTTGACTGATGGCCGGCTGGCCCTGTCTTGTTGATCGAATGCCTCGGCCGGGGTTGGGTTTCTCTTGCTTTAAAGAGGCCATCATCCCTCCCGCATTTATCTTCCGCGTCTTGTGTTTCCCCTTTCCGTCGTTCTCTCAAGCGACCTCACAAATTTGCGTTGCGTTCAATCGCAACCCCAAGTCACCATGGCTACCCTCCAAGAAACCAAATCCAACGCCGAAGTTGAGCATGACAACACGCCGTTTGACGAGAAGGCCGCCGCCGGCGAGGTGAAGGAGATCAATGCCGCCTCCGTCGCCCTTGCGGCCGCCTTGGCCGAAAGACCGCCCAATATTTGGTCACCCAATATGATCAAGTTGTACTTCATCGTTGCAATTGGCTATCTCGTGAGTTCTTCTTTCTTCTGTCCTTGGCGTCTTTTCAATCGGTTATGGACAAACACAATCTAACATTGAGGCAATCATAGGTTTCAACAATGAACGGATTTGGTTAGTCGACCCGGACTCTCGCGCATCGTGTATGGAGGAGACGCTAACATACAACAGACAGCTCCCTCATGGGAAGTCAAAACGCAATGCCTCAATATCAAAAGACCTTTGGCCTCTCCGGCGCCGGCTCGACCACTGGTATCGTCTTCATGATCTACCAGGTCGGTCAGGTAGCCAGTTTCCCATTCTGCTCTCCATTGGCCGATGGCTACGGGCGTCGTATTTGCATCTTCGTCGGCTGCGCAATCGTCCTCATCGGCACCGCCATCCAGACACCCGCCAACTCGCTCGGACAGTTCATTGCGGGAAGATTCGTCCTCGGCTTTGGCGCCTCTCTTGCCTCTGCTGCAGGCCCTGCCTACATCGTTGAGCTTGCGCATCCCAAGTACAGAGGAACTATGGCTGGCGCTTACAGTAAGTAGAAATCTCTGAGCTACCCGCACGTATGGGCAATACCTTTTGTAAATTGGGCTTTTCGCTGATCAACATTCATTGATTAGACACCTTCTGGTGGCTGGGAAACATTCTCGCTGGATGGACCACGTATGGGACGAATGAGCACCTCGAAAGCAGCTGGGCTTGGAGAATCCCCACACTCGTCCAGGCTGGCATGCCCGCTGTCGTCATGTGCTTCATTATGTTCTTCCCCGAGTCTCCCAGATGGCTGATCTCTCACGACCGGGCTGAGGAGGCGCTTGCCTTCTTCGCAAAGTACCACGGCGATGGCGATGTGAACTCACCTGTTGTGCAGCTTCAGTACCATGAGATTGTAGAGGATAACCGTCTAACCAAGGACGAGAACCCGTGGTGGGACATGCGGGAGCTGTTCAACACTAGAGCAGCTCGGTACCGGCTTCTCATGGTGATTGCCATGGCGTTTTTCGGCCAATGGAGCGGAAACAACGTTGTGTCTTACTTCATGGTATGTCTGGTTCCTTTGGAAAACAGCCAGCTCGGAACAAAGTCACTGACACATGCAATAGCCTGAGATGTTCAAGCAGGCAGGCATCACGAGCGATAGTACCCAGCTGCTGCTTACAGCCATCAACCCTATTTTTTGCCTTATCGCAGCAATCTACGGCGCTACATTGCTTGACAAGCTCGGCCGACGATTCATGATGTTGACGGGCCTGGCTGGCTCCCTCATCTCCTATGTCTTATTGACAGCGTTCACCGCCGAGTCTGAGAAAAATCAGAATCTTTCTTACGGTGTCATCGTATCCATTTACGTCTTTGGCATCTGTTTCTCTTGGGGTTTCACTCCTCTTCAAACACTTTACGCTGTGGAGTGTTTGGAGAACCGCACCCGTGCCAAGGGTTCCGCGATGTCGTTTCTCTTTTTGAACATCGCTATTATCATCAATACCTACGCAATCAGCGTTGCCATCGAGAAAATAGGATTTTGGCTGTATGTGGTATACATTGGTTGGATTTGCGTGGAGATGGTGATCATTTATTTCTTCTTCGTTGAGACCGCGGGCAAGACTCTCGAAGAACTCAAGTCCATTTTTGAGGCACGCAACCCGAGGAAAGAGTCAACAAAGAAGACAAAGGTTGCTGTCGACGAGGCTGGAAATGTTTTAAGTGTTGGCGAGTCCACGTCTGGACTTTAGAATGCTCTTAGAGCCTAGGTTGTTAGCTGGACATTAGTACTTAGTGATAAAGGTGTGATCACTTGCCCTGGCTCCTCAATAAAATTCAATCTGTCGCAACGTCAATTCGTATGTACTAAATTCAAACATGAACTAACAGTCGTAGCTAATGCTCTTTTGGGAATGATAACTTAGAAAACAATTGATGGCTTTCTGTGATTGCTGACAAACGTAATCGCTCAGGACAGTCTGACCCTGCGTCTACTGTAGTCTTAAGAAGATAGTCCACACAGAGCCTCAGGCTACTGGCTAGAACCTGATTGATAGTGAATGGAAGTTGCAAGTGTCCACCACAGGCAAGCTTTTGGTAGCTGCGGTCAATTGCCTGTTTGGCATTGAACTATAATCAAAGAAGAAGACATAGGAAGTGACAAGGCTAGTAACATTCTCAACCTTGATGACATCATGGTTGGCCTCAAAAAATTTGTACGAATTTCAAAAGCGACATGCTTCGGCTTTATAAGCCACCCTCTGCGTGTGACCAGACCTCACGCCTATGAGCCAGAGTCGTATAGGATGAGAATAACAATCGCTGAATCTCTTCTCACGCCCCTCCCTCAATGATTTCCAGCCCTTTGCTCTCTTCTTGCTACGTTCCAAGCCACGGGAACGACTGTGGTTTCAATGTTGTACCGAAGAATGCAACCCCACATAAGTAATCCCGATGAGGTCCGCCAATGAGCGCTTTCCATTCCCGCTCTCTGGGCTCTCTGGGCATCTGAGTGAGCGTCGCCCACCCCGATCCATCTCTTCCCGATTTGGCCATCTACCGCATCCCACTTCTGGCCTGGTCCCGTGTCACCCAGCCTGCTCTTGGGGGAAACAGATCCTCAAGGATCCGAATCTTGGAGCATGCCACAGACATAAAAGTTGGGCGTAGCTCCATGTCCTTTCCGGCGTAGCATAATTTATAGGGCCTGGGAAGGGTAACGAAAGGTTCAGGAATCAGAGAGACCACCGAGACTACAAAACAAATGCAACAAATAGGAGACGTGCAGGCAATATAAGAAATCCAGGTGCACAAAACCCAATGTGTTCGTGTTGTCTCTTCCCGCCTCAAGGGCTGCTGCCGCCCGTAGTCTCTTACAGGACCTCACGCTACATGCTAGCATGTGTGCCGATTCGCGTCGGCCACAGGAAATGAACCGTAGCCACGGGAATGCGGGCAACGAATCCTAGACGGCTTTTTAGTCTTCGTTGGAGGAACCAAGCCCCCTTGCACCACGGTACCCCAGTAACTGCAGAAGGCGCCTAGACCACTTGGTAACAACCATGTGATGCCCCGGGTGACAGGCTTCGCTTCCTTTTCAGGCTTTCAAGATATTGGGACGAGCAGACACACAGGGTTTGACCACCGTCATGGTTCCTGGGACCTGCGCCCAAATGAACCATTGCCGCCAAGTTCTTGATACCCCTCACTCCAGGTTCCCCAAACGGAAGCATTCCTTCCTTCAAGGGCAAACGGGTGTAGTGCGTCCGGCCAGTCGGGACGCTTTGGACGGCAAGCTCACCCGACCTGACATGTCAGGGTCTAATTGATTGATGGAAATTTGAGAGTACAGTCTTCACTCGCCTCATTCCGGAGAGGCGGAGTCACAATGATGAGCTCGATTTCACAATACCAGGAACGTGATTATCCGCTTACACTGTTGCGACCTTGAGTGCTGTTTGGGGTTCCTGCAAAGGAACCGGTGTGAGGAAATTGACTATTCACTTTCTTCATTTATAGTACCGGGTTAGACCCTCGCCGTCGATCTTTTTCTTTTCTCCTTCATCCCCATAAACCCAATATCACCTTCGACATAAACCTGGAGGCCACTTCTGTGCCACTTTTTTGACAACTCGTCTTTTTAGACAGCAGTCATTGGCCCAAGATGAGGTACTCTAATCTTCTCCTGGCTGTTTTTGCGGCTCCGATCCAGGCAGCCTTCAGCTGGAAGAACGTTAAGATCGGTGGTGGGGGCGGCTTCGTCCCATCCATCGTGTTCCATCCTACAACCAAGGGCGTTGCCTATGCTAGGACCGACATTGGTGGTCTCTACCGCCTTAATGCTGATGACTCATGGACTCCAGTCACCGATGCGAACAACTTTGCCGACGATGCTCACTGGAACCGATGGGGTGTTGATGCGCTCGCATTGGATCCTCAAGACGATAAGAAGGTGTTCATAGCCGTCGGGATGTACACGAACAGCTGGTAAGAATAACTTTAAGCTTTTTGAGCAGGTTGAACTACCTGCTTATTCCTCTCTAGGGATCCCAACAATGGGCAGATTGCGCGCAGCTCGGACAGGGGTGCAACATGGTCCTTTGCCGACCTACCCTTCAAGGTAAGGCTGCACGGAATATTCAACATTGAACTGGACCGACTAACTAACACGAACACCAGGTTGGCGGTAACATGCCCGGGAGAGGAAATGGAGAGCGTCTTGCAGTTGACCCAAAGAACTCCAATATTGTTTACTTCGGTGCCCGAAGTGGTAACGGGCTCTGGAAGAGTACCAACGGAGGTAAGTTCTATCAAGTCTCAACCACAAAAAAAGATTTCTAACTTTCTCCAGGCGCAAGCTTTTCAAAGGTTTCGTCCTTCACTGCCGTTGGCACATTTCGTGCTGGACCTGCTAGCGATGAGTACAGCGGCGACATCCAGGGCTTGAACTTCGTCACCTTTGATCCTACTTCCGCTGCTGTGGGCGGTGCCACTTCCAGAATTTTCGTCGGCGTTGCCGAGAACGCCACATCTTCCATTTACGTCTCCAACGATGCCGGCTCTACTTGGTCCGCTGTCGCTGGCCAGCCTGGCCGATACTTCCCTCACAAGGGCAGGATTCAACCTACCGAGAAGGTGAGTTCCGTGTTGAATGATTGGTATGCTAGTAGACTGACAACTAGGCAAGGCTCTGTATGTCAGCTACTCTGACGGAACTGGTCCTTATGACGGCACTTCCGGTGCTGTTTGGAGATATGACATTACCGCAGGCACCTGGAAGGACATCACGCCCGTTGCTCCTGGCCCGGACTTGTACCACGGCTTCGGTAAGTCAAAAAAACTTCCTCAAGCTTCTCTTCCTCCACCTGCGATCGATTAGGTGTCCTTCCTGGTCCTCTACCGCCCAACTGTTTCTTTGCAGAGGAAGACATTAAAGAGTGAAGAATCGATATTAATTAGACGTAGGTGGATTGGGTTTGGACATCCAAAAGCCAGGCACTCTGGTGGTGGCATCTTTGAACAGCTGGTGGCCCGATGCGAAACTTTTTAGATCAACCGACTCCGGTGCCACTTGGAAACAAATCTGGACATGGGGAACCGACGGTAACCAAAATTTGAGCTACATTCAGACTTCACCCAAGGTATGAGGTTTGCCAACGATCGAGAATTTGAAGGTTTGTAACCCAATTGCTGACATAATCTAGGCCCCATGGATCAAGACCAACTTTCTCGACGTTGATACCAAGGACCTGGGTTGGATGATCGAGTCCCTTGAGATCGACCCTACCGACTCCAACCACTGGCTGTGGGGTACTGGTCTAACCATCTTCGGCGGCCGAGATCTTACCAACTGGGACACTGGGACCAAGGTCAACATCCAGTCCCTGGCAGACGGCATCGAAGAGATGGCCATCCAGGAGCTCGCTAGCGCCCCAGGTGGCTCAGAGCTCCTGGTCGCCACCTACGACAACAATGGATTCACTTACAAGGCCCGCAGCAACATCGATACGTCGCCCCAAACCACCTGGACCACCCCTATGTGGGCCAGTTCCGTGGGTGTCGATTACGCCGGCAACAAGGTTGCCAACGTGGTCCGTATCGGCAACGTCGCCGGAACTCAGCAGCTGGCTGTGAGCTCCGATGGCGGCGTTACTTGGAATGTCAACTATGCCGCCGGAACTACGCAGTACGGCGGCTCCGTCGCCTACTCAGCCGACGCCGACATCATATTGTGGTCGACCGCGACCCTAGGCGTTCAGAGAAGTGCCAACCAGGGCTCTCTTGCTGTGGTCTCCAGCATCCCCGCTGGCGCCATTATCGCCAGCGACAAGCGCAACAACACTGTCTTCTACGGTGCCTCTGGCTCCAGCTTCTATCGCTCCACCAATCTCGGAGCGACCTTCTCCACTGCAGGTTCCCTTGGGTCAGCCACTGAGATCCGCCACGTCGAGGCACACCCAGCCAAGGCAGGCGATGTCTGGGTGTCAACCGACGCCGGCATCTTTCACAGCACTGACTACGGCTCCTCCTTCGCTCAGGTGTCCACTGCCCTCACCAACACTAACAAGGTTGCCCTCGGCAAGGGCTCCGGCTCGAACTGGAACCTTTACGCCTTTGGCACCGGCTCAGCAGGGAGACGTCTCTACGGTAGCGCTGACCTTGGGGCATCCTGGACGGACCTTCAGGGATCCCAGAGCTTCGGTGCCATCGACAGCGCTAAGCTCGCCGGCTCCGGCAACGAGGAGAATCTGGTCTACGTCGGTACTAATGGACGTGGTGTCTTCTATGCCTCAGGCGCCATTTCTTCGTCTGGTAACGGGTCGACCTCTGTTACTCCGACATCAACTAGCAGGGTATCAAGCAGCAGCTCAGCTGTGGTCGTGACCTCTTCAACTTCCTCCGTTAGGACTACTTTAGTGACTTCCACTTCCGCCGTCCGGACCTCAACCAGCACCACCCCAGTTCCCACGGCGACCAACTTAGCGAAGCAGTATGAGCAGTGCGGTGGCTCGGGTTGGAAGGGCCCAACCCAATGCGTGCCGCCGTATACTTGCAAGGTCACAAACGAGTGGTATTCTCAGTGCCTATAGGCACCAGCTAAGGTGGAGGCGAACGACGCCTGAGATGGTACATTGTGTTGCAGTGTCTAGAAAGCCACGGGGAGATCTGCATACTCAGTTTACTTGCAAGATATCTGGTAGTTGAAGAGAAACTTCCATGGTCGTGTTTGTATTCCTGAATTGAATATTCGCCAAGATGCATAACTCCCGTTAGTGGTGTGTTGGAGGTCCAGAATTTTCCATCTGAAGTTTACCACACGTCAATTTGACGTCGGCCGCGTAGCAAGACGGAGAATTCCCCAACAATAACATTCTAAAAGATGGCATCGTTACATTGGCTCGCATTCCGTTTGTAGTTATCGCAGATAAGTGGTGATAACCTTGCCTGGTCTTCGCACCTGCCATTGCAAAATGAGAATACCCATAGCCCGAAGGTTATACTTTGATGGCCTCAGTTTCCTTCCTAACAGAATCTAAAAACTCAACTCTACCAAAATAGACTACACTGTCCTTTGGTTCTGGTGTGAGAATCAATAGTCAGTAAACAGTGCAATTGGACCGTTTTGACCTCCTCTACCGCACTACGGATGTACACTAATTTATGTCTCCACCAGAGGCCGGCCGGCTTGTGGCTCCACCTCCCCGACACGCCTCCCGAAAAGGGTAAAATCATATTGAGTGTTGGTCTCTCAACAAATAAATCCAGGCCTGATGTGAGGCGAGAAACTCAGCTCGATCTCCGAACTGCCTGATGAGTGATAAACTTCAGAGGCTGGAAATGATGGCGAAAATGATGCTATTAGAGGGGTAAGACACCAAAGCTGATAACAAGTGACGGGATGTTCAGTCGTGTCCTTGTTAGCCTTAGCTTCCGAGAACGAAAGCGTTGTTACTTCCACGTACAGAAATCACAGTGTGGAAGGTCGTTCGTTCTGGCCTTGCCTTCCATACAACATTTCGAACTAGACGCACGATGTGGACCACGACATTGGGCCCCCACGTTGCCGATCAATCAATCGCATCCACTGTCCGATCTCGCTCCAACGTGGGCCCTGTGCAACTGAACTAATCTGGAGTCTTGAGCTTCCCCTCTTCCCCTCTTTCAGCAACAATCAAAATAGCGCCGTGGTTGATGCTAAGGCAGTGAGAGAACTGCTCCTCTTGGATCGTTGTCGAAGACTTATTTCCATCTATCAGATAAATAAGAGTTGACAATGGCCTCGAATACATCAAGCAGTGTCAGCGATAGCTTAACTGCTTTCTATGCAAAGTGAGGCATATCAATCTTTTATTCTGGACCTCCTCATGGCCTGCATGCTGATCCCTGTTAGAGTCGATGAGCTTGAGAGCATCTTTATTGAAAGTAAGTAGCCAAACATCCATACCTCGGACCAAGCACACTGGGTGTATGAACCAAAGCACAAAGTATACTCACACCCCAGTATCTTACAGGGCTCGGAGATGCAGTCCAGATTCCGTCCATCTCTGCCTACGCAGATCGGAGGAAAGATGTGTTTGAGGTACGAAGCAAGAAGCCTATTCATGCCTACAAACATTTCAAGAAGCCCTTATTTGTAAAATTGTGAGGACTAAGTGCAAGACAGATGAGTGAATGGGTTGCCGCCAAAATGAGAGCTGTCGGAATCGATGTTACACTCAAGAATCTTGGCGAGCAAAAGGGTACTAATCTCCAGCTTCCGCCCTTAGTACTCGGACGATATGGAAAAGACCCAGAAAAACCAACAGTTCTCGTATACTGTCATTATGATGTTCAACCTGCCTCGATTGAAGACGGTTGGAAATATGATCCATTCGTAATGACAGTCGAGGAAAGTGACAGGCTCTGCGGTCGCGGCACTTCAGATGACAAGGGTCCTCTGGTTGGATGGATCAACATGATAGAGGCTTTCCAAAAAGTTGACATGGAAGTGCCAGCGAATTTGGTTTTTTGTTTCGAGGGAATGGAAGAACACGGGTCATTCGGCCTCCGAGAGGCTTTGGAGGACGAGGCAGACAAGTATTTCTCTGACATCGATGTTGTCTGCATCGCCGACGTCGTTTGGGTCAGCGACGAGCAAATCAGCATCCCGCAAGGGTTGAGAGGAATCATCTTCTATTTGGTCACCATCACGGGCGCGAAGCAGGATGCTCACAGCGGCGGCTTTGGTGGCCAGATCTCCGAGCCAATGGTCGATATGGTGAACATTATGTCTTCGTTGGTGGACCCGAATGGGAAGATTTTGATACCTGGAATCTACGACAACGTCCAACCAGTCACAGAGAAGGAGCACGAGAGCTATAAGAAACTGAATATCTCTGAAGACTCCCTTTACGGTGGCACTGGAGGAAGGAGCCTTCACGATAATCAGGCTGATGCCTTGATCGCTCGGTCAGCTACAGCTCCACGATTTATTTACCATGCTCATTGAACTTACACGTAACAGATGGAAGAAGCCTTCTCTTAGTCTACACCGGATTGAGAACGCCTTACCAGGTGCTGGAGCTGTCACCTCGATTCCTGCCAAGCTAGTAGGCAAGTTCAGCATTCGAACTGTGCCCTTCATGAAGGCGGAAGAAATCGATCATATTGTACGGAAGTACATTCATGACCGTTTTAATAGCCTCGGAAGCAAGAATGATATTGAGATTGAAGCGCACCCGAATGACTGGTTCTACGAGGATGCCAGTCATTGGAATTATCAAGCTGCAATTCAGGCAACCCGGAACGTCTGGGGTGTTGAGCCAGCAATGACGTGTGAGGGCGGAAGGTAAGTGCAGATTTTCACTGTTGAAGACCACGACTTTACAGCTAACATCATTCTAGTATACCTATCGCCCTAGACTTCAAGAAGATCCTAAAGAAGAACGTTTTGTTGCTTCCTGTCGGTCGTCCTACGGATGGACACCACAGTACTAATGAAAAGCTGGACAAGAGCAACTAGTGAGTGACTCTTCTGTGTCTCAGCTTCAAATTATGTGGCTAACGTTGTAAAAAAGCATCAACGCCATCAAACTTTATGGATCTTATCTAAAGGAGGCAGGGTCTTTGTGGCGTGAAAGTAAACAGAAGATGTAAATGATCATCTCAAGGTTCCGAAACTTACTATCATTAGTATTCTTGTAGTGATTATCTAAGGAGCAGAACAGAACATGGGCAAAGTACACTCCCGAGTTGATGCAGTCTAGTTTATGGAGGACACAGACGAGTAGATTACCATCTCCAACTATTGCAAACCCCAACTTTTCTAACGATGGGAACGTGAACTTCTGGATTGTAGGGCATTTACTCTAATTTTGATTGCCAGAATGTTCATGATTCGCACTTGTCACTTGGTCACTCCATGCTGTATTTGCTCATCAGAAGCTTTCTTCATGCAGACGTGACAAACAGTCCCCGCCACTTTCTGTACTGCTTCTACAAGGACGGTTTCATGATGCTGTCTTTATTATTCATGCTGATGATTTCCCCACAAAATCAATCTGCATAAAGACCATCAATACAGCCGTATACCTGAGTAAGAGGGAGTCTGGTCAGTAGACGTTTTTAAATCATATACGAATCATACATACGCTGCCGTCGCTGCCAAAGTATCAAATGGCTTTGCAATGGTGACTGTCGATACAAGGGCAAGGAACAGTGCGACAAATGCACTAATGACACCAAGCCGTTCAAGTTCTCCAGAAACAAAGACCAAGATCCACAATGGTGCTACCAACATCAAGAAACCAGCTACAATAACGATAGCTGTGATGAACTTTTCGATCTTGCGGTCGTTATAGTATCGAGTCAACTCTGGATCGTAGAAATCTCCGCTCTAATCACTGCCTTCCAGCCCTGGAGAACCCAGATTGAGAGACCTATACTCACAGGCCGTATGCTGAATAGCGGACTGAGGTCAAAACCGGAGACTCGCTCTAGTGCTCGCCGCAGTGGGCTTTTGGTTTTGGGGACTATCGAAATCAGATCGTCCTTCTGGTCGACGAATGAGGACTCCGACTGGTCAATAGCTCCCGGGTTGGCGAAGAACCAGTTCTCAATATTTTCAACATCTCTTCTCTGAGCCTTGGGCAGGCTAGACAGTTGCGAGCACCTCAAAACATGCTCATCTATCGTTATTAAATTGACGTTCTGCAAGTAATATTTGAAATGATTGGATTCTTTACCATAGTCTTGCAGGGCTTTATGGAGCTCACAAAGTATTTTTGCCCGTCGCTTAATTGGCTCTTCCCTGAAAGAACCATTGTTGAAATCTGGCCCAGCACCGTCACTGCACTGTCGGTCAATACGGTCTAATTCTTCTTCCAACCTGGCCACTGAATCTTGCAGCCAGAGAAGAAGCCGTGCATGAATGTGACCGAATCGACGGACAATGAGGAAGTCTTGGTCCGAAGCCAGTAAGCGGGAGAAGACATTATATCCTGAATATTTCCATGGTTTCAGTTGTCGCTCTTCTATCGTGGGTATAACCCAAGCCTCTTCTGGAGACCGGCTTGACCGAGGTGACTTTACCCCGTCAGTGAGTTGCGCCGTTTGAATGACGTCGATATGCATCAAGGATGGTGATGGCGACATTGAACTGGCATTTCAGTGTGTCAAATTGACGGGCTTTTGGGGTAGAGATGAAATTTGGGTCATGTACGTGGTGAGAACGAACGTTGAGGTCCAAGATTTGTTTGCAAAACACGGTCTTAGAGAAGCCCGAACATCGAAAATGTGCGATGATTTGTGCAAGTTCATTTGAGTTAGGTGAGATCCAGAGCTCATGACTTAAGACAGATTTGCTGTGCTGATGGCCTAATGCAGGGCTGCATGAGGCGGAGCTCGGCAATGGCATAAAGCTGAACATCGGCAGGCCTCCTATGTGGTGACCTTTCTGCTGACTGGTCGCTCTAGCTATGTATCGACACCGCCTCTCTGCTCACAGCCCCCCCCATTCTTCCGACACGAAAACCAGATCGGACAGCAAAGATACCGCCCTATTGGAGACTCAAATTATATATAACAACGCCAGCCGCACACTGCAGCATGTAGCTTACCTTCTCGGGGAATCAAAACATCACGACTGCAAACACTAGCCAATATGAGAGCAACAGCACCACGTCTCGGAGCCCGTATTCTACGGCCTGTCATGATGCCACCGCGTCCGTTACCACCCCCCCGACCGCCAGCATCAAGGCACGCAACCACAAGTGGGGCTACTCTCTTATCACACTGCGGTATCTCCTTCGGCACAACAAGAACAACTAAACAATCTCTCGCAATAAGTATTGGCCGCCACGCACGCTTATCACACGCATACACGCATGAGCACGACACTGTTTACTATGAACAACCTGCCAAAGTCCTCATGCGAAAAACTGGTCGTAAACTGATGAACTTCGAGTGGCCCTCTGCTTGGACTTTTGCGAATCCTGCACGTAAGCTGCCCTACCGGTTTGTGTATACTACAATGAACATCAATTAACGTCTGGCAGACGCAATCTACGATTGTAAAGTCTTTTCCAACTTGGTCGCTTGGCGTCTATCGTCCCAGTTCTCTGGAAGGAAACTTGATTGCAAGGTTGCATTGTTGAACCGTATGAGTTTCATCATGTAGTTAACTAAACATCCAACTGGATCAGCTCTTTTGCCTTTGGCCTATGGCGTTTGGTTACTTTACGGGTTCAAAACAATTTGTCGGTTTTCACTCTGAATACTCGCAATTTTGGCGACTTGAAGTACATAAAAGAGGCAGTATTCCTGCTGGGGTATCTTGTAGCCCATACGACTATTTTGGCTCAACGAATAACTAATTATTGGCCGCCAGCCTCAACGTCTATAGACAGACTCACAGGCTGTGTAAAAAAAGCGATTCCGCGACACCTACGATCGGACTTTTGGTCGACAGGGACAAGCATGAGCCCTGTGTTTGTTTGATCGTTATAGTAGCTAGCGGCACTTTGCGTGCCTTACGCTAAAAACATCCTTGGCTCGCGCAGGTGCGATGAAAAACTTGTGATAGATCTTATGCAAAGGTTAGCATCTTGATTTTCAAAAACATTACAACCGAAGCAACCCATTGCATTGTGAGGAGACTCTTGTTCATGTGTCTCAAAACCCAGAGCAAGGATGTTTCACGGCTGCGAATCAGCGAGCCCCATGCATTGGCGCCTATTCCAGGTGTCGCTGTTGGTGTTGGTGTTGTAATCGTACGTTGGGACGGCCGCTGCGGGAGGCCGACCATCACCAGCAAGGGGCCTGCAGTCATGGCATTATGGACGTAGTCAGTATAAAACCCCTGGTGTGTTCGTCCTCCAACGATAAGGTTTCAAGAAGTTTTGATTTTTTCGCTTCGAGCTCTGATATCATCTTTCTTCGAAATGGCCCACACTACGGAGGAGCGTCAGCAAGTCTATCGCATGTGCAGAGCGTTGTTCAGCGGCGATGGTGCGCAATTACGACAAAAGAAACGGGTCCGCAAGGTCCTCGTCAAGAACAAAAGTTCTCTTCAACCTCTTTTCGAAGGGATGGGCGAGGAGAAGCTTGTTATTATTGCCCAGTTTTTGTTGGAGAATCGGGTCTTTGAATCCGATCTTCAAGCCATGCTTATGTTTCCCGATCTCTTCCGTACCTCCCCGCGACGCGATGCACAGCGAGAGGCATCGGAAGCCGACGCAGCGAAATCAGTTGCAAATGCATTGGTGGATATGACTCATTCCGAGGACGAGGATCACGGGCTCGCCGCGGTCGTTGACCCTACGGAAGGTGACAAAAGACACCCAGTTGAACCTGGTCAGAACGATAAAGGTCCGTCAGAGTTATCCATACTTCTAGTGAAAAACTAATGAAGATTCAGCTGTCACAACACCACCATTCCTACTGCATCCCATCGTCCCGTCACTCTATCCGTCATACCTCACATACAGCACGCAGCATGCAATCTTGACGAACGCTCAGAAGGCCTTGGAAGAGTGCTGCTTCGACTTCGCAAGTCGATGGTTTCCAGATGCCATTCAACAAAAGGGCTGGGACTGCGCCTCAGCGGTTGAACTAACAAAATGGTCGAGTATATTCAACAAACAAATGTCAAGGCTTCCTTCGCACGCAATCGCTCCTCTTAGCGCACCCGTTACGGAGGTCCTGTTCTCAACCCATGAGTTGCGTCACACAGCCGTTCACAGGCTTCCCACGCCGGCTCGTGGGATCAGCCAAATGCTGAAAGCGGCCTTGAAGCTGGCAGAGACACTGCAAGACCATACCTGTGCTGTGCAACTGGACGAGCTGGCATCGCAGGTTGACAAGAAGATCAAGACAATGGAAATGACCAAGAATATACTGGAGGATCGTGCGATTACGCAGCTCGAGGCCATTCGCCGTCAGCGAGAAGAGCTCGATAAGCAGGAAAAGGGGCTGATTGAGGAAATGATGAAGGAAGATTGCGATCACAAAATGCTCATAGGTCGTCTTCTGGAAGCATCCGTAGAGGAAATCTTCGACAAAGAAAAATCTTATATTGTGGAAGCAGATGGGTCGGACGGTGCAGAGTTCGAGGAAGAAGTTGAGGTCCAAAAGCTCAACGGCTTCAAGGACACCATCGATGAAGCGGGCACTATCGCTGACGATGTTACTCACGAGCAGTTGGTCATTGAGCAATTCTACTTGTGAGTATGCAAGAAGCGAAAGGTTGGGACATCAGTCGAAGAGGATAATTCAAGTCTTGTGCGCAACACATTTCAAATTACTCAGATTGAGTAATAGGTCTATTTTTCTCCGAATTAAGATGCGAACTTTTGGGACGATAATCTACCCTAACCAAGCAAAACCACTCTTTCCTGCACCTACGTGGCATCCGAAGCTTACTATTCAGTTAAGTGACATACTTTCGCAAAAGTGTCTTCGTTTCACTGGACGCCTAGTCTTGTAGTCTGCCGCAATCCCGTCGCCGTGGCCGGAACCTCGATCGCAGTACTGACACCTGCTCGCCCAGAGGTAGCCGGAAGTCGTGCAAACCTGATAAAGGCATCCTTCTCCATCGACTTGGCTAGTCTCATCTTCTCGGCCTCTTCGGCCTTCATCGCTTCCTCTTCACTCGTGCTAGGATCTGTGTTGCATTGAGTGTCCATCTTGGGATCATCCCAGCGCAGGCCTTGCCGTCGATCCTTCTCTTTCTTGATGTTTTCCTTTAGCTCCGTAGTGGTGTCGAGTTGGACGGTGTACATTGGATTGCCGTTCTCACCCGACTTTGGTGCCATCCCACCAGGCTTGTAAAGTGGAATGGCTCTGCAAGCTGCCACCAAAGCGCAGTGAAACCTGTTGCTTCTCTGAGCACGGAGCTTGTCGTCAGACCAGTTGTTCCGATGATTAAAAGCCAACCGAAGCTCCATTTTGTTGAGTTCGTGGAGGTTGACCACGTTCAGGCCCAAACTATCCGGCACATAATCCCTCGAGTTTTCAGCGAGGAACTCCTCCAATAGTGTGCGAAGACGGACGATGTCCTTGAAGCTGGTGGTGAAATCCACAAGCATGGTGATGCCCTGACGATTGATGCCGGACCTTGAAAAGTTCTCAAGTCTCTTTTGCGACAGCCGATCGTTGGAGATTTGGAGGTCGCAGCCGTTATCGAGCCGTCGAAAGACAGTGTACAAGAGCGACTGTCGTTTGACAACGCATGTGGTGCTAGCAGTTGAGCCCATGTTGTAGACGCTTACCACGTCTCCGATGTCGTAAGGATGATCGAAGAAGACGAAAACGATTCCTACGAGGAGATGGTGAAACGTTCGGCCAACAGCAAACGAAAGACCAATGGCGAGACTCTGGAGGATTGCTTGGATCTGCTTGATGGCTGGCACATATGCGACCACTTGGAATGGATTAGTATGGCGTCTACGGAGGAACGTATCATGCATGACCTACTGATGAAAAACGTCATAACGGCGGCAAGAATTAGAAGGCAGAACCAGTCGAACGTGTTGATACAGTGGTCCATGTTGTTCATGTTGCGGTAGATATCGTGACGGGACTTACCGCCTTCGGTGACTATTCCAGTGAATTCTTCAATGCGGATATCAGGGCTGTTGTTTTCATTCAACGTCTTGAGAATCCGGGTTGCCTCGTCTTTGCGATGGGGGCCGAGAACTTCGATTATGTCATCGACCGTGAGGCCTGTTCTGTCTTTGGCAACAAGAGACAACCAAATGCGTCTTGCCAATGCCGCAGCCGAGACCGGGCTCGCCCAGCAACGCTCGATCACTGAGTAAGTACTTGCTGGACGTAACCAGTGGGCGTTGGGCTCGGCAGAAATGAAATTGCCAAAAAGGCTAGTCATTTTATATCCATCAATACCCAATCGAGCGAGGTAGCTAGAAACCCTGACTCGACCCGAGGGATTGGCCTCACCTTTGGCGTTGGCAATCACCATATCCTCCTTGGCAAAGAGCCCTCCGTGAGGTGGGTGCAGAAAGACTGAAGCGTCGTACAGTGTAATGAGGGCATTTTGTAGATCCTTGGTGCGGGTGAGTTTGACGTTGTTGCCTCGATAGTGATAATGGATCGCGATGTAGCATATCATGACCTTCTCCAACAAGTAGAAGCAGACCCAAAGAGTCAACTGTTGCAGAACATCGGCGACCACATCGTCCCAAGCAAATTCGTCTGGGGCTTTATTGATGTTGACAGCCAAAAGCGGGTTTTCGTTAATACACTATCAACCCAAACAAGCATTAGACTCGGACGCAATACAAAGCTTTTTCATACTTACAGCGGCAAAGAAGATGTATGTCACAATGGTGGTTCCAAGGAATGCAATTGGCCGTCGCATAAACTTCAAGACTCTCCAATATCTCTGATGGGCTGAGTTGGTATATCTAAGCTGGTTAGAAATGCTTACAGTGATGGATACTTGCCAGCTCAGCAACATACCTTGCAACAAATCTGAAGAGATAAGGAAGTCCCAGTCCGAGGAGATCGGAGCCAACAGCCCCTACCCAAGTGACTTCTAGCCACAGACAGATGTAGAACAAGAGGTCGTTGTGTTGCTTCGATGCAACGCTGCTGGCTATGTTGTCATCCTCGACGTCGGCATCATTACCCAAAGTGATGAGTGGTACGAGGAATGCCACGAAGATGACGATTACAACGGTCGCATACCGAAAAGCCCACCAAAACAGCGTCCGTCGATGGTGAGCCAAGATGATGGGTGGCATGTGTTGTGGAGAGTCATGTGGAGTGCCTTGATAGTCATTACGACTAGCGGCTTCCAGAGACCCTGGTACAGACTGATATGTTCTGGATTCCGCCCAACCTTTGACCATATAATCTTGGGTTGAGAATGGCTCAGTTTTCGAGGGCACGTATGGACTGTATGCCCCATTGTTTAGAGATTGAGAAGTCGAACCTAGAGGAGGGGGCTGAGTCAATGGCAAAATGGGCTCAGGCTGGTTGTCGGGGGCCTGCATTCGATAGGTCGGTGACATGCTGTCTCTAAAAGTCTGATCCATTATGTGTTCCTAACCGAAGAATTCATCAGCTGAGTAAATAAAGTGTTTGGGTGTGACCATCAAAATTGGAATATAGCTATGATCTTATGTCCTCGCCGTTGGGCCAAGCCTCAACTAAAGGTAAGCCTCAGGTTGAGGAGCTTCCCGCACTCATGTTTCGACACAAGCCACCAAATAAGACTCTGCTGGGGGAAATTCGTCTGCCCAGAAAATTGAGGCTTCAGGTTCAAGAACTACCACAGACGAAATGGATTTCAAGTTGTTGCCTACATAGTACGGTGATGAGAACTGAATCTATTGTCGCACGATCAAGCCTTGGAGCGATGCTACGCCGAAACTAGTCACTAGTGCTGATCCATCTACTCCCTCACGGAACCAATTCCAGGCGAAAAATCCGATTTCCGCTAAACGCCATGCATGTGCTCAAGACAGGCTGCTGTCGGTGGCGTAGGGCTGAAGGACGGGCTGGTCTCAGGCTGTGGAACGAAACGCCATATCGCATACCAAAGCGGTATCATACTTACCGATCTTCAAAAATGCAACGGCATTGACTCTCCTGTGCTAATCAAAGGTTTTTCAGATATTGAAAATTTTCATGCAATTTCTTGTCCTTAGAGTCCACTGAAACCCAAGTCTTCCTGAATTCGTTCTCAACTGGACATGATGACTCCTTGACCAACTCGCAGAGAAAACGTCGGATTCGGCGCTTTGTGCTTTTTGGCCAACCCTCAAGGATCTACGATTGGGAAACTGCAATGTTTATGCATTCATATTTTCGAACCAAATGTCCGCTCGTTTTAATGACATTTAGTGGTTGGTTCTCCTCAGATGCGTCCGCAACTTGTTTTCAGAGGCACCCAGCGTTGCAACGAATTGACCTGAATGCACTAAACTAACCAGGTGTGGAAAGTGGAAGGCTTGTTCGAACCCCCAATACTTTCTGCGTGCACTTTGGCTGCGTCAAACCATTCGTTCTCTTGAGGTTTTCCGAGACTGCTTTTATTGTCTGATGTTTCGGAAATGTTCATTATTTACTGGTTTCTTGCAGAATGTTGCTGTATCAGCAGAGTCTGCTTCACACCCAGTCCCCAGTAAATCATATTCAGCGAAAACCCTTGCGAAATTGACATTGCCGTTAACTACTGCGTCTAGATCAAATAACTGGTGTTTCATGCGACAAGATGGCCACACATTCTGGCCATGTGGTATACGCCTTATGGTGGGGCCAGCTGTCAAGGAAAAGGCGTGTCAAACGTCAAGACCGTGAACCGACGCAGACCGATACCACCGCGCCGGCCGGAGTGAGCGACTCGGAGCGCCGACCCCACACTGTCCCGAAATCAAGGTTCGTACGGTGATCTCCGTAGCCAATCAACGGCGGGCTGCAGCGAGATGCAATGATCAAATGTCAGCGGAATCCGACCGGACCTTGAACCCCGAGTCTTATCTCTCACCATTCACTTCCGTTGTTTGCGGGTAGAAGGATTAAAAGCAACAGTGATGCTACGGAGTTGCGGACACCAAAGTTGCATCGTGTCTTGCAACAATATACTGAGTTGAAGCGGCACCAATCCACGGCCTAGTTGCACGTTAGCGGATGTGATGTGGGACGGTCAGTATCGGCCCCACTGTTGCCACCCACCCCGGCCATCGAATTTTTTTTCTTTCCCGTTCAAGAGGATGACAAAAGGCGTGGGGCGAGCACGCAACAGGCGCTTGCTGGTTCCTTCAATGGCTCGCTGCTCTGCTGCCGCCGCCGCCGTTGTTGCTGTTCCATTTTTGACAGAACATCCAATCCTGTCTGTGCCTGTCTACCAGCAACCTCCGCTCAGAAGAAAATCATGACGACCATGCCAGAGGAACAGCCGTTGCTTGTGGAAGACCCTCTCTGCGAGGAGGACCTCTCCAAACATTTGCTTGACTTTGATCCCAGCGGCGACCCTGAGAACCCAGAGAGTGGCCGACACCCTTCAAGTGGACTATTGTTGGTCTGCTGGCCCTCACGGCTTTCACTGTGTACGTCGATCATCCTCATTGGAATCTCATGAGCAAACCCCCAGCTAACCCACTTACAGAACTTTCACATGTATCTCGGTAGTGCCGGTCGCCGCGCACATCATTGAGGATTTGGACCCGAGTGAAGGCCCAAACTCCCCCGCGAGCGCCTTGCTCGTCACCATTTGGGAGCTGGGCGAGGCCGCGGGACCTCTCCTCATCGCGCCCCTGTCTGAGATTTACGGCCGCTACCCCGTCATGAACGCCGCCAACATCCTTTTCATCACGGCTACCGTCCTCGCCGCCCTCAGCACGAGTACCCCGCTCCTCATCAGCGCCCGCTGCCTTACCGGTCTCGCCGTTGCCTCCAATGTACTGAATCCGGCCATCATCGGTGACATGTTCGTCCCGGACAACCGTGGCTCCGCCATGAGCATGGTCTCGCTCGCTCCCCTCATCGGCGGCGCTGTCGGTCCGATGATTAGCGGCACCATTGCACAGACGCTGGGATGGAGGCAGGTTCTGTGGATGAGCGCTGGTTTGGCTACCGTGTGCGAGCTGCTGTTCCTCACTTGCTTCAGGGAGACGTACAAGATGACTATCCTGAGACGCCGCGCGGCGAATCAGGCCGACGAACATGGGGCGCCGCTGCACCCGGCGGGTGTCGACGACCACAAAAGCATGCTGAAGCTCTGGGAGTCTATTAAACGACCTTTCCTGGTGTTGTTCAGATCCAACGTTCTGATGGGGCTTTCGTTCTTTGGCTGCATCACGTTCGCCTACTTCTATGTCATGTCCATCAGTTTGCCCGTCATTCTCCAGGAGGTGTACGGTTTCTCGCCCGCGCTCACCGGTCTTTCGTTCATGTCCTTTAGTAAGTTTTCAATGTGCAAAACATGTCAGGCTTGGCGACGAGTCGATGACTAACAAAGCCTAGGCGTTGGTTCCTTCATCAGTGTTCTGGTCAGCAATTTCAGTCTGGACAGGATCTACGTAAAGCTTCGCGGTAACGACCCTGTAGGACGCCCCGAGTACCGCCTCCCACTGGTTATCGTTGGAGCCTTTACCCTGCCTCTTTCCATCACCGCATATGGCTGGATCGCCCAGTTGCATCTCCCCGTCGGCTTCCTACTGCTGTCGGTAGCAATGCTCGGCTTTACCCTTTTGATGGCCTCCTTGCCGCTTTCAGCCTATGTGGTCGACGCCGCTGGTGTGTATTCCGCTTCCGCGATGACCGGGGTTATCGTGACGCGATGCCTTGCCGGCACCTTCCTGCCCTTGGCCAGCGGGCCCATGGTGCAGACATTCGGCTACGGCTGGGGGTTCACGATGCTCGGTGCCTTTAGCATTTGTCTGGCGCCCATCCCGGTGCTTGTTATGAGATACGGCCACGTCTGGCGCCAAAAGTCTGAGTATACGAGAGATGCCTGAGACTTTACGAGTTCATGACTTCATGAAAACCATCATTGAGCGTTAATGGAGACCGGAAAAGCTAATCATTTAGTGTCATGAGTATAGATCACAGGGTTATTAATCCTTTGGTTCACCAGCGGCGTCATCCACTGGCAGTAGTTAATTGTATTGTAGATAGAATGCAGCAGCGTGTTTGCCAGGCATGTATCCAATGCAAGTGCGTAAAAGATTCTAAGTGATACTCAAGTCGGCATTGGCAACCTCATAGGCTTCATGAACCGCGTCATACCCAAGTATTGAATGGCAATACCAATGCCACACTTCGTAGGATGATTTGTTCTCAATATCAAAAGCTGCCAACTTGGCATCCCGAGCTTCTTGCTCCGGTCCATCTGGTACATGGAACCATTTCCGCAGAGGCTCCGTATGACCCTCGCCAAGTAGCGCATCAGATGCCCGCGTTCCTCGGACCACTCCGTATTTTTCAAGCACGGTGGGAACCAACTTCTTGAGCTCAGTTTCTCCCATATACTTGTCCCCTAATTGTACCTCCGAGTGATCCGGCCTCATTGCTTTCTCTTCCACATATTTACCTTGCACTTGTTCATTCGCCAGGCCGAGTAGTTTAGCTAGAAAGATACCGTCTTCCATGGCCATGGCTGCTCCTTGTACTTGGTACGGGAGGTTTGAGTGGCAGGCATCTCCAAGGAGAGCAAAACAGTCCTACTATCGGTGAGTTTCTCTGATGGAAAGGTAGTAGAATGGAGTTCGGTATACTCTGCTTCCTGAGTCCACCCTTGGGGGTGTACGGATCTTCCACTTTTGAACTTGCAGTACCGAAGACATGATCTTTCTCAGTCTATGGACCGTCAGCACCCGTATAACCAAAACTAAGTACCAATTTTCTCAGTTTTTGTTCCCTTTGAAGCTAACCATATTGTGGAAGGTTGCAGCCAAAGACAAACAGACTTACGTCTCATCCCAACCGGCGTAGCAGTCTCTCATCTCTGCCACATCACTTCCCGTGTGTGGGTGCTCGTGTTCCTGGTAGTTTTGCCGGATCAAAATGAGATTGATCTGTCGCCCTCCTCTGACAGGGTAGAAAATAGTGTGTTGATTGGGGCCCAGCCACATCACAACCCGGTTCTGCGCGCAGAGATCATTGATCTGAGGGTCACCCAGAGCCATGAGTTGCTCGACTGGGAACACCGCCCTATAAGCGACATCGCCAGTCTCAATCAGAGGCGAAGGCTTCCCACTGAGTTGAGCGCGGCATACGGATTGAGGACCTGCTCATGTCAGGAACGCCCCTTCTCGTGACCCATCATTAGAGCAAGCTTACCATCAGCCCCGACAATGAGATCTCCAGAAATCTCATCGCCGTCTTCCATGTACACTGTGTTGTTATCGAAATCAATTCTCTCGACTTCCATGTTCAAGTTAAGGCTCACGCCCAGCTCTTGACATGTCCGCCACAACACGTTATGGAAATCGGCTCTATGGGCGACCATCCAAGGATCGCCGTATACTGCCCGACACTGTGCCTCGGTAATTTCGCACAGCTTCTTGCCGTCCTCATATCTGCGGAGCTCAACCCCATCAACCGTGACTGCTACCTTGCGTAGCCTGTCCAGAAACCCCAACTGCCGTGCAACTTTCGTGCCGTTGGGTGGTACCTGGATGCCCGCACCCATCTACAACGAGAAGTCAGACATGGTGTGCATTTCGTAGACCATGAATCAAAGCATTGCGATAATCTTGTTAAGCCTACCGGAACGATTCTGCTGGCACTCTCGAGAACCACAACCTCGAAACCCTCTTTTCGACAAGCGATGGCGCAAGTCAGGCCTCCGATGCCCGCACCCACAATGATGACTTTCAAGTTTGAACGAGTGTCCATGGTGGGGTTGGCTGAATGTGAATGAGGGGGATTAGGAACATGAGGTATGAGGGAAATGGTTCAAAGCATTGGAGCTACAAGCCGCCTTCCTGAGGTGCATCATGCAAGATATCCTGGTTCGCATCCACGCTACCCCGCGGTAGGCGAACCCCACCAAACCATGCCAGGCCGGTCAGCACAGAAAACTGCTCTGTGCATTATTTGGTGGCTCCAGTCACAGGTTGTGCCACTTGATTATTGGCTAAATAATGAACATTGGTCTAGCAGTGCTCGAAGCTATATCAAACGTTGTTTTGGGGGATTTTCGTATTCGGACCTGGGGTACTTTCTTGTGTGCATCACTACCAGCGATATGATCATTACCGCAGCAGAGGCCTGTTTGGTTTAAGTAAGGTAGACTCGAGAAATTTGGAGAGTGGGACTTCGACTTCATCATCGAAACACCACGATCATACACACCTGCTTCGACTGCATGATCATTGCATAAGTCACAAGCACATATTTGCATATTCGAGATTGTGTATTTTGTATGAATTGGCTTTCAAAAGCATCTACTTTCCAACCGCTGCAATCTGTAAGCAGGTTTCGACTATCATCTAATGCGCTCCGTTTCAGCGTCCCAGTAGTCCCACCGACACTATTGTTTGCCATTCCCTTCGAATGTGGCTGGGTGTCATTCATAAACATGATACTATCAATGAATTAGACGCATTACTCACACTGGCTGGGAACAAACATGAGGTTGACGCTCGGAAAATACATGCTTGTGCAATTTTGCCTGATAGTGTTTTGTAGTACTCGGAAGGGGTAATAAAAACGCAACAAACAATTTGCTTCTGCAAGGGGGCCAAACTGGGTATTGCAAACATAATGCGAGCCACGCAACAGCCTTTTGCATCTTTCCAAGCCTGCATCAGTCCATTCGTTGACACAAAGAAAGGATGGTTTATTGTAAATGGACTGCATGAACAGTGTTTCAAGACGTCCAAAACTCGATATCGTGCAAAGTGGGTTTTACTCCAAGGTATATTTCGTTTGCGATAAACGAGCAATGAGCATCTCTTGAGGAGTCTAGAGTTGCATTAGTATTTGGCAATCGACTCGTCTTTCAATCAAATCTGTGTAACTCTCAATTTCAGAAGACGTAGGCGCAGCGGCACATGTCTTGACTTCATTGCTTCATAAAATGATAAATTGTGACAACTTGCCACTTGACTACGCAGATTCCCAGTGGATTGAATATAACAACAAATATCTTTACAAAGTCTTACTTTTAGGATGCTTTTTCATGACTAAAGAAAATCTCTTGTCACTCAGCTCATCAGCCTTACTTTCTTTGCAGCTTCTCGTACTAGCCCACCTCTCGGTAAAGATAAAGCTGTGCTTGGGTCTTTCTCAACATGAACAAGCTGTTGCTCATCCTATTGCTTTCCATCGAGGCCTTTGCGAATTTCTTGCCTTTCGCAGATACAAAACATCAAACAGACCAACTTCGACATGCCCCCGTTTCGAAAACACCACTACCTGGAGTCGAGGACCCCAGACATCGTGCCGAAATGGAGTTGGTTCTTGCAGCATGTCAGAAACTACCCAATGGTCAGATGCCACGACTGTAGGCCACAAGAAAGCCCGAGCCAAGCATCTGAGTTAACTAACTTAGTTGGATAGACAAATATACAGACTAGAAACACCTTATCAACTCCAGCTCTTACGAAACGTGCAACCACGTCGAGGGCAGGCAGCACTCTTGGCATCCCCAGTGGTAGAACCAACAATACTAAAGCTGTTTCTGAAGTTGAATCGATTCAAACTACCTCTCTATCAACATCGCTGCCGGCGGTCTTGTCGACAACCTTGCCAACGACTGTATTGAAAAACTTGTCGTCAATTTCGGTATCAGCATCATTAGCAACTCCTTCGATGTCGACGTTGAAACCCTCGTCAACATCCCCGCTCATTGGTTCCTTGGGACAATCCTCGTCATCGTCGTCAATGACATATAGCATTACTGCCTCGTCTATCGATGACAGAACTCTTCTGATAGTCACCAGCGGTATTACCAACGTCCCAACGAGTTTGAGCACTCTCACTTCAAATTCAACACCCAAAACGTCTGTGGGCTCAAGTGGTTCTCTCACTACGACTGATCCACCATACGTGGTCTGGACTACCCTGCCGTCAGGGGCAAACTTTCTGACCCTCGAAAGTGTTACTTATACCTCTCCAAGGTACATCACGACCACTTCTCCAGGAAGTGACCAGTCTACAATCGTCCCAAGTAAGTTTCAACCGAATCCCCTCAACGATTATGCTAATGAAAAACTGAATTCAGTCATCATTCCCTTTTCTGGTCCCCCAAAGATTTGTTTCGGCTGTTATATCCACTTCCCGCCAAATATCAAGATCGACGTTCCAGAATTTTGCATTCAGCTTTTCGGGTTGAAGATTGGCAAATGTCCATCTAAGGAAGAAGAGAACAAGGATGAAAAAGAGGAAAATGGAGATAGCAACGACGACGACAACAACAATGACAACAAACCCACCCCCGAGCCCCAAAAATCCAAAACTTCGAAGAATTCGAAGAAGCAATCGACAACAACCTCGACCTCTTCATCGTCTTGCACTGTGACCATCACTGCCACTCAAAGAAGCGTATTTTGCTCTGTGGTACCAAGTAAGAAAGGGTCTCTGAGGAGTTAAGTTAGAACATTGCTGGTTTGAGTTCTTTTGTACAGGTAAAAGTGCCAGCACGGTCTGTTCAACCAGCGCCTACACAACGGCCACCGTATGCAGCCTTCTAGGCTCAGTGATGACTGTGACAGCAACCCAGACTCCGACGCCAATCATCCCGCTATGTGCCCCTGGGAAGTGCGGAGGTCGGTTCTGTTCTACAAAGAACAAGAGGCTCGAGATTCCTGTTACCCAGGATCTTGAAAAACGTGGAGACCCTGCCGTTGGAAAGTGACCCGACCCTAGCGACCACCGAACCCAAGAAGAGTTCATTTATAGTCAACTCGACGAAATGTTTGGAGGCACTGTGTCAGAGCCAAGATACAAACCAAAACTTGTTGACCATCACCTTGGTGGAGGCATAAGTGCCGAATGGATCACCTTCAAAAGCAACGTCGAAGCAGTCGGGCTCGAAGGGCTATATGGCTGTACCTCCATCATTCTGGTTTCTCGCCGTGGCGCGTGGGTGAGCCACATCTGGCAAACTGTTTTTGAGAATCTTCATCCTGAAATCGACCAGTGGGAGACGCTGATTCAGAACGAGATGCCTTATGGACTTCCTCGCAGCGACCCATATTACGAGAAGTACGAATATGGCCTCAAGGACATGAAAGATAAGCCAGAGTTTGGCGAAGCGGGAGTTATGTTCGATGACGATTCTGTTGTCGATCAAACACCTGCAAGCTTGAACATGCGAGCTTTCATTGTCACACCACGAAAATTGCAGAGTCTTAGCCCATATAGGGACGCAAACAACCAGGCCATTCCACACGAGATTCTGAATGACATCAATTACCAGCAGGGTACAGTCAGATATCCAGACAAGATTGTTAGATTGAAGAGAGTTTTGGCAGATGAATTCGGTAACATACCCATGGAGGTGGTGGACTACAACCCAGTTGTCCCAAAACTGGAACATATGGGGACGTGGGTGAGCGAGAGGATGGTGACCGACGACTACGGAAACGTGTTTGAACTTGAAGATTACATTAAATATCAGCAGATGGCAACCGTCAGGGTAAAGATTCTTCTCCAATACCAGCCCGCAATGACTTGCGGAGACATGGCCGAGTGGCGGTTGTGGATTGAGGGACAACCAGTCGGCAGCCGAACGGACAGATGGGCGCCAACGCAGAACCAGGTGTTCTCATCGCCTGGGAACAACCAGGAGCTTACGCGAAGGCAGGGGCAGGTTTGCAAGCTTCCTATCAGAAGCAAAGTCCAACCATCAGGATCTCCTACGTCCGTAGGAGGTCTAGCCTCTTCTCCTGTTTCCCAAACTCACAACAACAGGTCTACTACACAAGCAAATCCAAACCCTTCCTTATCCAGCAGCCATACGATGTCCTCATTGCAGACCATCGAATCAGTCACCGTCACGCTTTCGTCAACATCTGCTTCGGAAAGATCCATCTCTTCCAGAAGCGGTTCATCTCTCTCTGCAATCTATACGAACACCACATCTCTGCAGGCATCAACGATTATCTCCACCACGGCGTCTAGAACATCTTTTCAAACAACGACGCCATCCATCACAAGAGCTTCCTCGTCTCCGAAAGAAGTGATAAGAACCACAACGATTTTCAGCAAGCCACCTGCAGCAAAGCCATCCAGTTCACCCCCCTCAAAGGCTGTTGGCATCTACTATGTAGAGACGATCACACCCGATGATGACGGGAAGTCCGCCTACCAAGGTGCATGGCTGATGTTAGCTGTGAAGGCGGACGACGCGACTTTTGATCCTTGCGGCCAGCAGCCGAAGGGATGGAAGTTCCTCGAAAAGCACCTGTCGCTCGATAGCGATCCATGGCCTCCCACCATAGAGACGGCAGAGTTTCCTTTCGACCGGAAACACTGCAGATACAAAGGAGAAAATGGACCCGGAGCTTGGGGAAAGCTCTCTTGCGAAGGCGTACCTGAATTCACCTGTGAAAGGGATCCGCGAGCGGACAAGAAGCTCAAGTGTGGAAGAAGTCTTAATGTGGAACAGACATTCTTGCCCCGAATATTGTGCAAATTTCCTGCAACTGGCAGCCCGAGCCTTGAGGATAGGCTGAAGGAAGTGGTGGGTAGCCCCGGCAAGTTACAAGACTAATGGTCCTTTGATATCCAATCGATGTTAAGTTTGAGAGAGATTCAGGAGATTAGTTGGTTCATACCGAAGGTTTATGCCGTAATAGTTTACGATCGACAATTCCAGATAACTATCTAAACAATGAGATCGAAATACGTTTTCTAGACAACGCACGGGGATTGATTCACCGTGCAGGCTGATCATGACTTCCGGCTATTCGCAGCATGTGCAGGGGTAGCCTTCATGGTTTCCAGTCCATATGCACCATGAGTGGCCATTGCAGCCCTTGCTTTTTGGACTAATTGACAAGTAAATTGTCAAGCTAATCATTCCATCTTACAAACTTGGCGTAGATTCTCGTGTTGACCGTATCACACCCGGATGAACTCCCACAGAGTTGTGCTATGGCTTCGTCTAGCCAGACCGATTCCGTCCTCTGCAACGCATAGCACCATCAACGTTTCCGACCACAGCGGCGATAGGAGTTGGTAGCCCCCTTCAGGGTGCTGCCGCGGCGTCCACAACTCCCATCCACGCATCTCAAGCCTGGTGCGGATGTTGGTGTCGCTATCGTGGCCGATGTATCGTCCCGATCTCGGATTCTGAAAGCCAAAGTACCCGTTCCTCTCGACGCAATGCCATAGTGTGCTTGGGTGGCGGTCGCCCTTGAGATCCAAGAGCACCGGCTTGTCGTCCACAATGGTGATTGCCCGGCAGGTGGTTTTCTCGATGATGTGGAAAGTGTTACCTGGCCACGGGATGTCACCATGCCCATCTCCCAGGGTTTCGTCTGCAGCTGCTGTGGCTGGAGGAGTGGATACAGGGGGCGAAGTTGCCGAGGAAGACTCGGACATGGAGTCTTCCTGATCGTTCTCAGCGGCCGTAGTGGAATCTTCCGGTAGTTCAGTGCGATCGTTGCTTCCCTCCCCTTTTTTGCTTAAGAGCGATGAGTAAGACAACAAACTTTGCATTGTGTAGGTGTAGGCTGTAGTGAGAGACGTTGAAAGCACGTTGTCGATCTCCGGACATGCAATTGATGATTGTGATGCAATGTGGGTTTGAGGGGTTCGGCTTTATTGGTCATGGCCACCCAGCGCACGTGTACCTACACCACACATATGCTCAAGTATCTTAGCTCCCTTTTTGCCTCTCGCAAGTGCGATTGTGACCTGTCTTAGTGGCATGGCTGTATTTTAAACCCGTTTGAGCAAATCTCTCGTTCATTAAGAGCCCTGGCATGCTTGCCTCTGTATCACACGCATAAGGCGAATAGTTAGTTTAATAACACGCGATCAAGTCTCCAAACTATGTGCTTATGCTTTGTTTCCCTCCAACTCCTTGCGGAAATAAACTCTCTCATACCCATCGTCTGTCTTCCTTTCCGTTTCGGTGAAACCCATTTTAGGATACAAAACGAGGTTTTCGAACATTTTTACATTGGTGTAAAGTTGTAGATTTGTGCATTGGTATGCTCCTGCGACGTCCTCCGCACATCTCATTAGAACCCGTCCATAGCCACGTCCCTGAGCCGCCGGGGCTACGACTAGGTTGTTTATGTGCAATGCTTCCGCCACGGGATCACGTCGCAAGATGATGGCGCCGACTACTTGAGTACTCTTGTCGTTCCGAAGTACGTAAACCAGCTGCGTTTTGATGAGTTCGTTGTAGTTAACTTTCATGGGAGCTGGTTCCTTGCCGATGCGGTCGATGTACTTGGAGTATGCTGCTCTGATCATGGTCTGTATCGCTGGAACATCGTCGAAATTAGCTCTTGAAAGAGAATGACCCTCGATTGAAGATGTTGGTTCGAAAGTTTGTTCCGCCATTTTGGCTCATCCAGAAAGTAAGAATACTTGATTCTAGTTGAGTATGACTCTTCCATGTACAATCGACTTGAAGAACCAGGCACGTAGGCTTGGATAAGTACTGTACCTACCACGATAGCAGGCCTCTATTATGGGCCAATGACGAGGTAGCTCCGCATCTCCGATAGTGGAGAGCTCCCCGACCTGGTGCCACCGAAGCTGCCGATAAGATAAGGGGCCGTCGACAAGAACAGACGGAATTTCCGAAAAGCCGCCGACCGAAAAATTTCGACTGTTCGTCACTCCATCGCATACACGTCCGCCACGGCCGCAAAGCTGATCCCCGAATCGCGTCAAGAAACCTCCTTCATCGCCGGAATCCCACGACCGCTGCCACCTCGACTGCACGTCCACCACGAACATCAAAGGTGCCGTATCGAATCGCACGAGGACCTCCATTGTCAAATACCCGATAAACACAACCCGACACATTCGCCATGGATCACACGCGCGACCCCTGCCCTTGGGTTATCCTCAATGGTAGGTGTCACCTTTGATGCGGACCGCTCTACGACTGCAAGCTAACGTGAGGGATAGACTTTGGTGGTGCGTTCGCCATGGGCGCGATCGGTGGCACGATCTGGCACGGAATCAAAGGCTACAGGAACAGCCCGTACGGCGAGCGCCGCATTGGTGCCATCTCGGCCATCAAGATGCGCGCTCCCGTTCTTGGCGGCAACTTCGGAGTCTGGGGTGGTTTGTTCTCAACGTTCGACTGTGCCGTTAAGGGAGTTCGCCAAAAGGAGGATCCTTGGAACAGCGTAAGCTTCCCCGTAGGAGTTTTGTTGGTTTGACGATGTTCTGACGATAAGACTAGATCACAGCCGGTTTCTTCACCGGAGGAGCTCTGGCTATTCGCGGTGGATACAAGGTTCGTACGAATCAGATTCCACTCCGTAGTGTGTCGACTGACCAAGAAAACTAGGCCGCCCGCAACGGTGCCATTGGCTGCGCGCTCCTGCTCGCCGTCATCGAAGGAGTTGGTATTGGTTTCCAGAAGATGTTTGCAGGAAGCACGAAGCTGGAGGTGAGTTTGGCCGAAGGAACGCCCACCTTCGAAGGATAATACGCTGACAATACCATTCTAGATGCCTCAGCCGCCGCCTTCGGACGAGAGAGCCTTGGCTTAAACGAACCGATCGCGTCTCTTAATATTCCATTTACCGAAAAGCGGCATCCAGCGGCCGCCTACGAAACAAAACCACACCACCCCTCTCTACTCATCCAGCTCGACGGCTCCCTTCCGCGAGGCCCCGATTCACTCTGTTTTCACTACCGAAATCGAACGACGCCGTTCTTTTAATCTGCATATGGCAAGGGCGGGAAGAGGCGTTCCATGTACTATAAAAGTTTTCCAGTTACCGGGGACTGGGGACACGGAGGGAGGGCATTATCGTTTCTCTCCCAAAGGATGATTAGACGTTGGAGACGAGCTAAGGCGTGCGGAGACGACATATGTCTGGGCAGATTCAAGGGGCAGGAATCGAAGCTTGACATGACCAGGATTTGGATCCGAGGAACAGGACGGCATCCCCCCTTATGTTTGATAGGAGTACTGAATCTGTGGGATAGAGATGTTCTAAAATTGTACCACCACCTCGCCATCTACTCTTGTTTCTCGAATATTGAGTTCAGCCGGATCCCAATTATCTCGAACACTGAACTCCATGTCTAGGTCTAGCAGCGCGCGCTCACCACTTCTCGCAAAACTCTCCGACATCAACGCCCTCCACATCCCCCCTGTAAATCTTGGCATATGCCTTGCCGTCGTCGTCGATCCACGCCCTGTACATGCCGTTGCAGTTGAAATCCTGCAGGATGGCTGACCTCACACCCACCACGCCGCCCTCCTCGTCCTTCGCGACCGCAATCTCGATCCCGATGATGCCACCCTCGCCCTCGCCAGTGACCCGCCACCGGTCCCCGGCGCTCTTCTGAAGTTCTCCGCCCGGCCCGGAAACGAAGGACACGGCATCGGCTCCGGAAAGCGGCTTCCACCGCGCCACCGCGCCGACTGTCCGGCCCGCCGCGACGCGCATGAACGAGTCCCCGTTTCCAGTTCCCGAAGCCGCAATCGCACGGGTAGTCTTTACTCCTTTACCGAACCCAGCCGGCAAAGGGGAGTAAGTCCTCAAGGAAGGAAGGCAATCCGCCATCAGCCCCTTCAGACTCTCCGACAACATCACCATCCCCTCGCCACCCCACACCCCCTTGCCGAAAGCACCCGTCGGGTCCCCATCCTCAACCCACTCCTCCGCCCAAAACCCGGTTCCGACGACGGGCGTATCCCCGATCCGACCCGTCAACTTGTTGGTCAACCCGCCCGTGCTCGTCGCCGCACACACGACCCCGTCCTCGTCCAGTGCCACGGCGCCCACGGTCCCCTGCGGCAGAAACTCCTCCTCGCTCCACGTGCTCAGCCCGGTCCCCTTCTTCTCCCGCTCCAGCGCGCGGATATGCTCATCCCACCGCTTCTGCGTGAAGAAGTACCCCTCATCCACAATCTCCAACCCGTACTTCTTCGCCAGCGTCTCCGCCGTTTCGCCGTGAAGCAGCGTGTGTCCCTGCGCGCTCGGCGCATCAACGCCCTGCGTGGACACCGAGGGGTGGCTGCTCTCCGGGTTGCCCCCTAGGTCCTCCTCCCCGTGCTCGAGTATCGCCTTGGCGAGCAGGATCGGGTTCCTCACATGCCGCAGCCCGGTGACGCCGACCCCGCGCTTCTTGAACCCGCGCGAGACCATGACCGACGCCTCGAGCTCGTTGATGCCGTCCCGCGTGAAGACGGCGCCGTGCCCGCTGTTGAAGAGCGGGTTGTTTTCCAGCAGCGTCACAGCGTGCACAGCCGTGTCCAGGGCGGAGGGGAGCTTGGCGGTGGATGAGAGCGGGGCTGTTTGGTAGGCGCTCGTCTTGCTGATCTGTGTCCGATGTTAACCTGCACGTTCTTCGGTACGGCGGAGTTGGTATGAGGTGGGCATGATACTCACAATCGTCAGCAGGGCGCGGCGGTACGCTTCGTACTCGGGCGGCGCGAGGTTCGACGGCTTGATGTTGCCGGCGCCGCCATGAATGATGAGACGCGGCTTCACCCTGAAGGCGGCCGGAGACTGGCGCTTGTACTCCATTGCGATTGTCGCGATTAGTGTATTTAGCAACTTGTTTGTCAAAAGTCAATTCAATTCTCAACCGCCTGATGGAAAGAAAAAGGATGTAGGGAGGTGTGAAGCTCGTCCCGGTCTTCGCATCGGCGTCGGAGGTTGACGAGGTATGTTGCTAATGATAAGATAAGCTCCGAGGGCCGAATCGGGAAGCTGGACGGCGTGGCCTTCGGTATCAGCGTGCCGATGTTCGGATCACGCCTGACGGAGGCCTGGTGAGGTGACATTTCGGACGAGTCAGTCAAGCTGCGCTGAATCCTAAGAGCCCAACAAAGCACAGCGAGATAGAGAATTTTGTCTAGTAATGTTCTGATTTTGGGGTATCCATCTACTTTTGGTACAGATACTCAATGTGCCATTTTGTTATTTTGTCCTCGCCCCCGAAACGCCGAAATCACCTGCTTTAATACTAATGCATCCACTTTACAAACGGGCGAACAACGACCCGATAATCTCCCTGCTCTTCAGCAAATTCAACACTCTTAACCGCTCATTATCCAAATGAGCCGAGTCGCTCGACTGTCCGCAGGGAAGGTGCGCAGCAGGGGCACTGAACTCCTTCTCAAGGAATCGAATCGCCGGGATGGAACCGCCCTCGCGAATGTACAGCGGCTTCCGAGGCTTCTTTTCCTTTGATTCTGCTGTCCCCTCGGCATCATCATCGACGGCATCTTTGCCCTCGACTACAGAAGACCAAGCCTGCACGATAGACTCCTCCAGCGTCTGGAAGATGGCGTTGGTAGGGTCGCCCAGCCAGGGCTCGGCTTTGTTGTCCACCTTGATGCTAAGCGAGTTCTTTGACTCGAGCGTCGCGAACTCGTTCTCGAGATACGAATTCAGGGCTGAGATGACGTCGTTGACCTCCTGACCCGGCACCAGACGCAAGCTGATATTAGCACTCGCGTGGCTGCTGACCAGGCTGCCGTCCGGTCCCGAGACCTTGTATCGGTGAATCGTCAGGTTCGGTTCTCTCCAGCGGGCCATCAACGCGGCCTTGAGCTTATCGGCGGGTCCCTTTTCTGGGTTCTGCCGCATGAGCGTTGACGCGATATCGTCGTAGCGCGTCTCCTCTTCAGCCGTGACTGGGAGGACGTTATCGTAAAATCCGGGAATGAGAACCTTGTTGCCAGGGCCCTTGAGTTTGGATAGCGTAGAGGTGAGATCGGATAGAGGCTCATCGTTCATGTAAGAGCCATCTACACCGGAGTGCTGGTCGGGCAGATGGGAGTCTACACAGACGGTGGCGTGCAGAACACCGCGCAGGCCGTAAGTGAGACACGGGACCTCGTCGTCGAGCCAGTAACTGTTGGCAATAAGAATGTAGTCAACGTCTCCAATCAGGTCCTTGTTCTTGCGAACGATCTCCCTGAACCCGCGAGAAGCTGACTCCTCCTCGCCTTCAATCAGAAAGATGATGTCGTTGGCGAGCCTTTTCGCCTGTAGTAGATCCGTCACCGCATATAAAGCGGCCATGATCGGGCCTTTGTTATCACTGACACCTCTGCCGTACAAGTAACCATTGATGCCCTTCATCTGGAAGGGATCGGTTTCCCACTTCCCCTTCTTCGTGTCGGCAGGCACAACGTCGTAATGGCCGTAGAAGAGAATCTTCTTCCGCTTTTCGGCCGGTTCCAGTGTGCCGTCGAACTTGGCTAGAACGACTGGGTTGTGAGGGCTGCTTTCCGTGCTCAGCATCTCGACGTGGCCACCGAGTCTCTTGAACAATGATCCGAGGAACGTCGCGCCTCGTCGGCAATCTTCAGCGAACTCGGGGCGTGACGATACAGTCCGATAGGAAACAAACTCTCCAAGAGTTTTGATCATAACGTCGTCGGCTTCTTCCACCTCCTTCTGCTCCTCGTAGGATGAGCAATCAATGTGCCAGATGGCAACATCATCGTCATTGGCACCAGTGATATAGTATTGCCTGTTATTGTAGGTTGTCACGGCTGATGATAGGACCTTGCCCTCGTGGGCCTTCCAGCGTGCGACACACTGATACTTTTGGCTAACATTAGCAGCCTGTTTGTCTTGGTATTTTCCATAGTGAGCAGTTGTGTGTTTCTAAAGGTCGTTAGCAAGCGACGATGGAGACGGATCGGGCAGCTTACACTCGCGGAGCCTGATCGCGAGGCACTCAAAAGGTAACCCCAGCCCATTTGCAGGGTCATCACGTCTCCTCTATGGCCCTTGATCACCCTCAACTTCGACTTTGTGTCCAGGTCCCATAGCTCGATAACCCCCTGGAGCTTGCCGGCGTACAAGAACGATCCGTCAATGGCAAGAGACATGACGGATTCTGCATCATCGGCACCAAGGGACATAAGCTCTTGCAGGCCCGGCTCACGGTCATTCTCCGCCGCCTGGTCGTCTCCCTCGGCACCCAGCTTCCACAGCTTGATAGTGCCGTCACCTCCGCCAGAAATAAGCACTTCCTCTTCGGGCTCCACGAGAACCGTCGGCCCTTTGGCCATGAGCATCGAGTAGACGTAGCCGTAGTGTGCAAACATCTGCAAAGCTCCTGGGTGTATCTCTACCACCTTCTCGGACCGTGGGATCAGACTCCATCTCTCGTCGTTGCGGCGCGGCGTCGATGTTCCTCCCACCGCCCTCGAGTCAAAGAATCGGTGATTGCGTCGGTCGGGATGCTGCGAGGAGTCGTGGGTCACGCGGTTGTTCGGATCTGTGAGGCTGACCCATTGAATCGAGGTGTTCTGCGCACCAACATAGACCGTCTCGTGCTGGGCGCTGTACGCCACCGAGAAGATGTCGCCAACGTCGTAGGTGCTGTAGATCTCGTACAGCCGCTTCATCGTCTTCGGGCACCAGACATTGATGATCGGATCGCCCGCACTCGAGAACAGCATGGAGCCGTCGGGGGTCAGGAACAGGCTCAGCACACTCCGCTTGTGGGCCTGGACGATGCGCTCCTGGTGGAAGGTGGCCAGCGACCATACGACGATCTCGCCATCCTGGGTGCCGGCGTATATGCGTTCGTTCTCGGCGCTGACGGCGAGGGCAAGGACGGAGCTGTCGTGCTTGAGGTTGTGCAGGAGTTCGGGGGCGACCTGGGGGCAGTCGTCCGTGTCGCTCAGGTTCGTGGACAGGTCCGAGGCCGCCATCGCCGACGGCATTGTGTCTTCTGTTGCGTGGGAGGCGGACTTGTCAGTTGTGACTCTGAGCGAGAGAATGCTACGGCAACGGCTGCACCAGACAGAGACGAGGAATAGGCCGGTTAAGGTAAATTTGAATTCGAATCGGCTGAGACAATGGAAAGGGGACAAGCATCTGGCTGTGACGCATTTCCAGCAGAGACAGTCCAGCGATGGGTGTGCGGTATCGCAACAGAAAATGGCAAATGACGAAATTCGCTAAGGGAGTCACTCCGCCCAACAGGACACTGGGCCTCACAACTCCCAGGCGGGGATCCCCCGGAGCAGCCAGAGGGGACCGTCTCCAGACTTCTGGGTTTGGGGTGGATCGCCTTTGCGGTTCCCTGGGCTCTAGCTCCCGGCTTTACCAGGTCCACTGCTATATTTCCAGGGGCTTTCAGGGACCAGTGTGACACTTGCAATTGGGTAGTCACTTTGGGTAGGCGTTGTCTCGTGACACTTTTCTCTTTTCCAATTTTTTGTTGCCCAGTCCGGGACACTTGTCCTTTACTTGGAGGTTTCTCGGGTTGAAGGCGTACGGCTATGAAACGAGTAAAAAGGCTTACCATCTTCGTATTCCTCAGAGGACTCGGACGCGACGGATAGTTCGACAAGTTCCTGCTGTATCTTCCGGCATCCCTCGCAATCGTCCTGGCCCGGAGCGTGGTCCCCCGACTTGTACACCACCGCCATCTCTGCTCGAGAGATGAGTTGCGCAGCTCTGCTTTCGATGAGGGTCCGCAATGGTAGGCAGCTGAGTCCGCTTCAATGTTGGGGTAGGTTGCTCAGCTAGGTGGATAGCTCGTCTATTTGTACGGACGTCCTGATGGCTTTGACTCCCTCACCGCTTCATGACGCAACATTGGAGGGGATGGTATCATACGCCCGTGGTGAAGAGTCGCGAGGCCTTCTGGTATGATTCAAATCAGAAACGAGATTAACTGAGAAAACAAAAATATAGCAGGCAGAGGCGAGCTTAAGGGACGCCCGTTAGGGGGCCGAGATCGGTTGCGTGATTGCACGTCTCCTATTATAACTGCCCACCTGCATCGCATTAGGCCTCGTCGATCTGCCAAGCGTCTACCTGAATCTCTACCAAGTCCTCCACCCCAGTTTTCTACTCAGCATGTCCGTCCAGTGGCGCCCAGCTGAGACAGCCTCGGGACGCTCCCCGGAGCTCCCTGGGGCGGCCGGCGTGCTGTAGGAGACGCATGAGGAGGGCCTCAACACTCGTGTGGCTCACCGCAAGATGGTGTGTCCAACTGCACATAGCCCCGATCCAGGGTGCGTATGGTGATCTTCCGAGGACCCCAGCGGCTGCCCTATTGGAGGAATCCACGCATGCTCGCAGGGAACGACGGAAATGGAGCACCGGTGAACGGTCAGTCTGTTGGGCGGGGGGGATCAAGCCGTAGCATGTGTGCTATCAGCGGCCAACCCTCTGGAACCCGATAGGCCTTTTCTTCTCGCTATCAGGCCCGCAAGTCCCTAGGGAGGGAGTCTGCCGCAAGCCGTGTGCATCCTTTGGTTGATATGTAGCGCCTCGGTTGGAGAGATTCCTAGAGTCGGTGGGTCATCTGTCCAGACTTAGGCCCCGGGATTTGCCATACTCCTGGAGGTTTGGCTTTTAGCCAAGTATTCCACGGAATGAAGGGACCAACTGAGTTGAGTTGTCTTGCAAAGCAAGACGATATGGAGGAGAAAGCTGGCAACAGCTCGACGACGATCCTGGTGGCTGTGGGGCACCAAGGAAGCGTCGGACTTGACCCGATAAGGGTGCATTAGGTTCTGGAGCTCTCTGGTCTCGAGTCCACCAGAGAAACGGCCAATGGAAGTGCTCGAGGATGACCGTCTTCCTTTTTAAGGCTGACTACTGCTTCAGCTGAGAGCCTCCCCCTAGCAGTTGCTCAATGTTCAGAAAGTATCCAGCAGTCGGGCCACGTTTAAGAAGCCATTACAAAGTTCCAGCAAAAATACATCAGGTCGCGGATTTCCCCTAATACGTCCAGATCCGGCTCGTCACCAAACTGATGCCCTGCACCCTGCACGCGAGACAAGCAATTAAACGCCATGGAAAGCGCGCCATCAAAACCCTGCAAAGTCATTTGTCCTCTGGAACAGCCACCCGCCATGACCGGGAAATCCGTCTTCTTCGCCGGCACAACAAGCCGGGGAGACTGGCGCAAAGATCTCGCTGACTCCATCTCCCATCTCTCCGTGACCATTTTCAACCCTTTCCGACCAGATTGGGACAGCACCTGGAAGGAAAACATCTCCGATGAGAGGTTCAAGGGCCAAGTTGAGTGGGAGCTGGAGATGCAGGAGAGGGCCGACATCGTTGTTGTCTACTTCGAGCCGGAGACGGAAGCTCACATCAGTCTGCTTGAGCTAGGACTGTGTGCTCGGTCTGGAAAGGCCATCGTCGCGTGCTCAGAGCTGTACAAGAAACGAGGGAACGTCCAGGTCGTCTGTGCTAGGTACGGGATTCCACTTGTTGACAACTTCGAGGCTTTACAGGAGAAACTGGTCCGCAAGCTAGGAGAATCTGATCACAATGCTCCATAAGATGGACCCCAAGGACCACGATTAATGCAGCATTTTACCATAGTCGGATTGTTCAGCTCGAATGACAAGACCTAGTAGCATTCATGTGCGACATCCTGTAAGCACACGGTCACATCACATCATCGGGCCGAAGATAAGTCCGCCGTATCCACTTTTCAATCCGCGCCCCGGCTCCCCCACTTACCCAATCCGACATGGTTTGCCGCCATTCAAACAGCGAGAGCTTCGGGCCAACATCACAAACCAACCTCTTATGCATTTGCTCCAATTATCTTAGCTTCTCTGCAGTGGGCTGCAGTTGAAATCACCTAGCTTTTTGTTACGATAACCTTTAGAAATATCACAAAATGGACGACCAATTCGGAGGCCGCACGGACGACGATCTTTTCTTCGACGATTTCGAGCCTGTAAGCGGCCCCCAGGCCGTCGAAACCATCGCAGCCCCTCCTCCCCCTCCCGCCGCCGTCGCGACGCCGCCTGTCGAGCCTCCCAAACCCGAACCAATTGCGCCAAAACCTGTGGAACAGCCTCCTCCCCAACAACCCTCCGCGAAGCGGCCATCCACTGCGCCCCGGGGTGGTCTCGCAAACTCGAGGTTCGCTGACAAGCCTGCCGCTGCCCCGCGCCCTCCCCGCCAGGCAGCCCCCGCGCCGACACCCCCGACCACGACCACGCCGACTCCTCAGCCGCCCGCCGGTCCCGCGGCGCAAACCGCGACAGCACCAGCGGGGCCTACCGTGCCCGCGGCCGCAGCAAATACCTCGCCAGCCGCGACAACCAAGAGCGCATCCCCCGCGCCTCACGCGCCCCGCGAAAAGCAGCAGCCGCCACCCACCGCGCCCACGGGTCCGGCCGCCAGCACCACCACCCCCGGCGCAACCCCCGGCGCAAACACAGCCCTCAACGCCGCGGCGCGTCTGGGGTCCGGCGCGAACCCGCGGACCAAGCTCACCGAGGCGGAGCTGGCGGCCAAGATGGAGCAGATGCGGATCCTCAACGCCGAAAAGACGCGCAAGTTCGAGCAGGCCGAGCAGGACGAGCGCAGCCACGCCGAGGCGTACGCGCGCGGCATGGAGGAGGCGCGGCAGCGCAGAAAGCTTGAGGAGGAGAGGCGGCGGCGCGGCGAGGAGGAGCGCAAGCGCATGGACGACGAGCGTGCCAAGAACAGAGAGAGGAAGCTTAAGGCCATGAGCATGAAGGAGGGCGGCTGGGACGAGGGGAAAGACGCGCTTGCGCAGGAGGAGGAGAAGAGGGGGTTCCGCGGGGCGAATGGCGGCGTTCGCGGGACGCGGTCTGGCGCGGGCCTCTCGGGAAGCAGATTTGCGCGCGAGGACGAGCCTGGTGATCGGTATGCCGGCGCCGGCGAGGAGCGAAGAGGCGGCCGCGGCCGCGGTAGGGGTCGCGGTCAAGGGCGGGGTGGACGGGGAGGCCGAGGTGGATACGGCAATGAGCACGAGCGCGATCCCGCGTCCAACGGCGCACCCGAGGCCAAGCCTGCTGTCGCGAAGCCCCCCGCGCCGGCGCCGGTCATCAGCACCGAGGAGTTCCCTGCTCTGCCTGGGAAGACCACGGGCGGCGATATGTCGCCGCCAGTCCTGTCGCCTCTCGGCCGTTGGGACGACGAGATGGAGGCATTCGACGCCAAGTTGAAGAGCGCCGCTGACGCTGCGAAATAAGCGGGCTACGGCTAAACGAGGCACGAAAAGAGGCAGGGTGGGTTGGATCACAAAACAGCGACGATGCATCTTTGCGCACTGCCATGAACGGAAAATGAGTAGCACTTTTGGTTTATTATAATTCGCTTCCAAGCATGGTCCCCTTTCAGCGGGCGCACCCAGGCGTCGAATATGTAGAAGGCCCCGTTATCAGCGTAAATACATGAAGTTCTCTGCCGACTTATCGTCGTCGCTTGAGACTAAACTCAACTCCTGTGCTGATATCGGGTATCTTCCTTTAGCCAGACGCTTTCTTCCAGCGCGAGCCGTCCTCTGATGCCAGAATCGAGGCCTAAAAGACTTAGTATGAAGCAAACGGAACTCCAGTGGTTCGTCACCCACGTTTTGCATTCTGTGAAGTAGATGCTGAAAATCACGTTCTTGCTCCTCCAAACCCGTGGCATAAACTTCCATCCGGGTGGTTCCGCGAGTCGCGGTTCGAGGGTCCATGTTCCTCGGGAAGCGTAGACATCCGGGATAATGCTGCGACGCTTCTGCGCTCTACGCCTCGGCGATGGGCGATTCGTCGGCAAAGGCTTTTTTTCATGATGTCGTCCGGTTGCAGCCTGTTTACCATCCGCCACGGTATCCTCTGCCTCCGCGACCGCGATAACCACCGCCACTTCTGGGTCCTCTGGGACCACCAGGCCCCATATTGTCGTCCTCGATCGGCGCCCGCTGGCGATGGCGCATCTCCTTCGGGAATGCGTCAAATGTCTTGCGCATTTGCGCGTAGCCCAAGTGCATCTTTCCGTAAAAGTGGTCCGCTAGACGGCGGTCGTTGTCTAGTCTGCTCAGGTAGGCGCCACAGACGTCGCAGACCTGGAGCTTCTGGTGGCCGGACGGGCCCGAAGTGTCGGAGAGAGCCTTGAGCTCCTTCTCGCGGTCGATTTTCGTCTGCTGCGCTTGTCGCACGCGGTAAAACTCATCGATGGCGCGAGACACTTCGCCCATCTCGCCTAGGATTTCGACTTCGAGGGTGCCGTTGTGGATGGTGGAGGAGAGTTCTGATATGCTTTTCAACTGTGAAGGATTAGTCAAATGCTATGGAAACAACGACAACATGGATAATCTACCAGAGCGTTTGTTTGACGGATCTCATCGGGCGTCTTTTCGAGTCGGCGTTGCGCCGAGTCTATCCTCCTGTTGCAGTCGTCGATGTACTTTTGGAGATCTCGCATGTAATCGTACTCGAATCCATACTTTTGCTTGTCCTTCTCCGACAGCCCCTCGTACTCAGCCTTGAGCGCCTCGGAGTGCTGTTTCGGGCAGGGTCCCAGGTCCTGCTTGGTATTTGTGAAGAGATCGTGAGGACATGTGCCGACGAGGAAGGATCTGCAGACTTTGGGGTCGGTCATGGAAAGCGAGGCGGCGCGGGTACTGGCAGAGCCGCCCATAAGCTGCTCGAGCAGCTTTCTCTGTTCTGCAGCCATGATATGATTTGTTTAGTGGTGTTTCGTTGTGGTCGTGCTGTGTCGTCTATCGTGAATGCGTTCGTGGGGATAATCGGGTGTTTTCGTTTGGGCGGAAAGAATCTCTCGAAAGCTCGGGCTGGGGAAGAAAGCGTGTCGCGCGGGATGGGCCAGGTCGGAGTGGACCATGGGCGGAATGTGGAGAGCTGTAAAGGGTGCGATTTTGGCAACTCAAAAGCTCTTGGTTACGTAAGGGTCATTCTGCCAGGACCCACCGCCTCCCGCGTCCCTCCAAGCGACCACCTTCGCGACCACGACTCTCACTCCACGGGACCATCCATGCGCTGCTGTGCAGGGGAGAGAAAGCAGCAGACGTCACCCTCGTTGTTCTTTTGCGCTGCGATTCCTCTTCTCAAGATGCGCCAGTTTCTGGCCGCCGTTCTCTTTTCTTGTCTGGCTTCCCTCGGCCTGGCTGCGGATTACCACGAGCAGCTCAACCTCCGTCCGCTGCCCCTTTCGGCATTGCTTGCAAGCTTCAACTTCCGGTCCAACACATCACTGTCCGATTTCGAGTCGCAAAATTTCCGATACTTTCCACGATCGCTCGGACAGATCCTACAGTATGCCGGCACGAGAGAGCTACATCTGAGGTTCAGCTTGGGACGATGGGACGCCGAGAGTTGGGGGAGTCGGCCCTGGGACGGCCAGCGCGAGGGCGGAACGGGCGTGGAACTGTGGGCGTGGCTCGAGGCCGAGACGGATGAGGAGTACGGTTTCCCTCCTCAATGCCGCGCGACACTGACTGACAGATATGCAGGGCTGATCAGAAGTGGTTGACCCTCACCAATGCTCTCTCGGGTCTCTTCTGCGCATCACTCAACTTCGTCGACGGAACCCGAACCACCCGCCCCGTTATGTCATTTCAACCAGAGGGTGACCATCCCGAGGCCTCTATCCCGAACATGCAGCTTCTACATGGTGTCCTTCCGAAAGAGGTGGTCTGCACAGAGAACTTGACTCCTTTCTTGAAGTTGCTTCCCTGCAAAGGAAAGGCTGGCATCTCAAGTCTCCTGGATGGCCACAAGCTCTTCGACTCTTCCTTCCAGAGCATGGCGATTGACATCAAGCCTGTGTGCCCCGAGGGTCAGGAGTGCATTCTGCAAATCGAACAGACAATAGACATGGTTCTCGACATCGATCGATCCAAGCGTCCCCGAGACAACCCGATCCCTCGCCCACCACCGAGCCATGAACTGAAGTGCGACACCTCGAAACCCTACAACTCCGATGACACGTGTTACCCGCTTGGTCTCACCACCGGTCAAGACTGGGCACTCTCCCAGCTGTTCGGCAAGTCCATCAAGGGAACATGCCCCCTGACGGATGAGGACGTTCCTCCAGTGTGTATTGAAGTGCCTCATTCGAGAGGTGTCTTCACATCTGGAGGAGCTGCAGAAATTCTGAACCCAAACGGTGCATCCAGATGCTTTAAGATTGGGTCAGAGTCGGAGCTCGAGATTGTTCTTCCTCTTGAGAACAAGGAAGGTCAGGATCCTACTAAGGAGCTTGTCGAGCCGCCTACCCCTCTCATCTATGCTGAGCGCAGTTTTACCGGACACGGTCAAGAACATGGTGGCATGCAGGCCATTCTCACGAATCCGAGCAAGGATACTGAGGTGGAGTTTATCTACATGGAGTCGCTGCCTTGGTTCATGAGGGTGTATCTCCACACTCTGAACGCCCGTATCGAAGGTTCTGCGGGTTCGCAACCGCCCGTTATTGAGGACATCTACTACCGCCCTGCTGTCGACCGTGCCAGAGGCACGCAACTCGAGTTGCGCATGCGCATTCCTCCCTCTTCAACTGTCTTCCTAACCTACGACTTTGAAAAGTCAATTCTTCGCTACACGGAATACCCGCCTGATGCTAACCGCGGTTTCGATATTGCGGCGGCGGTCATTACTACATTGAGCCCACGTACGCAAAGTACGCGGACTACCACCCTGCTGCTGAACCTGCCAACACCAGACTTCAGTATGCCATACAATGTCATCATCTTCACGTCGACAGCAATTGCGCTCGCTTTCGGCGGCATGTATAATATCCTAGTTCGGAGACTGGTCGGCGCCGATGAAGGCCCCAGCCCGGTTCTCAAGGCCAAAATTGGCAGACTCTTGGGAAAGATTAAGGGTTTACTCTCTAAGAAATAGAAAGATGTGTTTGTGTTCTTGTGTAATGATCTTCTTGTCCGCTACAGGCACCGGATGACTTCGTGAGACACATCGGCTATGCTGTGTTCCGTTTGCTCTCGCCCGTCCTAAGTTCAGACTTGAGACCCACGAGGTCTCGTGCGTTCAGTCAAGAATACCGGAGATTTGCCATGATCCAAGGGGAGCCAAGCGACAGCTTCCCGCTATAGAACGGCAGAAGCGGGCGGGTTCATGTGGTAGCCCCGTGTCTCTACTGCTGTCATGCTCTCCAACGAAGCGTCAACGGAAGATTAGCGTTGCACAGGTACTACCCTCGCGGATGCATAGAACACTCGACCAATCGAGTGTGACCAATCTTTCACATCTTTATGGAACCTAGATCTTCACTTCGGTTGGCTTTCGGGCCTGTTTTGTGAACAGAAGACATCCACTCTCTGCCGCCTGCCTGTTCCTTGACATGGGGTTTTGGGACAGCTCACCACCCTTGCCTCCCCTTTCTGAGTCTTTCAGATTGAATTAAAGGGCTGAAGTTGTTCTTGGTATCTGTCAATACTTGTTTTACGCGGGTGCCAGGAACATCAGCAGTGCATGTAGACAGCCACGTCTTCTCGTTCCTGCGATATTGCAATGTAATATGGGAGCAGGTCTTGAGTTATAGGTTACGTGCTACTCCGACATTAATGTCGGCTTCTGGCTGAGACGATCTAGTCATCTTTGTTTTGCTTGTCATGATTCAAATAAGGGCTCAAGAGCTGAAAGAGTCAGAAGACAGGGCTGGCGAACAGTTACCTTTTCATGATAACCGCCCAAGCTCCCAACCCAGCTGGATCTCAAATATGCCAGTTATAGATAACTAACTTCTCATATATTCTGACCGCGCAAAATTTCATGAAATTTCGTTTACTGCTTCCGCAGGCGTTTGTTGTTTGTTTCTACTTGGGCTTTGAACGGCGCGAGAAATGCAGGCTGCCTCCCAGCCGGCATCGCGCATGAGCATTCAGGCACAGAATATTCACTGAGGCGAGTATCCCAGCTTCTCGCGGTCCATATGAAGACAGGAAAATCCGAAAATTCCTAACGCATCTCTTCATCTTCATCCTGATCAATCGTAGAAGGGATACATCAGTAAAATTGGCTATCATGCTCCTTGAAACCGCAGTCGCAACACTCTTCTTGGCGGGTGTCAGCTTGGCACGGTTCGGGAACATGGCAGGAAGTTTGCAAGAGACCCAGCAACACAAGCCCAGGCGATTCATACTGGAGTTTTCAAAGGCAAGTATCCAGTAACAGATTCGCTGAACACAACCGCTAACGAACGATACCAATGGTGCAGGGGTCGGACTTTAATCAGCTTAGTTCTGGCTTCTCTGGCTTTCCGGGAGCTCAGGTGTACAAAACGTTTCAAAGCGATGTCTTCACCGGAGTCAGCATCGAAACCACCAGTGAAAGTGCAAAGGCCCTCCAGGTCCGCTTTGGTGCGCTCAATGTATGGCCATCTAGGCCAGTCCAGATGGCTCTCGCTGAGAAGGGTCGCACCTTTAGCGAAGATGTGTCTGCGGCTAACTACACCATCCACGGCATCACCGGTGTTGCAAAGCTTCATGAGCAGGGCATATTAGGCAAGGGCGTCAAGGTCGCCATTGTTGACTCTGGCGTAGACTATGATCATCCTGCTGTAAGCGACCTCATTATATGATGAGACAGTCCTCTCTAATATTGCATCCAGCTTGGTGGGGGTTTTGGCGAGGGCTTCAAAGTCATTGGCGGCTACGACCTTGTGGGAAGTTCAGGTGAGAACTAAAATTGAGATGTTCAAGGGTGGTGACTGATCTATATCGCAGCTTGGCCTGTTGAGGGTTACGACAAAAGACCCGACAGCGACCCCTACGAGGAAAGTGAGATCGGGCACGGTACACATGTGTCAGGCATCGTTGTCGGAAAGTCAGCCAGGTACCTTGTCACATATTCTTTTGTTTCTACCCGATATCTCGTGACTGTTGCGTTGGCTTACCTATGTGTAGCTGGCAAGGAGTCGCTCCTGAAGCAAGTATCTTATCCTACAAGGTCTTTGGCGCCGGCAATGTAATCAGGCTTTCTCTTTCAATCAAGTAACAGGTGCTGACATCATATTCCAAGAGCGGCGGCACAGATGAAGAAACCCTGATTGAGGCTTTCCTGATGGCATATGATGATGGTGTACATTCTAATTCCCGGGAGATCCGCTGAGACAAATCGCATTGCTAACTACACTTCAGGCCGACATCATCACTTCGTCCATTGGAGGCCGGGGAGGCTTTTCAAACAATGCCTGGGCTGAAATCGCTTCACGCCTCGTGGATAGAGGTCTTGTTGTCACCATCTCTGCCGGCAATGATGGCGCCGGCGGTGCCTTTCTCGCCGACAACGGCCAATCCGGAAGAAGTGTGCTCTCTGTAGCCTCAGCTGAGCCGGAGTACGTTCCTGGAATGCCTTTCGACGTGATATTCAAATACAAGAACGGCGACATTGAGACGAAGAGATTCGGCTTCTTCCATGGAAGTCTAGCCCATCCCTTCCCTGTCAACATAAACTCCTCCGGCCTTCCAGTCATTGCACTCTCGTTTGACCCCTATAACGTCACTATTGGCTGCCGCTTCTTGAGTCCAGAGTCTCGCAATTTTTCAGGTGCTCTGGTTCTCGCTCCTCGGGGAGGTTGCAACGCTGCCACAAAACGATATACGCTACATTCCGCCGGAGCTGAGTACGTCATGTTATACAATGATGATAATCTATACCCCCTGGAAGGAGACTTTGGCATCTCCAAAGTTGAGGGCCTAACAGCACAAAGCATGGGTGTCCAGATCCTCGCGGCTCTAAAAGATGGCGCCAAAGTCACAGCCAGATTCTATAACGAGTCGTACGCGTCATTTGTCAACCTGAAGAACCCCGATGTTGTGAGCTCAAAGTTCACCTCGATGGGTGGGCTGTACGACCTCCAAATCAAGCCGGACATTGCCGCACCAGGGTCCAACATCTTCTCAACCATGCCAGGAAGGAGATATGGTCTCATGTCGGGTACTTCAATGGCGACACCTTATGTGGCTGGCGTCGCTGCTCTTTACATCGGCAAGTACGGCGGCAGGGCGACTCATGGCCCTGGGTTCGGCAAGAGACTTTCCGCTCGTATTCTGGCAAGCTGTGACTCCGCTCGATGGCACAATGGAAATAACATGACAGACTACGGTACCTGGGCTCCCGTTTTCCAGCTTGGAAACGGCCTGGTGAACGCTACCAAGGTCATGAACTACCAGTCAGAGTTGTCCTTCGCCAAATTTGCGCTCAATGATACAGTCAACTTTGTTCACACTCATTCTGTCAACATTACAAACAACTGCACTGGCCCAATCACATACAGGTTCTGCCTGCATGCAGCTGGCGGGTACGAGGTCTTGGACGATACTGAGGCGGCATCCATCAAAATGGGTCCTCAATACACAAATTTCGTCCCCATGGATGTGACGCCGGTCCCAGGTGTGACTTTTCCCGAAGGTGGGTTCACTGTAGGTTCTGGCGAAACCAAAGAGGCGAGGTTAGTTCTCTTTCTCTCAACACTTAATCCTTTTGACTATTAATGTCTTGTAGGATTACCTTTGCGCCCCCCAAAGGGTTTAACAGTTCAGCGATGCCCCTCTACAGCGGCAAGATTCTCGTCCTCGGATCCAACGGCGAAGAATTGGCTATACCTTATATGGGCGTTGCCTCTGACATTCGCAACAACTTCAGAAAAATGTTTGTCGAAGGCACTCCTAACATATATTCGGGACGAGGCGCGATGCCTATCATGTATAAGTCCAAGCGAGTGTCTTCTCACATGGCTTTTTTTTTTGTGACATTCTAACGAATTTAAAGCTTCACATTTAATCTCTCGTACTATGAGCAAGATTTCCCGAGGCTTCAAGTCAAGCTCCGCTATGGCGCACAAGTCTTGCGCTGGGATATTTTCGAAATTGGTTGGAAGGAAACAAGTTGGGGGACATACCCACCTATTCCTGGCAAAGACGGCTTCGTCGGCATGGCGGCTACCTGGGTATGTCTGGTTTTCTTGACACACTTGCATTAACAGCTTTGCATTCATGAAATAACAGTATATCAGGATAACGAAAAACACTCAGCGTACTTTGATCCGGACTTTCATGACGAGTTTGATCTGGTCAGGGGCCCTTTGACAGAGTTAGCTCGCGATGATTACAACTACCCGCCATACCAGGCGTGGTGGCTGGGGCGGTTGGCTAACGGCCAGAAAGTCAAACCCGGAAATTACGTGTGAGTCTATGTCTTCATTAAAGGAGTGAAGTTTTGTTTTCAGCTTTGACTGACATATATATGACAGGATGCGTATTGCTGCACTGTCTCCGTTCGGAGATCCTACCAAAAGCGACCACTGGGACATTTGGAGGCATGATTTCGAGGTCATTGGCAACCAGAGGGAATCTAGTGGGTGAGAGAGTCCTGTGCTTATGGTATGCGAGCGCCTCACTGCTCGAAATCCCGCAGAGGCAGCCACCATCGTCAATGGAGATGTTACCAAGAAGTCTGAGTTGCTTGCACACTTCTACGCGGTATGATTAGTTACCATTGGTCGGAATTGTCAAATCAAAGGCAGGATTCTGTCTAAGTCTTTCACTTCGAGTGTAAATACCTGGATTCAAGAGAGGAATATTAGCTTTGTGACATTTGCAATTCTTGGCTTTTTGAGTGTCCCTTACCTGACCTAATTATGCTGAATCACCAAGTACAGTGAGCAAGGCACCACTAATACGCTAGCTTCTAAAGTTTCATCTTCATAACCTTCACAGAACATCATTCAACACCAACGATTATGAAGGCTCTGGTTGCATACAGTTGGTAGTTGTGCAAGGTGGTCGCTGAGCCGATGAGATTGGTGGGACGAACTCGGAAACCAACGGCAGAGCAGCACTAGTGTTGATGACTGTCTAGCCACTCTCTGCTTGATACACTAGATGGTCTCCAAAATGGCGTAGGGATCACCATGTCAGATTTCCGCCCTAAATTGACATGTCCCTCATATCCCCACTTTTCCACTTCTCCAGAAACGTACTGACGTGCTACCTTCCAGTTCACCTAAACAATGAGTGCCAACTTAACCTGCGTATCCGAGTCCGGACGATCTTTGCAAGAGCTATTTTTTCACTCATGACGAATCGGTTTAGATACTATTCAAGTTGATCAGGCGAAAAAAAGTCATGGCGGACTCAGCACAGATAGCTCCAGAGCTCCCAAACGATACAGATTTTGACTTCAGTCAATTCTGCCTTTTCCCTTCCGATGGTATCTACGACAATGGTTCCTCTAGTCATTCGCAGGCTCAGCGAACTGACGACGAAATACGACAGTTAGACAGCGGTATGGGGTCGCCGTCATCAAGTGTCTCGGGAGGCGTGCCCCTGTCTGACAATTTTGAGAGCGGTGATCCGGGTCCCACGATTCCAGATGACACGAATACTTCGGTCGCGAATGTGCTGCCCAAAGCCGGAAGCCGTTTCACCTCCGCTACTATTAGAGTCCTGAGAACATGGTTTGATAACCACGAACGCTACCCATACCCCACGCCAGAGGAACTCGAGAGGCTACAAAAACAGACGGGCTTGAACAGACAGCAGCTCGTGAATTGGTTTGCCAACGCCCGTCGTCGTAGAAGGTTCCGCTCAAATGGGGCCGCATCTCCAAGGATCCCATCATGGGCCGATTCCGCTTCCGGATCTATCGACATTCCTGCGCGGCGACCCACGCCCATGCCTTTTGAGCAAATGAACCCCCTGCAAAGATGGGAACATTCGCCTCCAGAGAACGAACCTGCGTTGGTATCTGACATCTCCCGTGCCGTCGCCGCATCAACAAAGCATTCGGTTCGTCCAAGCCGATCACGGTCTTCTGCCAGGTCATCTGAGAATGCCTCATCGATTAGCAGCCTCAGGACCTCTCACTCGAGCCGAGCCTCGAGATCCAACGGTTCTGCATATTCCTATGATTCGAACACGTCGCCTAGTCCCCTGCATGGGATAAGAAAGGATTCAAGTCGGCGGAAAAGACGAGCGATCACCAAAAGTCAAAAGGGCAAGCCGATAAGTCTGATGCAAACAAGCAATCCCTATCAATGCACTTTCTGCGCAGAGACTTTCAAGACGAAATACGACTGGCAGCGGCACGAAAGAACCCTTCACTTGTCACTTGAGGAGTGGATTTGTTCGCCACAAGGTTCCACCGAGATCGACCCCGAGAAAGGCGTCATATGCGTCTACTGCGAGGAGGAAAACCCAGACCAACATCATCTTGACGGCCATCATCAAGCAGTTTGCTCAGACAGACCACTTGCAGAACGCACCTTTTACCGAAAAGATCACCTGAGGCAACATTTGCGACTCGTACACAGGACGAAGCAGATGACAAAATGGGCAGAAAGGTGGGGAATCACGACAGATGATATTCGATCAAGGTGCGGGTTCTGTAACCTCACATTTGAGTCATGGTCCTGTCGTAAAGATCATATCGCGGACCACTACCGCAACGATGGTAGCACGATGTCTGACTGGAAAGGAGATTGGGGGCTCGAGCCTTCTGTGATTGCCAAACTGGACAACGCTATGCCGCCATGTAAGTACTCGCCACCCCTCAAAAAATAAAAATGAAAAAAATAGCTCGAATAGGCTGACTCGCAGCCATAGACCTGATTCAGTGGGAGCAAAGTGCTCCAGTACCCTTTTGCGCAGGCAATGGGCCAGCCGATACATCACCGAGCGCTTACGAGTTGCTCAAGCTGGAGTTGGAGTACTTTGTGCGCAACTTCTTTGAAGCAAATGAAAACTTGCCTTCAGATAACGATCTAATCTATGAGGGTTGCAGTATCATCTTCGGTTCAGAATTCTTCTTTCCTGATCTCGCAATAACAGCTTCCTCTTGGCTTCGAGACCTTTTCATGAGCTCGACTGACATGGCCGCGAAGGCTCGCCTCCGGCCAATGAACCAGTTGGCAAAGCTACGCATGAGCCAACTCCGGATTAAAGGCAAAGCAGACATTTTTGAAGACTGCGAGCTGGAGTCTCAACTTTGCCGGCATCTCAGAGAGCACATGAGCCTGGGATTGGCTCTTTCGGATGCTGACCTCCAGCAGGAAGCATGCGCTACTCTATATCGCGTTGAATCATCCTCGACTAACCCCTCAACAAGATTTGCGGGATTCTTGGTTCGACTGATATGGGAGTCGACTGACTGGATTGTTCCTCTGCGCCAAAGAGCGGAGCAATTTATTGGGGATCCATACCTGGGTTTCGGCCCAAGCCAAGCCACGCTGGAAGTATTGGCTGCTGATCAGCTTGCCGGCTTTTATGGCGGACTTGCAGAGCTGGGCCAGTTGACTGGAGAATCAGCAAAACTGGTGGCCCCCACCGGCAACCGCGAGAGGACGAATAGCGAGATTGGAGTAGCGGGTTCTCTGGCGTCTGCGACGTATGCGAAGCCAGCCGGCCCAGAGATTCCCAAGGATTACTTTGTTAATAGTACATCAGCGGCTCCGCAAGACTTCTATTCACGCCTACAAACCAGTAAAGCGCTCTTTGCCGGCTCAGGGTTTTCTTTGCGATGGAGCGAACGTCCCGGGGGCAAGGGTATGCCTTTCTTCCTCAACGATCCGAACAGGTACCCTCGTTTGGGAGAGGAACTTTCACGTTTTGTTGCCAGCACAATGTCGCCCAACAATCCTAACAAACACATACCAACGGATGAGGAGATAAGATACCAAGCCCGCTGGATACTATATGACGAGTAAGTGGTACTATCCGCTGTCTTGCTCTGCTGACAAAATAATTTCAGCGACGACCCGTGGAACCAAACTCCAGCAGATATCGCCGAGTGGTTAAATGATTTCAAGAAGCAGGTCGGATTGCACTGATTATGCATGTTTTAAGGTTTAGTGTGCCATTATCGGGCTAATGAATGGGTATGGAAAGCAACCGTCGACGCGGATTTAGAACTTTCTAATTGTAGTACACCCGTAGCATAGACTAGAGCCCGCGCTTGACAAGCTGCTTTTCTTACAGGCAATCACTTCCGTCCATAGCATATGAAGTCAGGGTAGTCACTCTTTTATGGCTTTCATGAACTGTTAGGCTTTCTAGTATAGCAAAACAAATGTCCAATAGGCAATGTGTAGTATTCTAGACTGTGTAACGCGCCTATGTATTACATTCAGTAAGTCACCGTACCCACTTTCCGACCACCCCCCACTTCCAACCACCTAAAAATCCCTCATCGTCAACCTCATCCTCCAACTTCCAACTATCACAACTTTTTCCATACTTATCTAAATGGCCTCATCTTTCTAGGCTACCTTATTTATAGCCTAATGGTCCAGTATACCAAACATGAGCTTAATCAGGCGCTGGAGGCTATGGCCAATGGCGTTAGTCAGCGCCAGGCAGCTCATACCTATAGCATCCCAAAGACTACCTTACAAAACCGCATAACTAGCACCCAGTCAAGGGCATCAGCTTTTTCTGACTTCCAGAGGCTCTCTATTAGTCAAGAAGCTAAGCTGGCTAGCTAGGTGCAAATCCAGGCTGACCTTAGGCTTGCACCAACGCATCAGCAGGTTAGAGAATTTGCTTAGCGTATCTTGAATGCAATAAGTAATACCTAGCCTCTAAAAAAAAGATAAGTAAATGCCTTTATACAAAAAAACCTATATATTAAGGTCTAAAGAAGTTAATCTATTAATTCTAAACGTATTAATAAGGTATTTACTAAAGTTATTAGGGACTAGTTTAAATATCTTATAATCCTAGTAATATTAGCTATTTAACTAGCTAATAAATATAATATAAATAAGACTAGTATCCTTAAGGGCTAAAGAGTAAATAGGCTAATGCTAGGCAAGGTAGAGACTAAGTCTATATATAAAAAACAGCTTAGATTATAAGCCTAGGTATCTATTATTAAGTATATCTTAGCTAAGGGCCAGGTATTATATTCTTTTATTATATATAAGGGTAAAATAGTTTAATAGTAATAGTTTTTTTTAGACCTTACTTTTTATAATAAATAAAAGTTTATAACAATAAATAATAGATAAATAACTAATAAGACTACTATTAAGTGGCTACTAAAGGTCTTCTTACTACAAACTACCTCTTAGCTTAATTAAGCTAGACTACTAATCTTAGATAAGCATAAAAGCTATATAACAATAGAATTTATATAGTAATACTATATTAATAATATTTATTTATTATTTTTATTACTATATATTTTTTATATCCTTTAGCTACTAGATCTATTAGTCTTTAGTTTAGTTAAGTTAACTTATTATAAAAAGCTTTAGCTTAACCTTAATAAGTAAAATAATTTAACTATAGTTAGTAAAAAATACTTTATATCTTATTATTAGTAAGTATACTTATTTAGGCTAATAAAAAGTAATATTATAAATAGCTAAATAAGTATAGGACTATAGCCTATTAATATAACTAGACCTCTTATAAGCTCTCTGCTATTACCTAAAGCAATAGCACTAACAATACTACTTAATAAGGCTACCTAAGGTATCCAAGGTATCTAAGGTATCCAGGATACCTAGGGTATAGAGGGATAAGAATCTATTATATCTGCTATTATATAGTCTATACCTAAGAAGATAAAGGATCTTAATAGTTAACTAAACTTATTTAATAAGCTAAATTAAAATATAACTATATAATATTAACTATTTAAAAAGGTCAAAAAAGGCTTCTAAGAGCAGTCCTTTTAGCTAGCTACTGCCTAGCACTAGATACAGCTTCTCCAAGCCTAAGTTAGCAACACAGCAGTAAGGAAGAAGAAGGCTGTTCAAATCGACCCTAATACCAAGTTCGCCAACATCAGCGATATACGGAAAGCCCAGATCGAGGCTGGCAAAGCTGAAGCTGACGCAGATGAATCCAGCGCATCTGATTGCCCTAGTGAAGCAGAAAGCTGTATCATAGTTGCATCTGGCCCTCGTCAATAGTCAATTGAAATAGGTGGTTGTGTTGCGATAGCCTCGTTTTTGGGTGGTCGGAAGTGGGGGGTGGTCGGAAAGTGGGTACGGTGACTTATGAGCTACCTTTAATACGAACACTATCGCCGGAATTCCGCCGACTGAGACGCTTTTCCAAAGTGCGCCATGTCTAAGCTGTCTTATTATCTAGAGCCAGAGAACCAATATAAAAGACACGTCATATCAATGATTTAGCAGCATGCCGCTGCATGCCTGACAGGGAAGACGTTAGATGGCATATGACGGAATGCCTTCATCTTGTACCGCACTTCCCGGCCCTAACTTTTTTTCATTTTCGAATAAATTGATACCGTAGAGCTATCGGGATATGGAAGATTAGAGCCAATGCCGAGCACTCCGCAGATGCACAGGTTCTAGTATAAGAACCTCAAATCGATGTAGTCAACCGAATTCGTGCTCCCTCGCTGACTCTACGACTTCATCTCTAAAACACCATCTGCCTTACGCTTTAATTCAAAATGCAGATCTCTATTGTTTTCTTTTCAGCTTATTTCTCCCTTGTCCTGGCAAGCCAAAGTGCTGAGAAGTCCAAGATCGTTGTACGACCGAATGGAGGCAACATCCCAGGTGGTACTTTGTGTTGCACGCATGTTGCCGGCCAGTGCCATGATTACTGTGTACGGTGCTTCTTCCTCTTCCAAATTTGTTTTCTTCCGTCATTTTAGATTTTACTTTTTTCTTCACTGCTGCATTTCTTGGTGATACACTATTATCATGGGTTATTGCTGACAATCCAGTAACGGTGCGCTATTGGCTGCAAGAATCTCGTTCCCCCTGTCGCCGCTCTATAAGGCGATTCAGTCACGCCTCTTTCAGGTGCTGGCTCAAGTTCTGGTGGAAGTGTCTCTTCAAACGCCAATTTCTTAGAAATTCAATGCGAGAGGGGTATGGAACTCTGTCAATGATAGGTTCTCCAGTGCAAAGAAGAACTTATTAAAAAAGACTTTTAGACCTCTTTTTTGATATCAAAATCTTTGACAGCCCTAAGAAGATGTCAATACAGAAGTCAATGCGATATCTTGGAATTAGCTCTCAAATCGCGCAACGTATGCCTAGTTTAGCGACTGACCCGTCCGTCTCAAAACTCAAACGATGAAAAACCCTTGCTCCACCTGATAGAACTTATAGTTTTAAAATTTTCGAGTTAATCCCACCGGGAGATGTAGCTAGTCGGGTGCAAATTATGGTAACCTGTACCAGACTAGAATGCTAATGAACTAAAAAAAAATCAGTACGTTCTGCCGGGGACGTCCAAATGCGACGGATGTTCTTTGGCTTTATACTGTTAGGTAATACCTAACCTGTCTGCCAATATTTAAGTTCAAAACATCGACCTTACTCACGAGGAAATGCTTTGCGAACCCATCGTATTGTTCGGAACTGCATATATATTGGTAGAGCGACGTTAGGAGGTCCCTGTTCTCTTTAGGACTAGTCCGTCTCCTCACCGCTTGCGGAAGTCGGAAATCTGGACATCGACTTTTCCCCGCATGCCCGCCATATATAAGCTAGGCCCTGCCCCGAAGGAGCGCATTCAAATCCTGTACCAGCACCAAAGCCATCCGAGTCCTTCACTTTAAAAATCTTCGATGGTGAATATCAAGGAAGCCGCCCGAGCCGCGATAACGGCCTACGGCCTCGCCACAGAACAGGGCGGGAACGCCTCTGTGCCGTTACGAGACGTTGCCGATTCAGTGGCCTCTTTCTACCTGGCCAACTTTACGAGCTTCACCCTCGGCGGCATCACTACCTTAGAAAACCATGACATCGCCACGTCAGGCGTGCTGAAGCAACTCCAACGACTGAACCAAAGTGGACTCGGTACAGACATCCGGCTTTGCAGTGGCCGAGTCGATGTTGTTTCTTCCCAAAGCGCTCTTTGCTGGGTGACATTTGAAATCACGCCCCGGACAGACAAGATCGAAAAGTGGTCATGGACCAATGTCTATGGATTTCGACTGGAAAAGGGACGAAGCAACGGCCTTGAGGGTGGATGGGAGTCTACCAATGCCGACCAGGAATTCCAGACACTATTAGAAAGAGTACCGGACTTTTACGCGGGGGGGACCGTTTGAGGGAGAAGATAGATCAGTGTGGATCATGGCATTACACGGTTGTCTATGAAAGATCATGCCTCTTCTCTCATGAGGTCTAGTTATACAACAATTTTCCGAACGACCTCTACATCAAGGCCGCTCCCATAGCCACTCCAGCAACGAGAGCGAACAGTTCGCGCGACGCTCCGGTGGGAGCCGCGCCATTGGGGGCGTTTGCAGAGGTTGCAGCAGATGCGGCTGGTCCACTCCCCCGGATAGAGGTCTGGCGACCAGACCCTGATGTGGCGGTTGTCGTCAAGAAAGAGGCCGTTGCGTTCAGTCCGGTCGCAGGGAGGACAACAGTGGTCGATGCCGAAGGCGATGTCGCGATATCGCTTCCAGTCTGGCTCTCAACTGCCTCAGTTTCACTCGACTTGGTCTCAGTTGCGGTAGCACTCTCGATAGCGCTGGTGATGGTGCTTTCGGGGGCCGATGTGATGACGGACGGCAGCGTAGTCTGGGCGACAGCCGTGGCGCTGGTCTTCAGAGGCAGGAACGAGGGCGAGTACGTCTCGGTGCCCTCATACGAGCCGCAGCCCGGAACAGTAGTCTTGGGAGGGGCGCGGCCACCACCGCAGTCGAGGGCGGCGCAGATCTCGCCGGTGTCGGGAACGTACCAGACACGGGTCGCGTAAGGGGTACCGCCTTGAGTGGGCGTGACGATGGTGTCGGAGGAGACGCAGCCGGCGAGGTCAGTCTTGGCCAGGACGGCGGTTGCTAGGACAGCGACGGAGGCGATGAGTCTGAAGGACATTTTGGCGACTTCCCAGATGATGTTGGGTTGGCTTTGTTGGTGATTAAAGACTAGGTAATGTACTCAAGTGATGATGCTTATATTCAAAGAACGTGATGTTGAAAGAACGAGTGTGATGATCCGAGGTTGACGTTCGGCTTCGGTGCTTCGGGCCAGAGATGGAGGATGAAAGGAAAGGGAAAACCACGAATCCAAAGCTGTTGTCCAAAGGCCCTTTTTGATTGATATTTTGCATGACTGTTCGATCATGACGGGCCTAAAACCCCGGGTCTAATGACGCCTCAGATGGTGCTAAGCGGGCCTGAGACGGGAGTCGCACGCCACCTCATCTCGGAAGCAGCTAGCGGTCAGCGAGACGATCCTCCCACGCCCAATCCAACGGTTTTGTGATGCTGTGGCTGTTTGTTGTGTCTCATTAAGTGCCGAAGGCCGGGTTTTATTGCTGATTCATGCCCTAAATGCAATAGCCTACTGGACTGAGCGCATACCACTCGGCTGCCCAAATATCATGAAAACTGGTAGCTGCGCCGCCCCCTTGACGGGATTCCGCCGGCCACGAACGGACGACAGGTAGCGCGTATCCGTGCCAGGATTTCGATCCTTCCACGACGTTTTCCCCTCTCGTTTCCCACTTTTCTTTGCTTTTCTTTGCTTTTCTTTGCAGGAAATACGAACTGGGGTTTCGGATCCCTTTTTCTTCTTTTGCCAAGCCAACAGACAATTTCGGCAGCTAATACGCTGAACCAGTAGATGAATTTGGTCAATCAACGAAGCACGCATTGAATGTTGTGGGGCACATTGTCGGAACATATTGTGGTCAGACTGGTTCTGGTTCTGCCAGTGATGCTGATTACGAGCTTTTGCTATGACTTTCATCCCTCAATAAAGATGCGAGCCTAACGAAGCTAAGTCCAGCAGAAATTTAACTGTTAAACGGCTATACTCATTACAACTTCCCCTTTCCCGGTTTTTTGCGCTTATCAATCGACACATATACAGCTTCGGCTTTCGCAAGCACTGTGCCCACCTCGTTCATCAACATCACGTCAACATCAAGCTTCAGACCATCTATTCTTCTCAGGAAAGCTGTCACAGCCACTGTCGACATTGTTGGAACCGGTTTCAAGTAGCTGATGTTGAGACTCATGGTCACCTGCGGCAGAAACTCCAAGAATCCATGCGCCTTGTTGATCCAGCAGATGGCTCCAGCGCACTCGTCGAGGATAGATGCGACCACTCCGCCGTGGCACAAACTTTTGTCCATGGTGCTCACGCCGCGGCCCAGAGTCAAAAAGAACCGGCTTCTTGTGACAAATCGCTGGTCAAATGGTCGCTGGTCTGGCCCCTCTGCGTCCAAGGTCCGTTCGTCTGACTCGGGCGGTAGGTAATAGGCGCCGATAAAGAATGGAACTGTTGTGGCGCTGTGTAGCGTTGAGCCCCAAAACTCAAAGGCGCGAACTTCAGGATCGAAGACGCGGCTGACAGGCTCTCGAATGATTATGTTCGGTTCAGAGACTTCTTTGGCGACCCATGAGATGGCCTGGAAATGTGCCATTTGGCTCTTGCTCGGTTCGACCATCGTAAAAAGCCGTGGTAACTATTTGTAAAATACAAGGGTCTGATGTTCTGATAAATCAAAAAGTAAGCTTCAGTGGACCACAGCAGGCATATATATGAAAACAAACACAACTTATTTTATTTTTCAACTTCGATAATTTGGTGCTGACATACCCATTGGATCTGACGTGAGACCTACCTCGGGCTTAGTTAGTATGTAACCTGCAGATTTCAAGGTAGTTAATTGCCGTACGGGACATTTTGCCACTAAGGCCTGTTTCTATTTGCGATGTGGGGAGCCTGCAATAGTTCGCTGTACGCTTACTATCAAAACTCGTGTGTTCAACGGACAAAGCATTGGCCATAAAGTAATCAGGCACAAAGTTCATAAATTCAAATATCCTATGTCCTTGACTAATGTCGTAGTACAGCTAAACTCTGGTCGCAGACTTCCTCTGGAAGAGCTCAAGACCGCAGAAGCAAAAGTGATGTCATTGGCTTGCTGCCTTTTGCGTTTCCGTCTTTTCTAGTCATTTTTCTTTCCTCCATTTGTTTCACTAATTTTCAAATCCTCTTATCATACTTGAATGACCTTGGCCATTAAACACACTGCTTGGCCTTATCCTGACGTCCTGGTGCGGTTCACAAGTTCCCACTTGAACCCATGAAGTGGACCAAGCACGCCATATGTCTGTTTCAGCACAAAGAATAAGCTTAATGATGAGCATACATGGCCCATCATGCATTTTACCTCTCCAAGGTATGCATCTAGATTTTTGACCCAGGAGATTCAGAGGTAGAGTGCAAAGATCTAGATCCCTTTGATTGCTCACAACGACAATCTCTAGAGTTGAATTCTGTAGTCTTGATCTTGAGAGCACCAATATTAAATGAAACATGCATACTCACTGCACGTATGAAAGGAGCGAGTTGGGAGCTTTCGCGAATTCCTAAAAATATGATCTCACAAAAAACTTTTTCTTACAAATGGGACTTCTTAATACCCTTCAACGAGTTCCCTACTTTTCCTTGCTCTTGGGCCTGATGCTTCGTGAAATTGTATTCACGTTAGAGCTGTTTTCTTGTAACTTCCGAAGGCCGAAGGGAAAAGTTGAGGATGATGTTTGTTGGTTAGCGCTGAGTAGCTCCAGAATTAAGATCGGAAACCGCAGTAGGACTCGTCCCCGAGACTTCGCGAGTGGATGTATTTGGATTAACGAGGCGCCATGTGCTGAGGGTCTGAATGGTTCACCAGGCTCCATCCGCGGCTCGTGGTTCCGGCCGTCGGGAAAAGTCCGTCTCGGCAATCTTGGCAATGAGATTTTCTGCCCTGGAAGGATAACTCTTGGCAAATGTAACCGTTTACAGTCTGCTAGTCATATGCATGTTTCCTTTCTTTCTTCAACGCAATTGGGATCAGCCCTGGAATGAAGAATACCCAGTGTCCTCATATCTGCGTGACACAATGAAAGCACCAAGTTGAACGGCAGTCGGTTTACACTACTAGCTCGGCTCCGACGACAACCGATTGCCGCTGTGGATGTGAGTTCCAAGCGATGTGGGAATGTCTTGGACAAACAAGCCTCCACGGTGGGTGCTCTGATTTGCTTGCTCGGCCCGATGTAACCTAAAACTTACGAAAATCCCCCACAACCCGGCAACATGAGGTCGTTGATAGTTTTGATTTATCAATCTCATCTTATCAGATGGGAAATATGGAGACAGATGACGATGATCGCCGAGGAAAAATCAATCTACTCTTCGGAAATGACCCGCACTAAATACGAGCAGAGGGTATGCCTGACAAAGCTGCGGATCAAGGCACTGCAATGTTAAAGAAAATTTGATGTTGAAGCATGGGCCGATTGACCGATGTCATGAGAAGGGCGGCAGTTATGTCCACATCCGGCAGTATACAAAAGCCTCTAGACATTCCTTAGCTTGGAGGGTTTGCTATTTTCTTTCCCAAGGCCTCGCTTCCTGTCAACCAACCATCAGCCTGCAGTCACAATGCTCCGTTCTATCTCTCTCCTCAAGGCCACTGCTGTCCTTAGTCTCGGCCATGCGATATCGGCTCAAAACAGCACGACTAACTCCTGGCCATGGCAGACCTACCGCTCTGAGCCCGCATTGCAGCCCCCCTCCCTGAAGATCACTCAGACCGGCGACATCGCAGAGGGTCACCTCTTCTTCGGCCAGTCCGGCTCTGGCGCCCATAACTACTCCGTTTTCATCATGAGCAGCGACAACGAGCTGATCTGGGAGGGCCCGTACGGCGACGTCTCCGCTTGGCGCGCTCAAACATTGGATGGCGAGCCCGTCTTGACAATGTACACAGGTATCACGATGCCAGAGCCCTATGGCTTCGGCTACGGTGCCGTGTTCATCTATGACCAAACCTACCAGAACATCTACAACGTTACCCTTGCCCAGCACAAGGATGGTCTTAATTTGCAGACCTTCACCAGCTGGGATTCTTCCGGCCTCACAAACGGGAGCTGGATCGACATGCATGAAGACCTTATCACGCCCCAAGGCACCATGTTTTTCCCAGCCAACAACGTCACACAGACGGATCTGACCTCTGTTGGTGGCCCTACAGACGGCTGGATCGTTGACTCCCTCTTCTTTGAGATGGACATCAAGACGAACGAGATCCTCTTCCAGTGGAGCCATCTGGACCACTTGGACGAAATCCCTCTGGCTGACTCTGCTGTGGTCTACCCTCTAGAGGATCTCGGGAGTAACCAGTCGTACCCCTGGGGACCATTTCACATCAACTCGGTTGAGCGATTTGCGGATGGCGGCTTCTTGGTGTCATCACGATACTACTGCTCCATCTTCAAGATTGCCCATGATGGATCGGTCGAGTGGACTCTGAGCGTAAGTTTCACTCCTTGTCTTGTAATGAGTTGCAACTGACAAACGTAGGGTCGCACTGGTGGCTCCTTCGCTCTGAAGAACGGCCTGTCCTTCTGCTACCAGCACGATGCTCGCATACACGCCGAGGGCAATGGCACTACGCTTATTTCGCTGTTCAACAACGATAATAGCGGCGTTGTTTCTGGGTAAGGCAAAACCTTTATCCAGATTTTTGGAATTTGTCATCTAATTTCACCAATGCAGTGTCAACCAGACTTCTGGCATCCTTCTGAAAGTCAATACGGCCACTTGGGAGGCTACTCTGGAGCACGAATTCATCGATCCTGAGGACACCATCTTCGCTGTATCCCAGGGTAATGTTCAGGTTCTGAACGACGGAAGCGGCCACGTGGTCATTGGCTACGGTAGCACGCCCAAGATCAAGGAATTCAATGCCGAGGGCGAATGTGTCTTCACCGCACAGTTTGGTGAGGATAAACTCATTCAGAGCTACCGAAACCACCGATCCCCTTGGGTTGGAAAGCCTTACTACGGTCCCAAGGCTTTCGCCTGTAACGTCAATAACCAAACCGAGGTCTATATGAGCTGGAATGGCGCGACTGAGAATGAAAAGTGGACGGTGTTCGCTGGCGCATCTGAGGACGCCTTGAGTGAAAAGGTTACTGTTGGAAAGACCGGCTTCGAAACAAAGGCCGTGTTTGCTGGCTCTGATCAATTCGTCCGCGTCGAGAGCGCCGGCGATGGTATCAAGACTGGTGTGTCCGAGGTTGTAGCTGTCGAGAGCCAGTGCTAGGTCAATGGTTTCTTGTCCACAACTGAGGCCTTTTATGGCATTGTCAAGGTTATCTAAACGAAAAGAACCACTCAGACGGATCGTGTAAAGTAGAAAGTAACATTTGATTAAATTTCGGGAACAGTGGACGAATCGTTACAAGCCATGAGTGATGAATCATGGATAGCTGCAAGGAACCCGCTGTCTTTCAAAAGCTTCTTTTTAGTGCACCTGCCCACTACGGTCGTTATCAGCCCCACCAACGGATGTAGATACGTTGCTTGTCCAGGGTCCAGGAGCCGGTCTACCGGGACCGAGATAAGCCACCCGCGGCTTCCAGAGCTCGTGCCCCGTGCCCCATGCATCCTTTGCTTCAAGAATCTCGTTTCCCCCGCACTCTCTGCTCATCACCGCTGGGTGCAACGTGTTGGTATTCATCGCCACTCAATTGGATCCCGGCTCTACAGGATTTACCATCGTCATGAATACTGAACGTCTCGCGGCCAGGCCTCATCCGGCCAGCAATCCCGATGGCGATTGGGTTCATCTCGGCACCAGCGAGAAGCATGAAGCTACGCCTGCTGACCTTGAGTCAATGCCTGAACGTATCGTACGGATTACTGCGGACGAGAAAGACCTCACAAAGTTCTACAACATCAAGTTTTCACCGACCAGGTCTCATCGTCTTGAGAGCTTCTACAACGAAGAGCTTGAAAGCTTGTTCAAGGCGCCGTTCGACACATATAGCCAAGAAGACAAAATCGACTTCTTGCTTCTTCGAAACTATCTGAGAAAAAACATTCGTGTCTTGCTTCTGGACCGTCAGCGAGATGAGCAAGTAAAATCCGTAGTTCCGTTTGCTCAGACTCTTGTCGACATCTGCGAGGCTCGCCAAAACATGGTCCCCGTTGACAGCAAGAAGACCGCCATGGCTTTGAATGAGACAGTCAAGAAGATCATAACAACGACAAAGGCTATCCAAGCCAAAGAGATCAAAGCAAGCGACTCGACCTTCTCGCGGGCCATGAGCACCATTGACCAGATCCGAGGTCACATTGAGGAGTTTTATGGGTTTTACGCCCCGTACGACCCTTTGTTTCCCTGGTGGTGTTCAGTGCCCAAGCAACAACTTGACGAGGCCCTCTTTGGCATCAAGGCAGTAATCGACGCCCGACTCACACAGAAAAACGGGCCCGGGTCTATCCGTGCTGCAGTCGAACCAATCGGGAGAGATGGCCTTCTCAATGAGCTTGAAGCGGAAATGATTCCCTACACGCCCGAGGAGCTCCTCAAGTTGGCTCAAGAGCAGTACGATTGGTGCGAAAAGGAGATGAAAAAAGCTTCACGCGTTCTTTTGAGCGAAGAAGGTGGCTCTGTTCGCCAGGAGATAAAGGGAAATGAGAGGATATCGGGGTAAGTAAAGCCGGATGGCTGCCTGAGTAGGAACTAACATTCTTTTAGTCTCGAAGCGGCCAGTCCAGGCTTTGGCGATGATTGGAAAGCCGCGATGGAATACGTCAAAAACAGCTATGTGGAGCCAGGGCAACAGCCGCAAATGGTTCGCGAGCTGGCTCTCGAGGGGATCGCTTTCGTTAAGAAGCATGATCTAGTCACGGTACCAGAGGTAGCTGAGACCTGGCGCATGTTCATGATCTCAGCAGAACGCCAGAAGGAGTCGCCATTCTTTCTTGGTGGTCCATCTTTCTGGGTCTCATATCCGACCCCCACAATGGATCACGACCTAAAGATGATGGTGATGCGCGGCAACAACCCTCACTTCTCTCGTGCTACAGCCTTCCACGAGCTCATTCCTGGGCATCGGCTCCAGCTCTTCATGGGCAAGCGCCACCACCCTTATCGAAAGCTCTTCTCCACGCCTTTCTTCGTTGAGGGCTGGGCCATGTACTGGGAATACGTCCTTTGGAACAGGGGTGACTTCTTTGTAAGTGCAGCGGACAAAATCGGCACGCTTTTCTGGCGCATGCACCGATGCGCAAGGATTATCTTCTCTCTCAAGTACCATTTAGGGGAGATGACGCCCCAACAATGTGTTGATATGCTGGTCAATTGGGTTGGACATGAGAGGTCGAACGCCGAGGGCGAAGTCACCAGATCGTTTGGCGGCGACTACTCCCCGTTGTATCAGGCTGGATACATGCTGGGGGCATTGCAAATGCACGGCTTGCGGGAGGAGGTGTTAACGAAGGGTCTCATGGGTGAGAAAGAGCTCCACGACAAGATTCTGAAGGCAAACACAATGCCCATCGAGCTGCTTCGGGCGCTGCTCCTGAACCAGAGTCTAAGTCCGGACCAAACCTCCAAGTGGAGGTTCTACGACTGAGCCGTAGCAGCAATATGGCAACCACATAGCGCCTGTCACACAGTTATGTAATTATGTTATGGTCGTCTCAAGACAGAATTTTCCTCCAGAACAACTTTCTTGTCTCCGTGATCCCAAACTGTCTGTTCACAGGACTGCCGATCCAGAGGGACGGATGTGCGGGGGCGGATGCGGGCTCTTAGCTTTCGGGTTATATCAAGCCGGTATTAGGTCCATCGACCCTGGAACCATATCTATGGCAGCCTCCGCTGTACTTTACGCGTATTGTCAAACCCCACACCTCTTTCGACTTCAATAATGCCGGATCATGTATATCGGAACGAGCTGAGCTACCGGGACGAAGCCGCTGGCTCAGTCGTTGACGTCTCCGGCGGGTCGGCGCTGGAGTTTCGACTTACAGCACTGAAGAGCTGGTGTTGAGCTGGGGCGGTGGGGCGTCGTGGTACACAGCCGTGCTGGCATAGATGAAATACCTGTCTCGGGTTCATCTTGAATGCAATCTATGCATCACTGCTTCCGACCTCGCGGACTATCCTCCATATGTCCTCGGTGTGAACGAGGTTGCCGAAGCGGGTTTTTTTAGGCTTGCTAATGCAAAAGTAGGACTTGCCTTCATAGGTGGAGAAACGGACAAAGCCCGTTGGCTATGTGGAGCTTGTGTAAGCCGCTCGCGGGATTTGCCCGCTTCACTCTCCGAAGCCGCATTCTGGCCAGCGACTAGTTCCGCTGGTAGGGAAATCTGGTCAAACCAAACAGAGTTGTCTTTTATCTATCCTGTCATTGTGGACGCCATCAATATTTTGAGTTCATCAGATTCAGACAACATCAGCTTCAACTTCGACGCATTTAGACCAGCATTGTGCTCATTCCCGCAAAAGTCTCTTCAGAATGACGGTGGTTCACATTGGTAAGATACCATCGCATCGTCCTAGCGACATCTCCATACCCTTATGTTGTATAAGAAACAAAATTAATTTCAACCCAAAGTTCTCTTCAAATTCCGCTCGGATGTCTCAGACGAACACAAGGAGACTTTCGTCCGCGAGCTTAAGACACTAAAGTCTCTGTCATGCGTCAAGGACCACCGCTTGATCGTAGGCGGACCTTCCGTCACGGATCCCATCGAGAGAAGTAAGGGGTATCATTTCGCTCTGCTGAGCTTTCATCAAGACCGCAAAGCGCTTGAGGAATATCAAGCAAGTGCGGAGCACCACAGGTAAGCACTTAAGCCCATGCCGTAATGATAAAGCTAATCTAAATGTCATGAAGGGTTACCAGCAACTACCTCTGGCCGTTCAAAGAGGACGTCACAAGGTTTGATTTCGAGGTTGCAGAGGAGGACGAGTACATGTGCCAGTTTGTCGCAAAGGGACTAGCAAATGGATCTGCCTAGACGTTTAATGTCTGCGGTTTTGCTGATAGGTATTAACGTCAGCAAATGATAGAGGACGCAAAAGCATACGCGGGCTGTGAAGTCGTTTTTTCTACCGAGTAGCATCTGGGCTACTGTTAGAGAAACCTAGTCCTCTTTTTAGTATAGTTGTACATACTGAACGCACAACCAAACTAGAACTGAATTTTTCTCCGCCAGTATGTCGACCAAGCAAACATTCAATCATTTGCAGTATCTGATTCATACACATAGCATCAGCTCTCATGACTTTCATTCGTTGTGTAATGAAGGGCAATGGCTTCCTTATGCTTGATAAATGACATGAAGATCGTTAATATTTCTAAGTACGCCCCGTAGACGAAGTAATCCCGCCATCAATCACAATTCTCTGCCCTGTGATATATCTGGCCTCATCCGAAGCCAGGAACAACGCTGAATTAGCAACATCCCATGCATCTCCCATCCAACCCATCGGTACTTGGTCCTCCCTCATCTTCCTGAACGCTTCATACCCGCCTTCCTGAGGGAACCTTTGCGACAAGCTCTTTATGTACGGCGTGTCCATCAAGCCTGGCACAACCGTATTCAAGCGCACCTTCTTCTTCGCGTAGATGACCGCCGTCGCCTTGACAAACTGCATAATAGCCGCCTTTGTCGTGTTGTACGCAATCTGTGGCTTGCCGATGTACCGCATGCCCGCGATGCTGGAAACACATACAATACTGCCTCCGAATTCCTGCTTCTCCATGACGGGGAGAACATGATGACACGCGAGGTACACGCTCTTCAGATTCAAGTCCATTTGCGAGTCCCACGTCTCCTCGGCCATTGTTGCAGGACACCCCGGCTGCGACTGCCCAACATTCGTCAAGAGAATATCAATGCGGCCATGCTTGGCGAGGCAGGCGTCCACAAGTGCCTTAACGGACTCCGAGGACGTTGCGTCCGTCGCGACAACATCGCATACACCGCCAATTTCTTCGATTGCTGCCTTGGTTTTTGTTGTGGACTCGACGGTGCGGTTGCCGCCAAAGATGATGGCGCCCTGCTTGGCGAAGGTGACGGCGCACGCGGCGCCGATGCCCCAGCCGTCTGAGCCTGATTGGCCGAGGCCGATGACAAGGGCGACTTTTCCTTGGAGACTGAGCATGGCGATGGGTGACGGAAAAGGAAGTATTGGTCGGGATAAAGTTGTACAGAGCTCTTTAGTGGATTGCTCACAGCAGTGAATTGTAACAAGAGGGATTAAGCTGATTGAAACAAGTTCCAATTTTAAGCAAAGCGAAACATCAATGGAAGGAAAGACCCCGATGCCATTCTCAGGGTAATCTGGTGGCATTCCATCTCCATAGGTGTCGGGCGGAGAAAGTCCGTCACCACGGACAAGCCGCCGAAACCATCGGCCGCTCTATTGCCGACGGAATCACGACATGCGGAGTCCCCGCACCAACACCAGGGAGCTGCGGATAAGTAAGTTCTGCTAGCCAACCATAAGAAAGGAATTGTAATTCTCGACACAGCAGTACATCATCTCATTTCCAACAATCGTAACAATGAGCGAACAGTCGTCGACGCCAGAGAAAGGCGGCAAGCCCCCCGTGACGGGAGACTACGACCTCTCGACGCCTATCGACTCCAGCGTCGGTTTGCGGCAGGGTCTGACCTCGTACGGAGACAATCACTTCAGTCTCTTCCTTCGGAAAGTGTTTATCAAGGCCCTCGGCTACAGCGAAGATGCACTCTCAAGACCCATCATTGGCATCGTCAACACCTATTCAAGCTTCAACCCGTGCCATGCCAACGTCCCGCAGTTGATTGAGGCCGTGAAGCGCGGAGTGCAGCTGAACGGCGGCTTGGCCATAGATTTCCCAACCATCAGTATTCACGAGAGCTTCTCATCGCCAACAAGCATGTACCTCCGCAATCTGATGAGTATGGACACGGAGGAGATGATCAAGGCGCAACCGTGTGATGCGGTAGTGCTTATTGGAGGTGAGTTGGGTAGAGTAGTGAGACCAGTGAGATGCAATGAGACTGATGATAGACAGGGTGCGATAAGACAACCCCGGCTCAACTGATGGGCGGAATATCTGCCAACAAGCCCATCTTGCATCTTGTAACGGGCCCTATGATGCCGGGAAGTCACAAGGGTGTGCGGATTGGCGCTTGCACCGACTGCCGCAACAATTGGGCTGCTTTCAGGGCCGGCAAGATTGATATTGAGGAGATCTCGGCCATCAATGATGAGCTTGCACCCACGGTATGGTCTCGTCTACGCTTTGAACTATGAGCATTCACTGACTGTAACAGGGTGGTACTTGTGGTGTTATGGGCACCGCGTCGACTATGGCGTGCATCCTAGTTGGTCTTGGAATGATGCCGTTTAAGGGTGCCACCGCACCGGCCGTCTCGTCCACCAGATTACGAATCGCCGAGCAAACCGGTAGCCTTGCCGTTGCTCTCCACAAGAAGAATCTAAAACCGCAAGATCTGCTCACCCGCGAATCTTTCCTCAACGCAATCACAGTTCTGCAAGCCATTGGCGGCTCGACCAACGCCGTCGTCCACATGATGGCCATCATCGGGCGCCATCCCGCCGTTGCGGGAACCATCACGCTCGACACATTCGATGAAATTGGGAGAAAAACGCCTCTCCTGGTGGATCTGAAACCCAGCGGACAGAATTACATGGATGACTTTCACAACTCGGGCGGTATGCTGGCGCTTTTGCACGAGCTGAAGCCCCTGCTGCATCTCAATGCAATGACGGTGACCGGAAAGACGCTGGGAGAGGAGCTTGACAGCACGCCTTTCACTCCTATCCCCCGAGATAGTTTGGTCAACTGTCTGCAACCTTTCAACGACCCTTTATACCCGGCCTCAGCTTTGGCTGTTCTCCGTGGCAACATCGCCCCTGGCGGTGCTGTGATGAAGCAGAGTGCTTCCAAGGACCGTCGGCTTCTCAAGCATTCTGGCCCAGCGGTTGTGTTTGCAGGCTCGGCAGATATGGCTCTCCGTATCGATGACCCGGATCTGGAGGTCACCCCTGATAGTGTTCTGGTCCTCCAGAACATCGGACCTGTCGGCAACCCAGGTATGCCTGAAGCCGGTCTTATACCCATCCCCCGAAAGCTTGCCTCGCAGGGAGTGCAAGACATGCTTCGGCTGTCCGACGGCAGAATGAGTGGCACGGCAGGCGGTACCATCGTTCTTCATATCTCCCCCGAGGCAGCCGATCCCGAGTCGGTCTTGGGCATCGTCAGAAGTGGTGACATTATCACTTGCGACGTCGAGCAGCGCATCATCAAGGTCGAAATATCTGATGAAGAAATTCAGAAGAGAATAGCTGAAAAGAAAGAATCGTTGGCCAAAGAGGAGAGTAACGGAAGCAGTACCGCGCCTTGGGTGGCAAAGAAGAGAATTCGCGGCTACCGAGGACTCTACTTACGCTCAGTCTTGCAGGCTGAAGGGGGTGCTGACTTTGATTTCCTCACAGCAGATGGACCTTCTTAATTTATCAGGTAGTTATGCAGGGAGTGCATGTAAACTATAACAACTCGCGTTTATCATTTGTACATGGCCTATATCCTCAGCTGAAATTGGGGTACGTTGGTATGAAGTCATCGAAAAGACCACGCATGATGCTGTCCAAGCTCCCTGTATCTCCTATCTGCAACTGCTCGCCAAACGAAGTGCTAGCAAGAAAGGACTCGAAGGGATCCTGCGGCAGTAATGTTGAAGGAATCCCAGCCGCGATGGAAGCCATGGTCATCTGGTGAGACAGTCCTTCGGAGAAGCCGGGTCGAGCTGCCGACGTCCCATTCACACCAGTATTCCCATCATACGGGCTCACTGTCTCAACATTTGCCGGCTCGATCCTCGACGACTGACGTGGGTTCTGGGATTCAATGGAAGAGGACTGGTTGGTAAGATCCTTGATCCATCGGATAGTCGCCCGAACCATGTCATCAAGGATGTCTCTGCAACGCTTTGCCCCAGACCAGTGCTCCCCTGTAGCAGCTAAAACCCCCAGACCAGCGCTAAAGTCAGACATAATAATGTCTAAAGGAGTCTGCCTGGGGATGTCAGGAACCACTTTGATGCAGTACAGCATGGTTATGATACCCAGAACTGCGGAATGGCACGTGTTCCAGGTGTGAATCAGTAAGTTCTGCTTATACAGCTGATCGAAAAGAAGGACAACCTCGCGTGCGGCAACGTAGCACTTTCTTAGTGACACGGGAGACGGGTTCGGGATGGCGGGGCTAGGTCGTAGCACGAGCATACGAAGGCTTTGGCATCTGACTTGGCAAATGGTACGGATGTAATCGCAACCGGGCACCTCAGGGATCCTTCCGTACCATTCATCCAACTTCAGGAGCATTTCTTGTTGCCATTCGTTGATGTCAATTACCGCAGGGTAGGCGTATCTAGGAGTTTCGCGGACGATGCTGTTCGCAACATACTTGAATTCCGAGTTGAGTTTTGCCAGTCGAAACAAATGGATCGAGAAGGCCATGCGGCCTGTATACACACTGTTCGATGGTTGGTTAAAGGCCTGAAACGAGCTGTCATCGATATCTTGCGGCAGCTAAGAGATTTTCAGTAATGGTCGGTTTGCTAACAAAAGATTGATACTAACTCGAAGATCACATGCTTCATCTCGCAAGCCAATCGGGCGCCCCATCATGGTTGCAATCATCCTGTCAAGAGTGAACACTACCCAGAATATCCTGGTTCTCATCTCCTGCTCGAGGAGGGAGATGCCAGAGTTTGTGTTAATGTCGCGCTGCAATCCTAGGTCTAGGACAGCAGCGATGCACTGATAGTTGAGGTACCAGATGTTGAGGCGCATATGAGGGCTATGCATCGTGAATATCGCTAGCAAGAGAAGGCATTGCAAGCCGGGGATCGAGCTATCAACGCTGACCCGGTCGAAGTACTGCATGGCCGAAAGGCAGTAGGACTCTCCCGGAAGACGCGCCCTTAGTCTGCGAGACAGGACAGTAGACCCAAGAGCCAGAACCATGAACACCTGGAAAGCGCCCATTGGCCCACGATCGGTGTCAATGCCGCTATCATAGACTTGATCAAGCAGATTCATAAATGTCGGTTGGTGTAGGATTGGGAACTGGCAATTGATGGCATCAAAGAAGTTCTCTGCCAACTGTTTTCCATGTTCCCTACTTGGTAATGGCATCGGGCCATGCATCGCCTCGACTATGGCAGTGGGTATTGAAAAGGTCGGTCCTGATGGCCTAGTTGGCCAGACCGCCTGGTCGTCTTGACGGTTTGAGGTCAACATAAGGCGAGCCAAGAAGTATCCACTTGACGGCCCAATATACTTGGGGTCCTGGCTGCTGCCAAGTGAGACCATCCCGATCTCGTGAGAAAGAGTGCTACTGGCCGTGGTATCAGCCAGCCGCGGTTCCGAGCGAATGGGTTGTGTGGCTTGTTGTGGTTCCGAAGACGCGAGTGATTGGCCTCGGACACTTTGAGCGTTTTGGTGTGCCAAGTTGGCCTCGGGCTGTTCACTGATGACTTCGATCATGGAGTCCGGTGCCAAAGTTTCTTCGCCATCGACATCCATGTCGAGGTCACCGGGCGGGCCTTGGCCGAGGTCCACATCAGGGCATCTTTCACGGACGATGCCTTCAAGCCATTTGATCCGCTCTTTCAGGTTTGCAATTTGACTAATCCTTGATCAGACACGTTTCTCAAATTGCAGGCCAGGGCTCGACTCACGCTCTTGGTAAGTCCCGGAGACGAATACTCTCACCATCGGTACAAGCCACACCAGCCTTCTTGCAGTTGTTGCACACTGGGAGTTGTCCATCGCACTGCTTCCAGTCAGCTCCCGTTCCGTATCACATCGTTCTACACGCCCCACTTACGCGGATCTTCCTCCGCTGGCACCGGGAGCAAGCCAACCTCAACCGGGGGTTCCTCCGAGCCTGTCGAGCCTGTTGGCGGGGATTTCTCTCACCGGGCATGTTCCGACCTCTTGCTGAATCGGCGATGATGCGGCTTGTGATTTTACTATAGCAGGCTCAACTACCGTCCACCTCGGGCCTGGTAGAAAGGATTCGGGAAATGTCCGAAACCGGGACAAAGGAATGTAGCTGGAAAAAGGCGGCGAGAAACTAACACGTGCGGGGTTTCCCCGCGCACCGAGTTTGTTGAGCCGGGGAAAGTCCGCGCTCGGGCGTCATTCCCGCCCCTTCTGTGCTCAACAGCGGATCATCACGAGCTCACAGTTTTTGGTACTTCACTCTGAGTCCCCATTATTTGTTTAACATTTATAGCCGTAATTCATCATCATTCAAATCGTTTTCATATCCGTTTCTGTTTCACTCGGGCAATTGTCATTAGTCTTCAAGTGCCACACAACTTCATCACTCATCAACAAGGTATCTAGTGTGACAACAACCACCAAGATGGCCGACGAATCCCAAAAGATCCCAGTCGCCGCGTCCGAAGCCCGCCGATTTGTCGAGGACATTCTCAAAGGCAACGGTGTACCCGCCGAGAATGCCGCGATCGTCGCCCGCTGCCTCATTGCTGCCGACCTTCGCGGCGTCGACACACACGGTATGAATCGCGTCCCCTCCTACATGGAGCGTATTCGTCAAGGCGTTCTCGATGCCGCCGCCCAGCCCGAACTCAAGCAGGTTACCCCCGTTGTTGCGCATGTTGACGGCAAGAACGGTTTTGGCTTCGTCGCGGCGACCGTGGGCATGGCCGCGGCTATTGAGTCCGCCAAAACCTTCGGCATTGGCATGGCAAGCGTCTCGCACTCGAACCACTTCGGTATGAGTGCGTGGATTGTGCAGCAGGCGCTCGACGCGGATATGATGAGCTTGGTTTTCACCAACTCTAGCCCCGCATTGCCAGTCTGGGGTGGCAAAAGTAAACTCATGGGCGTGTCGCCGATCGCCTGTGGCGCGCCCGGGAAGGACAAGCCATTCATCCTTGACATGGCACCGTCGGTCGCCGCCAGGGGCAAGGTTTACAAGGCTAAGAGACGGGGTGAGAAGATTCCCATCGGCTGGGCTCTCGACGGCGAGGGCCGGCCGACGGATGACCCAGCCGCAGCATTGGAGGGCGTCATGCTTCCCATGGGCGGCCCCAAGGGCTCAGCGCTATCGATCATGATGGACGTCTTCTCGGGCGTCTTCTCAGGGTCTGCCTTCGCAGGCCACGTAACGACCCCGTACGATCCTTCCAGGCCAGCCGACGTGGGCCACTTCCTTGTCGCCATCAAGCCGGACCTCTTCATGAGCCTGGACGACTTCCGCGAGAGGATGCATTACTTATATCAGCGCGTTGTAGGCGCAGAAAAGGCTGCGGGCGTGGAAAGAATCTACTTCCCTGGTGAGATTGAGCAACTGAATCAGCAAGAAAGAGAAAAGAGCGGAATACCTTTGGTCCAAGCAGAAATTGACGCCCTCAATGAAGAGGCCAAAAGAGTTGGTGCACAGTCGCTAGCTACAACGATGAATATTGAATGAATCGATAGCCGAAACGCGGTTAAATACCCAAGACAATGTATCCCATTAGATTCTCTCAAAGAATCAAACAAAATTGACAAAAGATATAACCCAGAGTTCAACCGGATCCTGATGGGTTCCATTCAGTCAAGTTTGTACTGTTTGAGTTAATCGCTAAGGTATCGGAGAACCGCCAGTGTGGACTGCTTGGCTCCAAACCATTTGTCGAGCAGCATTAATTACTGCTGATGACGGCGAGTGCTTTGTGCGGCTTCTGAATGGTCGTTATTGCCACTTTCAATTGTGAGGACTGCTTACTTTATCTATTAGACATCCACAAGTGCTCTCGAAGCTCCTTCCCCGCAAGGGTTACAGTGTGGAGGTGTCGAGTATTCTCTTTCCTTCCTCCAAAGTTTCTGCTTCCAAAACCAACCCCCTTGTTCGGAAAAGGAGGGCGAGACTGCAATAGACACTCCCAGTCGGACCCTCTCTGACCTGAAGCAGAAGGCAACACACTCATTCTCAATTGGCTCCTTCTCTCAACCCTTGTTGCTCTGGGTTGAGCTGACGTCGACTCATCCCTCGGCATCGCTCCCAAAAACCAACATCCTCCATTCCCAACCGTCCATACCATCTCCCGAATTACCCGTTACTCACATCGTTCTTTTTTCTTGGAAGTCCATCCGTCAGCATTAACAATCATGAAGTTCAATACCATCTCCGTGGCTCCCTTGCTGCTTACCTCGGCCGCCATCGCTGGTGCAGCCTCCCCTTCTCTGCCACCGGACTCCCTTCGCATTCGAGAGCAAGGCCCTTTCTGTACCAATCACGCCAAAGGTGCCGTTCAAGACGTCGATGGGGCTCACTCCGTCATGTACAAGGCAAGCCACAAGTTTCGCTGTTATCACGACACTACTGGAGAGGGCAACTTTCGACGCAACATTCGTCACCAACCGGATGGAAAATCTGCCGCCGTCCTATCCCAAGGTCACGTCAACAAGCCACCTCTGAGACCCACAACAGATTGCTGTATTGATACGGGCTCCTGTCTCCCTCCCTGGCACGAAGCCTTGAAGTGGTGTTAGGACCATCCTGATTCGGACAGATGCCCTTGGCTTCCCTGGACACTAGATCCCCAAACCTTCAACTCGGACGACGGCAATGCAATCCGACTCGGCATCGAGTGGGCTTTGAAGGCCGCCTGTCTTTGGTTTCCCAATGCATGTTCTCCACATCAGGTCGAGGATGCCATGGACGTCTTGTCAAACATCAAGTTGGAGGTTGCCATTCAAGCACTCCGGGATAGTTTGGGCGCAGAATGCGAAGAGTCTCCTTTACTTTGCCGTTACGTTCCATTGACAATGGAAGCACTCTTCTCGGTCATGGACGTCGTTGCGGACGTCGCAAGGCTAATCCAAGCCGTCTCAACGGATGATGGTCTTGACATACGAGCCGCAAACACCCACCTCAAGTCATCTGATCTACCGACTCCGAAAGGTGTTTCGGAAACAACGCCAGAATACATCATTCGAAGGCTTCAGATCAAGCTGAACGACCTATGTGGACAGAAGTCTCCCTCGTTGTGCCATTACGTCCCTGACTTTCTTGGTTTTGTCAGAGAGACCCTTAAAGATACAGAGGAGAGTTGCGCAACGCTATCTGAAGCTTTCCAGGCTGGCCTCTCTAGATTGACATCACCTCGTCAACCTACTTCGAAGAGCAACACCGATGTAAACAAAAGCCCTTCGATCAGCTTCGCAAAGAGCATCACCCAGGAAATAGCCAAACTTCTCTGAGGGGGCAAGTTATAGCAACCCGAGAGGCGAGGCATTAAACGACTTCAGTACTTCAAACGTGACTTCGACGGGATCGAGATGAACGGCCACTGTTGCAAAGATTTTGAGACGCGTGTACAGCCAGCACCGGTAATGGGTGGAGGGAAGGCACGGTAGCGAGAACCGAGGAACGTGGAGTATAGCTAACTACCTACGTCAATCAACGCAAGAATCGCTTATGAGACATGGCTTCTGACTTTTCCATGGCATGTAATTGAACCCTGTTTGTTCACAAGCCAGAGCCGGTTTCTGCTATGAAAGGACTGAGCCACCACCGTACGTAGTCTAACTGCCTTCCCATGGCTTAAAATTATCCGTAGCCTGGGGAAAGTTTCATTCGATCCGTGGTGATCACTTGGTGAACGTTCCGAAGATGTGAGGCACCACTTGGAACCACTGTTCAGCGGGTGGCGGCGCGACATCCACCTTATCCCAGGGCCCTGCAGATCTCAGGTTTCTTTGGGTGTCGCGACACAGCTGGCAGCCATTTAAGGCACGAGGCCAGACGAGGTTGACGAAACCTGAGTCAGATGTTAGTACGGGACGTGGTCTCATTAACAAACTCGTTTGGACATCGCCTACGTTGATAGAGCTGAATGGGCCAGCTGCGCGTCGCCTTGACATGTTCATACAGGTACCATCTTCCGCCCTTCTTCAGGTACGAATATAGCTCGGCGATGTTCTTCTCGGGTTCGGGAATGCTGCACAAGCAGAGAATCGAGACGATACAGTCGACGCTGCCTTTTTCGATTTTGCCATTCCATGCCGTCGGGTCGGAAAGGGACTCGATACCCGTGGGAACGATCTCGTACGTGCCCTCCAATCCAGCGTCCTGCACCCGCTTCCTGAGTGCGGGGTGGGCTCCGGCATTGGGCTCTACGCCGTAAACTTTCGACACGCCCTCCGCGATTCTACGTCTCACGCCGCCCTGTGCTGCATTGGGTTTCTCGCCGCCCTTGGAGAAGAGATTTACCCAAAGCCCAGACCCGGGGCCGATCTCCAGCACTATACCACTGACAGGCGGGTGTACAGGGTCCTCGACAACGCTGCCGCCCGTGACGCGGCCCTCGAGTAGGGCGACCATGCGGTCCGAGTTGCCGATACGAATTCTAGGGCCCCACCAGCTCCAGAAGGCAGAGAACCAGGCGTCTTGAAGGCGGGAGGGGGATGTGAGGGTAGCTAGGTCAGCGGAGCGGAGGAGGCGGAGGACGGTGGGGGGCAGGTAATAGAAGGTGTTGGAGAGGAAAATCCAGGGGCCTACCAGACCCCAAAAGACGTCGGATATTTGGGAGAGGGTAGACATGATGGGTAAGATAGGGATGGACGAGGTTTGATGGCGGGGAGGGCGAGAGTTTCTGAGCGAAGCATGGGAATAAGACTTGCGGCGGCGGAAGAGTACTAGTCGGGCAAGAAAAGCACGCACTCCAGACTTCACAAGTGAGATGGATGTGCGAAAGTTGATATGCGACGCCAGGGTCCGATCAGTTTATAAGTGGGTGAAGAGTCGCCGACCTTCCGGTGTGGGAAGACATATTAGTCAGTTTGGTATGCATCAATTGGTGGGTCCAGGAGATAATGCAGTTATCGTAAAAGAACGCCCCGCTAGGCCGGCCCACTTCGTCGTCCGACCTGGAGCACAGAGCTCCCTCTTCTAAATCCAACTTCGCATCTTGCTTCGCGACTGCACCTTCGATCTCATAATATTGATATAACCTTCTTGTATCACTCTTTGCCTTCCCAATCTCACAGTTTTCGCTACTGGTTACACCATCGCTTGTCATTGGATAACGGCGAGGATGCTATCTATCCATGGGATATGTCCCGCCACCGAAGTCCCTTTGCCCGCTGCATGGGAGCCGTTCATGACGACTGGCCAGCCTGATACCATCGCGTATCCCATGCTGTCAGAGTCTGCTGAGCTTGGCTGCGGCTGCTCGAAGTGGTCCGCCTCGATGAGTTGCTAGCCATCGAGAGCAGCCTCTCGGGCAATTCCATGGGACTTTGCTGCAAATATACGCCCATCATTGACGCTGTATCCTGGTAGGCGACTGACCTGGTAAACCCACAGTAAGCACACTATCATCGTCGCATCCATAAGAATCGTGCTTACCCGCCATTGGAAGTGGTGGCAGCGGAAGGTGCAGATTTTTGGGACATTCCGAAGACGCAAAGTGAAGCGTTTTCTGGTATATGAGCTGACTAATTCCTGTTGGCAGCTTGAGCGCACTGTAGATTCCGTCTGATTGAGATGTTCGCAATGTTCCCTTCGACATGCTTTTCTCTTCTCAATTACTGGAGACCACTCCGTTGATATACTATCCTGAGGATGTCACTTTCCATTCTCAAGTCCTCCATTTGGCCTCAATCATGCCCTACTTATTCGAGGAAACCCAAAAGACACGAACGCGCTGTTCAACATCTGCTAGGCTTTCCAGATCTTCAACTCGGCCGAAAGACAGGGGGGAATTGGCATGCAGCACTTGCGCGAAGCTGCGCAATCCTGCAGACTTTCAAACGCCATTTTGAGTCGTACCTAGGCTCGTCATGTCGGTCACCAGCATCGTTATCATTGGTTGCACCCGCATATGACTGCCCGGATTTGGCGCGATCGAAACCTTGGCAAGGCGTAGCCTGCATAGAAGCAAAGAGCGCGAGTGCGCCCTAGAGCAATTCCTATGAAGGTGCTCTTCGAGGGGTTGCAGAGCCTGACTCCTATTCTCTCCTTTTCGTCCGCTTTTTCCACATTTCGCTTCACGCAATTGGGAAATTATTCGAATGCCAATATTCATAGTCATGGGTTACAAAACAGCCGCAAACAACCGCTCGGCGAGGATTTGGCCTGCAGAAGGGCACGATGGTACTGCACCGCAGAGAATGTCCGTTGATGGACCAGAGGGCCCCGACGAGGCCTCGAGAGGTCTGGCTTATCAATTCCTTCGAATGAACCGTGTCGCTCGTCGTGCGACTGTCGCCAATAACAGTTACTCAGGCACGCCTCCCAACTGTGTTTTGTTACAAGACTGTACTGCCGTGACAGTCGAACCCACACAGCCGCAAGGCCGGCATCATTCGTCCTTCGAGTCAGGAACAATGTCAAGCCTGGCATACCGCGTCAAAGACCCGGCCCACAATCCGAGAAAGCATCAGAGAGGGAGTCCTTCACTTGACGGCATAGATGAACAGACGGAGTCCACAGGCGAGAGGCACATCAAGAGGATTTCCAACGACTCGGGCTATGGTTCCGACATACAGCACAAACGCTGCCATCATAGAGAGTCTGTTGCCGATCGCCAGGGAGTAAACGGCGAGGTGCTCTACAAGTCCAAGGTGACTGTCATCAGCTGTCCGACGTCCGACTCTGAATGCGATGAGACTTTGGGCGTTCCTAGGCAATCCAAGCGACGCATCCGCAGGCACAGCTTGGCTGCAAACACCAAGACCACCGACATGACATCAATATCACATAAATTGCATGATGACTCAGTCATAGAGAGTGCTGGACCGGCACAATCTCCATTCCGCTCGTCCAGAGGCTTGCGGCGAGTCAAGGGAACAACCACTTTACGATCAGATATTGACGCTTGGCCACGGCCATCGAAAGTGGGTATGAAGATCACGACCATGCCTCAAGCTATTGCTTCGGACAGCCGTCATGTCCACAAACCAAACCTGCTACTCAAGACCTCAACCTAGTCTCCAACTGGCCCAGAGACGGTTCAGCCAATGGTCCAAACACAGCCCCGGCCAGCGTCTGGACCACCCGCATTTCCCGTTGATTGGCATAGAAATGGCATCCCTAAACTGGTGTTCTCGCCCGTTGAGGAACAGTCCGACTCTTCCGATGACAGCGGTGATGAATCCTCCGTGGAATCCGGTATATTCTCAATACCAAGCTCCCCGATTGAACCCTGCCAGCTTGATCAAGACGATCCATTCGCAGCCCACTTAGACGCTGTCTCTACTGCCGTCTTCGAGCATTTCAAAGATTGGCGGCAAAGGGGTGGGCAAGGCCAGCGAAACCAAGGCCGGGGGGTCAGCTGCAACACAACTGACTCTGGCCGCTCATCAAGATAGCGGTCGCGTTCCGAAATGCCTGAGCACTCTACTTCAGATGAGGATGTTCACATTGTTCCAGGGTCCATGAGGCCGAAGGTCCCCACGCCTCCTACGAAAACGCTCGCGTGTCCTTTCTGGAAGAAGGATCCTGACAACCACCGAAAATGCTACAAAAAGGTCCTTAGCAAGACCAAATACGTCAAGGCTCATTTGTACCGCTTCCATGCGGCTCCAATCACTTGCCCCTGTTGCGGGACTGAGTATCAAAGCGAGGATGTGTGAGATGAGCATTTGCGAGCCAGGCGCTGCGAGGTTGTAGAATCGGGCTATATTACGACCCACGAGGGCTTGACATCCGGGCGGATGAGGCAGGTCTCCAAACGAGCGGACCCGAGACAGTCCGAGGAGGAACAATGGTTCGTCATATGGGACACCATATTCCCCAACACACCGCGTCCTTCCTCGGCTTACATCGACGGCGCTCTCTCTGAAGATGTATGCAACTTCCATGAGTTTTTCGCCAACTCTGGAAACGACATCATACTCGATTACTTCAGAATTCACGACCTCGACTTTGAACTCAGCGATAGGGTAAACTTATATGAACGCTTCGTTAGAGATAGAGTGCTCGAAAGAATCCATGAACAATGGGCTGCTAGGAGGAGCCTACGGCAACCCCATGACGGAGACAATCTTAAGCCGCCGCAGTCGAATCCTACAGAGTCTGACCACCCAAGCCGAGCCTCATCGGCGCACAGGAACTCGTTCTTACATGGACCTGCACAGCTGCGCCTGGCGGAGGATATCCAGCCGTGCCAGCGAGTGATGTGCAGTTTACCGACCAAGGCTTTGAAGATACTGGCATTGGGAGCGATCTGTTCTATGACTCAAACACTCAGGACCTTCTCGACGATCTTGAAGGGATGTTTTCTGGCGCCGACCAACAATATGACGAGGAAAGCTTGGGGACATCATATATGAGGTAAATGCTGTGCATATCTTAGCTGAGGTTCCTGAACGTTTTTGTTACGGCTGACGCGATATATATCCAGCAAGACTTCACAACCCAAACTTGGAACATCAGACTCGTGAAGCTGTAGATTCTAATAGACTTGTGATAAGCATATTGCTGCCCCAGCTTACTAAATGGCCTGGTACCAAAGACTTGCACAACAACTCTACAAATATAAAATGTGCGCAGCCAGCCTCTCGATTGTATTCCGCCTGTTCTAAGTCATCTTGACCTTAGTTCGTTCATGTACCGATGGATCCAGACTTGAGTTGGTTTCCGTATGCCTTTCCGCGTATAATGACTGTAGGCCCATCATAGATCTGCTCCGGTTCGATCAAAACTACCTCTTTGGGCTCGTATCATCACTCACCAGCTTCTCCATTCACGCGTTCTCTCATGTATAATTTCCCGCCGAGGAAGTCAAGTAATTCGTTTTATGCCTCAAGCTACCTGCACTATCTGATCTCCGATGGCCTCAGCAGGCAACGACCACGGCACAGGGGTGCCGGTCTTGTCAGAGATCACGCACACTAGAACCTGTTGAAATAGTGAGATCTATGTGTGGCTTTCATAGGAGTTTTGTTTCGAGACCATTGTGGGTATGTTTTCTGCGTAAGGGGGACGAACTGGGTTTATGTATAATAAAGCACTCGCGAAGCTGGGGAACTGTTACTGTGCGCCGAGTCCCTTCCAGGTGAATATAAAAAGATTATCTGCCTCCCGGCGCCCTTTGTTATTCCACGGAAACTTGAACGTGAGACGTGTACTGAGAGAGTCATGTCTCCAATCAGTGATCATGGCCTTGAACTAGGTCGAATGTTAAATGTTTTGACCAAATGGCGGGGGACATTCCAAGTCCGTTGAGGCATGGTTAGCCAAGGCGATTTGTAGCACCGAGTGCAAGAACTACACAACGATCTCCCTTCTCCTGATTCTTCATGGTTGGATCCCGTCTATATATCAAGTAACTGACTAACCGTCACCCTTTTACAAAGACGTTGGGAAATTCTTCAACGACAAATCCCTCTTGAACTACTTGCCTGACACCAAAAGATTATGAGGATGTGGAACATCTGGTTATAGTCCTACATTCTAGTTAAACTTGACTTCAGGACCTGCCATAGAGTTACAGCTTGAGCCTTACATCAACACTTGCAGCATAGTGATCAGAATTGAGAACGGTGAACGCCCGAAATACCATCAGGGTGTCAAACCAAGAGGCGTGACCCGCATCAAATCGTACGCAAGATTCCACGTGTGATGCTTCTTTTGTTCAGCTGACAAATAGAATAGGCATATCCTGAATTCTCGGGCGAATCAACCAGCTCATGGATGCCTTAGAAGATTTCGTGGTTGTCTTGGACGTGCCGTGACTCTTGGAGCGTAACTCAATCTCCAGACACTCACAACCGCACTCACCACATCTAGAGCTTCTTCGAAGAAGCTTTAGACCCCGCATTTGACGCCCGGGTTGTGGCTCCTCTCCTCCTATCGTTATTGATGAGTGTGTCAACTATCAGTTGGCCGCCAACGAGGCGCCTTTCGCTATGCCCAGCCGAGGCATAGTTCGCGTTGGGCCTAGGCCATTAAAAGGGGGCTGACAACTTCTCATTCCCCAACGTGGTCCCTAAGGATTTTCTAGAGATGAGCTTCACCAGGGGAGGAGATTACGAGCAAATTCACAGAACGCTGGAGACGGTGTTGGCTAGGTTACTGCGGTTGATAGACGAGGAGCGGGAACTCTGACGCGTCATTGTCAAATTGACAGATGCTTAGGATGAACCAAATCACGCCGGTTTTTGGTGGGGAGACGATATACCAAGGAATGCCAATCTTATTAATCGTCCAAGGTCTATAACCCTGGCCCGAAATGTAAGCCGAGGCTGACATCCACATAACCCATACACCCAAACCCAGCGGGAGGCTATCGAGAGTCCCTCTACAGCACCAAAACAACCCCATTGATGCAAGACGCCCAAGTTCAAATGCTTAGGTACTTGAAAACTGCCATGATTTCGGACTTTACAGAGTCAGCATTACGGAAGATGCTCAACTGGTGTTAGGGGCCTCGGATCAAGAGTCTCCCGGCCGGTCGATGTACCCCACCGACCGAAAGGCCCCCAACTCAGGACAGCGCGGGGAGTCGGACTCACCTCCGTCGCTTATTTCAACTCCCGGGCCGACCAGTGGCAACCACACCGTCCTATCAAGCTTTGACATTGCCCTTTCGGTCCTCCTGCTTCCTCCCTGTATCAAACAATCAGGGTATTGACATCTACCCCCATGCAATAGTTCAGACCTTTTTCTTCAGCTCCTCGGTAATGGTCCAAAACCGACGTACCGCCCCCCACGAGCGTGATGCGAGCAAAAGGCCTCCCAAAAGCGCAAGCTACGCTGTACTTCGGAAGTCCCCCGCAGGGGGAAGGGGGGCGGAATCGCTCACCACCAATCCACACATTACCCCCCTTTTGGTCAGAACCTTCCAACCATACCGATTCCAATCCTGCTAGGACATGGCTGCGGGAGATACGGTGTCATATTTCCGTGATAGTCACACCCGACTGTATGCCTTGGCACTCCTCCCCTCCACTCTACCTCCCCATCGTGGCCTTCCATGAAGTTTGCCTTGACAGGTCAACGCTCAAGACTGCGACAGAGAGGCAAATGTAGAGAATCTAGAACACGATTAGCACCTACCTCGTGGCTGAACGTGCGCCATTAAATCGTCTTGACAGGGAGATCAAAAGCGATTTTCGACGCCGTCCGTAGATCACTTTTACTTAGCGGCAAGTCGATGATTACCACACCCTCTCACAACAGCCCCCTGCATTGATTACCTTGTGCTAAATGGAGGTGGTAAATCGGTCAGGGTAGAAGGTTTCAGGGGGCCGGGCGGAGAACGTCTAGCGTGAAGTTGCACGCGTGTATGGACGATTGATCTGCAGGACGACGAGACCATGTGAGGGACGAAGATAGATCTCGATGAGAACATTGCGGATTCGGGTGCAAGAACTGCATGCATAGCGCACAGTCGGCGAGGCTCGGACGCCATGGCGCCATGCGGGTGAGGTAAGCGTCATCTCTATAGTCGACGGAGTCGCAGACAAGTTTGTCGAGTGAGAACCAAGTAGCAAACCATGTGAGGGTTTAGCGAGGGCTAGCCTGTGGGCTAGGGTACGTTGGCCGGTGGGATATACTGTATTTCATCCCATATTGTCGTGACTGATGGTCGCTTAACTGCTTGTTGCCTTGAAGCTGTTGACCAGCTAACAACATGAATTCAGCCAGGGGGGTCCGAGTTGTGGGCTTTGGCATCACCGGTGACGCTCGGTTGCTGTTGCGAATACATTGGCTTCTCCTACTGTTGTACATCTGACCTTTGATAAGTCCTATTTTGTTCCGTGCTCCGATCCGAGGATGGTGGTGTGTTCTGGGCCGCCCGATCAGCATTAGTTGACTTACACCCCTTGTTTCCGCACCTACCGGTTGCAAGATGTTGCTAGTTTGCCCATTTTGATGCAGTCGGTCAGCTTAAAGAAGATAGCTTGATAGCAAGACGTGATAGGGACGAGTCTTTGCCCTCTACGACTGAATAGGATGCTTGGAGAACCATGATGCTGGGACGGCGCGGGAGCTAATGCAGGATGTCAGAAGAAGCGGCGGGGAAGTCGTCCGGCGCGTCTGGGTGCTCAGTATGCTTTGTCCGTGAGCTGTGGTACCTAGCGAAGGACTGAAGGGCAATGGCGCCAAAGGTAAAGGAGACCTGTTCTAGCCCCGCACTCGAAATGTGCGGGAGGGAAACGATGTAACAGCACTAAAGAATTGGCTGTCGTGGACAGAGGATTGGTCGGTGGACGGGCAGCGAGTTGAGGGCTATAGATGCATGGGGATCTGAGCGGTGATGATATGAGTGGCCCGCTCGTAACGAATGCTAGATGAGGCGATAGAAGCCATGGCACGCTTGAAGTACTGACTAAATTGATGTTGGTGGCTCGGGTGATTCGGCGAGACCCAACTCTCTCCATCATGGCGTATCGTGTATGCGTTTTACACAAGGTCGCGACGAGTTTTGCGTCAAGGATGATCGCCAAATGGCCCAGCAGGTAGCAATCAGCAGGGCTAGAGGATGTAACCCCCTGGTCACTGGAAGAGAGATCTCCGTGAAGGCGTCCTTCAACTTTCGGATGGGAAATGCTATCGACCAGAGTAGGTAGTCAGTATTGGCCAATTGTCTTCACGAATTCCGAGTTGGCATGCAGGGGGAGGCCTGTAGGCTATCGTGGAGCGATGACGAGTCTCAGCCTCTCAACGTTGGGATAATACGAATTGATTCTCACGCTTGCATGAGGGGCAAAGGAGTGTACACCGGTCAGCTCAACCTGAAGGTTGAGACAATGTTCACGGATTATTTGGTACACGGACGGACTTGGTTTGCCTCCAACACTCCCAGACGGGTATTGATGAGAAGCCAAGCCTGGAGATCCCGCAGGGCATATTGGGTGAAATCATTTGAATGTAACTTGTTTGCCCATCAAGCTCCTGAAGGCGTCATCGAGGGCCTTGCGCTTACGTGTCTTTTCTTCTTCGTCTGCATCTTGGGGTCAGGGGCTGCATCGTCGTCTTCAGCCCCAGGTAGCCGAGGCATCCATGAACGTATCTGGCCGTCCAAGTGAGCGGTGTAAGTTGCACCGAAGGAACTTCCACCACCCATCACAGGGCCCTTTGGAAGCCCGTGGCCACCGCTGCCACGCCATACCATGCTCATGGTTCGATTCTTCACATTCAGGCCGCTACTGCCCTGACTTCCAGCCACCCCTGAGGGCCCCGGCACACGTAAGCGCGATACCAAAGTGCCTTCGTGCAGGTCCATAACCAGTATCTCTTGCTCGTTCGGGTAGAATAGGAGGTCTCGACGTGCCGGAGTCAGCCGGGCGGGCGTAACAAACAGGCTCACGGTCTTGGGCTGCCTATTCTGTACGACGGAACCGAAACTAGCTAGCGTGTTTGCGCCAGTAGCCGCGTCCCATACGCGAATCCGACGATCGAGGCCGGCTGATATGATGTACTTGCCGTCGTCGGTCCAAGTCAAGCCGTTGACGCCCTCGTTGTGCGCTCGAGCTGAGCTGCGGAAATGGGGAGTGCGGTTCCAATCAAGCCCAGATGCCATGGCATGGTCGAAGCGATGTATTACACCGAGACTATCTTCTTGGTCGAGCTGGCTGACCAAGCCAGAGGCGCGCCGAATGTCCCACACGCGAACCTTTCCGTCAACGTGACCAGTGGCAAGTGTATGTTCGTGGCGAGGGCTCCAAGCTGCCGAGAGGACGGCACCTCCGTGAGCGACAAGAGATTGAATGGAAGATCCTGATTTGAGGTCTACCAGGCGAACAGATGAATGCTGGGTTGCACAGGCGACCAAGAGGTGATTGGCGATAGGACTGGTTGCATGAGTGTATATGTTCGCGTTCAGGTCGAAGTTGGCCGACACAACCATCCGCTGAGTAGACCATAGTTTGAGTGAACGATCGAATGAGCTGGAGAGAAAGGCCTCGGAGTCAAAGGGGTAAAAGTCAAGATGGGTGATGCCGTGCTTATGGGCGTTGGCCTCGTCCCCCACGGAGCGGGCAACATTGGCGATGGGTCGGAAGACATGAGATTCACGGGCATTTCCCTCTTGATGAAGATCCCAAAGTTTCACGGAGCCATCTGCACCACCGGAAAGAAGGCTATCATCAAACGTTTGGAGTCAGGTGATGGAACTTTAGCAGGCTCAAGGGGTAAGAAGACTTACAGGCGGCCATCAAACTTGTCCAGAGCCAAAGCATTGACACCGATTCGGTGGGCCCAGATGGATGTATGGCGGCCTTCCACCTCCGGCTCGGCACCCTCACCATCAAATCGGTGGTGGGGAGCCGCGGCGAATGACCGGACGAGGTCCGATGTTGTGGCTCGGGTGAATGCGTCTGGGCTGAGCTCACCCGTTGAGCGGGCAAACAGACGGGCCTGCATTCATCTGGGACCTGGTGCACTTGGAGATGAGGGTTAGGGAACGAAGGATACTGCCGAGCATACGGAACTCCCCAAGTCGGCGGGACACAACGAACTTGAACGGGCTCGAGATCGTCGTTGTTCAATCGCATGTCGAGGCTGAGGTTTGCTGCCACTGAACTAAGTAAGTCGTGATGATGTCAGCAGCTTCTGACGTCGAGGAAGGAGCCAGCCGCCTTTGCATGAGTTGCCCCAAGCCCCCTTGTGACTTCTCTGCAGCTGCCTTCAGTGCCTCTACTACCTTATTTGGCTTAGCAGAACGCCTGGAGTACTTGATGCGCTACCAGGAAGGAGCTCCTTTCATTGGTTGAAGGGAATATGAGACCCACTTACCAAAACTTTCGTTGACTTGCCCAAACCTGAATTCAGCCAACGGAAGGCACGAGGTGAACTCATTCAACGAAAATATTGGGCACGCAGGGCATTCATTGTTTACCTCGCCAGCCTTCACACATCCAAGTCGTCGTCTTTGCCACAAACGTCTCGGTGTTTTCCCATTTCGTCTCCTTTCTCCTCTTCTACCAAAATCGGGAACTACTTTCTTACCACCTCCCATCGAACCACGGTAGCCCTGACGCTCCGATATTCCATAAAGGAGCATCCGTCGTTGCTTGGCTTTTTCGCATACATGTCTCATTTCGTTGCATGAGCATAGACACTTCTTGGCCATCTGCGAAAGACGCCTAGTCAGCTTACCGAGTCTATTCCAGCCGTTTCGACCAATCGCAAGCAGGATGGAGCTACAAAGACCATACAGCAGTCCAGAAGCGGAAGTTCGGTCTGACGCGAGCGACCTGGAACCTATTCAACCTCCAGCGGAAGAGACCAAGCGTCCACAGCGGCATGCCAATGTCTACGATGCCGTCGCAGGTGAGCAATTGCCGAACTCAATTTTCACCCGCTGCCCGAATGAGTTTGCTAACTATCAAATAGGCCGAATTACATTTGATAGCAAATTGGATGCCGCCATCAGGGGTGAGAAGCCACCCAATGCCAGTTCTAAGCCGCCCAAGCTGAGCAGACATCCCGTCAACGCTTCCGCCCTAGCACCAGAAGAGGTGCTGTTTCGCCGCAAGACTGCGCCTGAGCGTTTTGCTGAGTTTGATGTATACATGGCCCACGAGCGGAACCTGTTGGATGCCGGTCGGACATTGTTGCCAGACTCTGATCTTCTCAAGTCCATCCACTCCTATGCGAGCCACTTCTATTCTGCCCTGGGTGGTCCCAAGCGCAACCCTTCATACCAAGTCGGTACCCGAAGCATTGACGAGAGAAGTATGGACGAATCGGCTTTGCTAGCCTTTGGCATTCTTCTTGAGGAAGCTGGCAAAGATGTACTGGGAAGTAAGGGAGACATGGTCTTCACTGAGGGCATTGAAGTACCTGCCGAGGTCAAGCAGAAATCAGAATCAAGCAATGCCGTCGACCCGCCGAGCCGGCTTCTAGCTGACCCCTCGAGCCGACATCCACCACCTGTTGGCTTCGTCGACCTTGGTTCTTGGAAAAGAGCGCCCAAGCGACGGAAAATGGCCGATCTTGAAGACGCCTAGAGCTCTGCCAGACCTTGCTGTGCCCAGACTACTGACTTGACTACGTCCGATGACTGCTCGCTTGTTGGTACCTCTTTTAGTGGTGGCCGTCGCCAGCAACCCAGAAAAGAAAGGATCTGCACTAAATGCTTGGGAGGCGGCAATCGTGCCACAACGACTCGGCATCTGTCATTGTCATCCACCAGCACATATGTTGACCTGCATCGAACCAGGCATTATTTGCCGTCGAGGTTTGGAGCACCAACATCTCGTTCCCCTAATGGCAGTCTTGATGCGCGACCAACAACGGGATTTACCACCAACGACCGAGCCTAGCCGGTCAAACCCGGCTATACGTCCACTTGACAGTTTCTTTACCTCAAGTCACCGCTTCCATGACAGCTTCGAGACAGCTTTGGCTATTGAAGCATGACAGTCTGCTGACCTACTGAAGTACAGTCAGCCAGAGCCTGGCAGCCTCTTTCCTTTTGCTTTTTGCTTCTCCTATCCCACGTCACCGTGGCAAGTCTGTGCACCTGTGTTCATGGACGTTTGTACTGGGGCACCTAGCTTCTCAATGTCCATTGCCACCTCCGGAGAGCCAATGTCGTTGGCAAGCTAAACTTCATTCCCTGAACGCTCGCTCCGCCAAGTGCCGTTTCTATGGAGGGCAGTCACGTCGTGCAAACATGGTGCAGACTCTGGACGAAATTAGAAAGATGTGTACCATGAGCCCTCGACACCATTTGCCCTCACCGGTGTGCCATCAACCGCCGAATAGTACCTTTTGTAGTCGACCGGGATTTTGTCTATCATAATGCTAGACGGAAAGAAGTCTGTCGAAGCAAGAAAGTCACAGAGTCAGGTGGCAGACGATGTGCTGGATCTGACTAACAGGGGTATCGTTTCCATACTTGGGGGCACTGCAGTTATGAGGGAACGGGCCGTAGGTTGCTCGCAACACAAGAGCGGTCGGATACGGGTACAGGAACCGGAAACAAAGAGACGGCGAGACTCAATCTCGCCCCTCTATCTACTGCTAGATCTCCTGGCGCAATTTCGCCATGTTCATTGCAGTCCGTTTGTACAACGATGGCGGCATCTCGCAAAGAATACAGAGCTCGATACCAGGATTTAATCATGGTGAAATCGGTATGGGATCTGAATATGATAATTTCAGCCATTCCTAATTTCGACAAGCAGCCTAAATTGCGATCTAGGGGTCACTTGTGCGACGAACATCAATGCTCGACATGTTACGCTCGTTCATGTCACTGCAAACTCTAGCCACCACCGGCATCACGTCACTAAGATTTGCATCGAATTGCTTCATAGGTCCTACGTTCCAACTGCCCTTCGGAAGACGTCATCTCGGGGATGACGGCCGACGCTCTGATGCGATGAGAGGCTTACGTTCCTTATCTGTCTCTGGCTCGGCACTGGTAATGGGCCAAGACACCGAGTGAAGCTAAAACTACAACAATACCAGAATTTGGCAAATCGGCCCGAGATCGTAGCTGGCCAGGCTATTCTCCAAAACCAACGACAGAGCCTTTAGGTTGTTTGAAGATCGGAGAGACGTCCTCATTAAGGCCTTTGTTTGACTGTTGTTCATCGGGTCCCCAGTCATTGAGCTGTAGCTAACACGCCGGGCCAGAAGAGTAGGCAGGCATAGGTCTGACTTTCTAGATGTCGGCATGGGGAACCCAGGCAGCACGTCGCTCGACTACCTGATCCTCTCCGATAGTTTACTAGCAAAAAGCGCAGTTACAGAAGCCGTCCTCAAGGATAGCAGGGAGGAGAAACGTTCGACACGTCATTACTTTCTTACCAGGGCGGCAGCGGGGAGTACTCTATCAAGGCTGCAAAACCAAGCTTTCGCGTCAAATTCGCCGGCATCGGGCTGCACATCTCTGCTTCAGGAAAATATCTGAAGACACCATGGCAGAAACCTCGGAGGCCGCTTAGGGATTGACCTTGGAGACCATAAGCGACTCGAAAGAAGGAGCTGCAACCCGCCCCTCTCGGCTCTTTTGACATCTTCCAGACAAGGCCATGTATGGGGAATCGGAGATCGGCCTGGCCCCCTTCAAGGGGTATGACAAGAACCTGCATTGTGAACTTGGAGACTACTCGCAGGCTTTCATTTCTTGCAGTACACAGGCTGCGCCCGCACTGCAATACCACGGAGGCCCCTTTTCACCTCGTATTGAAGCCCGCCGGGTGTATACTGGAAGAGGAAATTTTAGCCCATGGGGCGGAACACCAAGGTCTGTGGGAATATCTAGGGGTTCGCTGTTCGAACAATGCCTTGTGCCATTGCCTAACAGAGATGGAAGTCGGAGACCCCGTCCATGGTTGTGGTTGGGCATCGAGATCAGCATCTCGCGACCTTGCGGCGAAAGTTTGTTGGACCATGTGTAACCCGCATTGACCGCTTAACAGCCCTCCCACAACAGAACCCCTTGACCAGCTAATGGGATTTCCACCACGCTATGCAACACTCAGGCATCACATCTGGATATCGAGTTTTATCCATCCCTGTGGGCCACGCGATCCGCCAGGGGGCGTATCACAGTTTCGGTGTCGCTCTCGTCATGTGACTGCAGACCAGTAGGCAGCATCTCATCAGCGCCAGTAATCTCTATGCATTACCTGCACGCCATATACAATGGCTGTGTTGGGCATCATGATCCTCGGAAAGGGGGCAAACGGCTTCGACGGCGGGGCCGCGTAGCGTTTGTGATTTATGATCATGACCGTTCTTACCGGCGATGGATGGCGATAAACCCAGATCGACCTGTGTCACGAACACAACAACGGTCGTACTCATGAAAGTCGTTACGAGGCCAGATAACGGCAACGGACATTTCCGAATTTTCTCGAGATTTCACGGCATCATCCGCGGAAAACGGGCGTCCACATCACATCCAAGTTTGTAGACTCGTACTGTCCCACCCTAGCTAGGATCTAAGGGTTCGTCGAATGAAAGCGTCAACCAAAGTCAATCGACTGTTGGATCTTGCGGTTGCTTGATATGTATACCAACGGTGGACGGGGCTTGCTGTCAGTATGGCACTTACCGATGAGCGCAAAAAACGAAAGAAAAGAGAAGAAGAAAAGAAGCAGGTATGTCCCAGCTGTCCCGGGCTGGGCCAGCAGGTAATCCTACAACATCGAGATGGAGGGAGTTGCATCGAATTTGCAAGATTTGCACGCTCACCAATGGTACTTTTTCACGCAGTGGATCAATCATAATCCAGGGTTCCAACGTGGCTGAACAGCCTGGTCCCTTTTGATATGATGGTGACCAGTTTCATCGTTTGGCTTAGTGACGACTTTGTTAGTCTCGGTGGATGGAACGGCGCTTCAACCTTCTAGAGCTTTCGGCCCCGAATTTAAACGGGATTCGTCTCAAGGAACGGAGTGTACAATGTGGACAAGTCATTTGATTGGAGGCCCCCCTGTGTCTAAGCTGGGCGTGCCATTCTTGCGGTCCCCGTATCCCGACATCGTGTCAGTCACAGAGCAGAAGTTCTACATGTACGGAGCACAACGCATCAGTGCATATGTACATAACGATGCGCCTCTACACGTGGCTGCAAGCGATTGCGACTACCGAAGTTCTGACCGGCATGTTGTCGTCCAACTGCGGCGGAGGTTGTGGATACTTACCACATATCTGAAGCCAGGAGGAGGGCACAGCCAAGGACCAGCCAGACACCACCGGGTTGCTATTCTCAGACGTACACTAGAGCATTCAGCTCCGCTCCTGTTGGGGTGCTCCAATGCCCGCCTGTGGCGCTGTCTCCGAAATTTGAACGCCATGCAAGAGCCCTAACGCAGCTCGGGATGATCGACACAAGGCCGTCTGGTTACCAATGTCACAACTCAGGTCGCAAAGCCTGTTCCAACGACCTTGTCCCAGCTGGCAATGGTCGCATTCGAAACTTGCGTGGGAAATACCGGAAGCCTTTCCCTCTACATCTGCTACGACGACAGATGCCAATCTTGGGGTTTCGTCGTGACGGTAAGCGCTTGATTGGGGCGCGCAACCAGAGAAGGGACCAGGCTTGGATGTTGACCGACTTGCCTCTCACCGCCAGCCGAGGCTCCGAAGCTTTGAAATCCGGCTCACTCCAGATGCGAAATAGCCATCTCTATCCAGGACAGCCCTGTGAGGAAATCAAACGACAACAGGATCAGAGAACCCATTGTGGGGGTGGTCTTGAGGTTTCGATGCTATCCATCTGTCCCAGCGTTCTAGAACGAGCGCTGTGCGCTACAACCGAAAGATTGTGAGAACTGACGAAAGCGTGGGATGAGGGGCGGGCCATGCATTCTGCTCAGACACCATGGGATTGGAACCAATCTTCACCCGCCATTGGGCGCAAACCTTTGCACACTGGGTAAAGTTTTGGCATTTCATTCATTCAACTCTGAATACGTCCAGGTCCCCCAGAGGGGAGACATGGGATACGTCTCCAAGAACCCCTCTCGAGAGTGAACTCTCTGCCTATCGATGCCAGCTCGGGCGTTGTTGAGCAGAAACAAACCTTTTGCAACGAACATTGGCCTCAAAATGGGATTGCCTGAGACAACCTGAGCACTTACAAACGCTGCTATGATAGGAGTGCAACCTATTATCGTTCGGCGCAACTCTGGCAGTCAACCCCACGGATTGCGACCTAAGCCGTATTCGGCAAGGCTGTTCCAACCATCGCCAACCTCAGATGCCCATTTTTCGATAGACTGGCCGGCCAGCAGCGCGACGGTGGCATTTCGTGGACCAGACTCGTCCTCGCTCCTGCCTGCTGTCGCCCGATGAGGATGGGTGTGCCAGGATGAAGGGTGAAGCGTAATGCCAGACTGGCGTTGAATTTTGCAACATGGCCGCCTGCCCTTCATCAACATCCCGGCATGCCCTGGTAAACCTTCGTCTCCAGTTGGTAGTGCGCCAATTTCCGGACCCCCAACGACCCCTCGGGTTGCTTGTTTGAGTCTTTGGAGAAAGAGACACCGCCAGTCAGCACCGGCGAAAGTCAACTTGTAATCACCGATTGTGGCCCAAGGGCTTCTGCCGATGGGATGTGTGCCCGGGCCTAGACCGTCGGTCTTGCGTAGATGAACGCGCCAGTTCCTCGGTCTTCGTCTTCTCGCCCGAATGATGGAGGTGGCTGGTTACGAAGTACATAGTAGGCTTGTTTCGGGACAGCCAGGAACGGCGGCAGGCTTCGCGATGGACAAACTTCGGTCGTCAATGCGACTATTGAGGCCGAACCCTGCCGATCTTGCGACTAGATTTGTTCCCCGCATCCAGCACTGGATGGCAAGATACCTAGCCACTTTTCTTTCACCTGTACACTTTTGAGGTTTGCTACCAGCCTGACGGCTGCTTTGCATTTGATCCGGTCACTCTAGGGGGCGTTTTCCAGACGAGACGAGACGAACGGAAGTACACTAGAGTATCCGTCTTCCCCGGCCGTCGGCCAACCATCCCTACGTCAATTTATATTCACATTCGCGGAGAGATCTCTCCGACAGACTTTGGAGGTTTTGTCCTTGTTGTTATGTCTTTGTTCATGCCGGGTCGTTTTCTTGTCTAGCAACAGAGTACTCTGTATCGGACATCGGGTTTGAATCTCGTGACTTCGCAGTGGATTCGTGCTCGGATGCTCGCGCAGGACCCTATATCTCTGGCGTGCTTGATGCGCGGTCCATAATACCGCCGCAATGCTCTCTGCAAGCCCCCCTGCAGCCAAGTACACGGACGTTGAGATCAGTGCGGCAGGCTCTTTGTGGCAGGGAGAGGCCTACCAATGCAACCTCCGACACACAAAGTCACGCCATTTTAGATGCTGTCATATCTCCCCCTCTTCAGCACGCGACGCAATAGCTGCTTGGACTCGAACTACTGAAATGTTGTACAATGTCTGCCTTGCGATAGTCACTTGAGACCAGGCAATGGTCTCGAATCAGGTGAATGAGAAACTACTGGTAGACTCGGCTGGGGATGTGCCATCGAAGGCTGGGAGTCAAGAGTGTAACTCCTGCGCCCCAGAACTTTAGGTGACGATCACTTCAATCGATAAGAGATGAAGATTGTTGTACAATGTTCGAGGTGACGGATCACAGCTCAGTTTCTGACAAGAGACCGGACAGGCTAGGAGAAGGGGGGGGGGGGGCGGGTGCAGGGTGTTCCTCAACGGCAGTCGAATACCTACTATGTAGGGTCTCGAAATCTTCGCAATTCTTTGCGAAATGAGGGACCTGGCTTCTGGCTTACCAACATTGCGGGGGGCGCCAGAGACTAATACTCGCCCACTGATGAGACTTGGAACCTACGGCCTAGCCAGTCGCAATGTGTGCTCGTCCTTCGTCGACCACACGGCCCACCGATGGTCGATAAAGCCCGCAGATCACGAACTTTCTTCACCGTGTTAGGCTACAAAAGGCGGTGACTGATCCGATGCCAATAGCAGAGCTGGGCGAGTGCATCTTTGTGACGTGCACATCGAGGGTGGCAGAGAGACGTGGGCCGATGCAGGAGGTTATTCACCTCACCAGTGCAAAACGCCGCAATAGCTAGGCATTTCATTGGGTAGCTCAAACCGACCTGCATCTTGCTCTATGCCGCCTGGTCAAATAGGTACCGCCTTCACCCAGCCATACGTAGCAGCAACGGTGTGTATGGGACGTGAGATTGGCAGCCGAGTGATTTAAAAACTTTGAGCCCAAGATGATCTCATTTCGACAAGACCCGGTCTTGGAATATTCTGCCCGGCAGTCGTTTTGATCTTGGGCTCGTAAGATTTATATTCGGAGCTTGCTCCGAATATAAATCCTACCCACCCAACAGCTTCGCCCTGGCTCAGCATGGAGCCTACCATCCAAGTCTCAACGCTTATTTGGTAATTAAGAGCCTCCAGTATCAGCAAGAGTCGCCGAGGTGTAGAGTTGTGAACTACGCTGGTTGATTATATGATAAGCGCTAGTGACGGGATACGGATAACATGCAGACGCAAAGGGAGCGGCGGTGTAAGATGTCGCTTCCGCGAGTGCTCGTTTTGTCCAAACCCCGTCAAGCTGGTGCCTGCTACACAACTCGTAGTGAACACAAACCTCCTGTTACACCTGCTTGCCATGAGCAACTTGGATACGCGTTTCAATGGACCACGTTAGCACTGGCAGACGGAACCCTTGTCATCAGGTTCGTATTCAATCATCAGCAACTGTGGTCGGACGTAAACCACAGCGGCTGGAAAGTCACGGGTGCTTCCATGCCTTCCGGCAGCGAGTCGCAAATGCTGGTAGCCCGTCCAGGGAATAAGCTTGGATGCAGTTGGTTGGACAAGACGGTCGTAACGACATCTGAGGTAGCCGCACAACGTTGGGGAGAGGCCAGGCATTGGCCACAAGTTGACGACTCCTCGCGGCCAATGCCGCTGCCGTCGCTATGACGGTGCGCACACATATCCTATCCCGCCTGCCTGGCGGAGGAAGACTCCGCCCCGTAAGCCGCCTTATCCAGTGATACCATCCGCGTACGTACGCCTCACTATCCAGCCTTGCTGACAAGCCAACGGCTAACAAGCGTGGTGCTTGTCGACGGCGTTGCGCAGGTCACGTTGACCTTGACACAAAAGCCGGAGGCTGGATAGGGCAGGGATCTTCCGCAGGATTCACCCCTCGGCATCTTGCGCTCGGGCTAGACTCGGCAGCCTTTGACCCGCTTCAAAAGGCTAGCGAGACTCGAAAGCGTGGTTGTCACGTTCCTCTTGCGACCTTGACGAGCCTTTTTCTGACTAACCTGATGTGCTGCAGAATGTCATCAAAATTCGGCCTCCCGTTCATTGGGTAGCCGCTGCGGGCCACCCGGCGCATCTTTTCCCTCATCGGCACCCGCATCTGTCGCGCGCAGTATCTTGCGTTTTATCTCACTCTGCAGCAAAGGCCCCGATGAGCTGTCAACTATTTGCACGTCTTGCTTGCGTGGGATAAGCTTTGCTAGCAGCCGACGTAACTGTGGGACGGCTGCTCACGGGACATGGGGAGGGCCGTGTTTGCTACCGCATGTCTGAGCTCCGGACAACGGTCCTGTTGGACATGACGCACATGAGCACCGGCACTGGGCAAAATGCCATTGTTGTACGGTAACAGGTACACGCCGCGCAGGGGGTGGGGGGTTACCATAGTACGAACGGATGGCGTAGTACTTGATAGAAAGGCGATATCAGCGTGCCTAGCTAACGTTACCCCCGCGAAACCTTGTTTCCCAATGACACCGACTGGTCATCCAGCGTCTGGGTGTTGGCGAGAAGATAGGCAAACTTCGGGACACACAGGCAGTGTGCTATCCACGTGCCGTGAGGCTCGCCGGCGCTGCCGGGTCTGAGCCCGGAGCGGACACTATGCGGTTGCGGCTTATCGAGCGCTGCTGCGCAAAGGATTTACTGCACGACCAACCCTGAATCAGATCGACGTCGTTGAGGAATTCGGTAAACGGCCGTATGGGTTCAATGTGGAAGCTCGCTTCGCCGTTTGGCAATCTCTCCGATCAGACCAGACAGACGAGCAGCAGAACCCGGCCAGAGGTCTCGTCCAGGGGGATCACGTCCACCAGTGGCAGTCACGGAATTCCGAGACACCATCCTCACTTTTTTGGAAGTTTACAGGGCAGCATTGACGCTCATCTCAATGGAAATGCGGACCGACCGTAGAGGTAGGTGGGTGCGAGGTAAAGGGAGGAGAGCCGCGGGAACGGTTTTTTTTTTTTTTTTTTTGGAGGAGGAGGAGGAGGAGGAGGATGTGGGAGGGAAAGGAAGAAAAATTTCAACCCCCGTCCTGGGCTCCTGGGTGAAACCCACCACGACAGCTCCACAGTCGTGGAGCTCCTTTCGCCGAGTTACAGGCGGCGGGCTTGGCATGGTCATGTTTGTTGCTTTGATGATGACACTCGTTAAAGAGACACAAACCATCTTTACATACCAAGAGGAACGAAAAAATGCTACCAGAGCCTCCGTCAGACTAGGTAGGCCAGCCGCGACTAAGAGAGAGTCTATGTGAGTGAGTGAGTGAGTGAGTGAGTGAGTAAGTGAGTACAGGTAAGTGAGTAAGTGAGTAGGTGAGACACTGAGAGTTTGCTTCTCCATACACATTAGGGTCGGCGGCCTGTGGGAAAGTATCGAGTACGAATCGACGTCCGGACTTTGCGACGCGACTCGCGCATCGGCTCCTTCAATTGGAGAGTACCGAGTACGTGGGCTTCGGTCGATAACCTCCACATAGAAGTTGAGGGGCTGATGCTACTTGGGAGATACTTTGCTTTGTTGGCTTGGCCTCACTGCGTTGCAAGTCTATGGTCATGTCCCTAGGCCACCGCTGCCGAGCCAGGTGACTTGGAGGTCTTGAATCTTGACCGACCCGGCCGACGCTGAGGCTGTCTCTCCGCTGCAACCCGAAAGGGGGGGGCTCCAACAGCACCCCATCCCCCTTCCCCTTCATCCCATTGCGAACACCACCGATAGCCAGAGGAGGCTTGGAGCTCTTTGCGACGAGGCCAGAAGGAGGAAGACTCAGACTCAGACTCGGACTCAAACAGCCGGGTCACCAGACCAAGAGAAAATGCCTATGGCGCTCTAGCTTGGGGGAGATGAGACCACTGCATTGCTTAGAGTTTCTGGAAGTCATGACACTGATGTTGGTCCATATCACAGAGCAAAAAAAAAGCCAATCCGAGTCTGCAATGTCAGGACAGGATGCAATCGGTGTCCGCACTTCTCTCGAGGTCAACTTTGACCTCCCCCCCTGCCAGGATATCTCACCTCCAACCACTTGGGCTGGCAGTTTTCACCCACCACCCACCCTCGTCCGTCTTCCTCGTGCCGGCCAACTGTTGCGCCTGTCTCGGGTGCCCCTCACCTCCCTTTCGACAGCTAACCACAAACTGACGGGCAGCGTACATCCTTGCTCCCTTGCTTCCTTGCACGCGGTCCCGACAAGCAGAAGCTCTTTGCCCACCGGCTCTGTCTTGCACTGGCAGCACTGCTAGCAACGCTCGAGGCTGGCCCCTCCCCACCGGTGGTGGTCGCCGCAGACCACCACCAGCAAACACGTCCAGCCGAGAGCAACGCAGCAAGAAGCTGTTATCACTCTTTTGTGTTTTTGCTCCCCGCACGCCCCCCTGCCCGTCGGTCGCTTGCTGTCGACCCCTCCCCTTCCCCCTCCCCTCTCCCCCGTCCCATCTCATCCCACATCTGTACCAGCGTGCTGTTTGCTGTTGCTCAGACCCTCGAGAGCCCGTTCAGAGGCCACCCCAGTCGAGCGCGAGCCAGGCAGGTCCCTCTCGGCGCCCCGAGTTTCTTCCCAGCCAGATACTTCCCAGGTACCGGTCCCTTGGACCGGATCACGGAGCTGGCACATGTTTCTGCCCTCTCTCTTTCTGCCCCTCTATCTTCCGCGCTCTCTCTCCCTCTCTCCTTGACCTGCTTCTGCCAAAACTGGAATCGTCCCCGTCCCCGTTCCTGTTGGGCAGCATCTCGATATACTGTATCTGGATACGACGGTTCGCTCGCAAACTCGTTTCTACCCTTACCATGTACTCGGCCTTGACCCTGCGGATTTGCTTTGACGAGTCGCGCCCCATCTGGTCTCGCGGCGACGTTGCGCCCGCCTTGCCTCTACCATCCTCCTGACCATTCAACCTCCAACGCGGCGTAGGCAAGCTGATTAGGGGGCTTCAGCTCTACGTGTCCCGGCATCTTCCGGTTCATATAATCATTCACTACAGACGGGCCTCCTCGTCCATGCCGTCTTCCTTTTTGGATATCACTGGCGGCGTCGGTCATTTTTCCAGACCGAGAGCAAGGGAACGCGAAAGAGAAAGAGAAAGGGAGGAGGCGGCACTCCCTCCCTTCCCGTCGGCTCTTGGTCTCAGTCCCTTATACTCTGTAGACACGACGCCACCGAGGAGGGGGGGGCGCCTGTTTTCCAGTGTAGGATAATCTATACGCTAACACAACGTCGTCGGGCGGCGCTTGTCTCTTCACGACTCGAGCATGCACTCACTTTGCCTTCGCTTGAGGGACGGAAAGTTGGGCAAAAAATGTCCGTCGCGCCCGCCACGTGAACCGCCCCGTCCAATCCGAATGCCGTTTTGGTACTCTAGCGGTCGGCATCCGAGAAAAAAAACCCCCAAGATATTGCGCGCGCGCACACGCACAGCACCCGTAGTCAAGTGCTGAGCTGAGCCAGTACATGGAATCTTCTGCAGGGAGGACGCAAATTAGTCCGCTTTTGTTGTTCTGCCTGCCCGCTGCCTCTGAGGCGGCATCGCATCGCATCAGCGTCTTCGCATCCTGATGAGGCATTGACTACCCAGGGCGCGGGGATATTGGAAAGCAAAACAGAAGCCGACGCGGAAAGACATTTTTCGACAGAAAGCTAACGGAACTTTGAGAAACGACGCAGGTGCCAGTATCTTGCCAACTCTCTCTCTGTGACAGCAACCCGACACAAGATTCACCTTCACCGTCTGGTACCATAGTACCATGTACATTACACCGTACCGCTGACCGGGCTCGGGGACCACTCCACGACGTAATCACTACATGGCAAAAAGTCAAGGCGGGAAAAAAGAAAAGGGGCAATTAGAGCCCCAGAAAAGCGGAGGCCCGACATTCCTATGCTCGTCTGTTTGCCAGGAAAGCAAATTTCCTTCTCGAATCCCGTGACCACCGATCCCCTCCGTCGTCTGGCACGGGGCAGCATGGAACATGATCCAGACAGAATGCGCCGTTGCATGACTTGCCTCCCCCGCGAAAGAACAGTCAGGACCCGAGAGAACACGAGAGAGAGAGAGGGGGGGAGAGAGAGGCTGGCTGAGGCATCAACGGCAAGCATAACCGTCCACGAGTCGCGGTCCTGTCTCCCCGCCCGCCCCTTTTTGTTCCGACAGCTTCGGGCGGCGCGTCCCGTCCGAGCTGGCATTGTGCCTTGAGAAACCGACCAGAGGGAACTGCTGCTAGGTTCACCGGTTGCATCGAAACCAAGCAAGCTCGAGAGGAAGGGGGGAGCGGTGTCGTCGGGGTTGGGAATACCTTGAGTCGGTCTGCTTGCTGGTCACCGCCCATCCCTGACCCATCCGTCAACTATACTACAAGTGTTAGTTGCTTTGTGTGTGGGCTCTAAGTGAGTGAGGAGTGTGTCAATGTGTCAATGTGTGTGCCTGCGCCGATGGAAGTGCGTGTGTGTGTGTGTGTTTCTGACAAACGGATAGTATCCCACCGTCCAGGAACGCCGCGCAAGTCTACTGTACTACTACAGCAGAAGCGGGCAGACGAGCGAAGCAACATACAGCCGCAGAGACGTTGTCGAATTCCCAGTCTGATGGGCGTCCAAGGCTTTCCCCAAGCATCGAGAGAGGTCCCGTGACGGTACATACGGCCGGTGCTCTACACGGCTCAGTACACGTCGCGTACCCTGCCTCTGCCTATACATGGCAGAGTACCTACCATGTACGTAAATACGTACGTACATGCGCGTGTCTGGGAGAAGCAACAACAGCAGCAGCAAGCAGGACACACACGCAAGACACACGCTCCTAGCCCCCCCAGTCCTTCCTGGCCAGGAACGCACGCACGCACGCACTTACTCCTTGGCTGGTATTCCTTCCAGCCCATTTTTCTTCTCGCTGAGCGGCGCGTGGTGGGAGAAACGGCGGGGACGACGCTACTCACACGCCCTCCCTCCCCGTTATCCATCCACCCATCCATCCCCCTTCCTGTTCTTGTTCTCTTCCTAGCGGCGCAAAGTTCCCACGAAGATCCCTCGTCCTAGTCCGACCTCCCCAATCCCGGATTGTCATGGCCGCTACGTTTCTTTTTTTTCTTTTTTTTTTTCTCTTCTTCCTTTTTTTCTTCTTCCCTTTCCCTTTGCTCTCTCTAGCTCCGTGCGGTGTGTTCTACCTGTATCTCTTCCCACAAGCATTACCTCCACCCACCCACCCACCACCAAGCCTATCCTTGCAGATTCTATGGGACCCCAGGCCCTGTCTGCTCGCTGAGACTTTGCACTTGGCAGGGTCGATTGGAGTTCCCAGGGTAGAAACACCTCAAGTCGAGTCTTCTTCTCCCCAGTCCCCGTCTTTGTCTCTGCCGGTCACTCCTCTGTCCGTACCCCTCGGCTCTCTCACACTCCCTCGGGGTAAAGGTACTTGCAGATACCCACCCCCCTCCCCCCTCCCCTCGACAGCTCCCAGAGCTCTCTTCCAAGTGAACGGGGCGCCAGAGAGAGTGGAAGCGAAAGAGAGAGAGAGAGAGAAAGTCAGACAGAGCAGACCGCCTTCGAAAGGTGGTGCCCATTTTCTGCCTCCAACTTTTTCGGGATCCATACGCTCACTCCACACACACGCCTCTTTGGCGCAAGTGTACTCGGTACCTTATGCCGACACCTCTCTCTCCACTTGGCAGGCTGTATCTTGTACCCGTCCCGCTCATCTCTTGTCTCTGTGCGGGCAGGGTATATGGCGACGTGGGAAAAGTCCATCATCACCCTCCGTCTGCCGCCGCTTGAGAATTTGACGTTTTCTCGACCTTCATTTTCTCTCCCAGTCTGCAAAGAGAGATCCCTCCCCCCACCTCGCTCGCGCCTTCACCCCCGTCGACCTCTACAAAGCGCAAACCCGAGCCCAGAGAGGGACACGCTCGCTCCGAGACGAGAGCAAAAAATAGTCGAGTCTCCATCTCTGCCCAACGCGCTGATCCCCGCCCTTCTGCCGCACATCCTTTGGGCATCCGGGCGCATTCGCAGAGCGCAAAATCCCATCTCCCAAGTTTCAAGAACCACAGAGCCGGGAACACCTCAAACCGCCCGCCCTTTCGAACCTCGTCTCTTGCCGCGCCCGCGCCGGCAAGCCGCCTCCGCCTCAGCCCTCTCACTACCTTTACTCCCAACGACATACCTGGATCCCCGACACAACCAACAAGTACCTTTTCTGTCCGACTTTCACACCGACCTACCGCATACCTACCCTTCCTGCTCGCTACATGCTCCTACTACTACTACTACTACTACTACTACGTACGCCGTTGTAGCATCGATACCGTGTACACCCACGCCGCCGTCAACCGTTCGTCAGGACAGGAACAAGCACCGGACTGGACCACCTTCCCTTGCTTTCGTCCAAACGCTGAGAGCCTCCAATTGCTTGCTGTCGCCCCTCCCCTTCCCCCCTCCCCAGGTCCAGCAGCCGGACGGACCATACCATACCATACACCCCCAGCCTAACCTGGCCCTCCGTTCCTCGTCCCGGCTTCTCACTCACACAGGCTACCTACCTACCTGCTTGATCGATTGATTGCTAGGCCGCTTGCTTGTCCCTCTTTGCCTCCCCTTCCCCTTCCTCCTCATCCCCGTCCACTGCTTCCGTCTGCGTTGCCGTGACCCAGTACTTGGACACTGACTGGACCGGACCGGGACTTGCTGGGACTCGCTGCTCTTCCCTCGTTGCCCATAGCTTTTCCATGGCCGCCACCTCCTCCTCCCTCCTCTCGGACCTAGCCTGACCCTATTTTCGCTTCGTCTCTTGTTTTTTTTTTTCATAAGCATTTGTACGTATGTACATATATATCAAGCATGGATCCTCCGGGGCAGCCTGACAACAAACGCCCCCGTCTCTCGAGTACCAACTCGTGGTCACCAACGGGCGGACCGCAACAACATCAACAACTACCACCACTACACCACCCGCCGCCGCCGCCGCCCTCCTCGCACCCGTCGACGCCGCACCAGGCCCATACTCTTCCACCTCACCACACCGCGCAGCCCGCGCCATATAACCATCAACCGCAGCCGCCGTACCCTCCTCGTTCCGTCGAGCCTCACCATCCTCCTCACGCGGCGCCGCAACACCATCATCCCGACGACCGACGACACCATGAGCAAGAGCCTTCCTACGCGCCGATGCAGGATCACTACCGACACCCAGCCTCGCCTGCCCACCCTCACTACCCGCCGTTTCCCAACCGAGACCCCGCCGGCGTGAAGAGGGAGCCCCACGACGAGAACCTCGCCCATCCGCGACGGCCGCACTCGACCGGAGGCGGGCCAGCAGACGGTCTGCCTCCTCCGCCGCACTCTGCGAACCCTCACCCTTCTCACCAACCCTACCCTGACGACTCTCGACGACACATGAGCTACGACAACGGGCCCCAGCAGATGCCCCCCACGCCGGGGGGCTATCGAGGCAGCTTTCCTCCCCCGATGACCCAGCCGCCGCCGCCGCCGCCCCCTCCTCCTCAGCACTATGAACAGCCGCCTCAGTACCAGGCTCCTCCTGAATCGATCTACAACAACATCCAATACTCTTCCACTGCGAAGCGCAAGGCGACGCGAGCCTCTCAGGTACGTGCGACTGGCTCCGGTGGGGGTCTGCTCTTGATGGTCGGTCGGCGCTAACCCCCGTGTCTGTACAGGCTTGCGATAGCTGTCGGCAGCTCAAGGCGAAATGTGATGAAACCAAGCCTTGTAAGAGTTGTAGAGAGAAGGGAGTCGAGTGTAAATACCGTGATCCCATTCCAAAGGCGTCAGTCGAGTTTGCCTCCCCTCCCGCGCCTAACGTATCTTGCTGATGATGGAAACAGGATCGACAAAGGCCAAACCGACATTCTCGAGGCGATTTCCGAGATGAAGAGTGCGATGGAGGCCAAATTCGATGATCAGCAACGGTGGATGAAGAAGATGGAAAACACGCTGAAACTGCACAACATCAAAGTCGAACACGAAGGACCGACAGCCGACCTCTCTCCGATTCAAAAGTCGTCGCCATCACCGGTTGCCCAGCCAATGGTGGCAAACTACCCCCCGCCCGAAATCGAGATGGACGAGCCGCATCCGATGGCTGTGGGCGAGACGGACTTGGCCCAACAAATGCACGATGCGGAGATGGACGCAGAGGAGCAGATGCCGCCCGGAGAGCCCGTGGCGCCGGGAGCGCCATCCATCCCCGCAAACCATACCACGAGAGCCGACATGCTGCTGTCGTGGCCAGGAATCAAGGAGATGACCCAGGGGATCTTGGAGAGAGAGGGGGTCAAGTTCCCCCAAGAGTACCCCATCGCTCAAGAGGAGAGGCGGGGAGTCTTGCGTCTATACGGGCGCGGCGAAGGCGGCGGCCAGGATCGGACCCCCAGCGCTACCGCGATTGGCGCCACTTCTGCTTACGAGCGAAGCGCAGCCGAGGCATTTGGAACCGTCGATGCAATCGACGACAGTTTCTCCGAAACTGGCAACTCGCCCTCACCGGGTGAGGCCTGGGGCCAGGTCGGAGGGCTGAGTCCACCCACAAGCGTGGGATACACCAGCGGGACCCTTGTGGGCGACGGCCATCCGGATTTCGCCGAAGAAACAGTCACGTCGTATATGCGCAGCTTTGAGAAACATATTCTCAGCCTACACCCCATTCTTCCGCTGGGCGACTTGAGGACCTTGGTCAAGCGCTTCTTGGACAGCCTTGCACAGACCGACAAGAAGGCCAAGCCTCAACCTCCCGGTGTCGCCAAATTCGTACCGCCAACGAGCTTCCCCGAGATGTCCAACAAGCGGAAGCGTTCGCCGGCCGGTGACCAGCCGGAAGACCCTGCTCCACCACCCAGGAAACCCGGCAGGCCGCACAGAACCATTGAGAACGCTCTTGTTTTGGTCATCCTCGCTCTCGGCAAGATCTGCCAACATGAATCGAAAATCCCGGACCTGCCTCGAGACTTTCCGGAGCACAACCACAACTCCCCGGCCACCAGGAACGGCTATCCGTCCTCCCCCGGCGCACAGGCATCGCCTCCCTCATACTCTGTACACTCTCAATCCTCGGGGCTGCCTTCGCCCAAGGAACAGAGCAACAGCCTCCCAAGCCGGCGGCAGTCCATGCAGGGCAGTGGCGCCCTCAAGACTGGCCAGTCACTGAGGCGCAACTACGACATCATCCCAGGCCTGGAATACTTTGCCTATGCCTCCGACATTATGGGCAACCACATGGCCGGATGGACCATGAAGCATGCGCAGACCTTTATCTTCGCCGGTCTGTACTATGGCCAGCTGGGTCGAGTATTGGAGAGCGACGCTATGTTCTTCAACGCCGCCCGAGCCCTGAACATGATCATGCGTCGGTAAGTAATGTGAGGCTCCTAGCCGACAAGGAGATTGCTAACGAAAGCGCAGTGATATGAGTCGCTTCTTCAAAATGGGAATCCACAACCCCCCGGAAAAGAAGCGAGACAATTTGGTCCTCCTCGCCTTCTGGAGCTGCCTGCAGTTGGAAAAGTAGGCGTCACCTGCCCGCCGTCCACCTCAGACATGTGCTGACTATTTCCAGTGACATCATTGCCGAACTTGAATTGCCGCGATCTAGGTGTCAGGACTACGAAGAACAGATGCCATGGCCCAACATGAAGCTCATGGACCCCGATTTCTCGGTCAGAATCCGCGATTCTTACATTGGCCAGCTGTACCTGCGCAAGACGCTCAACACAATCCACAACTTGCTGTACGATCCCAAGGAGCAGCACGTTTCCGTGAGCGACAAGATGAAGAAGGTCCAGGCACTGGAGCAGCAACTGCGAAGCATGACGTGGGTTTCGAATGACTTTAGGTTCAACGAGGAAGACGAGCCGGCGACCGACCTGTTGGATGCGAGATTGCGGGCCAAGTACTGGGGCGCGCGGGTCATCATCTACCGGCCCTTCATCAGGGTTATCCTGGAGGTCTCGGAGAAGCTCAAGCATCGCTCTGACGACTCGGGGATGCTGAACACAGAGAACGTGAGGGATATCAACGTCTTCAACAGGCACGACAAATTCGAGGTTGTGGGACCAGGCTCTCATGGTATCCGCGGACACGATGAGCTTGACCCAGAAGTAAAGGCGTGGGCCGCAAGGGGCATCAAGGCACTTATCCAGAGTACTCGAGCTTTCCATGGTGTTGACAGCAAGCGACTGCTTGTGACCAACATCTTTGGCACAGCACACGCGTAAGTCGGCTACCCCTTGGGAACACAACGGAACTAACCCTTTCTTGCAGGCAATGGGGCAACCTCCTGATCTTGGCGGCAGCCTTTAAGGACAACTACCTGCGCCAGTTCATCGAACGGGCACAACTCAAAGAGCTGTTCAAGCGCACCATCGATATGCTCAACATGCACGCCCAATCTTCCAGCGCCTTGACGATAGACATGCATATCCTGCAGCACATTGAGAAAGAACTCTTTTACAATGAACCGAGAGTGGGGTCCAGCAGCATCTCGAGCACGGCCAGCATGGCCGGCGCTTCGCTCCCGCCGCCTCCGCCGCCTCAGCCACCTCACTCGGCGCCGCCGATGCACCACCATAGCCATGGCCCAATGTCCATGGCGTACGCGGTCGAGCCTGACCACCACAGCGCCCACAGCTCCCCGAGCCAGGGACACCGCATCCTGAGCAACGGATCGGGTCACCCGCCGAACCACAACCAGGGTTATCACGGGCATCCTGGATATCCCGGACCGCCAAGTCAGCAACCCATGCAGATGTAAAATGGAAACCCCATGAAAAGCGCATGCACGGCAAAGATACATGAGGGACTTGAGCGCGTCAACGAAATACCCGGGCGGAGTTTGAATGAAACCCGCCCCTTACGGCACAGGACCGGGATGATATACTAATTGGGAGGAAAAACGAACGATGATGAACCGGGCCAGAGCCTCTCCGCTCGTGGTCACGAACTCTCTCATACCCAAACAACATCACTATTATCCATGAACCGGCGTTTTGCAATTCTCGCTTTGCTTGTTGCGTCCACTGCGGTCTTCGGAAAACCTCACCTCACAGACATCGACTCCTGCAAAAACGACTTCCCTTCGCACGTACACGGCTTGACGGAAACTCGGCGTCACTGAACTCCCCCAGCTTTATGCCTATATTGGGTTTAGCAGTCTTGTCATACTCGAACAGCCCGACAGACGGGGAACGAACTGAAGGATGAGGGGCCGGACAGGCAGTGTATTGCGGTTGGGACTGGGTGGGGAGGAGGTTCAAAGCAACGCGCAGTCGTTACTAGACGACGCCCTCGCGGGCTTTCGGAAACGGAACCGGGCGGAAGGAAAGGGCTGGATGCATATAAGAGGACTCGGAGCCGAGTCTGGGTTGCGCCCTTGTTTGTTTTTTGGTCTTTTTTGGTCTCCTTTTTCTTTTGCTGGTTCGCCCAAGCTTTTCCAACGAAAAGCTTGGACTGCTCTGGCCCCCCCCCAGGCATGTCGCTCGCGTCTTTTGGCATCTCTTTCTTTGCATTCCTCCTGGTACTAGCCGCATCATGCATATCGGAGAACTGGGTTCGCGTGTCCTGATTTTTTTTCTCTTTTGATCCGGAGGGTTCTTGGGGGCTTCATCATACCATCAAACTAGTCTATCTATCCATTGTTTAACATGCCCGGGAAGGGATTCTAGTGGGGGAAATATAGTGGAGGAAATACCATGGAGGCAGAGGCCTCTTTTCTCTTTCTTTCATCCACCTCTGTGCCCACTCTCCTCCTTTCGCTGCCTCTTCGTGCTATGGCTCTTTGGTGTCCCAAGGCTGAATGCGTGGGAAGCGAAAGACGGGACGGTGGCGGCAGGGAATTGGTCATTTCCTGTTATTGTTCTATTTTTCTTATTTTTTTATAAAAACAAACGTCATGACGATACCATTTGGTGGCATGTAAGTTCTAGGAAACAAGGGGGGGGGGGGGGGGGGGGGGGGGGGGGGGGGGGGGGGGTCTGGCTGGTCTGGGACCAGGCAGACGGGAAGTGAGTCGCATTTAGTGGTGCGGACATTGGACGAAGTCTCGCAAGGGTGGTGGATTGCGATTTCGAGCAGCTGTAGTAGGGGGAGGGGGGGTGTGACGGCAGCTGGGTTGCGTGTACGTGGAGATGTTTCGGGCGCAGGATACACAATATGAGTTGGTTCAAAACGAATGACCGATGCTCGTTTCGCAGTCTGTGAATTTTGCAATCATGATTCCGCGAGGCTAGTTGCTAGTCTATGGGAATGCCACCAAGTCTCCAAGATTCTGAACTAGAACCGATCCGAGTGATGCTTCCCTCGTGCTTGAACTCCCAAACGCCTAACGACACCCCATTCCATACGCCCCAAGGTTCCTTGTCATGTCAATGTCGCGCCCGGGTTCTCTCCCTCCTCGCTTACAGCAAAACGACGGCTAGGCAAAGCCACCCGTCCGGGTAAGCCGCCTCGCGCATGAGGTCCTCCAGCGGAGCTGAAAAGGGCACAGGCGAGCCGTGGAGTACGACGTTGGCAAGGACCGGGTCGCGGCTCGAGGGGAACAGGGACGGGAGGTGCGACTGCAGCGCGCGGCCCAGGGTCTGCGGGGTGTTGCGGGTGCCCGGGACGGTCGGGGGCACGAGGGCCTGGAGGACCTTGAAGGCGCCCGCGGAGGGCTGGTCGGATGCCGGGGCTGGGGCTGGGGCTGGTGGCGCGAGCTGCTGCTGCTGCGGCGAGGCCGGCAACGGTGAGGTTGGCGGTTTAGGGGACGCCGCCGCGGGCGAGGCGAGCGAGGGCGACGGGGACGAGGTGCCCGGCGGGGGCGAGGAGGGGATGTACACCCGCAAGGGCACGTTGCGGAGGGGCGTGGGGCGTTGAGGAGGAGGGCGTTGATCTTGGAGAAGGATGCGTAGTCGTTGTCTTGGACGGCGTTCCAGAGGGTCGAGGTGTCGGCCTTGGAGAGTGACATTATGCGCTTCGCATTGCCGTAGCGGACAAAGTCGGCCTGGTTGGGGGAGGTTAGGCGGTTGGTGCCCGGTCTCAGGTTGGGCTTTTGGGAATCCTTCACGGTAAGGCGAGATGAGATGGAACGAGGGGGGGAGGTGACGGTGGAGCCCCCTTCTTCAAGGCGAGGTGGTACAGAGAATGAACGGACAAAGTGAGATATGAGCGGCGTTGGTGAATAAGCAAAGAGGCTGGACGAGAGACATTGGGCAGCTGTTTGGGGGGGGGGGGGGGTTGGCACGTCCGCTTAGACAGCAGTTTAAGTCTCGGGTGGGCGACTTATTGAGACACGGAAGGGAGTGGTGGGAGACATGGAGAGGCTGGAGAGAAAAAATGAGAGACAAGGACTCACTTCTTTGACGCAATTTAGAAAGGTGTCGCCAATGTCCCAGCTGTCACCGTCGCTGACGGTGAGGCGCCAGGGCAGGGAAGGCTGGTAAAGGTCGACGAGCAGGCCGAGGGGCAGGTTCCGGAGGAGGAGGTCCTCGTGGTGGAAGGCGGAGACGGGCGTGCGGAAGAAGGCGGAGCAGCGCGGGACCAGGAGAGCGAGGTAGGAGAAGCGCGGAAGAGAGGTTATCAGCGGCGTGTTCGGGTGCGACGGGTGGGTTATGTGGAGGGGGATCTGGGTGGACCAGAGGGCTTGGGGAATGGAGGCCATGACCGGCGGCCGGGCGCTGGCGACAAGACGTGGCTATGGTGGTGTTTGAGATCGAGGTTGACCGTAGCCCGATGATGAGATGGAGGTGAAGTTGTGGTGAGGGCGGTCAAGGAGTCATGGTGAGTCATCGGCTGCGGCGTTTGGGTGAGTGCTACGAGGCAGCTGCGCAGTCCACGGGGGGTAAAGCTGCTGTGGTAGACAGAGTCTTGATAGAAACGGCGCGGAGGCTTAAGCGACTGACGTTGCGGTTGAGCCGAGCAGTGTGAGTGAGGCTCGGGACGGATACGGACGGGAGGGTGGGGCAAGCCTCAGCCCGCGGCCGAAACAAAGCCCCGCCCCCGATGGTCAGTCTCTGACTTACATAAGCGGCGCTGCATTGGCCCGATGAAGCTGGCCGGGCTATCCCTGGCAGGACGGGGAGGAGCCAAGGAGCTGCCTGGAGCTTACCCTGAACTGAGCTCCGGGAGCTCCCAGCCCAGCCTAGCATCTGGTGGCCGGGGCTTTTTTGTTCCACATCTGACAGCGGCTCTTTCCCACTGGCGCAGCAGGACAGGACAGGACCTTCCTTGCTGGCTGGTGGAAAGCAAGACGGAAGGCGGTCTGCGCGCTGCGCTGAGCTGAGAATCCCACTGCAACCGCAACTGCAACTCCAACTCCAACTCACTCAACACTTGCTGACCGCCAACGACGATTCATCCCGAGACACCCTCTCAACCACGGCTTTCGAGGCATCGCATTTCAAGGCATCAAAGTTTAGCGGCGCAATCACGGCGAGGCAATGGGGGGGGAGCCTGCCATCAATAAGAACCAGCCCATATACATTAAAGCGAACCCGCACCCGCCTTGCACCCTGAATCGCGTCGCCGAATCGCATCAGAGAGTCCATCTCCGAGCCATGGTCCCTGTGGATCTTGCACTGCAAATAGGGCGATAGTTGCAAGTTTAACAGGTCACAGCACTACCACAAGATTCGCCTCTCCCCGAGGGGCGACGCAGTCGATTGGACACGCCGCCGCCTCCACCTAGCAGAGCACGAGGCACGGCATGTCGCGGTCATCCAGTAAACACATGACCCTAGCCGATCACCCTCGCTTCGCTTTCACCACCGAATCGATCGCTTACATGCGCCGGCCGCCAATGCTTGCCTTCTGTATGGATATTGGATATCCACCTCCGAAAATGGACACCGGGACTGTCTGGCTGGCTCTGACTGAGTCGGCAACCTCGAACACGTCGGTACGCGCACGCCTCACGACTCACCCCCCTTTGCTCTAGCCTGGCCGATGCTACGCGACACACGCAAAGGACCCGGCCAGGCAAGAAGGAAAAAGCAAACAACGCACCGTGTGCCACGCTGTGGCTTCAAGACATAATGCTGTGCTTACACGAGAACGGAGGCGCGCCCCTTACCCTCTCTCTCTCTCTCTCTCTTTCTCTCCCTCTCTCTACATACTCTGTATCTCGCTCATGAGTCTATCCTTCCGACCAACCAACCAGGAGCCTCCACAACTCTCAACCCCTCTATGTACTTCGAACCTCCCCACTTCTCGGCCAACTCTCTCCTTGAACTGGAGGTTTCTTTTTCCCTCACATAGTTCCTTTCCCCAGTATCGGATCGCTCTTGCGACCACACGTGTGGCGAGCACGTTCGCGAGCCCCTAAAAGACCACCAGCCAAGCCGGCCGTTGGGCCACGAGGGTGGTTGTCCGTGACAATGACGGGGGACCCAGTATTTGCTGTGCGCGCAGGGGTACGCAATTCTGCGGTGACGAGAATTGCGACTGCAGGATCTCACATGTCGTCTCCAATTCCAGGCGGTCAAATAGCTATGGATCCGGATGGGCATCATGTTCAACGGTACTGGATGCGCTGGAGAGCACTCGACCCTTTGCTCATTTCTCGGTATGCAGAAGAGACCATACTGGCGCTTTACGCCGTCCTAGCGCAGTTCACTAATCGGCAATCGGCGCGAGCTATCAGATTCCCAAAGACTAGTACCAGCAAATGACCCCTGTCGGCGTTGCGCTTCTGCTGAGCACTTGCACTGGGGTTTCTATTCGGGGTTCCTTGGCCAGCCGTTTCTTTGCTTTTTCTGCCGTGCAACGAGTTGCAGGCTGGAGCACTGATATATCTGGCATCCCCGCCTGGCCGCCCCCATTTGGACGAGACACACACCCCTCCTCTTCCTGTCACTTCTCATTCCTCACATAATCACTCAAACGAGATGGCTACGCAGCACAACGCAGCAGCACATGCGCTACAACCATCTTCCCTGCCTCTGCGCCGTCTGCCGCCTCAAGCTCTAACTAGCCGCTCCGAAGTACCTTTGAAGTCGAGTGACTTGGAATGACAAGACGACCAAAAAACGCGCCTTGGGGTAGGTCGTAGCCGTTGCCTGCGTGGCCTGCCTTTGCGAACTCGAAGCTTTCTTGCTTGCTCGCTCGCTCGCTCGCTCGCCCCCCCCCCCCCCCTGTCATCGACCTCGGTGCCCTGCTCACACGCCCCCCTTGGCTCCCTGCTTCGTCGCCTCATAACTTCGTTCTATCACTTTCCCATCACGTTCGAGTTTTTTCCCCATCTCCTGCGATGGCCACAGAACGGCACAAATCCGCACATCGTAAGGGATCCCAATCCATCTCAGCTTTGCCATGATTCTCCTAGGGACTTGGCCCTCAGAGCCCTTGCGCAGACGTAGCAGCCTCACCGGCCGACACCCAAAAAGAGGGTGGCCTTCCCGTGCCTTGCCGCAACGCCGTGCCCGCACCTTCGGTCCTTTGCCTAGGCCCCCTCCCCTGCGCGCACTTTCCCGCGTCCCGCCCTGCGTCGTCCGCCGCCGGCCTTTTCTAGCCCACCCTCGCCGTGCCCGTCCATCCCGTCGGCCGTGCAGAGGGGTGCTTCCTTCGGGTAACCCAAGCAAGGCAAGCCTGTTTCTCGCCAAAGTCACACTATCTAGGTTCCCGTGCCCGCGGAGGATGACGCCTAAGACGCTCCCATGGCACCGGGTCTTCCAGCGCACCTCAGCTTTCCAAACTGAACCTAATGATCTCCTTCTCGTCCTCTGTAGAGAACGGCAAAACGCCACAATGAAACCCCTTCCACTCCTCCCGATATGCGGACCTTTCTGGTTCTCTCAAGGCCCAGCAACAAACCCATCAGCCAATCACCAGAGTCTAGCGCGCCTACGCTTGGTGTGCCTTGCTTACCATGCCCATGCATGCCACGGTGCCTGTCAGCTTTGCCAATCGTCCTCCCCGCCAATTCGCTGCGCCAGGTCTGTCACCCTCGCATCCGACGCGGGATCTTCACCAGGTGAAGCGGTGTCGCACCAAAGCATGGGAACGCGCTTTCGTCACTCCGCAAGCGCCACCACTCCTCCACTTGGAAGCCTTGTCTCCAGGTGGGGGAGATTGGGGTGATGGATGATGTGCAGAGTGAGGCGGCAGTGGGAGATGGCCACACCGGTCTATCAAACACATTTCATCTTAGCCCTTCTCGTTTTTGAAAGGGGGCGGCTGTCAAGTTGTCTGACAATCGCGATGTGGTAGTGTATGAAAGAGTTGGGCGGCGCGATGTCATGCCGCCAAGGTCTTGGGCAACATCGATCACATATCCATCCAACAGAATCAAGGTGTGTGTGGGTAAGCGTGGTTGGCAGCTGCTGCAGCCTCTTTTCCGTCCTCCGCTTTGATAAATGACATGACATGACATTGAAAAAAGGCCCGGCATGTGCTCTGGCTGTGCGAGGAAAGACATTCGTTATGCGGCTTATCTCTTCCTGTATCACCCGGGTTCTGCTTTCGCACGTAAGGCAAGGCAAAGGCGCTGCGAGGTACTGCACTCGCGAACGCCCGTCTAAAGAAGAAAGAGCCGCCCTCGCCGCCCGAAAAGGAACGCCAAAAGGGGACGCTCAGCAAAAAGACACAATGTGTTCTTCATCTCGATCTGGGTGAGCTGCAGCCGTCGCATCGTCTGTAGTTTTCCGGATCGGGACTGATAAATGAGGAGTGGTATCGCAAATATCCCCCGCCCATCGCTCAGTTCTCACGCAAACATCGGGCTAACCTCATCTACAAACGTCGCCCCCCCCCCTTTTTTTTTTAATGGTTATGCGACGTTGTGGGCATCCGATGCGAGATGAGTGATGATGCACATCTCGAGAATTCTCCTTTCGAGATGGAAAAAAAAAATTTGAGGCGGCCGGGCCAAATTTCCCCTTCCGGACCCCTACGAGATTATGACGGAATGGCCAGCAAGATATTCAGGGTCCGGATGCCGGGTTGTGTCGCCAACGGCATTGCATATGCCAGCCCAGGCCTCCTCTCCTGTCCTGTGCGTCGGACCTTGGACTCCAGGCTGTAGGTGTCTATCACGGGTATGGGGCCGACAGCGGGGCGGAGAGGGACGGCTGGGGACCGCCATTCGACTGCCCAGTTTACTGATGCTCACTCGTTGTGGGAGGGGGTGAGCTCATGCAGTCAGCAATTCACTTGCCGACACGACGCGACGCCCACGACGGGGCCGGCACTCGTCTTGTCCAACACACCATGTTTGAACGAGGCTCAACAACCGGGGCTGGGCGCGGTTTCTACCCAGCGCCGAGGGGGGAGAGGGTATTCGTGATGGTGACGAAGCCATCGCCGGGACGCAATTTGCAGGAGAGGCACCGGCGAGGTCACGGGGGGTGTAGGAGCAGGGACGCATCGCGATCCGGATCGCCGTCGACATGGGGGCCCTCGGACTTTCCTGTACAACCTCTGCAGCGATCACCTCGTGTACGACCATGCAAGTCAGGCAGACGTACGATCGTCCAGGCAGGCCCCCTCGCCGTGCCGCGCTGGAAAGCTGTTGTGACACCGTTGAATATCGCTCCGGGGGGGGCTGCGCCGTGAGGTGCGCCGTACGACCCGAGAATGATGGGAGAATGATGAGCGGGCGGCGGGCTTGCGCGACTAGTTGTGTCGGCAGAGTTTCGAGCACGGTGATATCGATGTCCCCCGAGGGCGGGCATTGAGGGCGTTTCCCGAGCAGTGTTTGCTTCTCACGGCGCGCAGGTGCGTCTTGGGAGTTGGGGCGTGATATCTACTCGACAGTCGACGACGTGGTCCAGGTGAAAGGTTTACCTTATGGGTTTCCTCTTGAGGATTTCCCGTGGTGCCGTTCTAGAGTTTGATGATGAAAACTGACGATGAACGCTGATGGAAAGCTCAAAGTTCCACATCCAAGTAAGTCTGAGAAATGTGATATGGGGTTGAGGACGATAGGGACGACGGGCAAAGGTGTGTCTTTCTTCTATTCTGATCCACAACCGAGTAAGAAAGACGTCAGCAACTTGTTAGATATTACAGTTTAACAAATTTGCACATAACTGTAGAGGTTATGTTAGATTTGAAGAACATGGCATTTAACATGAGTATGCCCAAGTGTCAAACAGCCATGAAACAGAGGTATTAATTGTTTGCTTCCCATGGTATAAATCACAGTTTGAGAATTGGCAAATGGGTCCTTGTTACTCAGAAAGCAGCTGTACTATAACACCATCACGTTCAGATTACACGATATAGTTGTAGGTTATTTGACGATGATAATATCATTAGGTCATATCAGGCTATGGTACATTAAGTACTAGGTATCATTCCCACCAAATCTTTCTCATAAAAAACCACCAATTTACACTCCGCGGTGCAGCTCTTGAGCAGACACCTTGCTGTTGCGTCTCGCACGGCCGTGGCCATGGTCATCGTGAGCAATCTCGGGCTCGCCGACGTGCTTTGCCAAGACGGAGGGAGGAACCTGAGCGGCGTCGGTAGGGTCCTTGGCAACACCCGAGGTGGTATCCCTGAGGTTGCTCGTCAGTCCCTAATTCTCTCTGCCTCGACGGTCGGGAATCGGCTTTCGCTCGTAGGTGGTCCGCTTACTGGGCGTAGGTCTTGTTACCACCAACGGTCTTGGAGCCGTCAAGGTCGGAGTCGACGCGGGGGTCGACCTTGTTCAGGGCGTCAGACTTGTGGGGTCCAGCGGTGTTGGGGGCGGGACCGGTGCCGTGGGTGCCGGCGACGGCAGAGCCAATGTGACCAGCAGCGTTGTGGGTGTTGGAGACACCGCCGGTGGCGCCGGTGCTGGGGTTGCCGGTCAAGCTGGAGTTGCCGTGCGTGTTGTGGGTACCAGTAGTACCGTGGCTGCCGGTGAGACCGGAGCCGGTGGTGTTGTGGGTGCCAGATGTGCCGTGGCTACCAGTAAGACCAGAGCCAGTAGTGCCGTGGCTGCCGGTAAGACCGGAGCCGGTGGTGTTGTGGGTGCCGGTGGTACCGTGGGTGCCAGTAAGGCCGGAGCCGGGGGCACCACGGTGGTCGCGGTCAGAGTCAACACGGGGGTCGGCCTTGTTGGCGAGACGTCCGCCGTGGGGGCCGTGGACACCATCGGGGTCGTCGTAGCCAGTGGTACCGTGGGTACCGGTGGTGTGGCTGCCGGTAAGACCAGAAGTGCCGGTGGTACCGTGGGTACCAGTGGTGCCATGCGAACCAGTCAGGCCAGAGCCAGTGGTGCCATGGCTACCGGTAAGACCAGAGCCAGTGGTGCCATGGCTGCCGGTGAGACCGGAGCCGGTGGTACCGTGGGTACCGGTAAGACCGGAGCCAGTAGTGTTGTGAGTGCCAGTGGTGTTGTAAGCGCCGGTGGTGCCATGGCTGCCGGTCAGGCCGGAGCCGGGGGCACCACGGTGGTCGCGGTCAGAGTCAACACGGGGGTCAGCCTTGTTGGCGAGACGTCCGCCGTGGGGGCCGTGGACACCATCGGGGTCGTCGTAGCCAGTGGTACCGTGGGTACCGGTGGTGTGGCTGCCGGTAAGGCCAGAAGTGCCGGTGGTACCGTGGGTACCAGTGGTGCCGTGCGAACCAGTCAGGCCAGAGCCTGTGGTGCCGGTGTGCGTGCCGGTGTGAGTGCCAGTGGTGCCGGCAGGGTTGGCGCGGTGGTCGCGGTCAGAGTCGATGCGAGGGTCGGCAGCGTTGGCAGCGCGGTTGGCGTGGGGGCCGGAGGTGCCCTCAGGCTGCTCGTGCTTCTTGTCGGAGTGGAGAGCCTCCTTGACCTTGTTGACGATGGAAGACATGTTGGGCTAATTTCTCGATGTGGGTATCTATTAACTTAAAAAAGGTTGATGGAGGGAGTTGTTGTTTGTTTGGAGAGTGGTTGTTTGTTTGGGTATCTTGTGTTATGATGAGGAGAGAAGGAAAGTTGTTGTTGACGGCGGGAGGTTGAGGCGCTCTTATAGAAGTCAGAGAGCATCGAGAAGCTCCATCTCATCCTGCTCTACCGGTGGTAGGCCAAGGAATCGCAATCGTGATCCAAGAAGCCCATGGCTGTCCTGCCCCCTTGCAACCCACCTCGACTGTCCATGCTGTGACGGACAACAATCAAGGAATCTGCACCACCGTGCCTGCTTACCTAGGCCAGTCTAACACCAATGTCTATTCACCGTGCCGGCATGGGTCTGGAGAAGGACCGCAAAGGTAAGGAAAGAGTAGGTACGCTTGCGGACTTACGTTCACACGTCGTCATAGGTCTTGGACGCAGCTGTCTCACTCGGGGATACAAGCTTCAACTGTCGGGCCAGTCAGGCCGACGTGTTGGTAGGCCGGTCTGTCTACTCCGCTGGTGGCTAGGGACCCGGCCAATGGGAGCCGATAGGCTAAACCCAGTCCGCCATGGCTAGATGACGACCCAGGACCTTTGTCTGGCGTGACGCTGCGCTTGTTTCCGTCAAGCCTTTCCCCCTGCCCATGCGAATCTCTCGTTTTGCGTATTCACATGGGGTAATAGGATACGTTGGTACTTCAGGGTCTTTGGGGAGAGAGGGCTTCCAAGACTGGACAGGACGTAATATGTCAAGGATTTGTCGTCATAGTTGACAAGAGAGCGGGTCACGGTGGTTGAAGAGCCGTGAAGATCTGTGGCTAGTGGACGTCCAGGGGCTGTGAGATGGGGTATCAAATGTGGCGAAGACAATGGGAACTAGTTAATTTTGGCTCAGCTTGGAGCACCTGGCTTTCCGTTCAGGCACACTATCACACGTGGTGGGGGGAGGGGGAAGAGCTCGGAGCTAAGGGACCTGGCCTCTTGCTCATCCTACCGTTTCGCCCAAGCATGCGAGAAAAGTCAGCAATCCTGCCAAGCTAAGCCGGCATCCGACTTGGGTTAAGTGCGGCGGCGTTGGAGAGACAACGTGAAGGAACTGGCGTACCGGCCGCCGCGCGTCGTGTCTCACAGTCTAACCAGCTTTTACCAGCTCTGCCAGCATAGTCTACGAGGTGGAAGCTGTTAGACATGGAAGATCGATCGGTTTGGGTCGCTCCAAGGGCCGGTCACTGGGCCGAAAACGCAATCCAAGGTGGCGGTTGTACGAAGCAAGGCGTGATCCGAGCTTCTTTGCGTACCTGGACCTCTCTCTATCGGGTTGGGATGAGGTCTTCGGTCTGAGAGCCGCTGCGTGCATGTCACGAGCGTCAGCCTGTGAGGCGACCGAGTGACATGGATCGAGGTTTGAGGTTCCCGAGGCGCGCTCCGCCGAAAGTCCTTGTAACCAAGGCAGCAGAAGAAACTCTGCCAATGACGCAGCGCGAAACCTCAGCTGGGGCCGCCCCCGCGTGTGGCGTGAGCTCTACCATTGGCTGATGGCCAGGGACGGCAATATTGCCGAAATTTCGGATGTGGCTAGTGAGGCGTCCCTTCGGGTGACAGGTCATGGCTGATGTCAAAAGTGTGGCGTCACATACCCCACAGAATGCAAAAGATGCGGTCATCAATATATCAGCTCGCCGGACCGTGGCGCTAGCTGTAACCTGCTCTGACCTTTTCGTCCCTTTCTCTTGACCCCGCCTCGACGCGGTATTGCGGGGCATTACGCCATGCGGCTCCCATCGGACAACCAGGAGGCCCCCGGAGAGAAGAGGAGGGAGGTAGGAAAATGAGACACAGAGACCTCCTTTTCCCACCAAACCTCTTACCCAGTTCAGCCACCTCACCCTCTCGCCTGTCTCTCTCTGCCTTACCCTGCTTAACTGCCCCTCCATGTCTCTGTTTGCTTTGGAGTGGAGCTTTAGAGTTTTGTTGACAACCTCGTCTGCTTTGGCGATCCCGGCGCGTAACCTGGATGCAGAATCGCCCCTTACATTCGCCCCTTTCAACCCAATAACAGCAATAACAATCTATCATGGAGGGGAGGATCGCTGGAATTGTGTCGTTATGAAGGGAAATTTGCGCAATTCCCATCTTCCAACCCCTCTGCACCGCCACCGTCCCTTACAGTGATCTGCCACACATACTCTTCTCCCGCGAATCCCCCGCACCATCCTGATGCGTGACCTGTTGGTTTTTGGTCGTTGTTTTTTTCACCGCTAGAGCTAACGAAGCACGCCGTTTTCCCGCACATCGCGCCCTCTTCGTCTAGGCAGTCGCACGGTCTTCAGACGGAGCGGCCTCGGGAGCGCAAGAGAAGGGTGCCAAAAACCTGGCGGCCAGGGCAACTTGCAGCGTCTAGTCCAAACCAGAGAGGAGGCTAGGAGGATGCGGCACAGTAGCTCGAAAGCGGCCTGGGGGCCACTGTCTTCCTTCTCGGCCCAACCTCTGAGCCTGAACATCGTGGCATTCTGGACCGCAGATCGCGGAACTCTAAAGGGATCTCACTCGATGCCAGGGAAGCTCTCACGCGATATCCTACGTAATTTCTATTGCCAATGATACAATGGTGCGATCTCTTTGGCTTGGTCCGCCCCAAAACCCCGCTCCCTGGCAGAATGGTGGCTTAGGGTGGTTTCGAGAGGAGACAAGAATAACATGAGGAAACCTGCTCCACAGCCATACAAACCGTCCGACGGATGCTCACGGCCGCGGTCTGGAGCGGTCCAGAATTGCAAATTCCAAAGTAACACCAAAGAGTAGTCACGAGGAGCCAAGAAAAAGGCACCAGGTGTCCTTTCTCAAACCATGTCGTCGCAGATCACAATACTGTTTTCGGACACGGCAGGGCGGTGCTCATACGAGGAGAGGCGGCCAGGGGGAGGCGGTCAGTGGCAGAGGCTCACCCGCTAAATCATCATGCAGGACTCGGGGTTGTTGGTGAGCATTAGCCAATTTGGTTTCTGCCCACTTCTCTCATTTTGCTTGCCACTCTTTCGTCCGTCTTTCGGCGTCTGCAGAAACGCAAACATGTTTCCCTGGTTTCTGCTATTGCTGTTGACCCTTCATTGGTACTGCCCTCACAAATCTACGTCATCTGTAAAGTTGATACTTTTCCCCAGACCCTAGCGCCTGTGATCGTCGATGCGATTTCACTCACAACCGCCCGAGATTGCCTCAATGCTCTCATAATTCCCGCAAGGAACGAGGCTAGGGAAGAGGACATGGCGATTAGGGTCGTCACAACCTGCCGACATTCCTCAAGTCATGGATTGCTGAACAACGCAGATTTTGTCTTGAACTGATCAACTCTGGCGGAGGGAAGATCCATTCGCCTCCGGGACTCGAAAATAACCCATGTTCATCGTTCCTCCACGTGATATGACACGTTCAGGACTACTTCTCAAGCGTCGAGATCGTCCTCAAACTGGTCTTCAACTAACTGGATTCAATGAGATCAAGCAGGCCTGTGAGCGGTTTGTTCTCAGTGGTTCGATTTAATTTGTAAGTGAGTAATTAGCAACCTTGGCTTCCATCTACAATTTCTAAGTCCAAGGTCAGGTTAATCCAGGCTAGCATCAGCTCTATGTGCTTGCCTAAATGCCTCCCACGTAACTGTTAACAAAAAGTGTTGGTTACATTATCAATGGGGTTCAGATTGCCAACAGATGAGTCAAAAGGCTGGTGTATCTCTAAAAGGTAGTTGGGCTGGGGAAAAGTAAACAGAAGAGGAATAATCATGAAGTTTGCGCGATCAACAGGGAGTAGACGCAAAGATTGTTGGCTCCGAGTTGGAGAAAATACAAAACAGATCACTGCAAAAAGGAAGATAACACACATAGGCCAACTTTTCTTACACAACAGACATGCCCCGTAATGCTGTTTCACTCGTATCTTCCCTTGTGATCAGTATCGGCTTGGTCCCGAAGCACTGCCAAGTGGATGCTGTCCCAGGGAAGGAGGTGAATGCCAGCCTCCAAATGGAAGTGGGCTGCAGTCAGCATCTGGAAACATCGCGGCCCGCAGCCGGAGCTTGTTAGGGCTGCGTTCCCGGCGAGGATCCGCTTTCCCCGGATCATCCGGGTGCCGAGCCGGCGGAGCTCATCCCCTGTGTGGGCCAATATCAGTACGGTGGTAAATTGTGCATGCTGAGTTGATGCGGCTATTGAATCAAAGCTAGCTGATAAGGTTATCAGGGCCGAACGACATTCGAACTGTGGCTGATGTGGCTGTACTGCTCATTTGTCCATCTTAATAGACGCTGCGATTCGTACTTCATGCAAACTCGGGATTATTCAGTGCAGTGGAGTTGTAAGCCTTCGATTTGTATAACACTTAAAAAGCGTTGCTTGAATTCATTAACCGAAGTCTAGTACAAGGGGGCGCGCAAACTTCTCAAAGTCTTGGAATTAAGGCAAATGAATTACCCAGCTGTGGCTATAGGCACGACATGACTATGGTCATGGGACAGAACACAACATGGTAATATGGTGTAAGTATAGTATTAGGGTAGGTAATATGATACAAAAGGCTGGGTATTATCGGGTATCAAGCCTTCAGGCGAAGCCTCAAGCCATTCTCTCATACTGTCGTGAACATAGAAAAGCGCAGAAACAAAAATCCATCCGTCCAACTCCTCCGTAGCACGTCCCCCATCCGTCAAGGATTTCGGCGCAGCGTATTATACGAAGATGGGGATTTTTGTTGCTCCATTATATCGTTCGGCATGTGCCACCCAATGCGACCACCACGAAGTGGTGAGATTGTAATGTGCGAGCAAATACCGGAGCCGAACGCGTCACTTAGACGCGAGAAGAACGGTACCAGCGACGGCGGCCGTGGGCGGGGCGGCTGTCGGCAACGGCGGTGCGACGACGGACCCAGAAGAGGCCGACGAGGGCGGACGCGAGCCAGACAATGGCAGACAGGAAGCAGAAGGCGATGTTGGCCTTGTTGCGACCGCATGCATCACCACGGGGGCTAACATTGCTCCAGTCGAAGATGGGACCGCAGCCATCACCGATGAGCTGAGAAAAGATGTCAGTACATTAATCGCATATTTGCAATAGTAGGAATATAACTTACGTTAACAAGCAGACCGAAGGCGACAAACCAGAGGATGCTGAGAAAGATGTCCATGGGCCAGTGGATGAAGCTGCCCGAGAAGGGGAACAGCCAGATCAGGGCGAACAGCAGCGACAAACTGGCCACCACAATGGTGTAGATGAAGCGGCCATTGTCCCACGACGAGCCGTTGGAGGCGTGTAGGTAGGCGCCGGTGATACCAGCGACGATGGCGGCAAACGCCAGCTGGGCACCGCGGAGGATGAACTGCACAATACGGTCGAGCGCCATTGTGATTGGTGTATGCTAAAGACTTTTGAAGCAAAGCTGCTTTTGAGTTTGGTGGTGGTTGGGATGATGGGCTGTCGCACTGAAAGTCTGATAATCTGTTGCTGTTCTGAGGGATGGGGATCGAGAACAGACGAGGGGGGGCATAAGGGCATCTCTATTTATCAACTCTCAGAACAGGCCGGGTTTGTGCAACCCAACCTCGTCACATCAGGATGACGATCTGGAGGGAAAGCAGGTTTGAGGGTGGTCTGGCTTGCAAACTTCTATCGACAGGGCGTCACCTCGTCACCGCCGAGCACAGCAGGCGCATCTGGTTCGCGGGTGTCGGCGTGCCGATACTTTGTGACTAAAGCGCTGGGCTAGACAACCGGTACAGAAAAGCCTAGAAAGAATCATCTAAAACTAGAGTAACGGCACCCAAGTCCCAATATGCGCTTGCTGCAGGGCGGGTACACAACGAAGAGGCCCTGCCAAGCACATCTGTTCGGCACTAGGCTCGTGAGGAAAGGGAGGGAAGGAACTAGGGCGGATTGGTCTAACGTCACCAGGCCGGCTTCGTGGCACGCTGTCAAGAGCCCGTTCTTTTTTTTGTTTTTACTTCTCTGCTTGCCCAGCCCTGTAGGCCTTCCCATGAGGTCATCCGACCAGGGAAGCAATGTGCAGATGAGAAGACAATGGCAAGCTAGCATGACTCCTGATAGGACGGCGCTTGCCATCCACCCTGGCCTTGAGGTGTGAAACAAGCCTTTGCGGGGCCGCGATACCTCGCGATCTTTACAGAGACGGTGATACCCCCTTGTCAAGGATTGTCCGGAGAGTGGTTTGTTCTTTTTTCGGTGGACGATCTGGGGGAAGTTTGCATATCGTCAGCCGATGCGGCGGCTTGCTGGGCAGCGCAGAATAAACGCCAGGCTAATGAGGCCGAGACCACTGATCCAAGTGACAAGACAGACGGTTCATCGTCCGGCCACAACTGGGTTCTATTGGGGAGTTAGACTCCCGGATCTGGCTTCAACGGAGGGTTCATCGTTGGCGGTACTGTCGCGTCGTAACCCGCCCTCGACCTGGTTGAATGGGTAATATTTGCGCAACGTCGGAATGGCGGCATCACGTTAGCGACTTACAAGGAGTCACAATCGCTTGCGACGTCTGTGGCGATCGCTGTGGCTCAACCGGTTCCAGACTCTCCAGATCAACCAAGAAATCAAGCGGGGGCAGTTATGATAGGCCGTCACGCGGACAGCGAGGCGCAATCTGTGTGGCTGATTGCTCCCCCCCTGCCCTGGCGACGGGAAAAAGAAGTCTGGAATGTCGTCGTCCAAGAGAGTCGAAACTAGGCTCACCGAGGAAAAGGTGAGAGTGACGTCACTTCAATATCCAGGGGTTGGAATGTCGTCCAACCAGCTGCAGCCACACGACTTGACCGCCTCCCAAGCCTCTCAAGCCGTCACAGTCCGGCAAATGAGTCCAATTTCTTCTGCCGTAGCCCATGATGCAGCAGACGACTCATGGCGGGCATCGTCGAACTTGCGTGCCTGCGCCGTATCATTCTGGTCGCGTTGTCTACAGCGCTGTAGTAATCTTCATGCAGCCCGTCGCAGGGACTAGAGACACACTTTCATGCCGGTACTTGGGCGTTGGCGCTGGTCTTGGTCGTTTGGTCGTTACGTAGGGCCAAGCGCCCTTCCGTCGATAGGCCTAGCTGCTCGATCGGGGGTCGCGACCTTGATCTGGCGGTGAGTGGATCACGGCCACGCGTTCGATTGAGGACATGATGTTGTCCAAGACCAGGAAAGGGGGCTTTCTGTGCCGACTTGCCAGAGGATACAAATGCTAGGGAATATCCTTCCTCCGATTAGCCGAGGAGCTTGGCCTTGATGAGAGTTGCCGAACAGGAGCTTTGGGTCCGTGCGTGAATACTTATTGGCCGAACCTTCATTTCGGCCCCGCCCACCGGCCTCGGCACTTTGCGGGGCCTTACACCGGCTATTGACGAGTTGCAGAGGTTTAAACTTCCTCGGTAGCCCCACAAAGCACCGACCTGGCTTGTCTCACATGGCCCTATAATCTGCAGTGCATCTGGCCCAGACCTGTTCGATAGCGATGTATTTAGTCCAAAGTCCGACGGCAAACCTGCAATATCCGGTCTCTCCGACGGCATACTTACACAAGATTCAGTCTCCCAACAGTTTCGAATTCACTGGAAGGTTAGGCTTGCCGGATAGTCCGTGACACATCGCCATGAAGCAGCACTCCACTGCGAACACGGGCTTCTTCCAGGAATTGCCCGTGCTGCCGAACCAATTTTTCGAAGATTCTAGTTTCCAGAGGGTTCTAAGACGTACGTACAAGATACAAGGCATTCGTCCAATGTCGCTAACCTTACAGTGTTCGTGCCGACACATGTGATCGAACGAGTTGAAGTTGAGTTGGCACAATTCGGAGAGGATGTCCTATCCGATCAGGTCTTTTCGTGGGTCACCGACTCTGAGAGACACAAGCCGTACTTGAAGGGAAATGGCCGGGATGCTTTCGGACGACCGATATCCGAACTTGTAGTCGGCGAAGGATGGCGTGGCTTACAAGATTTTGGCATCAGGAACGGTATCGTTGCTACAGGGTACGATGCCTCCCTCGGGTCATCCGCTCGGTTGGTTCAATTCTTGAAGCTTCACTTATGGGAAGGCTCGGCCTCGAACGTCCCTTGTCCGTCTGCCATGCAAGATGGAGCAGCTCGACTATTGCAACTACAGCTGGCGAAGGAAATGGACCCGGCCCGACGAAAGGTGCTTGGGAATGCACTTCAACATCTGTTGTCCAGGGATCCAGCAACGGCGTGGACCAGCGGACAGTGGATGACCGAGCGTACTGGCGGAAGCGATGTCTCCCTCACCGAGACTGTGGCCCAGTACATCCCGTCCGCGGAACCGGAACTGGCAAATGCGGAGGAGAACATCCCACTCGGACCATGGTCAATCTCAGGATTCAAGTGGTTTTCCAGCGCCACCGATTCGGCCATGACCATCCTTCTTGCAAGGACGCAGAACGGCATCAGCACCTTCTTCGCGCCCATGAGGAGGCACAGCACTTGTGAGACGACGATGGCCGGAAGACCCAGAGGAATTGCCGGCACGGAGCTGAACGGGGTTCGAATCCAACGGCTGAAGAACAAGTCGGGTACGCAGTCACTGCCGACTGCCGAGCTCGAGCTAAACGGCATGCGCGGATGGCTCCTCGGCCAGGAAGGTCGCGGGATCAACGAGATAAGCACCGTTCTGACACTCACACGCATCCACTCGGCCGTGGCTGCTGTGGGATATGTAGGCCGTGGTTTGGCGATCGCAAGAGCATACGCCAAGGTCAGACAGGTCGGCGCAGGACGAGGAGAGCGGATGTTGTTGTCGGAAAGTCCGCTCCATATGCAGACACTTGCGGATATGACGGGGGAATACCACGGCTTGATGTTGCTGACATTCTTCACGTCGTCCCTTCTGGGATTATACGAACATCCAGAAACTGGCAGGCCAGGGGCATTTAACGCTCCTGCTACCATCACGCTGGACCCAAAACACGTTTCGCCACTGTTGCGCGTCCTGACACCACTTTGCAAAGCCTATGTCTGCAAAAAGGCTATCCCGTTGCTCTACAGCTGCATGGAGGCTCTTGGCGGAGTTGGGTATTTGCTCAATGAAGAGACCGAGTATCTCAACGTCGCCAGGCTCTACCGTGACTGCTGCGTGCTGTCGATCTGGGAGGGGACTACCGACGTCCTTGCGACGGATTTTCTACGCGCCTTGAAACATGCCAAAGGAGGGGCCGAGTCAGTCGAAGCTTTGGATGCCTTCTTCGCAAAGAACAAATGGCCTGAGCAGCGCGGATGTTCAACCGGTGGGAGTCCAGCTGACTCGTGGGAGGCTGTCAAGAAAGCCGTGGTCGGCAACTCACAAGCGGAGCTTGTTGGAGATGCAAGGTATCTCCTCTGGACTGTGGCCGAAGCATTCATCGGATTGCTACTACACGTGGACTATTGTAGGGATGACAGTGGAGCGGCACTTGACATTCTCTACCGCTACAGAGTTCGCTCCACAAGTGAGACTTTCGGAGGGCTATACAAGGGGGCACGGGATAGGCCACGCCTCAACAGCAATGATCAGTTGGATAGAAACTTTGCCATCGTGTATGGCAGGTTAGGCTCGGACACTGCGCGGCTGCCAAAGTTGTAAATGCTGTTAGGTAGAAGAATAATGCATGTGCTATATGGCTTGTACGCCGAGTTAAACCACCGTGGACATGCGACTGAAGTACGCATACGGACGGATTAACTTGCGACACCGCAACGCCACGGAGCGCGTGGAAAATCATTGCAACAAACATCAGCATACATCTGGCATCTTACGACTATGCAGATGACAACGTATCAATGGAAGACGGAGTGATTACCGATGCCCGCCGCTGGGGCCCGCTTGCGCCCGCTCCTCCCCCCTTTCAAGTAGGAGCCGAAAACGGGTGCGGAGTGGTCTCGATCAGAGACAAAGATTTCGATTAGCCGGATATCCGGGGTCGCGTTCCAGACAACGGCTCAAGCCAAACCCTGCCGGATTGCAACGAACAAAGGACGTGCGCCTGATGAGCAGGGTCCTTTGACGAGTCCGAGCTTTATGCGCTGGAATGTACGGTCAAAGTACGGTGAGCAACGGCAACTTACTGCATAAGGTTTTGGCCCGCAGCCGATCAAGCGCCCCTCGATGAGATTTGCATGGAGCAACCTATCCCTTTGTCTACACACTAGTACCGGTATTCCCTCCGATCATGTCGAGTCAAGCACGCACGTTCCGTGTGGGGGAGGGGGAAAGGAGGGAAGAAAGAAAGAAAGGAGGCGGCCGTGCAAGCCGTAGCGCACTTTTCGCCGAATATGAAATTGGAGCTTTCCCGTTGGGCGCGTGCACCCATGGTGGTCTGCCTTCTTGCCCACCTGCTTGTCTTTCCTCGCGACCGGCTTTCTCAATCGCATCCTGTCATCGACGAGATGCCGATGCTCTACTCGAACAAGGCTATATCATGCGGGGGCCAAGCCCAAATGTGAACTTGGAACAGGATGACTCTTATTTGCCCGAAGTCTGGGTGAGTTGTCTCAGTTCGGCCCGTCTAGGAGCCAAAGACTGTGTTGCATGTAGCTGACCTTTGAGTGATGCGCCAGGCTTGGTATTCCATCGGCGTCTTCATAATACTGTTGCGATACGTGGTGCGCATTCGAACCGTTGGAATCCGCGGGTTCCGCGGCGATGATTATCTTGCTTTGCCTGTAAGTCGATCGACGCCAGACTGGCGATTTGGAGGTTGACGGAACGCAGTACCTCGCGTTATACAGCATCAATGTTTACGTTGTGCAAGTAAGTCTTGGGGCAAACGCATCACCAAGAAGAGGGTCTGACAGATGGTCCAAGATTACGTATCACACGGGTGGAAATATCGACATTACGGCCGGTATGGTGCCAAGCCTGTCGGACCACGATGTCGAGGTTCTTCAACTCGGCTCGAAGCTCGAGTTCTTATCCTGGTATACATATCCAGGTTGCATCTGTATGAATCCATTCGCGGTCGACGCGGGCACCATCTAATGGAATACTACGATAGGGATTTTAAAGTTCACCGTCTTGTTCTTCTACAGGCGTCTGACGCTGGGGCTATTGAGGAGGCGAACCATGGTTTTGCTCTTCTGGCTGTGCGGTCTGTCATACATGGCCCTGTGTATGACGATCACGCTCAGCTGTAGCCCGTATGGTTCTTGCGCCAAGGCCTTGAGTTGGAGGTGCTAATGGATTCATAGGGTTTCCGACAACTGGCGAATCCGGCCCTTGCCGGGTCCCCAATGCACTTTCCGACCGCAAAACTTTTGGGTGCTATTGTGGCTCAATGTTCTGACCGACGCGGCCCTCCTTTCCATCCCGGTACCGATCCTGTGGCATCTCCGGGTGTCTCTGAAGCGGAAGATTGGCGTCGGCATCTTGTTGTCGTCAGGCGTCTTCGTCATATCGACCGCAGTCGTGCGGGCAATCACAACGCTGGGCGGCTCCCCATCCATCATCAACATCAACCGCTGGGGATTCCGCGAAACCGCCGTCGGTCTCATCACCGTCACCCTGCCCGTGCTGAGCCCCTTGGCCACGAGAGCGTTCTGGCGCCGCGGCCCGTACATTCGAGATTACTACGATCGAGTCCCAGGCCCCCGGTCACAGAACAACGCGCGGTTCGGCAACTGGCTCGGCACCATGGTTCTGAGGTACATCGACGAGGAGGAGGGAGACGTCTTTGGGAATCCCAACGCAGCCAAGCAGCTAGAAGAGGCGGGATACAGACGAGAATATGCCGCACGGGCTGGGTCCTACCGTAAGGGCAGCTCGGAAACCTACGAAATGGAGACAAAGAGCGGCGGGGCGAGCACGAAAAGCACGCAAGGGATCGAGGGGGCCTGACAGCACCTGCGTCTCGGAGGGGGGGCAGCGAGCCGTTCGGCGGCGGAGATGAAGAACAAAATGGTTGGTATGCGGAGGAACAAATTTAATGAGCTATTGGATTTCATGATACCCAGGGGCTAATGGATAAATGGAAGGTCGGCGGTGAAGAAAAGACTCTAGGATTCAGGTTCACAAACGGCGCTTCTGGCGTGTTGTTCACTTTGCAAACAACCATGTCTGAAAGAAACCTCGTTACCGTAGCCAGCAAGTCTAAGCCTGATGCTCCAGCGCCAGATGCCGCCTCGGTCCCGAAGAGATACAGTTAGAGGCGGTGCGAATGGGGCTTGCAAGCGTCGAGTGCGAGGAAAGCAAGCTCCGGCGGCCATATCCAAAATAGGGTATGCTTCTAGAAATAGACTGGACTTGCAGCGTCCCTTCTCCAAAGCCAATTTGTCTAGTCCAAGATCCCCAAGCTCATGTTGCGATAGGGCGCCGATGTGGTGGCGATATGCCATGCCAACGTCAGTTTGCAGTTCCTCAGAGAAGCTGGCAGCTTTGCGCAGTGCTCTGCCCAGACATGTTATAGCAAAATGCACTACATCACGCCGACTGGTATGCAACTCGTCAAACCAGAAGGCGGATCTGACATGTACGAGAAGACGCCCGGCTCCGAAGCAGTGCTGGATCGCCATCATGGTGTTTCGTGGGATGAAACGTGGGTGATCTCTATGGGTGTGGCACCTGCAGATGGAAACGTGGAACGGATAAGGTGCCTCGTGGGAAGAACGGCGCTGATCCTGTTGACAGAGCCGGGCTTTGCGATCGGGATGCGTGGGTCCCGTGTAGGTTCTCGAACTGGAAAGTTATCATCTCGCAGTGTTAACTTAGGTTCGTATGTACGGACAAAAGCTAGATCACCCGTTGTAGCGCCCGGGGCCCCACACCCTGCAGCGCTGCTACCTCCGCTACCTAGGGAGACAGGCAGGCAGCACCCCTCTAAGCCTACATCCTGTCGCGTCGCGCGTCGCAACCCCACCATCCATTTATGCATGCATCCATCATGACGATATCCTTGCCGTGATGCGACCGATGCGACCGATGCGACCGATGCGACTGCCGCCACGATGACCCGACCGGTCAAACAGAACGCCATAGTAATTTCCGACGACGACGACGATGACGACGGAACGTCGTCTGAAATCGACCATTCTCGGTCTTCAAGCAACAAAGCTCTTGGGAAACGGAAAATCGACGTCGATTTCGAAGAGAAGGAGGTGTGGGACGCAGACTCCGACCTAGAACTCCCCAAATCCAAGAAGCGGAAGGGCCAGCGTGCTTCCGCTAACAAGGGGCAAAAGAACAAACGCAAGGGTCGACAGTCCAACAAGAGCGCCGTGGTCAAGCTCGACATCGATGAAAACAACGAGCCAGACGACCTCGATGTTGCCGAAGCGCCGGACTACTTGAAGGAGCGGAGGAAGAAGTTCGACGAGAACCGCGAAAGGCTGCAGGAAGCCGGGCTTCTACTGCCCCCAGACTATTCCGATGTCGTCTTCTCCGACGACGATCGACTGGACAGGCTGGAGCGCCGACCCATGTTCGAAGAGAGCTCCAAGATCAAGCCATGCCGGCCATACAAGGACGTCGAGCTCGAGTATTCGGCTGGAATCATCCCTGCTTCCATTGCGCAGTATCTACGCGAATACCAGGTCGTCGGCGTCAAGTTCCTGCATCGTCTTTTCGTTTACCAGAGAGGTGGCATCCTCGGTGATGACATGGGTCTCGGCAAGACGGTGCAGGTTGCCACATTCCTTACGGCAGCCTTTGGCAAGACCGCCGATGAGCGCGACAAGAAACGTTTGAAGAAGATCCGTGACGTCTCCGGCCGCTGGTACCCGAGAATCTTGATCATCTGCCCAGGATCCATCATCGAGAACTGGAAGAACGAACTAAACCGTTGGGGTTGGTGGAGGGTTGATGTTTTTCATGGCGCAGGGAAAGAGGACGTGCTCTCTACAGCCAAGGCAGGCCGAACGGAGATCATGATTACGACTTACACGACGTACAAAAACCACAAGAGCTTGGTCAACACAGTCAAATGGGATGCCGTCATCGCCGACGAATGCCACCAAATGAAGGAAAAGAGCTCCGAGGTTACCAAGGCAATGAACGATGTCAATGCGCTTTGCCGTATTGGTTTGACGGGCACAGCGATCCAGAACAAGTACGAAGAGCTTTGGACTCTGCTGAACTGGACGAATCCAGGCCATTTCGGCACCTTGGGGGAATGGAACAACACCATCACCAAACCTCTGACGCGAGGGCAGTCCCACGACGCAACCTTGAGCCAATTGCGAGACGCCCGAATCACTGCCAGGAAGCTTGTTACTAACCTGCTTCCCGGCTTCTTCCTGCGCCGGATGAAAACATTAATAGCCCACCAGCTACCCAAGAAGAGCGACCGAGTCGTCTTCTGCCCGCTCACTGACCAACAGCAGGAAGCATACAAGAACTTCATCAGTAGGCCTGACGTCGAGCTTCTTCGGACTCTTTCGGACCCCTGCGACTGCGGGTCGGGTGTTGGCCAGGGATGGTGCTGTCGGAAGACGCTCGATGACGGGACATCATGGCAGTCCATCATCTTCCCCTGCGTCACTACTCTACAAAAGCTGTCGAATCACCTTACTCTTCTGATCCCTGCAGGAGGAAGTGATCAAGATGAGAAGCACCAGAGAGAAATGCGCACCCTGCAGACCTGCTGTCCGGACACGTGGCTACACCTCTACAAGAACAGAGATGCGATCATGAATCTCGCCAACCCCGAGTTCTGCGGGAAATGGAAGGTCTTGAAGAAGCTTCTCAAGTTCTGGCACGACAGCGGCGACAAAGTCCTCGTCTTCTCGCACAGTGTCCGACTGCTTCGCATTCTGCAGCACTTATTCCACAACACCAGCTATAGTGTCACGTATCTGGATGGTACGGTGACCTATGAGGACAGGCAAAAGGCCGTTGACGACTTCAACTCCGACCCGACCCAATTCGTCTTCTTGATTTCGACCAAGGCTGGTGGCGTAGGCCTAAACATCACTTCTGCGAACAAGGTTGTCATTGTTGATCCTCATTGGAACCCGTCGTACGATCTTCAGGCTCAGGACCGAGCGTACCGTATCGGCCAGGTTCGGGATGTCGATGTCTTCCGACTGGTTTCGACCGGAACTATCGAGGAGATTGTCTACGCCAGACAGATCTACAAACAGCAACAGGCCAACATTGGCTACACGGCATCGTCCGAGCGACGGTACTTCAAAGGTGTCCAGAAGGACTCTGAGCGCAAAGGAGAGATCTTTGGGTTGGAGAACCTCTTTATGTATCGCGAGAACCAGCTCGTGATCCGTGACATTGTCAACAAGACCAACATCGCCGAGGCAAAGGCCGGAACCGGCATCGCAATGACCACCGTCGACATGGAGAAGCTTGCCAAGGAAGAAGAGGGAGAGCTCGATTCCCTGAAGCGCGAGCCTGTGGACTCGGAAGACGGTGATATGAGCCAGCTTGCCGCTTTCTTGGCCGCCAAGGACCCCAAGGCTGGCGACTCTGCGAAAACCCAGCAAGCCAAGAGCGATGCCGTCCAGGCCATCCTGTCGGCGGCAGGCGTTGAGTACACACACGAAAACTCGGAGGTGATTGGGACGTCCAAGATTGAGGAACAGCTGTCCCGCAAAGCGGAGATGGCCGCCAGCTCCGACGTTGACGGAGAGGGCGACAGCGCGCTGTTCGCGGATAGCCAGGTGTTTGGCGCGCAGGCCCAGAAGCTAAAAGGGTTTTCGTACATTTACAACCCCCCAGAGGATGTCATGCGACGGCAATTCTGCTCCATGGCGCGCGAGTTCGGCTTCGCGACTGCTACCGAGTTCGCCCTAGTGGTCGGCAGTTGGACACAGGCGCAGAGACGGAACTGCCTTGATGCGTTTTACAAGATTCGCGAGGGCAAGTTGCTGGCCGAAGAGACTGTCAAGGCCGAGGAGCAGGCGGCCGTCAAGAGGGAGTCCCCGAAGCGGGAGGACGAGGTCAAAGAGGAGCCGGGGGCGAAGGTCGAGGTGAAGAAGGACAACGTTGTGGTCGTGGATGATGATGCTGAGACCGAGGACGAGGACGAGGACGTCCATTCCAAGGAGGACGATATCAAGCAGGAACCTGTCGAGAGCAAGGAGAGCGTCCAACCGGACAAAGGAACCGTCAAAGTAGAAACGGAAGTCATTCCGAAGAGGACGTCCGTCTTCATTTACGACACAGACGACGATACGGATGAGCTTTGAGGCGTTTAGGGCGGAAACGAGATACCCAGGCGTTGTAGTGATTGGGAACATTTACCCCCGGATGAATAGAGGAAGGCTCCAGGGCCGCATGCACACTTCGTCCGGATCGTCATCTCCAGTGCCTCGGCTGGCCTGTTTGGGGTCCCAGGGAGGGTTTAGAAAGGTCACTGGTTACCCGGCCAAGTGCGTAGTCAATCCGAATCAGTATCGAAACAGCGCCCGACATGTGTTGCGATCCAGGGCCATGAAGACCTGTCCTCTTTGGTCCTCTCATCTATCCTTGTTCGACGAATTGCGCCCGAATACGTAAACACAGCCTCCGTTATGGATGAGCACGGTAAGACGTCTTCACGAGCTACAAGCCCGCTGCGCGGGTGGTAAGGCTGGGTGGCTGTCTTTGCAGAGACGTCCCACGCCCCCGGTGAAGCATTCGACATGCACATGCGCGCAGGGCGCCTGGTGTCTTTTCAGCACGATCAATACCTGGATATTAATTTTCGGTCCCATCCCGCGAACCGAAAAACTCGATCGGCGCACAGAGTGTGTCTCGAATCTCCTTGCTCATACCGTGATGCAAAAAACCCCCCCAAAACAGAAAAACCCGAAAATGCCTTGGCAGCGAGCCGTTGTGTATCCTCCTCGTTAGTCCCCTTATCCCCCCTTACCCTAAAACCCAATTGCCATCACGCGCGCTTTTTAATACTCGTCGTCGACGCCCCGCGCCTTCTCGCCGGCCTTCCTCTCCCTGTTGAAGTCGACCCACCACCGGTGCGACGGCTCCGTGCCCGTCCACTCGCCCGTCTCGGCGTCGATCTCGTCCCACGGCTTGGGCGCGAGGATGTAGTGCACGTTCTTGACCTCGGCGTCGCGCCAGATGTCGCTGTGCACGCCGTCCCAGCGCATCGTCTTGAGCGCGTTGTAGACGTAGGGCAGCGCGACCCAGCGGCCGCGGTACAGGTCCGACAGCAGGCTCTGGTCGGCAAAGTCCATGTCCATGGCGCCCAGCTCCATGTGCTTGACAATCTGCTCAAACAGCTTCTTGGACGGGTTGACGACCTGCAGGCCGCCGTTCATGAAGCCCAGCGGCGACTGCGTCACGGGGTCGGGCGCGGACCGCTGGGCGGCGTCGGGCGCGGCGTGCTGCGTCGTGAAGGCGCAGTTGTCGGGCGTCCAGTCGGCCGGGTAGTGCGGCTTCTTGAGCGGGTTGCAGACGCAGGCGTGGCCGGCGGCGAAGACGCGGGTGCTCGGGTTCTTGACGGCGAGGTCCTCGAGCGTCGGAGAGCCCGGGGAGCCGGTGCGGGGGCTGCCGCCGATGGCGGCGCCGGGGGTCTGTTGGGCGGCGAAGTCGCCGTCGTCGAGGTCGAGCTCCATCAGTTCGTCCATGTTGCGGAGGACGAGCATATCCGAGTCGAGCTGGACGACGCGGGCATACTGGGTCAGCGAGAAGGGCGAGAGCTTGCTCCAACAGTCGTAGAAGCGTGGGTCGTTGGAGTAGTCGCGGCCCTTTGTTGGGAGGAGGTACTCGATGCGCTGTGCAGGGATACCGCGGCGCTCGAGGGCGGCGAGGCCTTTGGCCGGGAACGAGTCCGTGTAGAGCGCGACGAGGGGGTATGCCGAGCCGGACTTGACGAGGGAGTAGTGCAGGGTGAGCAGGCCGGGTAGGTAGTCGAGGTTGGTTATGAGGGTTGTCCAGACTGCGCGCGTGGAAGGGGGGGTCAGCTTGGTGATCGTGGAGGTGGTTTGCGACAATGCGCCGATAAACAAAAAAACATGAGGGCCGGGAAACCAAACAACAAAACGAGTGGATTGTTTCAATCGAGCGCGACGAGGGTTGCGGTAAGAGTGCGCAAAAAACGGGGGAGGAGAGACAAACCCTTGTCCGAATCAACGGCACGTCGACCGTCCGACATGTTGGAAGTGGAAGTAATGATGGCGGTTGCAACTTAAACCTCACGAATCCCAAGGGCGCTTCGTTGCTTGCGACGGCAGAGAAATGCGCGGACGCACGTCGACTTGGCGGGGCAGATTCCGGCGGTGGAGGCGGGGTAGATCTCTCAAGGAGACGGGCAAATGCTCAAATGACAGAAAGATGCAGGGTTGATTTCGGGGGGGCCGGGATGTTGATTGTTGATAGAGCTACCTCTGTCGCAAACGAGGACCGTGTGTGCGCGCGCGTCTCGTTTGTTCGGTATGCGAAGCAAAAGTATGAGCCGAGGGGAGAGTAAGAAGGGAGGGAAGGGGGAAGGGAAGGGAAGGGGAAAGGAAAAAGAAGAGGGAACGGGAAGTAGATGGTTCACGAAATTAGGACTTCACGGGAAGATTGGCCGAGCAATCGTAGTCAATGGCAACTTAGCTCCAAAAGCCAAGGTCATCAAAAGTACAATAAATAAAAATGGCCCGAAAGGAAAACCCACGAGTCATCCCCGCGATGCGGCATTGGACGCAAATGGTCCTTTGTACCCAAAATAGGGTGTTTCCTCCATTAGATCACATCCTAAACCGAAGCGGGGGAGGAGGCATTGCTGATAAACCGCGAGGGATTTCGATCGGCCGGCGCGTCGATGACGCCATGGGAATTGGAAATCGAGGTACGGTACAGAGCACGCTGAGAAATGCAGAGCGGATGGTCGCGCAACTCGTACAGCTACACTACGCCCGGAAGGATTCGGCCAACCATGCCGTCGGATTGGAGTACCTACAGGCGTGAGAGCTCTGGCCCGAGAGCAGCGTGTGTGCTTCGGGGTGGTTGGGATGGAGCTGCGCCGAGCGGGAAACGAGGACCCCTCCCGTATCCTCTGACTCTTTCTTTCTCTGTTTCCCACTCTTTCTCGCATGGATTAACATGGCACATTGGGAGGTTGCCCATGTCAAAAGAGGGGTGTTTGCCTGTATCCAATTTGTCCTAATTCCCTTGCGTTCCGGGCGTCTGCGATGTGAGTGTCATAGATTACCCACTCAGAATCCAGGAACGGACACGGCAACTTATCGTAGAGTTTATCCCTGCGTCTGACAGGTGCAAGCAAACAAGCAAGGCGCATTTGATGGCTTCTCACATCAGCCCTACTTTCTTCCGTTTCCCGACACTTGCACTTACGTAGTAGTGTTTCCCGAGTCTTTGCGCCAACCCCGTTCCCCGAGGCCCGAGGCGTTAAATGCCCTTTTTTCTTTCTTTTTTTTAATTCTTCCCACCAGGCTTGGCATATATAATCTTCTGCAAATGCGGAGTGAAACATCTCGTCTCTTCCACCCGCTGTGAAGAAAAGTCTCTGTCGATTGTGCTACGTTCCTCGCAACCAAACGGCTGTGGCCTAAGGAGACCGAGAGCTCGCCTCCAGGCCCAGCACGAGTGATTATGCAAAGGAATACCCGGGACTGGCCAGCCGTCCGTCTAAAGCCTCACGGAACGCATGATGATTCGTCTCGAGATCGCTCATCCTCGGTTGAACGTTGGATTTGAAGCACCCAAACGAGATCGCCAACTATGAGCCGCCGCTGCTTCGGGCACACGCATCCTAGGAAACGCAGACCAGACTCTCTCTCACTCTCTCAGAGACGACCCGGGACAATCTTGATAGAGCCCGAACGTGCTTCGCGCGGCGGCGCCCAGATCCTTGGTACGCGTTTGTCGTACACTACCAGTGTCTCTCCCCCCCAACGCTTCCCAAGACCCCGTTTCTCACTTCGGTTCCGTAAGCTTTTCCCAGGGACCCCGGTAAGCAAGCTTTCAATGCGCAGCAGATCAGACGGCGGAACCAATGGCACACCCCCTTTGGTCGTTGACGTGCTCAACCCAAGCCCCCCCTCCCCTCCGAACCACTGCCACCCATGGACCTGACCCTGCCCTGCTCCCCTCTCAGAAAGGTGGAGACTCGGATTCCGAAGTTCCGGCGCAAGAAACTCCGATAATCGTTGCGGCGATTATCTACCAATTCGTAGAGACGTAACGCGGCCGCGCGCGCCATCCGCGATGCTGAAATGTCCGACAATTAAACTTACTTCCGCGCCCGAATATTGTCACATCTGCCTTTGCGATTCCAGCACATAACCAATATATGGCGTTTCGTCGAGGTCACAAAAAGGAAGGTCCATGACTCTCTTTTGCCCTAGACTAATTACAGAAAATAAAAACCTTCCTTCCGACTCCCCGGTAACCCGCGAGCAAACTCAATGAAGCAAGTCCAGTTCCCAGGACGTGAGGAGCCACCATGTAAGACATGGGTTGCATGCTTCTGTCTGCAACCTTGAGATCTCCTGGCGTCCCTGAAATGTAGAAAATTTCAACTTTGTGTGTATAAAAGACGAACCCTCCTTCGCCAGTCTATGATGCAGTCTTATGCAGTCGTATGGGAGTCGTCTTGAGAAGCAAACCCCCGGAGGCAATTCAAGCGTAAAGAAAGAGAAAGAAAAAAAGTCCCCAATGTCCGATTCCTGGTATCTGGTACATGCATGCTCGTGCACTTCTTGGCACTGGAATCTAGTGCCGCTTGTATTTCTGCTTGAAAGTCAGTCACTCTTCATTTTGGGGAGGGATTCGCGTCAGAGGGCTACTCACTTCTTCAGCTCTACGCCTGTTCTGCGGATCCAGACTGTTCGTTGCGCCCATCAGGGTCTGTCCGATTACCTTGGTAGCTCCAATGGCCGGACGGAAGATGATGGTGGGTGCCCGCTTCCATACTGCTTTGGCGAGACCCTGAGCACTCTGGCTGTCCATGACTTCGCCAGGCACCGCAATGATGGCATCGCGGGCCATGTTCAGGTCTCTCGTCAAGCTCGAATAACCTCCCCGCAGCCCTTGAATGACGCCGGTGGGCTGGTCCGCGTACAGGGAGATCTGCTTCTTCTCCTCCGGATCGAGATTAGCCTCCTCCCAAGTGTTGTCAGCCTGCGGCTTGTTCAGCAGACCCTCGGCCCCCTGAAGCGCGTACTGCGTTCCGATGGCCAGCTTGGCCCCGAACTTGACCATCTCAGTGCCGGTGGTGCGGGCGAAGGCCGCCGCGCCCTTGCCGATGCTGCGGACGATGCGGCCATCCTTCTTGTATTCCTTGATGGGGACCTCGATGAGTTCCTTGAAGCCACTGCCGATGTTGACGATGCCGCGGACCGGCGCGAGGCCGGCGAGAACCCCAGCCAGTTGAGTCCCCTTGACGTCCGGCATCCAGATATCGTTGAGAATCTTGCCCATCCTGTCGAAACCGGAAACGCCGTAGATGATGGTGTGCCGCAGAGTCAGGCGTGCTTCGTCCAGGATGATGAAGTTCATGAACTCTGTAGTTCGGCCCGACTTCAATCCTGCGTAGTCAACTCGTTTGGGCTTGAAATCCAGCTTGACAGGAATGTCGTGGACCTCGACGCGCTGGAGGAACGGTACGTCACTGGTCGAGCTATGAACAGGAGCGCTGTCGTCCTTGAACTCGAAGAATCTGGTGATGAAGTCGAGGGCATCTTGGTCGACATGCAGTCGAAGGGGCAGCACTGTGACTCTCAACACCATTTCGGAAGCCGCAAGATCCGGTTGGGGCTTCACATTGAGCAGTTCCAGGTGAGCCATGCTGGTACCCATCTCCCGCTCGCCGGCGTCTTGATCGTACGTGGCAAACTTCTTCCAAGTCGAGGTTGGGACGTGGTCGAAGACGTCCAGGTTCTGAATTCGAACATCGATGGAGCTCTGTGTCTCGCCAGAGTCGGGAGGGAAGGCAATCAGATCCACGTTGACTCCCTGCAGTTCGAACGTAATCTTGTGATGCCTGCTTCGGTTCAGTCTCAACCTCTTCTTGGGCCTGACACCCCCCGCCCGACTCGTCGTTGTGGTAAATGCTGTGGTTGCGAGAGACTCCGTCTCGGTGGCGTTGTCGTTCAACTCCTGGTTGACCATTTGCGCAAGCTCTCGGGGGTCTTGCTTGGTTGAGATCCCAATGTAGATTGAGTTGAAGAGGAAGTCACCAATGACAGTCTCGTCTTCTTCAGCGTCATCTTCGAATACGGCGCGATCCGATCGCCGGCGGCGCTCATAGGCCTTGTTCTCGACGTCCTGCACGGCCTTGGAAATAACGTCGCGCGTACGTTCCCAGTCGTATCCATCAAACAGGTTCCAGATTACGTGCACGTCACGCACCGAGACTCGGAGTGGGCTCCTCCTAACGAGATCCTTGGGCGCTCTGTCGTAGCTGTTCTTGGATGAGTTCCAGACCTGGGCTCTACCATCGGTCTCGGGCCCCTTATCGAAGAAGTTCTCGTGGATCACTAGGTCGCTGCCGTCGTCGGAATGCTGAGATGCATTCGCGTTGAAGCTCGTCAGCAGTACTCCATCGTGGGTATCCTGGGTTGTTGTGGCATTTGACGTTATCGAGCCCTCGGCATCAAAGAGCGGCTCCGATGGGCCGGCATCTCCGTAGTAGCGCGAATCGATTTGGAGCGGGCTGGTGTCGCTAGCGACATCGTATTCGTCGCTGCCGCCCAGCTCTTGGGCAAGCTCAAAATCCTTGTCAAAGTCGTAGTCGCCTTCTGCCCTGCCGAATGCCTCCGCCGATATCGAAGCCAGGAGGTCCTGTACCGGAACAACTGAGGTCCGGTACTTGTTCTCCTTGCTGGGCGGAGTGGGCGGCGTGAGCGCATTGGCCAGGGTGATGAGAGTCTGCGTCGAGTCGGCGCACGTCTCCAGCACAAGCAGATCATCACGTAGTTCGATATCGACATGCTTTTCACCGTCCTCTCGACTTTCCGACACCTTCACGACTGCTTTTGCCGAGGATATATAGCAGATGCTTACAAAGCCTTGCGAAACTAGTCGCGAAACCTGCTGGGATGACATGTCTGCCGACTGCCGACGGTTCACAGTAGAGCTCGCACCTATGTTAGCCACATCGTCGATGAGCAGGATCGAGGCCTTGTTTAGATCCAGATTTGCCGTGGTGTCCACGTCCTTTGGAAGCACCACTTGAAGCCGAGCATCAGTCAGGGCGATGAGGAGTTTCGAAGGTAGACCCAGGGGGTTCAGGCCGACCAAGCAATCGCGAAGAACCAAGTCGACCGTCATAGGCTTACTGTTAGGTCGAGCAGGGTCCGGAAGTCGGGTCGTAGTCTGAGGCCTCTTGCCGGCGAGGGCAGTGTGTGCTTGCTCGCCGAGATTGGCCACAGAAGCAGCAAGGCTGGCTTCAAAGTCTTGTGGTGTAGCATCCTCCCCAAGCCCCAGGACATCCATAATCGTTGGCACACGGTAGTCGATCGTCACATCGCGCATCTTGATCTTTATGACTGGCTCCATCTCATCTCCAATCATCCGTACCATAAGCACAGGACCTTGGTTGAGCGTTCCGGGCGGCAATGTTGTTGATGAACTCACAAGGTCCTCTCGGTGGTTGCGATTCACGGAGATGGCGTGGACGCCGAATGCCACCAACGAGGGCACCGTAATTTGAGCGACTTCAAAGTTCTTAAGGTTCGCGTTCAACATGCCAAGTTTTCCGCCGAAATCAAGGACCGCACCCAGCTCCTTGACCTCAGCTAAAAGGAGAATACCTGGACGGTCGTCTTCTGGGAGATATTTGGCAACGGTTGCCAGTCGCGCAACCTCTTCTCCCAGGGCAGGGAGGCAGTTTAGTTGATGCATCCGATCAACCCTCACGTTAAACTGGTCAAAAGTGACCCGCAGCACGCCACCCTTGCGCCGTTGTCGCAGGAGAGTGTCCACCATGATCTCATCGTCGCCCTGGTCGAATTTGACCTTAGACGGGATGATGAGTTCAAGAAGCCTCTCAAGGTCCTTGTCCTTCGGTGTCGCAAGGTATTCGAAGCGTACACCTCCAATATCCGCCGAGATAGGCGGCTCGCTTCGAGAGTATCTCACGTAAGGTCCAGCAAGTCGGACTTTGCTGATCGCAAAACCGATGCCCAACTCTCGGCTCACCATCTTGACCGCACTCGTCTCCAGGCCAACACTACACTCTTTGCCCTTCAGTTCAAGATTGAAGCCTCCTATCCGCATATCAATCTTGTTTTCGGCCGACGCTGACTTATCGTCGGGGTTGATCGGGGCGTCGAAGCGAACTCCACGGGGCTTTGGAGGTGGCTGTGCTGGCGTTCTGACGGACGGGGAAGCGTTCGATGAGATTGAAGAGCTCATGTTAAGAAAACTGCTCAGGCCACCAAACCAACTGAACGTCTCGTCTAGCCTTTGCAGGTCGAGGTGCACCAGCAGTGGCAAGGTCGTAATTTCCGTCCGAATTGAGTCGGATGATTTTATCACCTTGACGGATATGTCTGAGCCGACCGATGGGAACTTGTCCATGACGGAAGCCCGCATCTGAAGGCTCTGGTCGAATGAGATGATATCATCCTTTGCGTAGCCAAAGCGGAACTTTTCTAGGTCCATAGTCGTTTCAAGGGCTTTCTTAGAATTCTTGAGCGATATACTGAGGTTATCGAGATCGGTGCGGAGAAGGATCTCTGGCTGCATCTGCAATCCTGGGGAGCCTAGGATTCTTTCTGCAGTGTCGGCAACACCGCCAAGTTGGTGAACAAGATGGAGTGAGATCTTCTCAAAAACCACTTTCATGTCAGGCATCGTAAAGTCCTGCTGTGCCTTTGCGGTTTCAGTCGTCTTCGGGGCAGGAGCAGGACTGTCCTTGCCCTTCAGTGCATCCAATAACTTGCCAACCACGACGGCGAGCAGATACGCCAACGAGGCGTCGAAGCGGATCTCCAGGGGTGAAAGTTGGACCTCCAGGGTCCCGTCGCTTTCCGGCTCGGTCATAACGAGTCCCGGCGACGTAGGCGCAAAGCTCGACTTCAGTCCCGGTGATGTGGAGTACACCGAGAAGGCTCCAGGAATTTGCGGCGCAACTGATCTAGCAAGGCCGGGTGACGCCGGATTGTGGCTCAGAACCGAGGCGTGAGCGTCGGCTGGCACATGTACGTGTTGGTGTAATGACGGAACGTACAGCGATATGCTCTGGAGAGACACAAGCTCCTTTACCAGTCTGGTCGGCCCTCTTGGGGTTGCAACATCATCTGCCTGCGCGGGCGTTTCTGCGATATCGTCGCTTTCGGGCACCACCTTGGGAGACTCCTTTGACTCTCTCGCGTCTTCGAAGCTTGACTCTGACTCGACCATCGACGACGGTGTCTTTGGCGGAGGAGATGCTGGTGCATCCGAGTACTTGGGCGTCGCTGGCTCAGGCGTGGTCACGGCTGCTTCGAATGCCGGTGGCGACGGCTGGCGCGGTACTGGGCTTGCTTTCTTGACCTTGGGTGAAGTTTCTGGGCTCGGATCGGCGTCCCAGCCCCCTGGCATCCTTGATCCGGTTGGTTGCGGCTCAGCCTGGGAAAAGGCGCTCATATACATGCTCTCAGCCTCCTCATGGGTGAATAGGTGGGACTGTGCCAGATCCTCGCCTCCTCCAGGACTCGAGTTGTGGCTTGCCGCGATAGAGTGCTGCGGTGCCTCGGGTGTCCCAAACTCAAGCAGGTCGACTGGCGGAATGCCCTCAATGGGTTGGAGCGAAGGCTCCGATCTCGCTTCCCGCTGGAAACTAGCCCACGCAGCAGCACGATCGTCATCTCCCAGGACGGTGGACTGGGACATCGGAACATGTGCTCGAGGAGAGAAGTCCTGATATATCGATGCCCTAGGCGTATTCGTTTCTTCCTCCTCGACTGGTTCCGCCGGTTGGCTTGAGAAGTCGTAAGGTATGTTGAACGCATCTTCGCTGTCCTGCAGAAGCGCATCGTCAACCTCGGAGAGGTCCGCTGAATCGGAGAGATAGCTGTCTTGCATGGTTGGCCGAAAAGAGCTGTGCCTCGATGCGGATGCGCGCTCGCTGAATGATGGAGACTGTGAGACGGCAGGGGACGAAACCGAGGGAGAGCGCGCAAACTGCGAAAAGACGTTCGCCTCTGAGATCAGGAAGGCTCGGATCTTGGACAAGGCAATGTGGCGCTTTCCGTCCTTTGGAACTATCGTCGGCGCTCCCTCTTCGTTGTGTGCCTCTGCGGTAACGCCCTCCACGTCTATACGATCAAGAGCAAGCTGGAAAGTGACCAGCTCTGGCGTTGTCGAACTTGGCTCGACGGGAACCTCAACGTCCAACTGAAATGTGACGCCTCGGATGCGGACTTGGATACGGTCAACGATGCCCTGGAGGAAACCGGCCAGGAAACCCGGGAGGGATAGCGCCTGGCCTGTTCCGAACTGAGTGCCGTCGTCGCTCATGGAGCTCTCGCTCATAGTCGAGCCCCCAAGATCCATCGTTTCGGCCGCCAGAGCATCTTCCAGCCTTCGCTTCTCCTCGGCCAGTTTGGCATCTTTCAAAGCGGCATCCTCGTTCAGGAACGACTCGGCGAGGTTGACGGTATTGGGCAGTCCCTTGGAGTCTTCGCTCGGTGTGGCGGCCGCCGCTTTGCCCTTGCCATCTTCGCCGGCGGTGGACACCTTCAGCCGCACGTCGACGCCGTCGATCTCGATGATTATAGGGCTCGTGTAAAAGTCGACGGGGATCGTGACGTTGAGTTTCAGCACTTTTGCCTTTTGGATTCGGAACGAAGAGGGGAGCTGCAGCAGGCGCTCGAGTTTCTGATGGTTGACGGCCGTGTTAGTCACTTTACTTGGCAATAGGCATACAGGCAAGAGCGGTCGACTGCAGTGGCGGGCCGTACCTTGAGGCGCACTCCAACATCTTTGAACTCGGCTGTGGTGGTCCTGCCGAGTGCGAACTGTAGGTTCTCCATATCCAGCGTCTCCTCGTCCAGGAGCTCCAGGCGCCGCAGGGCGTAGATGAGCAGGCGCTTCGACAAGGTCGAGCTTCGAAAGCTCTGGAATATCGTTGCCATGATGGGCTCGGTAACCCCCACGTCCGGTGGGCTGCTCGATTCGAGAAGGAGAGGATGGATTTGTTCGATGGATCGATTTGGGGTTTCGGAAAGGAAGAGGAGGGAACCTCGAAGGCACGGTAGATACAGCTGGTGTTATTTCCTCAGGCTACAACAGAAGGAACATGCGACGCTGGTCTACAAGCGGATCGGAGGGGCAGCGGTTCACCGGGGGTGGTTGACGCAGTGTGCAGTCGCCGTGTTATCAGAAGACACCCGGCCCAAGGCGGGGACGCTGTTCATGGTGTGTTCGTCATCCAAAGATAGGGTTTCGCTATGGGGCGAGAAAGATCTCGAGACGGAAAGTAGTTCAAAATCAAGGGGCGGGAAGGGAAACACAAGGCCGAAAGGGGGGGCAAGGAGGTAGAGGCTGAAGTCGAAGAGATGGATATGCGGGAGGGAAACCAGAGAGAGCCAAGGACCGAACGAAGTGTGATTCAGGTTAGTTGGGGCTCGCAAGCAGTTGGGCAAAGTGCGATGATCAGTCAAAGTAAGGTACGGAGGAGAGTTAGGTAGGCAGGGTACTCTTCTTAGACAGCGGTAACGGCAACCTTGGGCAAATAGTATGCCTGGACGTGCGTGATGATGAGGGCAGGTCGGTACTAGGCTCGGCCGGAAAGTTGGGGGGGGCCAAATGCAGACGAGCAACTTGAGGCAGGAGGAGGGACGTGGACGCGGCCAAAATGCACTAAAGATTGGTTCCCCCCCACTGGCTCTAACAGCGCGTGACTCTGGCTGAGTTCACGTCACCGACGGGGTGCGCAGGGGTCCCTATCAGTTGTATCAGTTGACTTACTCTGAGTTCTTTATCGATAAGGGGCGAGGCCAGGAGTGGAATGACCGTGGCTGAAGCCGATAGGACGGTTTGACGATGAGGTGGGGGGCGATTCACTGAAGCGACAGGGGGCCATTACTTGTGACTGGGTCCGATGGAAGCTATTGAGAGGGGGGCGGGCCACACACCTTGCGCACTCACTGAGGACTCCTCAGCGAGGAGTGTCTCTTGTGCTCCTCCGATGGTGCAGTGAACCGTGCGTGCGTTCCACCTGATTGATGCAGAATCCGCCACGCTTTGCACGTCTTCAACGCTGGCTCTCTGCCGGCTGCACTTGTTCTCTCTTGGTATGTACGTACTTTTATCTTGAAGGAAGAGGACTGCCACTCGGGAGTGTTTTGTTACTCCGCCTGCCAGCTATTGAAGTCGACATTCCAGAGAAGCATGAAAAAAACACATGGCATGCCGCTCGCCATGCCCCGCGTTTGCATAGCAACGCCCTCCCCTCGGCTTGACAGGCTTGCTTGTTGATGCTTGCATGAGATTGCCTTTTCCCCCTTCTCCTTCGTATGGGCATAATCTACATGTGAAGCCGTCTGGAATGAAAGCAAGAGGCCGTTAGAATGCTCTTTGTCCGAGTTGGGGGTTCGACAACAATACCTACTCATCACAAAACTCAAGGAACAAAGGCGGGCGTTTCTCGTTGGGCCAATGTCTTTCGCTTGGAAGATTGTCCAATACCTGCCTGCTTGCTTCATCCGAGAATATGTGTTTCAGCCCAGTGGCCCAGCAATGCTTACATACGCATTAGATTTTCTTCGCAATAGGTTTGAAAGCTCGGTCCCAGGGGCCGACGTGTGTGAGGAGCGGGCTCTCAGCCCCGAAAAAAATAAATTGTAAATAGATGATGAAGAATCGGATGACTATACTGGCCGTTGGGTCCATCTAAAACAAAAGAGAATGCAGCCCCAAGGCTTAGCTAGCAGATGCGATGGCCACGACCCGTTTCAACGTCCTACACACCGTACCTGTGGCTGGTTGGCTGGTTGGTTCGTAGGCAGCGCAAGTCATGTCGTGGCCGATCAATCACATGAAGAAGAAGGCTGTCCGCTCATTCTTGTTCAAGATTTGATTGACGACCAGCCTCCCGGTTACTGCTCCTTGCCCTCCGGAACCTTGCTGGTGCTCGCCCTGCCGTAAGCTTCAGCAACTCTCAGACCGACACTCTCACCGCTCCAGTAGGCCCCGTCGCCGTCCCTAGCGCCACGAACGGCGCCGTGTGCTCGCCGGCCAGCCACAGACCGCCTTCCGGCACGCCATCCCGCATTGCCTCAATGTCCTTGTCGCCCTCTGTCAATCCGACGGGAAAGTTACTGTAGCTGCCGTTGCCCGCGAGGTCGTCTCGCATCCAGTCCGTCGATAGGCACCCCGTGGGCTTGCAGTCAGGGGACGTCTCGTCGTAGTGCGGTAGCCGGGAATAGTATGGCTGGAAGAAGTCGTAGAGGAAATAATTCCTCTCCGGTATCGTTTTCAGCTTGGATACTTCTTCAGTGATGTACTGTGACTCCTCTCCGAAAATGTAGAACAGCAGTGTCGGGTGGGAGTGTTCGCCTAACGAGGCGAGGTCGACAATCTCCTGATTCCACCTCTTCGGGTTCGTCTTTGGTGTATAATTTGGCGCCAGCCATTGGCAGAAGCCTTGAACTACGCGGCCCTCGGTGTCGGGCTCAAGCCAAAACGCCTTTGGAAAACTAATGTAAACCTTTTCGAGGCAACCGTAGCCGATAGCCTGAATGCCTCGCTCGATTCTTTCGGGCAACGGCGGTTCGAAGGCATGCAGATTCTTTTTCAGCCAGCCCAAAGGTGCCGTCATCACAACCTCGTCAAACTCAAGGGTCTCGCCGGTATTGGTGTGGACCCTTGGTTTCTCACGTTCCGCCGTTTTCAACTCAACCTTGGTTACCTGGGTATCGTATTTAATATCCGCGTTGTGCCTCACAGGCTCTGCGATTCTTTCAAAAATCTTTTCGTAGGTCCCGGCACAGAAGAGGTTTTCTTCGACAAGTCAACCGCAGCTCTTTCCTCAAAGATTGCAAACCATACGAGTCTACCAGGTCCGTAACAGGAGATGACTTACCGCCGTCTATGCATTCCTCAAGCCAGAAAAACTTGAGGCTTTGGGTTTCGATCGGACTTCCGGAAAACGCACCCCAAAGTTCGGCAATTTGTAAAATAGTTGTTCGCTTTTTGGCGTAGCCCTCCTCGGTGTCGGGGACCTTTTCAACTACCTTGTGCTGGAAAAAGTCCCATAGACTCTCGTCGGGATGGATATCGACCGAATTCTTGTTCGAGTGTTGAAATGCATCTTGGACAATGTCCCACATGATGCTCGAGTATACCTCGCTTTCGTCCACGTTGAATAGGTTCCCCCCTTCATCGAATACGTACGACCGTTTATCCCAGCTACCAACGGCGGTTCCAGTCTCCTTGGCAAGGTCATTGATGGGGTTGTCGTCGGTGCCGTGTATCCAGTTGGGGCCAAGGTCGACGGTGTGTCCATTTGGCAGCGTTTCCTGGAACATGCGGCCTCCAAGTCGTTCCCGGCCTTCGATGATGGTCACCAGCAAGCCGTGTTGAATCAGGATATCGGCACAACGCAATCCGGCGAGGCCAGCGCCGATGATGGCCACGTGAGGTCTGGGGCCCGACTCAGATTGTTTGCGCTGCGACGTGTCAGGAGCAAGCTGCTTGGACAGGAACAACACGTCGCCATCGTCTTGTACGCTGAGGCATAGGACAGGTACGGTCAGGGGGAGAGAGGACGGGTTCACCCATCATAGGAGACAGTCGGCGACCCTGGCCCGAAGTGTCCCACTAACGACATTAGGCACATGGTTGGCAAGAAGCAGACTTACCCGCAGAAGTGAGTCCATAGTCAGCGATCTGAGCAGCAGCTTGTTTCGGCCGGTCCCAAAGAGGCTCTGAACTCGACAGGATTCAAGGTCCTGGTAGATACGGGATGTACTCCGGTTATCAGGGCTGGTATAAGATACTGAGTAAGCGTCCATGGTTGCAATGCTCCCGATGAGAGGCAGGGTATGGTGGTATTTGATGGGCTGGTCACGCAAGCGGGTTGGACGGGGGAAGGATGCCAAACTAGGCCGCGATGCTGCCGACTGAGCACTGGTCCGGTGCGGGAACAAGTGAAGTCACTGGGTTGGGGTCCGACTCTGGGCAAAACCAGGAGTGAGTGAGACAGAAGAAGAGCAATTGGGGGACTCGGGGGTTGGGAGAGGAGGTCAGGCGGAGGCGGCAGCAGAACGAATGTGGGGATGGGCGAGGAACGTAGTGAAATGTCTTGCAACCAGCGGCTAAGGCTTTTCGGTTGGGATCATGGGGGAGGGAATCGGTATATAGGACCCGTCGATCTGGGTACTGCCGCCGAAAAGGATAAGCGCGGGACGTCCAGATAAGGTCTAATGGAGAGTGAACGAAGTAAGGCAAGACGGCCGAGGTGAGGTGACATTCCACCCGGACCATCTCATATCGGCGCCGAACGTGCAAGCTGCAAGGTGAAGAGCAGAGCAGCCTTGGACGAGCCCAAGGGGTGCGCCACGAAGTGCCATTTGAGAGTACCATGCCTAACCGAAAGGTTGATACCGGACAGGACGGGGGGTCAGGAGGACATAAGAAAGAAGAAACTGGAGACATTTGAGTCGGTCCAGAGTTTGCAGTTCTCAAAACCCAACCTAGCCCTCGCTCTCTCACTCTCTCTTCGGATGGAACTGACTTGCAGGAGCTGTTCGACGCAGAACTGCCAATCTCACCCGTTACTCTACTCCGGTCCCGAGACGTCCTTTCGGCCCCCCCAGGGTTGTCGCCGACTGGGCTCGCATAGAATCGGCGGTATAGGCCAGCCAATAGCCGGATGACGGGCGGTGCTGTGCTCTGTTATGCGGGTTGGCGTGCATATTGGCTCGACTTATGCTTGAGCTGGTCGCGGGCGGAATGTGATGGCTCTCATCTGATTCTGCGGCTGCCTTTCTGTCTCGGGACGATGGGTGTTGCTCGATGACCTCTATTTCCCTCTTCTTTTTCCCTTTTTTTGGGGGGGGGGGAGGAGGGGCAATGACGCAAGGTGTGCTCGTGTTTCGTAGCGGGGTGTGGGAAACGAGGGGCAGTGAGAGTCAAGAAGAGCATCAAATAGCACGTAAAATAAACCAAAAGACTTACAGTGCAATACGCGACCGGGCGGGGGAAACTGCGCGTGCGCTGAGCCTCGATATCATCCGGGATAAACGAGTGAGAGGAGGTATCGATGAACCAAAGAGAAAGAAGGAAGAACGGGTGGTGGCGGCAGACAACGTCCAGGTAGGACAGAAGTCCGGCTGGTTGAGGAAGTTGTTGGTCTGGCAAGCTTAGGTTTCGGCGAGCTGCAGCTGAAGCTTTCCTCGCCCTTTGAGATTTTTTTGGGTAGAGAGAGGCGGACGTCAGGGTCTTGGACTTTCGGGGTAAGGTTACAACATCCGTATGGTAAGGCACCGGACCAGAAAGAAAGAAAAAAAGAGCGGAATCGGGATAATGAAAGTTGTGCCGCGACGGTGACGGTGCGGTGGGATGTGGAATTGGTGGAATTGGTGGGACCGGGACAAGAGTTGCGATTTGCGACCTGATGTGAAGAGGAAACCGCGACTGGAGCTGAGCGTGTGGAAGGAGGGGCAATCAAGCACTTCAGTTGCTGGGCCGGTGACACTTCACTGCTTCTTCTCCACCGTCGGCGTCATTCCTCCACCTTTAATTCTCCATCCAACTCTCTCTGCTCCTTTTCATGCCCTCCCCTTCCGCGTCTGCCTATTGACTGTTGCAGTCTTCCGGTCACTGACACGTCCATCATGCCCACCCTGTCACGATGCCAGCACCTGACTCGATGGACGGCCAGGCGAAAAAGTACTGGAACTGCACAGAAGAGGAGCCGACGATACCCTCAACCTTTCACATATACAGATTGGGGTTACACCCGCTATCAACTTCCAACTTCCAACCGCTGCACCCTTCTCCAAATGACCGAACTTCCACGCTGATAGGCTCTAGTGGAGGTCCGACCCAAATGGGCCTTGCTGACGCGACAAGGGAATGCATCCTGCGTGGTCGCCAACGACCCTTGAACCCAACGACCCAGGTCTCGCCGATCATGGCCTCCCAATTCTCAGCTTCGCATCTTCCCGCCGCAGACTCTGTCAGAGCCTCAACCCCGCCGTCGCGGTGGCTTGTTGATCCTCACTCTCAATCGTCCTTGTTCTCCCAGTGCACCTCGCCATCAACATCAGCAAGTCGCACGATGGCCGCCAGCCCGCCCAACACGCACCATCCGCCGACGCTTCTGAGAGTCAGCTGTCATGCTAATCCTTCTCAAGGCCCACATCGCCATTGCCCTCAACACAGCAACCTAGCCGTTCGGACGAATCTGCTTCTCCTCAGACTGGGGGTGGGGGTGGTGGTGTATCTGAAGTGATCGGCCCGACTTCCGCATCATCAACGTGATTGAGGCTCTCGGCTGCCTTCTTCGCCGCAGCCCAAATGGCCTCTTGTCGTGACATTGTGCATATACAACCACTACCCTGATGCTGTACACCGTGACGTTGCCAACCTGCAGCGCAACATTCTCGTTTGTATCGTTGCCTTCATCTCTGACTCCATTTTGCAAACAACCAGCTTTTATGCCTGCAAAGGGATACTCTGGATTCCAGTTCCAACGACTCCTTACCTCGGTAGCTTCTTCGGTGACGAGATGGTTCTTTGTGTCTCACACGGACGACTAGGTCGACGGAGGACCGGGTGGTGACACGGGGCTGACTGAAGCCGTTCTTGGATATTTGCCTCGTTGTCCCGCTTACTGTCCATAACTGAAGGCCAGGGCAGCTGCTGAAAAACAGTGGCCGCGAGAACTAGGTTTACTTAGACCCTGGCCTGGCCATAGCTGTCTCCAGTTGGTTCCTTGTATGATTTACAATCCCAACATTCACAGAAGTGCTTGTTAGGTTCTCGCGAGGTCCTCGCTAGCGTAATGGTACCCGTGTTTATTGCTGCCCCCCTTCGACGGCATGGCAGCAGGCATCCTCTCCCAAGCTCTATTTCCCAAGGGAGAAGCAGGGAGAGGTTATCTGCACATGACATCTCTTCGGCGTGGAGTATCGTGACGGGGGTTGTCCTTGGCAAGGTCTCGGTTCCGGAGGGCCAGCTAGTTATTTTTTCGGGGTCTGACAGAACTCGGAATATGCTGAGGGACTTCTGAGTTTAAGTTTTGTTCCATTTATTTTTAACCATCCTTTTTTTTATCCGTGTTCTCATACACAAGCCGACTCACAAGCGATCACTTTGGAACACCCAGGCTAGTGAGGGTCCTTCTACCGCACATGCAGACTGCTCACGCTATAGTCGCGATGACTATTGCAACTTTGCGCACAAGATTTGGATAGGAGTTACAAACCGGCCTGGATGGAAATACTAGGATAGGGGTTGAGCGGGAAGGAATCGGCCTGGTGGAGGCGGTCTTTGTCGATAGATTTCCGCCCAGCCCCAGTCCGCACCAGGGCAGATGAGATGTTGTCGCCCCCTCCCCCTACAGTAGTCCGATGTTGGCGGCGGCCGTTGCAATCCGATGTCGGTGAACATTTAAACATCAGGATGGGCTCATCTGATCAGTGTCTGGCTAGCCTTGGGCACTCGGCGGGCCACAGATAAAGACCCAGCTGTCAAAAGAGAACAAGATGCTGGCTCGAAAAGGACCTCCAACCTCAGACTAAATGCAACTCTACTACGGCACGGGGAGATGCGCCCCTCTGCGGGGTAGCAGCTTCACCTGTGGGGAGCGTCGACAGGGGCCCCCATCGAGTCTTGCAGCTCTTCAGACGTCGCAAACAAGCGATCAGGCACTCAAAAAGGAGCTTGCCGTCTTCTTACGTCGTGTATTCTTGCAATTTTCTCCGCGCTTTGACAAAGTCATTCCGATGTTCCTGTTCAATAAGTGTTTACTCAACGGTGTCTCTACTCGACCGGAATCGTCCACCATTTCTAGCTTCTGATCCGGCAAAACCCCCCCGGCTAGCCTAAATGGCATCCCCCGGACGCCATCTCGCTCCCCCAGCCTCCCTCTGTCCAATCACAACCTCCCCGAATCTCAGCACGTTCCCCCGGATGGCCCTCCACACCCCACACGAGCCGAGGCTCGCGGCACAACTCCCAGACATGGCTGGCCGTCGCCCGTTCACCCAGACCGACGTCAACCGACAGACGCCGTGCCTCTCCTGTCGACTCAGCTGGACTTGGCCGCCAGCTCCTCAGACACACTTCTGATCTCCTGATCTCTCGACGTGCGAAACGCAACTCTTCCTCTTCTTCCCACGGCGACGCCTTCCATCCCCTCGGAACGACCGAAACTCCAACCTGGGCCCCAAGACGCCCAAAAGACCATTCCTCCCCCCCTGTCCCAGACCAAACAAAGGGACACGAATCGCCCGCCATGGCCGCAAAGACATTTACCCGCGACGAGGTCGCTAAGAACAACACCGAGGACTCCCTCTGGTGCATCATCGACTCCAAGGTCTACGACCTCACAGACTTCGTCGACGGCCACCCGGGCGGCGAGTCAGTCCTCCGCCAGGTCGCCGGCCAGGACGCCACCTCCGAGTTCTACAACCTCCACCGCCACGAGGTCCTGACAAAGTACGACAAGACCCTCGTCATCGGCACCGTCGCCGGCGAGACGCCCCAGGTCGTCGTCGCCGGCCCGGGCGAGCTGTCCGCCGTCCCCTACGCCGAGCCCACCTGGCTCACTCCGCAGTTCAAGTCCCCCTACTTCAACGACTCGCACCGCTCGCTGCAGCGCGCCATCCGCGACTTCACCGACAGGGAAATCACCCCCGTCGCCCTCGAGTGCGAGGAGAAGGGCGAGCTCATCCCCCAGGACCTCATCGACAAGATGTCCAAGGCCGGCGTGCTGCACATGCGCCTCGGCCCCGGCAAGCATCTGCACGGCGTCAACCTGCTGAACGGCGCCGTCAAGGGCGAGGAGTTTGACTACTTCCACGACATGATTCTCAGCCAGGAGATGGCCCGCACCAACTGCCGTGGCTTCCAGGACGGCATGATGGCGGGCATGACCATCGGCCTGCCCGTCGTCCTCAACTTTGCCAACTCCGAGTCCCTGAAGAAGCGCATCGCCGACGAGGTCTTCAGCGGCCAGAAGAAAATTTGCCTGGCCATTACCGAGGCTTTTGCAGGAAGTGACGTTGCGGGTCTGAGAACGACCGCTACGAAGACGCCCGACGGCAAACACTACGTGAGTCCTCCACCCATCACCATCACCACCACAACATCATCACCACCACCACCCACAACCCACAACCCCCCAACATCAACGCCTCTTCAAATATATTAATATAACCTCAAATAGATCGTCTCAGGAAGTAAGAAGTGGATTACTAACGGTGTCTTCTCTGATTATTTTGTCACCGGCGTTAAAACGGACAAGGGCCTCAGTGTCCTCCTCATCGAACGCGGCGAAGGCGTCGAGACCAAGGCCATCAAGACATCCTACTCGCCCGCCGCCGGTACGACTTACATCACATTCGACAACGTCAAGGTCCCCGTCGAGAACCTGCTGGGCCAAGAGAACAAGGGCATCCACGTCATCCTGAGCAACTTCAACCACGAGCGGTGGACCATGGCTTGTAAGTCTTTGAACAAGGAACAATCTCACGATAGGACGAACGCATTGGGACTGACTATGGTAACCTAGGCGCGACAATCCGCCAGTGCCGGACCATTGTCGAAGAGTGCCTCCTCTGGGCGAACCAGCGCCTCGTCTTTGGCAAGAAGCTCATCGACCAGCCCGTCATCCGCCTCAAGTAACCATTCCCTCCCCTGAATCGACCCCCCCAACATGACGAACAGCAAACTAACACCTCCCACCCCGCAGACTCGCCAAGATGATCGCCCTCACCGAGTCCCACCAGTCCTGGCTCGAGACCGTCACCTACCAGATGAACCAGATGCCCTACAAGGAGCAGGCCAAGCACCTCGGCGGGCCCATCGGCCTGCTCAAGATGAGCGCCACCCGCGCCGCCCACGAGATCGCCGACGAGGCCGTCCAGATCTGGGGCGGCCGTGGCCTCACCCGGACGGGCATGGGCCGCGTCATCGAGATGTTCAACCGCACCTACAAGTTCGACGCCATCCTCGGCGGCGCCGAGGAGGTCCTCGGTGACTTGGGCGTCAGGCAGGCCATGAAGTTCATGCCCAAGGCGAGGCTATAAATCACCCCTTCCTCCCCCCTTTTCCCCCCTTTCCCCCGAGAACTACGGAGTAGACGGACATCGGGGTTGTATTGTAGAGGTTTTGCGCTTTCGGCGGTATCACGGCGATTACGTACCTAGTAGAGCGAACGAACCTAATCAAAAAATTGGACGGGACTCCCAACCCCCCTCCCCCTTTTTGAGTTTGTGGGCAGGCCCCTTTTTATAGGCTTCTCCAGAGTTCCGTGAAAATGTTCATGCCCGCGCCGGATTGGGACAGCAGCCTGCACAGAGCAGACAGAGGGGTTTCGTTTCAATCTTTGTTGCTTTTCGCTCGCGGCAGGCAGAACCAGTACGAGTCATCCCAACCAGGTCTCTGCTCTGGGTAAGCCCGAGAATCCGTCAACGCGCATCGAAACCTTCGGGTCGGATATGGCAACGGGGAAAGATTTCCAGGGATGGAACTACGCGGCTACCGGGTTTCAGACAAGCTGGTGTGGTAAGGTGTAAATCAACTGTAGCATCAAGGTCTCTTGGTAAAGTATCAGTCGTCACCACTGACAAACAATATCACGACACGCACGTTGAGACCATCAAGTACGACGCAAACTTTCCATTCCCTGCCCTGAACGACAGCCATGACCGCCTAGAACGGCCCACGCTGTCCAGGTCGTGTTGAGAGCCCTTTTCCCGGCTGCTCATCAGAATCGACCAATATCTATCAGAGTCGAAAGCTATCCGGCCCGAGAGGAGGCCCTTCCCACTCTGCTCTTCTCTCTCTCATTCATAAACCGGAGAGAAGTTCAGCGCAAGCTTGTTCCCCCCTTAGCTTTGCTGCCATCGTCATCCAAACGATCCGACCAACCCCGCATTTTGCCGAGGTTGACGACCAAATGCGAAAGGTGTATCTTTGGTGCGTTAAGAAAAAGCCGTGATTCATATGCCGTTGTCCGTGTAAAACTTTTCCGCAGGCCGAGTCCCAGAGTTGTTTGCCGTGAGAACATGAGAGCAAGGAAGAAAAACGAAAAAGGAAATAGTTAAAAAAGGAAATGTACAAAGCATCCGCAATGCCAAGTTGATCGCATAAGTGAGCCACGGTGGCTTCGAAGCCGTCGAACTGTCCCGAAACCGAAACTGCTGTTAGGCAGAACACTCATCGCCGATAGTCATTGCAAACTTAGTTGTTGGGGCACTGAGACTGGACGTGGCCCGGCTGCTGGCACTTGTAGCAGATCTTCTCGCCGCCGGAAGACTCCTTAGGGCAATCGCGGGAGAAGTGGCCGTTCTCGCCGCAGTTGTAGCACTTGGAGCCGTTGGTGCAGTCGCCTGTATGTGTGTTAGGGAGGAAGCCGCGATCCAGTGGTTCGGCTATAACTTACGAGACATGTGGCCGTAGCCACCGCAGGAGTAGCAGGTCTTCTGGCTGGCACCGCCGTAGCCACCACCGCCACCGCTGTAGCCACCACCGAAGCCGCCGCCGTAGCCGCCGCCGGACTTGGGGCAGTTGCGGGCAATGTGACCGACCTCGCCGCACTTTCAACGGATTAGCATCTCAACTGAAGCTCGGGTTCTGGAGCGAATCGACCAACCTTGTAGCACTCAGAGCTGGAGGGGCCACCGCCACCGCCGACGTTGCCTCCCTGGGGGCAGTCACGGCTGATATGGCCAGCCTGGCCGCAGCGGTAGCAGGACTTGGTGTCCTTAGGGCCCTCGGGGCAGTCACGGCCTTAAAAAGTGTCAGTCGAAGGGACTAGTTGTCTGGTGCAGATATTGACCTACTCATGTGACCCTCGTCTAAAGCAGACATTTGTCAGTCATGTCATTGGCATCAGGACAGGTACGAAAACTCACTGCCGCAGTTGTAGCTATGACAAGTTAGTAAATATCAGGTAGACTAATCAGGAAGCATCAACATACCACTTGGCGGCGCCACGGTTAGGGCACTCGCGGGCCTACTTATTGTCAGTACGTCGAAAGGCGAAAACAGTCATTCTGTCCTTTGTGGCATACCTGGTGACCAGCAGCACCACCTAAATTTCTCTGGTCAGACTCTTGCGCTCATTTCAACGTGCTAATGTGGTAGGGGGATGAGGGAATCAGGTGTCACTGGCACACCGGCTCAGAAGTCAGTGAGACGTCGCAGTAGTGTCTACGTGCGGGATCTTGATAAATCAGCTCCAACAGGCGAAGTTGACGGTCCTTCGCACACAAGTGCTATGACGCTGCCAGACTCTCCGTCGGGCGAAATGCTCCAGCCTCGTGGTACTGAGATGTCCATCCAACCCCAACATTCGAACTGGAGTCGAGACAGAACCCTCAGCCACCCCACTGCGAGCAAACAAAAACCAAGACTGGCCAGTTGAAATGCAGGGAGTCCAATTGGGGCAGTTGTATGTGAGCGCTGGAACTATGGTCCCCGAACCAAGCCGCATAAACTGCCACCAATGGCATTTTGAGACGGCTTGTTTTTGAAAGCGGTGGGAATTCGGTGAACCAATGATAACCAGATCTTTAGATAAGATCCAATGCCAGTTGACCCCGAATGGTTGAAGCAACCCACAGAATCGAAAGTGGGAAAAAAAACCAAGAAAAGGCCGCGAGCAGCAGCGGGGGGATGAATGCGAGTAGTGGCGAGAAGAGGGGAAATTCCAAGTTCAAGGCAACTCACAGGTGAAGCAGGTGCGAGCCTGAGGAGGGGCGCCAGCGGATCCTTGGAAGTCCATTGCGATTGATGTTTGTTGGTGAGGCGGAAAGGGTAAAGGTACTGGTTCTGATCTGGAAGACGACGTGTTAGAAGCACGAGGGATCGATGAGGTTGGCTTGAAAAGGTGTCGTGGGAGGAATGAGCTAAGCTTTCGTGCGTGAGGGAAAGATCTGGGAGGCGAGAGGAAGTGGTTTGTTGCGATGTACAGTAATCGAGGTGGGGAGGGGCAAGTGGCATGTGTGCGCGCGCGATGTGGGGAAGTTGGAGATGGAGGTGCGTATGTGCGCCGCCTTCGTCAGATACACGAGGTGAATGGGGGTGGGCGCGCAGCTGTGTGCTGATTCTGAAGGAGTTGCTGGTGATTGAGGGCCCAATTGACCGCTTCCCGACGGGATTTCTGACAGCAGACGAAAAGACTTCAGCACTTACGGATGAAGGGCGATGTCGAGCTGGGAGAAAATCTCTGCTCGAAGAAAAGGAGGGGGTTTGGTGAGGGTTTGCAAGGTTTGTAATGGTGGTGGTTTGTGTTGTGGGAGAGAAGGGGAGGAGAGTGGTGGTTGCAGCAGGGAGTGGTCAAGGTTAAAAAAGAAAAGGCAGCCAATTTGGATGTCAGACCGCCTTGTGGAGCCCGAGAAAATCTGGTAGAATGGGAGGCGCGGAGCACCAATCAAAGAGGCAAGACCTTTCCAGTAGGGGAAGAGCGAGTCTCTGTCTCTCTGGCTTCTGCCCGTCTCGACCTTCCCCTACCCTTGGGCTGGCGTGGGCACGCAGGCAGTGGTGGTGGTGGTGTTGTTGTTATTGTTGACTGTGTGAATGTTGAACGTGAACATGAGTGGGTGACGCCGCCGAGACGTCAACTCCAGTCTCCCTCGATGTGTGTCTTTACTCCATCCAGAGCACCAGCTATCGTGCCATCTCCGGTGGTGCTGTTGATATTGCCGTTGCTGACGCATGTGCTGCTGGTTCACTTCCTTACGAGACGCCAGGCACACCATGTCGCCACTTGATCTGATCATGACATTCGCCATATTTCACAGCCTGTTCTTTTCTGCCCCAACCGTGGCTGGCCTGGCCTGGCTGCCTGCCGCTGCTACACCTTCCTGCGTTGGGCCGGCCTCCGTCGCCCGAGATGCGCCTCCAGCGCCTTACAATAGCCGAAGATGAGACTGTGCTTCCATTTGGTAGCTATACACCAGCACGGCACACCTCGTCTCGTTGGCTCAGTGAAGGGAGGCCAGGCTACCTGAAAGAGCCGGCAAGCTAGTCTGCCTGAGCAACCTGATGCAGCGTCGGGAAGCAGTCTGGACTTTCTAATGGGGCATGCTTGGCTCATATGGGTGTATTCCCAGTGAATAGTTGCCCCAGGACAGGAAGGTTCGTGATGTTGAGATGACGAGGCACAAATCTTGGTCTCCACGACTACGAAAAACCCTTTCTGATAAGGCGGATAGGACGTGACACGAACCTGAGGGCCTGAACGGAGAAGAGGCCGTCCGGTACAAAGATGGGCTGGGGTCATGCTCTTCGCAGACACCAGGGACGCGAACTCAAAGGCAGGTGACTTGCAAATTCAAATATCAGCGTCCTGCACTCCAGACCGGGTTAGTCGTGGTTTTCGTTTTCCTACCCTTTGCCTTGCTTGCTGCGTTGCTGCGTTGCATCCTGAGGTCTGGTCTTCCCGGCCCCTCGCTCTTCTTTTGCCCCTCCATTTTTGTTTTTTTATTTGGTTTTTCGACTTGATTTTTCTGCCATGGGGAAAATGAAAAATACCTGGCTCATCAGAAAATTCAGCATGTCGAAGGCAGGCAGGTGGGGTACCCCTGTGTAAGATTCTAAAAATCGCCGAGAGGGCAGGCAAATGGCAGGCCAGGCCCGGCCCAGGCACTGTGAAATGTGATCCCCCAAACCTCGCTATGCCCCTTCCATCCGGACGAGGGTCGAAAAATCCTTGATTTCGCACCACTGTGCTCCCGTCCCTTGCATCGCTCCCTGTCCTGAGGCGCCCCTCATCACACGCTCCTCTCACACTAGCACCCGACGCTCCCAGTCCGAACCGGGCGCTGATAAGTCCGTCTTCCAAAGCCTTCACAGCAGCAACCCCTCTCATGCAGAGGAAAATCTCTGCCAGACAGGAATACTGGCTCACACTGTGCAAACGCCCATTGGGCTTGAGACTGCAAACCTGGTGAGCCCACTCGAGGTGCTATGTATGCATGTGTCTCACTTGCAACCGAGCCTAGATACCTACCTGCCTAGGTATATACCTACCTACCTAGGGCCAAACCTTAGGTTCTGCGTCCCGCGCATTGTTAGCCCCGTGGTCTCGGCTACACACACCTCAACTTGGTGCCCCCCGCGATCCCGGTCCGGTCGATGGTGGTGGTGCGTCGGTGGGATAACACATGCCTCCTCGCGGCCCTTTCCCTATGCTGGAGAGAAGCCAAGCCGAAGAAGCTTTGGACTACATGGTCCTGATCCCAGGACAGAATATCAAGAGTCAAGGATCTGCCGAGAGAGAGTTAATTTTGCCGCGTCAGTGACACCCGTCGTCAAGCATCCGCCTCGTCAGGAAAATAGACCAGCGCCCATATAATGCCATCATCAGCCAGCGAGAGTCCTGTTGAGGATGGACTGGACACCTCAAAGTAGGTTTGACCCGAACCGAGGCTCTGACGCCCCTCCAGATCGACGGCGTTCCCCTCATCAGACCCCATGAAAGTCTTGACCGTCGGCTCCGTAATTCCAACCTCCTTCCTCCCTGGAACTCAATCTGCGCTACATCACTGGAGAAATTAACGCACAAATCCTCAAGAGTTTCATTGCACTCATTCAGGTTTCGGATACCCAGTGAGCCACGCCATGCAAACAAACTCCGGCCGAGGATTGGTTCGTTCCATCGAGATAGGTACAGCTCCGGACCGGACACATCTGCCGCGCACAATCTCGGCCACTCTTCCATTTCAGGTTGGTGGTAAGCTTTCCGCCCGAGCGCTCTAGAGGAGTAGACCGGATGAACCCGGTCACCCAATTTAACCGATAACCACTCACACTGGGTGCCGATAATTCCAGGGCGGTCGCACAACTGTCTGAAAATACGTCCAGGAGATCAGTTTTTATTCACAGATGCGTAAAAATAGCTTTGGCGAATTGTTGGTTGATGACGACCTTCCATCGAATGTTCTTTCGCTTGGCTAGCGTTTACGCAGTAAGCGTGCAAGGCTAGGATACGATGTGCCGCCAACCCCATGTCTTGAGTTGCAAGGTAAGTGTCGTTGACTGCGTCTCGTGTTCTGCGACGCCTGTTGATGGGACAGCTTATGGACCCCGTCGGTTCGTGGTCGAAGAACGCAGGCGCGTCGCCCGAAAAATGAAGCGGCAGTGATCGCGACCTGCCCGAAGGAGCTGCTACCGGGGACGTCAGGATATCATGACGGTATCATTGCATCCTATAAAAACAGGTAGGTACCATCGTGTTGGAATGCGACTCTGGTGGAGAATATGCCGGATCACTGGCCTCTTCGAGGCCGCGCCATGCGCCCCAAGACGCTAGGACGGCATGTAACCACAAGCCGCTTCAGTTGTATGCAGGAGAGCTCGTGAATGATGAAGACCAGCACCACGAGTCCTGTCCCTGGGCGCCGACAATTGTCGAATAGACAGTTTGCTACGCAATCATCAAACGAAGACGTGGCATCAAGAGCCACTATTGGTACCAGTCGACCGTCACCATCCAGGAATGAACCAAACTTGCCAACATCTTACATACCAATCTCGACGGGTGTTTTGTTTAGGAACCCAGTTGCCATATGAGGAATCCCTCTCGCAATGCTGAGTGTGCTCCCTCGTTACAGGACCAGAGTTGGTCGTATCACTTGCGAATACGGCACGAATGCCGGGCTACCGATCGGTCATGAAGCACGATGTGCTTCTGTCGACATTTCCGGCTTCATCCCGACCGGAGCCAGCTATATTGGGGCGGATGCCCGGAAGTCGTGGTGAAAGTCCGCAAGGGCCTCGACACGTCTATGACCAGTACATTAACTCAAACGATTGGACGGTTCCACGGCGTTGCAATCACAAGGTATCTCAAGATAAACGTTGGAATTCTGTAACATTGCCATGCTGAATGATAACTGACGGGTTGTGTTGAAAAGCCAAAAGCTGGGCTTTTTTGATTAAATGACCCCATGTCGTGTCTACCTAGTGTACTCTCTCCCGCGAAGATCATTCGCCAGGATTGTCCAACGTTGAAGACCTGCCGGGGCCGGAAGACCGCAGTCCGTGGAGCCGTCAAGGGCGTGATCCACTAACCAGAGTGTGTCTTGATTCCGACCTTTCTCGGAGCAGCCGTAATAGGTCCACTGTCAATCATAAACCAGTTCAGCCGTACCAATTGTTGTTGAGGTCATGTTGCAGTGAGTTTTTGTCGACTGTGCCCCACCGAAGCTCTGCTTGGATAGGTAGCTTTCTGACAACGAAAGTGGCTCCGATGCATTGTTCGGCAAGTGGGAAACGCGTGGAGAAGATCGGACCTCAGTCGTGATCCTAACGAATGCAAGGCAGAAACTCCAATCACGAAGAAGAAGAAGAAGAAGAAAAGATCCCGAGAAAAAGCCAATAAAAAAACTCGGTGATGCTACAATCCAAGACGAAAGTGCTGAAGGGATGTAGTCATTTAAAGGTATTATGAAGAAGGTCCAGTGTTGTTGAGCGGCAAGCACAGTGCTTGTCACTTGATAGATGGGTGTGGCTCGTGCAGGCAGTTCGAACCCCATAGCAGCTGCTGACACATACTTCCATGTGGCGCATGCTCCGAGTCCTGAGCACGACGCGCTGCATAGAAGGCGCGTCTTAGTCGGCCGCAACCTACCAAACCCCTCGCTCGATCACGGACGCCCGCACACCAAACTTCAGCCTCGTATGCATACTTGACAACGCTTCTCTGAGGCGTCATGGAGACCTGGTCGTCAGAAAGCCGGGCGGCGGTCCAGAATGCTTTCAATGAATTGCGCGAAACCATTAGCAAAGAGGCCCAGAACGGTACGTGCAATGACACGCCCTGACGTAATGGCACGCGATACTAGCTTGTTGAACAGAGCTCGAGCAGCGGCTGAAAGAAGACAACCGATCACGCGCACTTCTGACCGACGAGCTTGAAATACTGAGATCCCGTTCCGCCGAGGTTGATCGTTTGGAGGATGAAAATAGAAAGCTCAGAACGAAACTGCTGCAATTCCACCAACAAACCCGATCCACCGAGTCATCAAGAGGCAGCCCTCGTCCGAATCATGTATCGCGCGATCAGGCTACCAACACAGACTCAATGTCAGCAGTGACTTTTGAAAAAGGCAACGAACTGGAGCAAGTCTTGCGCGAGAGTCAAAAACTCCGCCGAAAATACAATGCTCTGGACCAAAACTTCAAGATCCTTAAGTCAGAGTTCAACAAAAGGAGGGACGAGAACAAGAGATGGGAGGAATACGCAACAAGCTTGGAAGCTAAAATAAAAATCCTTGAGCGGCCCGGAGGGGAGCCAGACGAGGACACGCATTCAACAGAAGCACTTTCAGAACCTAGCAGACCCCAGGCTGTGTTGACCCCGAGCTTCGCTTCAGATCCTGGAGCTGGTCCGACGACGACACGCGGCACTGAGGAAATTACCCGACATATTCCAATTGAATCCATCCCTGCTGCTGCTATTGCAGTAGACGAAGAAACTCAAGATCCGAATTCAGGGGACTCAACGGAAGAGGACACAACAGAGAGCAGTAAGGATGGCGATGTCCTTACTCTTCCACCACTGAGACAACCTCCCAAAACGGATTCCGATATTCGCATTAAACCAGAGCCCTCCTCTGACGGCCCAGTTATCGTGTCGGAGCGCTTTGTCGGCAAGAGGAAGCATTCGGCTGACTCTTCCGCCGAGCAGCAAGTACGACGCCGAATTAAGATTGAAAGCTCGAACCTTTCCGGAGGCTCTGTCACCAGCCAGCTTCAACAAGAAAGCATGGACCTAGACGAAGTTGGCCAGAAACTCAGTACGCCGAGGAAGAACAGAATGCTGCCCAATACTCCCTCCGCATCAGGACAGATGGATACTGGAAGAGCAAAAACGACCGGCCCGTTGTTTGTCAGACCCGACAACACCGATACGCCGACGCCAAGGAATTTCGACTTATCGGCAGTTCTGACACCAGTCAATCCTAATGCTCGTCCGGCGAGACCATACGAACTGAAGACTGTGGGAAAGCCCATCAAGAAAGGACTCACCCATGGCATAGAAAGCCTGGCCGAGGACGGACTCGCCTATAAGCACACAGGTCGGGGGGAGCTGGCCGGAGGGCAGTTTCGCACGCCTCAGCCCTCTGGTCGCTTAAGCACGCTGTTGAACATGCCATCTCCGGAGCAGGCTCCTGCCATAGTACGGTCAGCGCCGCGTCTTCGCGATACGCATAGGGCAGCGATCGATGATGGACCTCAGTTTCCTGACCGCCGGGAGCTACCATTCAATAAAGAGCGCCGGGAAAGACTTAAGGAAACCCCCGCTGTTCGAAAAGATCTCGAAGAGACTACGGAACATGGCACACCACGCGCACTTGCTCGGAACCGTAGCGGGGCTACAACGCCAATATCAGCAGTTAGAGGATCATTACGAACGAAACCCATGGTCTCCATGCGCCTTGAGGATTTCAAAGTGAACCCAAAGTTCAATGGTGGTTCGGACTATGCATATTCGGAGGTAGTCAGAGGCAAGGACGACAGAGCTTGTTTGCCTGGCTGTACTGATATGAACTGCTGCGGTAAGCAATTTCGCGCCATGGCACTTGCTCGGAGAAACAACGTCGAACGCACTCCAGCTTCAGACACCAAGTTATTCGAAGACTACCTCGGTGACAGAGTCACAATTACTCTGGGTATGTCAAAGGCGGAGAAAGACGAGTTGTGGATTGAAGCCAAGACATGGCAGCTTGCCAATGAATTGGGTAAGCATCGTCACCGGTATGCCCGAAGACCCTCTCCTCCGGGTTTCTGGAACGCGGATTTCCCTACCACACAGGAGGTGGATAATGAGAAGTCTGAAGCTGAGAAAAGGGAGAGGCATTTGATCCAGGAGAGGTATCGAGAAGCGATGAGGGGCGGAGGGCGTTGGGTGTTTAGGGACGAATGAAGCTCTATTCGACACTCTGTCATGTGCATGGCCGTGGCGTATCTTTTTGCCAATGGCTAAAGCCGGTAGTCCATGTGCTTCTTGAGGTAACGAAAGCTTCTCGGTTGAGTTGTGGTGGTCTTATTAAAGCGAATGGCGCAGCGTTTTCCCTCTGCCAATCTAGCATACTCTCAGATGACCTGTCTCTATCGCTGATCACACAATGAAGGGGGACACCGGCTCATGAACGCAGAATTCCTTAACACTATAAACAGATGATATGTGGCTACTTGGGGATCGGGTAAAAAGCTAGACCAACTGAACAGATAAGGGAGAATATACATATTGAACCAAAAGTTCAAGCAATACTCATATCAATGCTACAGTCTGTCATTGGGCCCCTCCGGTTCTTGGCCGTTGGTCCGTAAGCTCCTTAACCACTGGTTCCTATCATTTGATGAAGTATGTGCGAACATTTTCCTAATTCACCTCCCGGGCTTATTAGCTGTGTCGGTACTTGTTCGTGCACTCGCGTTAAACACTTAATCCACTGATCGCGCAGACAACCAAAAACGATCTCAGAACCTAAGGATAACTCATAGAAGCAAATTGCTAAGGGGCATTCCATCTGAGCGCGGAAACACGCTTGGTGTCTTACTGGATGTCTTGGTCATGGGCGACGAAGTCAGAAGCTGGTAGGGCTGAATATGATGGTCGTTCCATGGCTACTCTGAGGCATGGTCTGATGACTCTCTTTAAAGAGTTGATCAACGAACCCCGTATGCGTTTCGGCGATCAAGAGCTTGACCGAACTCACCTTGAAGCTATCCCGGTGAGACCGTCGCGAGTGGGGCCGATCTCGGGCAAATTACGGAAGAACATACTGAGAGTCACTCAGCGGGGATCACATTATGATCTGTGCGCGAGGCTTTCGGCTCAGCCAGGCAATTGCATTGCGCCAACAAAGCCCGGAGCCCGCTGCCCGCTAGCTCTAGTTGGGCCTTTCCCGCGCGCGGCTTAATTTTTTGTCATCTCCATTGGAAGCAACCGCACAGCTCAACTCTCGTCGCCCTGTCCCAGTCGACGACCTTCACCGTCGCCGCCTCCTTCGCAGCCCGCATTTTTCGCCTCTGCGCGGTTAATCACTTCTGAAGACTGACGCCGTTGCCCCGTTCGGCATTTGAGCAGAGTCATTTTCATCCGTCAGTTCCCCGCAAACCACGAGAAGGCGACACACGACCTGCGAGCGTTCGGAAGCATTGCCCTCGCGCATCCCACGCGACCAAACAACGTAATAATCGAACAACGACCCGACCACCGCTTCCCCTGTCGACGCTCCATTGCGATCGCGCCGACAACCGCTTCGAAGAAAGTCGAAGATACAAGGCAGTGATAGTTCCAGCCGTGGACGATCACTGCAAATACACGACTCCCAAGCCGGCAGGATGAACAATCGTCATCTGCCGGCTGGGCAAGCCATGCCGGGGGGTGGAGGGCCAGGAGGTGCTGGAGGAGTCGATATGGGTGGCGGCCCTGGGGGAGGCAACAGACGGAGGATGCAGCAACAACCGACGTACGCGCAATACCAGCAACAGCAGTACCAACAGCACATGCCCATGTATCCGAACTACATGAACCCCTACGCCGCGGCGCCGTACTACCACCAGCTGCCACATCAGTATCAGAACGGTGGCATGCCCTCTGGCTACATGCACTACCAGCAGCAGCAGCCCTACGTTCGATCACCTCAGGCGATGCCTCAGTATGTTCCCATGGCTGGCGTCAGCGTTCCCCAGCCATACACCCAGCCGCCTCAGCCGTCTCCTGCTCTGTCAACGCCCTACCAACCGCCTCCCGTTCCTACTGCCATGCCTGTCCAGTCGCCGCCGCCTCCCCCTCCGCCTCAGCCTATTGAGCCGACCCCAGAGCCTTCAGTCGTCACGCCTTCAGTGGTAGCCTCCTCAGTCGTTTCGTCTTCAGTTGTCACGCCTTTTGCCGAGCCGTTCCATCCGTCAGTGCCTGCTGCCCCTGCTCCTGTCTCTGCTCCGAAGAGTCCGGAGCTTCCCAAGCAGAACAAGGACTTCCGCGCACCAGTAAGTAGACATATAACTCCTCAGATGAATCATGTTGCTAACCAGCTCAAGCTCCCGTGGACGCCACCCGGCCAGGCGCCATTCCCGAGGAGAGCTCCCAAGTCAAGACGGCGGAGAAGATTGATGAGCGCAAATGCGCAAGACCTGACACTGCCCGTGGAACAGCATGAGGGCGCTTTGGAGTCCAACGCTTCAGCCACTCAACTGTCCGACAAGGCAGGCGCGGCGGAGGCGGATTCCAAGAAAACGGGATTCTGGAACCCCAAGGACACCGACTCTGAGAGCGCCACTCTCAGAGCGGAATCCTTGGCGTCTGAAACTCTTAAGGAGAGTGACAGGTCGGCGACCAGCGTGTCAAACATGGGTAGCCCCAAAGCGAACGCTCCTGTGACCCCCAAAGAGAGCACGAGACCTACGACGAGCTCTTCCAACGTTTCTGCCTCTCGCCCTGCTGTCCCCGTCATTCCTGTCGTCCCCGCTCTCCCCAAGAGCAGTCCCAAGGAGGCCAAGCCCGCCAGCATCAGCAAGTCCGCTGAAGAACGGAAGCAGCCCCCGACCCAAGAGACGAAGTCTGCGGAAGCGACGGAGACAGCAGGTTCTCCTGGTGTAGAGCAGGACAAGGCCGATGCTCAGCCGGCGGATCCTGTTAAGACGGCCCCGAAGATGTGGAGCGGTCTCTTCGCTGCTGGTACTGCTGCGGCTGCTGCCAAGGGCCAGCCTAATGCCAATGGCCCTGTTACGCCGGCGGCGACCAACGGTGCTACTACAAATGGGGATGGTGCGGTTAATGGAGGTGCCTCGAGCTTTTCTGCGGGAAACACAAACTCACTGGCTGCTGCTATTCAAGACTTCCGCGTCGGTAACCCTGCCAAGGTCCAGTTCATCGAGCCGAGAGGCTTGATCAACACCGGCAACATGTGTTACATGAATTCAGTGTGTTATCTTTGTCCACATGGCTGGTTATATTGCTAACAAGTACAGGTTTTGCAAGTTCTTCTCTTCTGTGCACCATTCTACAACTTTTTGGACCAGGTCAGCAAGAGGGCTGTCCATAAGTTCAAGAGCGACACGCCCGTCATCGACGCCATGTAAGTTGCAATGTCTGCAGCTAGGAAGGTTTGACGACTAATCTGTAACAAGGATCATGTTCATGAGAGAATTCCGAGTCATTGACGCAACCGACTCGGTCGAAAAGCTTCGCCGCAAGCTCAAGAGTGAGCAGCTGGAGCAGTACGGCGAGTCGTTCATTCCGGAGTTTGTGTACAAGGCTATTCAGCCTCTCCCAGCGTTTGCCAGCATGAGAGTACGTCGTCGTCCTCCTTTGGTTATATTGCCAGCTAATTTCTTTGCAGCGTGGTCACCAGCAAGATGCCCAGGAGTTCCTCGGACTGATTCTGAATGCCATCGACGAAGAGTGTGCGCAAGCCATGTCTGCGGGTGGCTTCACAAACGGCTCTGCCGAAGCGAGGCCGACATCCTCTGCTGCTAGCGCCGTCGAGTCCAACGACGGCGCGGACGGATGGTTCGAGGTTGGGTCTAGACAGCGAGCCGTCGAGACTCGCTCTTCTGGAGCCAGTTCGACGACGCCCATCACCCGGCTGTTCAGTGGACAGTACCGGTCGGAGCTTCGTCGTCCTGGCGTCAAGGACTCGGTCACCACTGAGCCCTTCCAGTCGCTGCAACTTGACATCGGCGCTCCTTACATTCACAACGTTGTGGATGCCATCAAGGGTTTGACGGTGCCGGAGAGACTTCAAGGCGATGCTACCCCTATGACGAAACAGACGCTAATTGAGACGCTGCCACCTATTCTTATCCTCCACCTCAAGCGCTTCAAGTTCGACACCGAGGGAACCACGAAGATCGGAAAGAAGGTTGGTTACCCGCTCGACTTGCAGCTTCCTGCGGAAGTACTGTCAAAGCGAAGACGCAACGCGCTTGTTGCTGAGGGCGCGCCCATGCCCAAATACAGGCTGATTGGTGTCGTGTACCACCATGGCAAGCAAGCCAACGGTGGCCATTACACGGTGGATGTGCGACGGCAAGACGACAACGAGTGGATCCGACTGGATGATACGGTCATCCGCCGAGTCCGCAGTGAAGACGTGGCCGAGGCAGGCGCTGAGGAGGATGTTAAGGAGGCTGGCCGATCCGGCCCTGCCTCCCGTGACGCCTCTACCAACCGGTTCGGTGCGATGGCCGACGAGGATGAAGGTGACGGTTGGAAGGAGGTCACGACCTCCGCCAAGGGTGGGGACAAGAGTGGCGAGAAGAAATGGAGCGCAGTCGCGAACGGCAACGGCTCTGCCCCCAAGGGCAAGCCTGCGAAGGACAACATCAAGGACAACAAGGTTGCCTACTTGCTATTCTACCAGCGAATCTGAGGTCCAGAAGGGTTGGGGTCAAAGACTGACAGAAAAACAGCGCGTTGACGGCGCGTGGGGATGGACGAAAGTGAGAGGCGGCGCTTCAACCTGTGGAGGCGCAGTACAACAGCCTTACCAAAAGATTGGAGTCTACAGAGCAACGACATCAGAGGGATAGAGGGGTGCCGTTACGGTATCGCGATGTTCTCCTATCTAATTTGACTATACACATCCACGGCGGTTTCTGTTGGAAGGATTTTTATTTTCAACAGCGGAAAAAGTTATCAGAGTCATCTGCAGAATGTCGTGGAGGCTTTCTTATGGCCGGCGGGTTGTCTGGACTGGCAGCGGTTCAAAAAGGGGTGCAGAGGGAGAAGAGGGTCACGGCTGAGGCGGGTTGGAAAAGGGGGGGGAGGGAGCATAGGTTGGGTGTGTCCCGGCGATCGGCTAAATTGGGAGGAGGGATGAGCCGATGTGAGGAAAGGGATGAGGGATGAAGAATCAATGAAACGAGGCATGGGGTAGAGTGACCCTGTAAAAATAAAACCCATTGATGAACCTGTGCGGTTTCGTTGCGGTGACGCGAGATGTGCAGGAGAAAACCCTCGTCGTGTGCGTGTGTAAGCCGCCGTCGAGGCTTCCGGACAGAGAGAAAGTGGGGTCCCCGTCCGATGAGGAGAGGGAATCACACAAAACCGCTCACAAGCCAGCGAGCGCTCACGCGACCCTCGGAAGGCTGGATTGACCAGACCGCACGACCCTCGCCACATTTCAACACTTATAGACCGACATCTAAGTTTTGAAATCCAACCGCGCCAGCATCTCAAAAGAGACGACAGCACGTCACAGCCCAGAGCCGACCACAATGCCCGCCCCGACGCAGATGCCGCAGTACCTCTACAAGATCGTCCCCGAGGCGCCGCCCGCGCCGCTGCCGGCCGAGTACCCCCTCTCGGACCTCGACCGGAACGACGGCTTCATCCATCTGAGCACCGCCGAGCAGGTGAGTCCCGTCCCGTCCGCGGAATGACCCCGCTCACACGTTTCGTGCGCCCCGTCATCCGTATGCCGTGAACGCATCCCGCCCTCCGCATCCCACTTCCTTGCCCCCCCCTCTCGCTCTGCCTTTCTCACACCGGCCCCCCACCTCATCTTCCAAACTCCCCAGCCCCGTCACAACCCAAAACACACCACTGACGACACGCCAGGTCCTCGGAACGGCAGACCGCTTCTTCTCCGGCTCCGCGAACCTCTGGCTCCTCAAGCTCCCCTACGCCGCCCTGGAGGAGCAGATCCGGTGGGACGATCTCCCCTCGGGGGCGGGCTGCTTCCCGCACCTGTACGGGCGCAACTTTGGCGCCGCCGACGTCGAGGACGCCCGCGGCTTCGCCAGGGGCGAGGGCCAGGCCTGGAGCGAGGTCCTCAAGGGGGACGCGTGGCTCTCGTGAAACCGCTGCAGCTGCTGCAAGTGATCCGCCCTCGTGTTGGAAACCGCCTGAGCGTTTCTGTAGACATGGTTGTCACGCGTGGGTGGGAGAAGAGGAGAGACTCGACACACTGGCCTAGATCGACAACGAGGACCTCACCTTCACGGAGACAGGAACGTCGCTTGGGAAAGAGGGCGTGGAAACTCGGGACGGCGCACGCGTGCCGTCAAAGCCAACGTGCAATTGCTTGCTATACAGTGTTTCTAATGCCTCATTCTGTCTTGCTCAACGTCAGACAATCGTCTCGGTCTTCTGCGCAACTTGATTTGGTTTCCGCCTCAGCTTTGGCTCTCATGACGCCAATGATGATAAAAAAAAATAAGAATAAAGGAAGCTTGGTATGCTTTTTCTCTCTTCGCATTCCCTTGCCCTCCCACATGAGTATAGTTCGTGGTAACCTCATCTCATAGCAAAACATGCAACGTGATAAAATCGTAGCCGTCGCCCCTCCCTGCCCACCGTCTTTGGCATTCCCCAGTCCCGCTTCACACCAGATGAGTAGGTGTTCTATCCTAGCCGAGGTGGAGGCTACAGAGGCTACAGGCCTATGGGGCGTCGTTTCCCAACCGTGCGCAACGTCAACTCGCACATGCAAAAGACAAAAGAAAATACAGCCTGGTGGCTGGTTTGTTGTAGTCGCTTCGTCATTCATCTATGATGACCACTTAACGTCCGAGCTTGGAGCCCTGCTTCGCCGCTTATTGGCCATGCTTGTCGGGGGAACTGGCGATGCCGCAGGTGCTGATACGGCCGATGTGTTTCTGCTTACGTTCTCCTTATTCGACAGGGAACTCTCGGACCTCACCAATGGAGGCTGTCCAGAGGAGCTACCGGGTCTAGCAAACGAGTGGCGGGGCAGTCTGCTTTTCCCTGACGATGGCCCGGAAGGCATGCTTGACGATATCTCACCACTCACCCGTCTGGGGATGCTCGTGGCACCGTCCCTGCTGCGTGGGCGGTAAAGAATGGCCTCCCGTTCCTGGACAGCCGTCCGCCGTGGGCTTGCAGCCACCTCAATGTACGCGCCGCTGGACCCTGGTGGTATCTGCGATAACCGATGGTGACGGGACTGCGGCTGTGTAGGCGTGGCAGGCATCGACATCGCATGGTGAAGTCCTGGAGGAGTAAAGGAGGATTTCCGCCTCGGCCCGGACCCCGATCGTCGAGATGCCACAGATCCAGAAGACCCATTCCTTTCCGAGGCGGTGTCGTAAAGCTCGCTCTCATTGTGCGCCTTCACCAACTCCGACGCGAGGTTGCGAACGAGCACAGCAGTATCCTTCTCTGCCAGCATTTGGATGGCATCGAACAGAGATCTGACTTGCTTGACGTTCAAGGAGCTGCTGCCGTTGCCCATGCCCAACATCTCTGGGTCGCAGGCATCCATGATATGGCGCACCAGACGTAGCAGGTTGAGTCTAACGACTGCCTTTTTGTGGCCCAGCCTCTGGCCAATGCCAGCAAACATTTCAGGTTTCGCAAGCGACCCTGAGATCGAAGGGCTTAGCCGCAGAAGCTTCAGCAGAGGCTCCAAAAGGTTGGCGTCAAAGGAGTTGAGCTTGTTTGTGTGGAAACAGGCCACAATTGCGTCTGTAAACTTCCCGTCCAAAAGATGGCTCTCAACCTTCGCTGTCTCTTCCTGAAGCCAGATAAAGATGGCATCCAGGGCTGTGACTTGCCAGTACTGGTCCGCCAAAAGAGAAACGTAAAAGTCGAGTCCCTTATTCTGCCACAGATATCTGCGGCCCTTGCTTCCCGAGTGTGCCATGTCGCACAGTATAGGCAATGCAAACTCTTTTGGTGGGCGGTCGGTTTGCATAATCTTCATGAGCAAGGGGATAATGCCGCCGACAGCGGCATCTTCCTGTCTCTCCTTGCTCAAACGGCATAGGTTGAACAGGGTGTTTAAAACCTGGTTAGAAATCTCTCGGAAGTGGTTGTGCCCCTTCTTCATGCTGTATCCAAGTACATCGATCAGGAACTCGATGGCGTCAGCTGTGTGGAGCGTTTCTATCGTCGTCGACAGCATCGACAGGTTCTTGATGAACTTGAGCATCGTGACCTGGTGGTTTGGCGTCATTCGTCGCAGGTCCTTCAATACGCCTAATCGAATGTTAGCAAGGAGAATCCACGTTGACCAGGGGCTGCCTCACTCTTCAACACCTGCCTGTCAGCGACAACCTCCTTGACGTAGTTTTCTGCCTGGGAAAAGAGGTAGAAGATGTTGACAATCCGGCCCTCGATGAGCTCGGAAAGGTCGTCTCCGCTCTCCTCGTCAAGCACCCTGTGAAGTACCAGGGCAAGCGGATACAGAATCTTGCTTCTCGAGAAGATTCGGCAGAAATCGTTCTTCGGAGTAGGTCCCTGAAGCTCGAAGACGTTCCAGATGCCGTTGACGCCGATTAAGACAAGATCTCGGGCATCGTCAAAGTCCTCATCCAAAAACTCTACAAGAACATTCAGACCACCGGCGCTGACAAACATCTGCAGAGTCAACGTGGAAGTCTGGTACATCTGGCGAACAAACGCGGCTGCTTCCAGTCTGATTTCGTTGGAGTATTGGCGGGCTGAGAATTTGGTAATGATCGGGATGCCACCGACGAAGCACAGATTCTCCTGGATCTCGACATCGTCCAGAATGATCTGTCTAGGGTTAACATCTCGCAAATTCCATATTTGATGAGGTATCAGGGGCTCGACTTACAGTATTGACGACCTTCAAAAGTGATAGGATCATCTGTTGCCTACTCTTGACCGTGCAAGGCTCGAGTATTTCCAGGATGGGCAGCAGACCATGAGCACTCAGAATCAAGTCTTTGATCTCGGAGTTCTCCCACAGTAAGGCAAACTGCATCTGTTAGCCACTTTCTCCCAGAACGCACGGGATGTTCTCACCAGATCTTCGGCCAGCTCGCAAAGTTTCTCCTCACCCTCTGAAGTTTTCAGAGAGCGAACGAGTTCTTCGACCTTGCCTGCTAGTCTCGCGTGTCTGTCCCTAGCAATGTTTGCTTCCAAGTCCATTTCGTCCCATCCAGGATCCATGGAAGCAAAAGGGTCATCTTCATCCTCATCATCGCCTAGCCAGGAATTGTTGGAGTATTTCGAGAGCACCATCAGACCGCCATCCTCTGAGCCTCTATCACTCTCTTCCCTCTCAGTAACTGCATCCTCGGGTCCGAAAATATCGGAGAAATCTTCGTCGCCCTCATCTTCAGCAAATTTCTGGATCTCGATGGACGACCTAGTCCTTCGCATCGGGCGGTCCGGCAACACAGAAGGTCGCAACTTTGCACTAGGCGGCCGTCTTGAGCCCCCTGGCACGGGTGATTGTGTTGAACGGGGTAAGCTCGTAAGATCGGAAGGATGGAATAGTTGAGGAGAATCAACCTGACTTCGTTAGCAAGAGGACGACCAAGACTGAACCAAGGTGTCAACATACCTTTTTGACAAAGGGGTTCAGTCCGTTGTCATTGAAAACACTGTCGTTTTCAAGGAAAAGATCAGAGTAGTCTTCGGTGTTTTGCTCTCTATATGCCATGTCCGGAGGAGCAGGGATCTCAAACTTGCTGGGGCCAAGCTGCGGCTTGCTGGAGGATTTGGGCCGGGAAGCATTTCTAGAATGGCCCGTCTTCCGCGGGCTGGACTTTGGAGGCGACTGTTGTTGTTTCATGGGTTCTGCGTACTTGTCGCTCTTCTTGCGGGATACGGGACGAATGGTTTGTTCCTGAAACTCGAAATCGGTAAACTGCCGAGGCCCCTTGATCGTCAACAGCTCCCCCTCAAAATCGTCATCGTAACTCTCCGAATCATTTCGAGGGTCTGTGATTGAAGCGAACGCTTTGAGTTTATCGGCAGACAGCAGACCACCAAAATTGTCCTGGGGCTTCAGGTGAGGCAAGTGCAGTGCACTTGGTGAGATGGCCGTGGCGAAATCGTTGTCCCAGTTGTCATCGTCTAGCAGCATGTCAACACGCGCCTCCCCAGCCTCCCTGATGCCGGGCGATACTTACTAGCAAGCTCAGGAGATCTGAACGCTTCGGGGGTTCGTCTCGATTTCGCGAGGGCCAAAGGTCCCTTGGGCTGGGTGGTCAAGCTCGGCCGCAGCGGTTCGTTGGCGCTAAATCTCGAGCCGGGATGGCCTTGCATCCCAGTAAAGCCGCTGTCGGAACCGGTGGACGCCCTAAGTGAGGTCTCGGAGGACTTGAGGGCCTTATTCCACTGTTTTACTTCCTCCACCGCTTGGCTGAAATTGGCTGGGGCCTTGGAAACGGGTGCGTCGCTTCTTCGGCATCCGATGATCCACGCATGCCGTAAAAGTTTTCTCGCCGTCACTCTCAGGTTGGGGTCTTTCTGGAAACATTGCATCAAGAAATCCCGAGACGCCTATGAGGTGTTAGTCATGTTTACTCTGACACATAAAAACAGGGCACCAACCGGTGAGATCCCCTCAGGCAATGGCGGGTGGTCGTCGTTGACAATGGCGAAAAGCGCAGGCATGGCTGCAAGGTTGTGGTAAGGCGGTTTGCCCTGCAGCAGTTCAATGACCGTGCAACCCACACTCCAGATATCAGATGCAGGGCTGGCGCCAGAGAGTTGAATGATTTCAGGTGCCATCCAGTAAGGTGTGCCGACGACCTGGGCCTCTTTGTCCTGCCCACCAGCGAGTGTGCTTGTCGAGACTCCAAAGTCTGCGAGCTTGACCTTTCCGTCCTTGGTTGTAAGGATGTTGGCGCCCTTGATATCCCGGTGAATGACTCCCTGGTCGTGGAGATACTGCAGGCCTTGCAAGACCTGGGTCGTGTAGACGCCGACCAAGTTCTCGGGGAACTTCCCATATGACTTGCATATTGAGTGAAGAGAGCCGTTCTCGCAGTACCTGCGCCCGTGTCAGCGATTATGTGAAGGAATGAGGGCTTGACCTACTCCAAAATGATGTTGAGACAATCGGCCGACTTGACGAAGCCGATGTACTTGACAATGTTGTCATGCTAAGCACACTGTCAGATGAGGCGCCTCGCAAATCCTCTGGCTCGGACCACCCACATGCAAGTTCTTTAAAAGATCGATTTCAGACTAGAAACGGTCAGTCTCGGCTGGCCATCAGTTGAGCAGATGCCCTGTGAGCAGAAGTGTACCTCGATCATGCGCAGCTCGCTCTTGGGCAGATCAGCGAGCTTGATCTGCTTGACTGCGACGGCCTCGCCGGTTCCCCAATTGAAGGCCTTGTAAACAGACCCAAACGCTCCCTTTCCTAGGCACTCTCCTAATCGCTGTGTTGCAGAAAACCGTCAGTCATGCGTTCCTCACAAACGGTTGCCCTCCAGATCCCTAGGGAAGGCCCAATGGCCGTGTATACGCACGTAGTCCTTTAAGCCCGGGTCCTGCAGCGCGGAGCTCTCTCTGGGGCCTTGTTTCTCTTTTCGCGGCGTGCCCGGGCCCCTCTCGCGGGAGGCGACCACGGCCGCCCTGCCGTTCACATGGTACTGGCGCTCGACGGAGGAGGAGGCCGACGAGGGTGGCGACGGGTTAGGCATGGCCGGCGGCGGACGGGCAGCCTGGCGCAGGACCAAGCTTTTCACTCTCGATCGGGTTCAAGGATTTCGCGGGAGCCCTCGTAGGGCGGAAGCTGTTCTGAGGGAGGGATTGGATCGCGCCAAAGTCGACAGAGGAGCGGTCGGGTGGAGGATCGTGAGACGGCAAGCGGGCAGCGGTTACGGCAAAGGTGAGGAGGGCGCGCTGCACATTGCCCGGCGGCAGGACGGCATGCCAGTCAAGTCGCAGTTCGGGGGCTTGTGTTCGCTCGTTCGGGTCGACGTGTTTTCGCAGAGAGGGTCGTTTAGTCCATGGAAATCCCGTTGAGCATCGGCGGGAAGAAAAAAGAAACCAGATCGAACGGCGAGCGAGGGACGTATGTAGGGCGCGCGACTCTGCGGCAGGGCCAATGCCAAATATTGACACTGACGAACTATGCCAACACACACAGGCACACACACAAGACACAAGGAACTCGGGTGGGCCAGAGGTGTTCCGGTCTGCAAAAGAACAACCGTCCTCTGTTTCGTTCGGGATTCGCGGGCAGGAGAAAACAAGAGGAAGCCCGGCGTTCCTCTCTTTCGGGGTTTCACGGTAACTTGTGTTGTCGTCAACGACGTTCGGTCTGGTCTGGTCTAGTTGATATGCCAGTCGGGCGGCGGAGGGGTTCGGGTCCAAGTAAAACGAGCGGCACTGGGCGGGCGGGCGTGGTTCGGTAGGGGGGGGAAGGTGCGATGATGTCGTGGAGTGGCTAAGCTAGGGGTGCCCAGGGAAAACAGACTGGAGAAGAAGGGGCGTAAAGCAGATGAAGGGACGGCAAATCCAAACAACAACTGAATCCCTTGGAGAAAATAATAATTTTGGCAGTTAATGATGTGCGAGTTCACGTTGACACGCACACACGGGCCAGAGCAGGGAACGGGACGAGACTCGCTGCTGCTGCTGCTGACGCGCCCGACCGACAGTCGCATCTGGCTCTTCCAGGGACGTTCGCTGTAAAAAAGAAAAGGGCAAAAAAAGGGCCAGGTCCCGTCAGATCGACTTCAGCGGTCAGCCCAGTAGTCTGCGGTCTGTGGTCAGTGGTCAGGTAGCCGCAGGGCAGCAATGACAACGAAGCACCTACCACCTCATCTCACTTCACGCACCACGAATGCCACTTGCCCGTCCCCATTTTCCCATGTATTGTTCATCACTATCACTCAGGACCCTGGTCAAACCCTCGCTCGATCGGTGCATTGTCACGATGACAGGGCCAGGCGACAAGACTCGAGACTCGATGCTCTGTGCCGGGATTCATGCCGACCGGGCTGGCTGCGACCACTGATGAGGGGCCGGAGCGGGGCGCCGAGTGGGCTCTCGCAGTGGCTAGGCATTATGTACATAGTACGATGCCTGGGTTGCTGAACAAACGCCCACGACTCGCGCTAGCTACGCTAGAAGCTCTCCCAGGCCGCTCCGCCGGCGCGCTAAGAGACACCCGGCCTGAACCAGAAACAAAAGAACGGGCTTCACCTTCCAGTCCACAGTGTCATGGCGGAAAATCAAGCCCAGCTCCTCGGCTCCCTAGTTGATCCCTTGGGTTCATCCGTACCTACCCAATTCACAACGGAAGCGAGTAGAATAAAATAAAAAGTCAATGCGAATACACACATCTTACCTTGTCTAGCTCAGACACGTTCCGCGCCTCTTGGCCTTCCCCAGACTTTCCCGACTCGGGTCACGGCTTGGACAGAAAACCACGTCACGCCCGACCAGGCGCCCGTCCTCCCCAAGATGCATTCCTCCGTCACGGTCTCTCGAATCTTTGGAATATCAAACACTACCCAGTCGCCCCCCCAGTGGCATCCTTCAATCATCCATTATTTGCTTGAACCGCAACTTCACCGTAGTAACGGCGTGACAGTGTCTCGCCTAAAGAGGTCAACAAAACCCTGGCTTGCCCGTTACGGATACCTACCCCTACCTCAGCTCCCCTCCCTTCCTCTGTCCCCCCCAGCCCAACCCCCCATGTTCAGGACAGGGCCACCGAGTCCCCTCTAATTACGTCTATCCCTCTCAATCACCCACAGTCACCAAACCGACGACAAGCAAAAAGGACACACGGCCAGCAGACAAGGGCAAAGGAAGAAGACGACGCTAGCCGCCGTACTTCACTCGCTGATCTGCGCGGGAACGGCCTGCCCTACTGTAGGACCCCCTGCCCGGAATCGTGACATGCCAGTGGCCAGCCCGGCGACCTGCATCAGCCCAAGAGAACCGCGCCGCCGCCGCGAACGTCTGCGCCAGGCACGAAGGAACCGTTGTTGTCGTTATTGTCTTCGTCGGGGACCTGCCAATGTCAACGTCAAGCGTCCCATTCGTATCCTACAGGTCCTTCCCCCGAGATATGCTGCTGACAGTGCTGCGTAATGAGAGGAATGACAGAATCAACAATGCGAAATGCCACTTCCACACAGTTGCCCCGTCCGCATTCCTCGAGTGTCCGAGGGCGGTCACTCCATGTCCCAAGACAACAAGGCAAAGTCGTGGAACAGGATCTCCGTCACAAGCTCGTCGAGCGAGGTCTCACTACTTTGACTAAGACACATGGTCATCACTTTCTACTTTTAGCGCCCACTAGAGGCCGATCGCGTGTTCACCAACGACATGCCTCGACTTCACAACAATCAATAAACAAGTGCTCGATGAGAAAACAGCCAACGGCCAGTTCATTTCATGCTCGTCGCCGTTGTCCTCAGAATGCCGGATCCTCCGGTCCATCCAAGAAACCCCCTTTCGCCAGTATCCCGTAGAAACTTGCTAGTAAGGAAACACCATCACTCGTAGCCGCAGGCTGACCCCGGCCCGCTCCATGAATACACATGTTATACAAGCGGCTCATGTCACTGCATGGCGCCAGCAAACCCAACAATTCAGCGCCCGATCCATAGCAGGCGTATATCCCCTGAAACGCCAAATTCCCCTATCCAAGTACGATGCCTTTTCGAAGGCTTTTTCTTTCATCAGCTTGCCTCTCATTACTCACGTGAAAACGTGAGGGTGGCTCATCCATGGCCCTTTTCATGATTCCTCTGGCAGAGTCCGGCTAAGTCCGGCACCTGCCCACCACTCATCGGGAATGTCTTCCCGTCGTGCGAGGTTTCGAACAATCATCTGCATTCCATGCAGAGCGTTGTCATTAGACGTATGGTTGTGGCTCGACGGAGTCTCCTCATCGTCACCATTGCCATCCCCCTGGCCGCTATTGCCTCCTACCTCTTCGCTGGAGTCCCGCACGATGTGATCCAACAGCTCCGGGAGCGGGGTGGGATCGCGAGTAGCGATCCGGTAATGTCGAAGAAGCTCAAGTCGTCGACGAGTTCGCATTTCCTCGTCGTCTTGGGCGTTACGGGCAGCGGGAGTTATGTCTGCACGTCTGTATGACAAATCGTCTCGCATGTATGACAGCCTGCTCGGGTCGTTCGCGTCCAGATCGGCGACGAAACGCCGGTGTCTCGAGGGATAGTTCATCGTCCAGTGCTCTGGCCAGCCCCGGCTGATGTGCAAGTCTTCCTGGCCTTCGTCGTCAGAATTATCGAGACCAGATTCACAGGGCTGCTCGAGAGCCTCTTCCGTCGTTTCAGGTCCGGTGAGGGAGGTGCGCGATGATGCAGCAGCACTCTGCGACTGCGATGCAGAGGCCGATGCCGACGCTGATGCCGAGGCAAAGGACGATCCAGCACTTGGGGGCTGCGGGTCCGGCGTCAGCGTAGTCAGTAGCGTGTCCCACACGCCATCTTCGTCGGGGCTGAGGCTTCGGTCACGGTCGCCGAGTCCATCGGTCAAGGACGATTCGTTCGGTTGTCCAGTGGGACGTATCCGACGGATGCGCTGATGCAAGGTCGGGGGTCCTACTCGCGAATCTACGCGCGGTCTCCGTCCAGAGAACCTGGCGGAAACCGAGTGCTCGGGGCTGCGGTCGAAACGGGCCGCAACTGGCGGAGCAGGCTACTTTGCACGTTAGTTCTGCAGTTCGGTTCGAGCGAATAAGTAAAGGAGCCTACCATCGACATGCGATCGAGTTGCGCGCGACGAAATCGTCGACTGGAAGGGTAAGGATAGATAGCAATGCCGTCGACCTGAGGCCTTTCAGGTTCCTGCCAGCTGGATTGCTCTTCACCAGCCGGGGGAGTGGCATTGGTCCGGGAGGGCTGAGGCAAGTTCTCAAAGGCCCAGCGTTCGCCGAAGAGGGAGATCAACCGAGCTTCGCTGGCTTCGGGACCCCGCTCCACAGCCCGACTCCTCATCTCACGCAGCGCATCACGTAGCTCGGTGCTCTCGGGAGTGGGTGCGCCCCGATCCGGTTCCGTGGGCGGCATCGTCCGTGGGGAGCGGCGGTGTACGCCTCCGGCGGTGGCAGATGGCCAGATTCGATCCATGGATAGCGGGCGCGTGGGACGGGTTCGGGACCAGGAGTGGGGAAGTTATCGCGGAGCAGTGCAGCGCGGCGTCGGAATGGGCGAGAGTCCAGGTTGCGACGCGCGCGACGAATAGAGGAGCGAGCATGACGTGTGGACTCGGATTTGTCGCCGATTTGAGAAGGAACATCCGACTCGATGGGTGCAACGAATAGACTACAGTTTGGCGGATGTGAGATTAGCGGGGGATGCGAGGGTGAAGCGTAATGAGGCCGTCGGCATCAATAGCGATTGCGATGCATTTCGGCGTCGACGCGATCGAGATTGCCATTGAAGACTGTAGGCACTTTGCTTATATGAAAAGGCGGACGGCTTGTGATGGACGAAAAGGGACGAGATGCATATGAATAGAGGCATTGAGAGCGGTTGCGCGACTGGGCGGGCTGAGATTGAGCCACCGTCCGACCAGGCGCGGCGCAAAGGGGGATTGCAGCGCAAGCGCGGAAGGCACAGGGGTGAGAAGAACTTACGGGAGTCCCATCTTGGCTGACTTGTCGCGCGCGAGATGGATGAATCAACGACGCAGAGAACGATGGCTGATTGAGAATATCGAATGGGTCGCGAGATGGACTCGATAGTTGTCGAGGTAGAAACGGGGCCGCGGTTCCGTGTTTCGCGATGGATTCGCGATTGCGCGAAGCCAATATAGCTTTTCGTGGGGCGGAAGGCGGGCGGGAGAGAGGAAAGGATGGGGTCAGTGACAGGAACGGGGCACTGGGACTGGACGTGGATTGTCGGTCAAGGACGAAAAAAAGACTAAAGGCAGACACCGGGAACGGGATTCAAAAAAGGAACAGAAGGGAAAATGGGAAAAGCGCGGGTCTTTGGGGAATAGCCGCTTTACTTCTTTTTTGTGAGTGGCTGGCCACGCCATCCTGCCCCTTGTTGCGGTCCCCGAGCTCCTTCCCCTGTGGCGCTGGCTTCGAGAAGCAAGTCATCTTTGTCCAATCACGGTCACTCTTCGGCGCATGGCGAAGAGTGGAGAACTCGGGGAACCACTCGACGTGTGGCTGAAGCGGCACTTCGATGCGACTGCCTTGTTCACGTCCGCGTCGGGCTTTCCGCGATAGGCGTGGCTAGGGGAATCGCTGATGCGAGGTACGTACCTTTTCCGCTTTCCTCTTGCCATGCGAGCTCCTGGTGTTGTGCATGCTTTGGCCGCGTGGGCTGCGACTCCATTAACGTTCGGGTCCGGAATGCGCAAAACCATTCGCTAGCAGCATCCGGCGCCGGATGCGACATCGAAGACCCTGAAAATCCAAGACCCGTTCATCACCAGAGCATTCCAGTGACTCACTCCCACCACAGGTGCCACTTTCTCAGGCATCTCCTTCCGTTGCCCGGCGACGGCTCCCATGTCTGCTGACGTTTGTTCGCCCCAGAGCCGAGAGATGGTTGGCGATCCCTGGGCCTAACACTCATCCAGAGCCACGCTTTACCCCAGACACCCCAAGACCTCGGCAAACTCTATCATGGCGATGAAGGGCATCAGCCTAGGCCTGCACCGCATATCCAGGGCCCTCGAGGGCGTTCCACAGAAGTGGGATGCCATCCACGTCGCCGGAACCAACGGTAAGGGTACTACCTGCACATACTTGGCGGCCCTCTGCAGGTCCTTTGGCATATCAAACGGCCTCTTCACCTCGCCTTACCTAGTTGAGCCGCGCGACGCCATCAAAATCAACGGCATCCCTGTCCAGCAGGACGTCTACAACGACGTCCGACGGAGGATTCTTGATGACGAGCAGGCCCGGCTAGCGCAAGATGCGTTGCAGGAGGCCCTTACCATCTTCGAGGTGACCACCCTCATCGCCTTCGGCATCTTTAGCCGCGCCGATGTGCAGATGGGCCTCGTCGAAGTTGGCCTTGGCGGGCGACTTGACTCGACGAACGCTCTTAAGCGGAAAAAGGTCACCATTATCACCAAGATCGGCCTCGACCACCAGGCATTCCTCGGCAACACCCTGCCCGAGATCGCCAAAGAGAAGGCCGGTATCATGATGTCCGGCGTGCCGTGCGTTGTTGACGGTAGCAATCCGCCCGAGGTCCTCGAGGTCTTCCGGCAGCATGCAGCAAGCGTCTCGGCGCCGCTGCATCTCACTACAAACCAGACTGGTCTCCTGGAGACTCTGTACCAGTCGGAGTTAATGCCGCACCAGGCCCAGAATATGGCATGTGCCATTACAGCTTTTCAGCTTGCTTACCCGCATCTGAATCTCTCCGTGGAGAAGGCTCTGCCGATCTTGAAGGACGTCGCACACCTGGGTAGACTGTCCTGGTTGGAAGTTGGCGAGAAGTATCCGTCACGGAAGGGGAAGCCAATTCTCATTGACGGTGCTCATAATCCGCAGTCGGCAGAGACACTATCCACATTTGTCGAGCGACGCCTACGGAATGCAGACGAACCTGTTACGTGGATCGTGTCGGTCTCCAAGCAGGACGGAAAAGATGCTGGAGGTATGCTTCGCACTCTGTTGAGGTCTGGTGATAGTGTCGCCTGCGTACCCTTCTCCAAGCGAGAGACTATGCCCTGGGTTGAACCCTTGCCGCTCGACACATTGAGGGAGATGGCGTCCAACGCAGGCGCGAAGGAGATATTCACAGGTGAAGGAGATCTTGAGGCCGCCACTCAATGGGCTGTAGACACTGCGAGAGATGGACCTATTGTCTTGACTGGAAGTCTTTACCTGGTTGGCGACGCCTACAGGATCCTATCCTAAGGAAGGTCTGAATCAACTATATATATAGAGAACCCACTGAAGTACAACGCTCAGTCGTGCTAGGAGATTTATAATTTTCCAAAATTCCTGACATACACATTTACAGTTTGAGTTCTGATATATATAATATCCCAGTGGCTCTCACTACCTGTGACGACCTCACCCACCTATCCGCGACAACTTCCACAACATGGATGGAGTATACCAGATTCTCACCGCCACTGCATCACATGATCCACAATAGCCCGTCTGATGCGCAGTAATTGGCGAGGCTTGATGAAACGCTCATTCATATAAACTCATCCAACACGCCTTTGTTCGTGCCATTAACCAACCCCCGCCATGACAACCCCCGCCAACCTCATCATCGTCTGCTGCCACGGCATCTGGACCGGCGGCCCCACACACGGCCGCGCCGAGTCGGAGTGGCTCATCGCCAGCTTTCAGGCCGGCGAGACCCCGACGTTCATCGAACACATCAAAGCCGGATTGACGGAGCTGCGGGACGACCCGGCTTCCGTGCTCGTGTTCTCGGGGTAAGCTCAGCCTTCCTCACCGGGTTCGGGCCATTGATGCTTCTCTCGTTGATACCCCACGTGTCATTTCACTCATTGCTTGCACTCGTCACCTTCCCACACTGCTCGTATCAGCATTCACATTTCCCAACCAATTGTGACTTCACGAGGAAAAGACAGACGCTAACAATCCCCTCACATAGAGGACCAACACGCAAAGAAACCCGCCTCTCGGAGGCAGAAAGCTACGCCAACCTCGCCTCTTGTAACGACTACTTTGGCATATTCCCCTCCTCCCCAGACGCCACCACTCGCTTCACGTCCCGCATCCACACAGACACCCTCGCCCTCGACTCCTACCACAATGTCCTGCACTCCCTCCTCCTCTTCCACCGCCTCCACTCCTCCTGGCCGCGGACCCTGACGGTCGTCAGCCACGGCTTCAAGAAGCCGCGCATCGTTGACGGCCACTGCGCTGCCATCGGGTTCCCGCTCGAGAGGGTGCGCTTCGTCGGAATCAATCCGCCAGGGATGCAGGCTGCTACCGACGTGAAGGGAACGGCAGGCGAAGGTCAAGGCAAAGCGGGAGCTGTCGCTGGCGTGCAGCGTGCCGTGGACGAGTGGACGCAGGACCCGCACGGCGTCGGGCCGAGTCTGGCTGGGAAGAGAAGGGCAAGGAACCCCTGGGGCCTGGACGATAGGCTATTCACGAGCGAGGAGGAGAGGATGAGGAGTGGTGTTGTCACAAGGATTGTAGACGGCCACGAGGCGTTGGTGGAAGACGCGAAGAGACCGTGGGCTTATTATACTCCTTAGGATAGACCGCAATACAAGCATACCTCTAAACCCTCGGGATATTGTAGTTACTCTTTTCTAAACGTGGTCCCATCACACCAATATCTCAAATCTTGGCCTTTCTCTCTTCACCTCCGTGACCGCCGTCCTTTTCAGCAACAGCATCAATCAAAAACCTCAACGAATCCTCCACCATCCCCTGGCTAAACGCATGCCCGACGCCCTCGTATACCTTGTTCTCAAGCGCCACACCCTCGTCGGCATACCATGTCCCCAGAGCCCCGGCGAAAAACTCAACAAACGGCTCCGACATCTTGTACGGCACCAACTTGTCGTCGGCACCGGAGCACACGAGAAACTTCTTGTTGCCGAGACGGAGACCGTCCAGGACGCCGCGGAGACGCTTCCTCTCGTCTTCCGAGAGGCTCTCCGCGGTTGCAGGAACGGCGCCGGTGCCGAAAAGTATGCCCTTGGGGTCGTGCCGGAGACACGATGCCACCAGGTCCGGCGGGAAGTCCCTGCTGCCGAGGAACGAGGCGCCATCGTCTGCCGCGGAGAAGGTTGCCAGCTTGGACTTCTTCGCACGGTCCGACAAGAGGGCTTGTTCACCGAGCCGTTAGTCCTCACCTCCACACTGTTATCGTCGTTGGTCGTGGGAATGCGGCACTCACCCATGTAGTCAGGACACCCGATAATCACAACCCCGGCCGAGACCCTCTCCTCCCTGAACATCGTCTGCCACGCACTGTGGCCGCCCAGGCTCACGCCCAGCACGAGATTCTGATCGATCTTCCACTCGGCGACAGCGCCTCGTTGCGCGAGCTCCAGCTTCAAATACCCTTCGACGACATCAAGCAGCGCCGTGGTATCGCTCGCCATCCCCGATACCATACCCCACATGTCGAGAGCATGCGTCGCGTTGCCCTCGCGCCACGAGTCGCTCGCTGTCGGGGACACGGTCCTGGTGCCGTGGTTCTGCTGGTCAAAGGCCACGGCGATGAGTGCTCTGCCACCGCCTGCCCCATTCCCGGATCCAGACCCAGCCGTGGACGACGTTTCCCCCCACCGCGAGATGACCCGGCTCGCAAAATCCGCCATGTCCTCCTTGGCGCGCAGGCGCGGGTGGTGCAGCCATAGGCATGAGACAACCGACGCCCGCCGCCCGACGAGCTCCTCGAGGCCGTAAACATCGCAGAGAAGACCCGCCATAGGGAGCGTCGTCTTCGAGACGTCCGGGGGCGGGGTCGCCGAGCCCATTGGGTTGTTCGTCGATGCCATGTTGAACAGGTACCGATATATTTAATTTAATTGATGGAATCAGCAGACTATGCAATACACCGTGTTACTAAGTTGCCCAGCAGATATTAGGCAGTGGGTGGTGATGGTGGGCTTACCTTAGGTTGAGGTATTAGGAAGTGGATGAGTGAAGTCGAAGTGTAAGTGAGTTGCGGGTGTGAATTTGCCGAGGCCCCAGAAAAGACGGAGGTGCGAAGGAGTCGAGCGTCAAGGTGGGCGCGAGCGGCGTCATAGCCGAGCAACTCACTCAGAGCCCATCCGAACTCCAACATCATCCTATGTATATGTACAGACGCTCCAAGCAACTTAAAGAAAACGCATTAACAATTGATCCTTATGAAGCGAGCCAGTTGAAGTCTCGCCCTGATGAGTTAACCACCAGGAGAAAGTTTGGCACCGAGAACACAAATAGAAATGATTTCCAAGGCCATCAATTTAAAAGATGAGTTTCCTAGTGTAATATGGAAAAGGCCGGGCAGTGGCAGCACCTCCCGAGCCGCTTCCGTCAAAGTTCCTTGAAGTCCTTCTGCAGAATCCACAGTAAAAGAGTTGCCATTCGAGCATGCAGACTTCCCCCCAAACGCCGTATTTCTGTGCCTTCCCTACCCCCTTCCGTGTCCTAGCCCGTGTCGTTACGACCTATGTACGTTGATCGATCAGTTTTTGTTTGGCCTGCTTGAATAGGCTACACTCATTAAATCTTCCTAGGACGCAGGTTGACCGCCCGCGCCCTCGCAGAATGGATCTGCGACCACTTCGCTGATGTTGGATGACGAGGGTCTTAATCCATCTTCCAATGATTTGTCAGACCACCGTCATGGTCCTCGTTGCCCAGATACAGCTCAATCGCGTACAGGCTCATTGTCGCTGCGACATTCGTCCAACGCCAGACGTTGCCGCCTGGATCGCCCCCTCTCAGAGTCCAACCATCCGGTCCGTCGTTGGTGGAGAAATGTTGTAGGAGCAAGCTCGTGTACATGGCGATGAGGATAGACGGCGAGAAGTAGGTGATGATTCCAAGTAGCCAGTTGGCTGCGTCTGACTCCTCAAGAGACGGCTCTTCCATGAGAGCACGAGCTCCAGACTCGCGTACCGCAGGGATGATGCGGGTAGCGCAGTAAAAGACAAGAAGTCGGAAAGCGAGCGAGATGATGACGGACGGGGTGATGGTCTGGAAAGCGGCGTAAAGAAGACTGAGAGACGAGTGAACGGCGTGGGGGAGAGAGCCGAGCATGTGAAGCAGGGTCGAGTAAGATGCCATGATGATGGGCGGCAGAGGCGGGAAGTCAGGCTGAGACGACTGGTGTTGGTCCGCCTCGGTGGACTCGGAGGGGAGGTAGTCAGTGAAAATTTGGTAGACGCAAAGGACAACGTATGCGAAGAGAAGCGACGACTCGACAGGATTCCCGCGGCCGCTGCCTATGCCGTACGCGCAGAGGAAGAAGGCCGAAGTCATGGTGACGCCAATCAGAATCGCATCGGAGTTGTCGATGTAAGGAAAATGGGCAACGCGCCAGAGGAAGTAGACGGCACTCGCAAGCACGCTGCCAGAGATGACGAGCAGGACGATCTGTTCTGTTGGTCAGCAAGTCCGTTGTATAAGTGCATGCGATTCAACTTTGCACGGCCCTGCCATCACCGAGGCGTTGGTGACAGCTTGGGTCTCACAAAGTCGAGGACAGGGAGGGGTTTCGACGTACAATCCAAGTGTCACTTCGTCCTCTGTTGACCAGCCACTTCGTGATCTGTCCGGCGGCCTGGATGACAAGCAGAGTGCAGAAACCCTCGAGAAGCTGGAAGACCGGACTCGAGTACCTCAGGGTCTTATCCCAACCACCCAAGGTAATGGTCTCGACAACGCCGCCTTCGCCAAACACCCACTCACCCCATGACGTCGACTTGGAGGACGTGAGTCCTTGCAACGTCCGCTCCACCCAGTTGGTAGCCCCGGCATCGACTGCGAAACGACCGAGGGCCCAAATCAGCAGGCCCGGGATGACAATCCACTGCGAAAGACGGAGGATGACGGAGATGGCCCATCGAACGCGCGACTCGGCGGGGGTGACGACGGCGATGGCCGAGTAGACAAAGTAGAAGCCGCAAAGGGCGAGACTGTAGGCCAGGCCACTATCCCTGCCGCCGACATCGAAGGCGACGGGTATGGAAAGCACTATGCTCAGCAGGAAGATGGCACTGGTGACGATTCGGAGGAACCACCACATCGGCGCGACGAGCTGGCTTGCTGGAGCCGCGCCGACAGAGGGGTTTGTTGCTGACGATGGCCGGCCACCTTGGACGGCGAGGCTGCTTGGTAGAGATCGACCGAGGAGAGCGAGGGAGAGGCGGCCGTGGAGTTGTCGCAGTCCTCGAGAGGGTCGGGCTGAGGTTGATGGCGGAGGGATGGAGAGAGCACGCGAGAGCCGACGACGGAGAGGGGACCGAGGGTTGGAGTTTGTTTTCAGGGCAAGTTGGATCGTCTCGTTTCGGGTGTCGATGACTGCGGCAGAACCGTCGAGGCGTACAATGCACAACTTGGAGAGGAAACCGCTGTCGCGTAAGAGAGCGTGGGTTGCGGTCCAGTTGCAGCGGTCGGGAAAGTGGCCTGGGTGATTAAATTCAACCGGGAGATTTTTGGACGAGGTGGCAGGAAGCGGACCCATGGATTGGAGCTTGGGCTTATCGTTCAAGGCGGCTGCTCGCCTAGTTCTTATCTTCACGTGGCGCTGCCTGCTAAGGGACAAAGACCCCCCCGACCTAAGGGAGGGAGTGGGAGTGAGCGGAGGTACCTCTGTAAGCACTTTAGGTAGGCTTGTGAGCGGTGAAGCTGCAGTTCTCAGGCTGATGCGATGTCAAAGCTTCCCCCCCGTCTCGTTTCTTGCTTCTTTCTCGGGTCCTCGCAGACAATGAGGACAAAAGGTGCATGCTCTACTGCTTTGGCAGCCAACAATGAGACCATGATCTGCAACACATGAGGCCACAGGCTGCATGCAACTCACATGCAGAATAAGGAGACGGAGAAAATAATTGAATTTGGTGGGCGAGGAGGACAGCTCTCAGGTCGCGTGCCCCTATCGCAGGCTCCTCCAACTCGATTTCCAGGCAAGATTACCAACAGGTCGGGCCCAGGTCCTAGCAGGGCGGCCTCTGCTCTGGGACCATTGATGAGATCTGGACCTGCCGAATGTGGGCAAAGCCTGGAATCATTGCAGCGGTTATTGCAGCGTTGCAGTCTCTCGAAGAGGCGTCCCTGCAGCTAAACTACGGCCTCCACTTGTTGAGGTGTTGGTGCAATTCTAGGCCCATCTGATATCATCCCTGCTCTTGGCTCCTCCGTGCTTCTCCATCCAACCAGTTGAGCTCCAAGTTGTCTGCATGTGACAGCCAATCATGGGGCCTCTCCGCACTTTGGCTCTGCTTCAACCTCACCTAACCCTCCTTGGACATCACGACTGAACAGCCACCGCAGGTCACCTGGACGCTTTGAAACCCCTCTGCATCCTTCAGTCCGAAGTTGACGGCAAACGCGGACTTTTCGATCAGGTAGCCAGGAGTATTCTTGCAAATGTCTCCTTGTGCTGCTTCGGACCAAAGTCCGTCCCTCAAGAGTCCGTCCCTCAAGACACAAAGGTAGAGACCGCTTCTCTATCAACTCAAAGGCGGTGGGCATAAACCTCGCAGCATTCGTCTCTTGTCATCCGGCATACCCCTTCTTTTCTCACACAAGACGCCAATTGGCACCACTTTTCAAACCAGTTTGCCGCTTCCTTTCGATGTCTTTTGTTTCACTTTTCCACGTTCCCGTTGTCCAGCCTGACTTAGTAAAGTCGGCTGCCACCAAGTTCCAGGGGATGCCCTCCTGACGTCCAATTAACGTCCAAGGAGAGGCGAAGAACTGAGCTTGAAGGGGGCTCATGTCTTGGGGACCGGGATTATAATAGGGAAGAGCAGAAATAACGAGATGGTTCAGAGGTCACCGGAATTCGCTCCGGATTCGCCCATCTCGAACCATTCGACCAGGTACCTTCAAGGACCATGTGCACACACAGCCATGCTGAGAAAGTAGGCAACGGCACTTGCCAGCCTAACTTACAATCACAACAACCAGTCAACCTCAACACTACCTCTCAGAGCCAGGCAGGGCTTGTAGTGTATACTTTCTATTATCGAAGTAGATACGGGTGTCACATAACAAGAAGCACAACACGCATATATGTAATGTGAAATGGACTTTCCGTGAATCTAGTGTAGCCCTATGAGACCGCATCCGTGGTTGGCGTAATTGACTTTTGACCGGCCGATCATTCGAGTGGCGTCGGCCTTGACAGCCAACGGTTTCCTTGTTCACCTATACAATGTATTCAAAACCATGTTTTCGGGGTCGCACAGACGAGTTTCTTCAGCGGCCAGCCATAACTTTGCAGTAAACACATCCTTGTAACGACCATCTAGATGCAACGTCGTCCACCTCAGCAAGTTCATTATCGTCAGACTGAACGTCCTTCCTGGCAGCGAGTGACTCGGCTGTGCACCATCTAGCAGAGGCATGGCAGATGGATCGTCTGGTAGTTGCTGCAGTTCCTACCGGTGGGCATGTCGCTCCCCGTCTGGAGGTACAATTGCCAATAGCTCGTGTCCAATTGACAGACCAAAAAGTTTAGCTCTGCTCGTAGTCGTCAGTATAGCTGCGATGTCAACCTAGCTTGGTAGACGGGTCACATACGGCGGCCCCAAGAGCTGCCCTGCTTGGTGATGATGGTATCCCCTTCGAGCCCCCACGCGTCGGTAGAAGAGGCATTGCTGAATAGTAGCGTCTTGTACGACGTTGCATCGCTCTTGATGCCCAGGTACAGACTCGTGTTGGTGCTCTGGATGGTCCCGGCGATGTTGAAGGACTCGGCTGACGCCTCAGGGCCTAGGACCGGGATCGACTTGTCCTTGGGGTACGCCTGAAGATACAAGTGGTAGACGGGGCTGCTCACGCTTCTGATCTGCTCAGGCTTGCCCAGCACCGTGCCGGCGAGGGAGGCCAGGGCGGCTGAGAGTAGGACGAGGACGCGCATATTGAAACGTTGCTTTGAAACGAACTGCGATCTACAGAAGCCGGGAGCCAAGCATCTGGATACTGGAGCCTCTAGGGGATTCTTTGCTCATATAGTGCTTCTTCAGCCATCTCCTAAGGTGTCAACTTCTCCTTTTTGCGGCCCATGACCTTCCGAAAGTTTACCCGCCCCTTCACTCAATATACTGCGATGGACCGGCACCATGGCAGATCAATATGGCGGGTAAATCAGTTGACATGGGTGATGTTTCCCGCAGTCCAATCCATCGCATCAATGTAACGATGCAGACATCAAAGTGCAATATGTCTCTGACGGCCCGCGGCTTACATAGCCGATCTGGACGCAGCGAAACGGCGGAAATCGGCACGAGGATGTCCATCCTGTCCTGGACCCGGCCCTCCACAATACGAGGTAAGTGCACCTCGCACGACGTGGGGCAAAAACCGAAAAGACGTTGCACGTAAATCATGTACGACGTATCCGTACCTGATCGGACGCAACCGAAACCAAGCAAGGTACAGACCAGAGGTACAGGAAGCTAAGAGGGCGCAGAAACCAGGTTTATCCCGTGTTCTCACAACCCCTTCAGAACTGCTCAAGCTCCGACGCGCAATGATCGAGTAGAACGGCGTACGGAGCCCGTCAGATGAGGGTCTGCGTTGTCGCCGCCATTGGCCGTCCCTTGGCGACGAAAACGAAAACCGATACGCAGTGATACCCGAGAGCCTTTTGCGATATTAGATGAGCCGTGCTCCCATCTCACTCTCTCCATATTCCATATGTATGACAACTGCGCGTGTCTGCGCGTTGACGGATGGTCGCACAAGCTCAGGTCGAGTAAAATGCTTGATGCGAACCACGCAACGCTGGACCCGGGGGGGGGGGGTTGCAGAGGTAGGAAAAGGAACGGCCTGTGGGGATTCTAGAACTTCTCCAATTGCTGTCCCAATGTCCCAAGAAAATCAACCAAGAAATTCGCACCCAAGTTACCACCCTGGTTTGATGGACACTCTGGTTTTCTGCCATCGGAAACAAAAAAACGCGTGCCCCCAACGATTGGCCACAGCGGGGCAAGGGGTCTCATTCCACTTCTCCTCCCCCACCAATACCCGCTGCGCCACAGGTTGCAGATAAGAGTACAGTACAGAGTACCTACATACCTCTGCAGAGAAGGCGACCTTTACACCGCTTCTAGTGTCGAACCCCTTCGTCCTCCCCCGGTGCCACCCCAAGCCCCCCCCCCGACCTCTAAACAGCCCGCCATCAGGAGATTTGCTATTTTCGAGGCGTGATCTTCTTCCCGACAACACTCGATTCGTTTGCGCGCAGAGGGGGAAATACACAACAATCTCATCTACAGAAAAAGCGCACAGGGCCAAAAAAAAAAAAAAACCTCTCGTTCCCTCCACGGACGCTCTTTCTCATCTGCTTCTCGTCTTTACATACATACCAATGACCCAGAGCAGGTGATTGACCTTCGTTTTATCTTGTCCCTTCGCCCCTCCACTCTTGGTCAGGACAGATATATTTCCTCTTGTTCTTCGAAAGGTGCCGTCTCGATCTGCTCACGCGCACCATACGCACACACGCACGAACACACTCATATACAAATCAAACCTAAAAAAAAACCGCAACAATGGCCTCATCCGCCGCTTCGACCGTGACGAAGCCGTCCAAGCGCAAGTCCGCCGTCGCGCCCGCCGCCGATGGCGTTGCCGTCGGTAAGCTGACGGCCGATGCGCCGTCCGCCGAGAAGGACTTCTTCTGGACATACACCGAGGAGCCGCACCGAACCCGCCGGCTGGCCATCATCAAGGCTCACCCCGAGGTACGTCTTCTCACAGCCCCTTCCCGCAACAGCTTCCTTCGAGGCCAATGGCTCGCCGCAGCATTCCCAGACAACTGACAACCCGCCCCTCATCAGGTCACAAAGCTCTGCGGGCCGGAGCCTCTGACAAAGTACGTCGTCGCCGGCGTCGTCGCGATGCAGATCTTCTGGGCCTGGTACCTCTGCGAGACGCCCTTCTTCTCCTGGAAGTTCTGGCTTGTCGCCTACGTTTTCGGTGCCACGGCCAACCAGAACCTCTTCCTCGCCATCCACGAAATCTCCCACAACCTCGCCTTCCGCTCGCCGCTCGCCAACCGCCTCTTCGCCATCTTCGCCAACCTCCCCATCGGTGCCCCCTACAGCGCCTCTTTCCGCCCCTACCACCTCACTCACCACAAGTCTCTGGGCGTTGACGGCCTGGACACCGACCTTCCCACCGCGCTCGAGGTCGTCTTCTTCGACTCCATCCTCGGCAAGGCGTTCTTCTGCACCTTCCAGATCTTCTTCTACGCCATCCGCCCGACCCTCGTCTACAGCGTCGCCTTCACATGGGTCCATTACCTTAACATTGCCGTCCAGCTCGCCTTCGACTACGCCCTCTACACCGCCTTTGGCGGCAACGCCATCCTCTACCTCCTCCTCTCGTCCTTCCTCGCCGGCTCCCTGCACCCGCTCGCCGGCCACTTCATCGCCGAGCACTACGTCTACGAGACCGTTCCTGCCGCCGCCCGCGACGCCGCCAACAACATCCCCGTCCCGGAGACCTTCTCCTACTACGGCCCCCTCAACTTCCTCACATACAACGTCGGCCTGCACAACGAGCACCACGACTTCCCCGCCGTCCCCTGGACCCGGCTGCCCAAGCTGCGCGAGGTCGCCAAGGAGTTCTACGAGGACCTGCCCCGCCACGAGAGCTGGACCTACGTCATCTGGCGCTTCATCCTCGACAAGAACGTCGGCATCACCTCGCGCGTCAAGAGGAAGCAGGGTGGCCGCATCGTCGGTGGCGGCGCAAAGTGGACGCGCGAGGAGATTGAGGCCTGAGGATGGGAGACGTCTTGGTTTAGATTGGCTTTTTCTTTCTTGCAAGATAAAAGTTGAGGATAGAGAAAGAAGGAGTAGCATCCGCATGAAAAGTAGTGTCATTTGTTTTTTTAAATCACTTGAATGGGTGTTGATGACATACCCTCTCGATACGAAACGAGTCAACATTGAAACTCTGTAATCATTATTATTGTGGAACGCGATACATAGATATTGGGAATCATGCCCATTTCATGGTCTTGTTAGATACCACACTGCTGCTGCGAATACGAACAAACGTACATTTAGATGAGCTTGAGCACTGAGCTACGTGACACTTGCTACCGTAGTATTGCGTTGCCAAAAGATCCTCTAATGCCGCGCGTCTGAGGCGGCGTAGGGAAAAGAGCGCAGGTCTCTTTGTCCACCTGTGTTTCTTCTGGTAGAAAAGAGAAACTCCAGCAGAGCTTCCCATGTCAAAGGAATATGTGGTAAATGGGGGCTGAGGGACATATGCAAGGCTTGAAGCTTTTCACGCAAAACACATTCCTGTTTCATTTAGCTCAGAATCTTGATGAACTATATCTCCCTCGGTTGGTACGCCAATCCTCCCGAGCGAAAGCTTGGTAGACAAAAGACAAAGGCAAGTCAGCACCTGTCGAGATCACTTGCAAAAGCTAGGGCAATAATTATGAGATCAGTTATGAAATCAACTACTTCGCGTCCAGGACGCCGGGCCGTTACGACAAAGAGAATCCGTATGGTTACATGTGTGACTGTGACTCCATTCCATGTCAAATCGAGGGTGTTGTTGATGGATGCTCTCCATCCGCCATAAACCCCATCTTCAAAACATCCGCTCGCCGTGCTGTCCTCCTCTGGCTAACAAAAGTGATGGTAGAAGACCAAAGCACCTCCGTACCAGACAGCTCTTCTTCGTAGGTCCTCCAGTAGAAAGTTCGTAGAAAGGGGAATTGTCAGGGAATACCAAGATCAAAAGAAGAAGTATGCAAGCAGGAAGCTGAGAAGGCACAGAATAGCAACCATCTGTACCGAGACGCCGTCAACACCCTGCCTTACCGCCGCAGCAGCTTGTTGGGCGCTGGGAAGCTTCTCGCTCTCCGTCTTGACGCGTTGGCGCAGACCGCTGGTATCTTGCATACTGGCGATCTTGGCCTCGGCTTGGGAAAGCTTCTGCTTCAGCTCGTCGTAGGTGGCCTGGGCGGTGTTGGCGACAACGTGACTCGCGGCGCTGACTGTTGACTGGGCCTTCTCGGAAACGGTGTCATCCTTTACATCGGAAGTCGAGGGGCGGGCAGCCGAACCACTGGGGCTACCAGAGCCATCTGCTTCTTGGCCGGGGGATGAGTAGACGTTCGAGACATCAGGAGTGTAGTCCTGTGGTTTGTCAGTATGGGTATGCGACGTTGATCGGAAAGTCGGAACAAAACGTACGCCGTTAGCAACGGAGTGCCGGTTTGGGGTAGAGGCAACAGCGGAGGCACCAGATGCGTTGGGCGACTGGTCCTCGGCGGCAAGCCAGTTGACGCGAATCTTCCTCTCAATCACGGAAGACTTGTCAGTCTGGTCGAGCTGTTGACCGGACTTGATTAGCCTATGCGCCACGTTTTCGGACCTTGTTATGGGGTCTGTTCTCACAATGTTGGCAATACTCGCGAACTCCTTGTCGGCAGTGATGGGGACGGACTGGACGAGGAACTTGTCGCGGCATTTGGTGTCGAGAGGCGGCTCCTGCTTCATGGCCTGGAGAAGGACTTGTTGCTGTCAGTTGCATGTGACCACCTGGCAATTGCGAGCTGCGTACCGGTAACCTCCACATCTTGTCCAGGTTCGACACGACCCGAGTTGGGGCGAACGCAGTACCTGGAGAGGTCGTCAGTCGCTTACGAGGGGCTGCACGGGGTGCAAGGTATCGTACTGCTTCGGGGCGGTGGTTTTGACCTGGTCGCATGTCCTGTGAGCGGAGAGTGATCTGACAACCGAGGAATTAGGCGGTGACGTACCTTGAAGGCGATGGGGGTCTGGTTCGGGTTCTTGATCCGGAGGATCTGAGCGACTTCGACGGTAAAAGGCCCTAAAACAGGGATTGTGAGCATGAGGCGATAATGTTGATTGCGCGTAGGACGGTCTTACGGCGGAAGCTCAGCTCGGCGGGCTCAATGTCGACAGACATGGCGAAAGTTCGGGGGGTCCGGGAGAGTGATGCGAGAGCTTAGGGTACGGGTAAGGAGACTGGAAGATCTCGGCGCATTCAACGCAGGCCTCGGCCTAAAAAGCAGAAGCAAGGAAAAGAGAATTTGTGAGAGAAAGGTGAGGGGAGAAAAGTGTCGAAAGAGTGTTGCGCGCGGGGCGATATTAGAAAAGGCGCTGGATTGTAAGGTAGGTAAGGCAGGGTCAAGGTTTCTGAAAGTGTTCAAATGGAAGGAAGGAAGAAAGGCAGGGTTAAAGCAGGTGTTTCGCACGCAAGAGCCCACGACGTAATACACACCAACGTAACCAACGGTAGCAAGACCTGGGCTGGACTCGATTGGGATAAGGAGGATGCGCACACAGTCCGCCTCTGAGCAATCCTGTCCAAGAGTCCAGGCCAGGTTTCATTAAGGTGCACTCTAGCCCCTAGCGGTCGGTCAATCAGAGTTGCGCGCTGGGGCCCTCCACTGGCAAGCTGCTCAAGGGGACAAGGGGGTTAATCCGGCTCCGGGGGTGTTTGTCCACTAAATGGAAACTCAAGGGACCACTTGCTCTTGGCCTCCGAGGTGAAAAGGTACTTTAGACGAGATGACTGCTGGGGAATACGTGGGTGAATGACTATATACAACTGCTTCCCTCTCTCGTTAAATGGAGCTCTGAAGTCTGGATCAGCTGGTCAATCGAGAAGCAAAGACTGCCACAGGAATGTGGAAAGGGTAATAGAGAAGAGAGCGTATTAGTCAGAAATGCAAGGCAGGGTACAAGATGAGCGGCCCAGTGTCCGTGTTTTCGGTCCCTCCCGCGCGCTCCAGCCACTGTAAGGAAACAGCCCCTCTATCCACAGCTCGGAGAAGGCACCTACAGATGACGTCTCGCAAACGGAAACGACTCAGATCACTGTTTCCCTTGCCTCCTGCATCTTTGGCAACAACAAACCAACGCTTATTCAAAGACGCATCCGAATCTGATTGACCACTCCAGAGACAGATAACCCCATACATATATCCCTTTGAACACGCGTCATTCGTGTTTCCGGGCTTCCCCAAACCTCAGCTCTCATTGACATCGCCTCAACAGCCACCAACAACCCCGCCACTCAAGATGACCCAGTCTGATCTCGACCAACTGCTCGACATGGGCTTTGAGAAGGCCCGGGCTGAGCTGGCAGTCAAGAAGACAGGCAACTGTTAGTTCCATCTCATCTCACCAGGCCGTTTCCCGAGAACAGCCTCGTTGACAATACTCACAGTGAACGGAGCTCTTGAGTGGCTCGAGGCGAACCAAGATAAGCCTCTCGATGAGCTCACTGCCGCCGCCGCCAGCACCACCGCCAAGGACGACGATGATGATGCAGGCGAAGTTCAGGCCAACATCGATGCTCTCGAGAGCGGTGCCACCGCAAAATCGCTTGTTTGCAATGAGTGCGGCAAGCGCTTCAGATCGCAGGATACTGCCTCCTACCATGCGACCAAGACGTGAGTTCCCGCCTCTCATCCTTGCCGTTTTTCACCCTTTGTGTGCTCTCTCGACGCTAGTTCTGTCTTCTTGGCAACCCTCGGCGATTGCAGCCATGTTCACATCGTTCACTATAAACACAAGTACTGACGTATAGCAGGGATCACACCGACTTCTCGGAGTCCACGGAGGAGATTGCCCCGTTAACGGATGAGCAGAAGAAGGCCAAGCTTGCCGAGCTGCGCGAGCAGCTTAAGGAGAAGAAGGCGAAGCAGGCCATCTTGGACAAGGAGGAGGCCAAGCGCAACGAGAAGATCCGCATGAAGGCGACTAAGGAAACCCAAGAAGCCAAGGAGGAGTTACAGCGTAAGGAGCAGATTAAGGAGGCTGCCAAAAAGCGTCAAGAGAAGCAGGATGACCTGGAGGCGAAACGCCGCATCAAGGCTAAGATTGAGGCTGACAAGGAGGAGCGTCGCCGCAAGGCGGAGGAAGCCAAGGCCGCAAGAGAAGGCAGAGCTCCGGAGCCCGGTCCCGTCGCCGCACCATCCATCCCGAAGACCACCGCGAGCCACAACGAGGCTCGCTTGAGGCTGCAGACATCGGGCGGTAACATCCTGAAGACCCTTCCCGCCGAGACCACCCTATTTGAGGTGGCCCAGATGCTCCAGTCCGAGAACGGCTTGGAGGTCACGAGTTTCTCGACTACGTTCCCCAGGAAGACGTTTGAGGGTCACATGGATCTGAGCAAGACCCTGAAGGAGGCTGGCCTTACCCCTAGCGCCGTTCTCATTGTCAAATGAGTGTACCATACGGTGTTAACGATCAGGAACTAAGGGGCTGCATGGACTGGCGTTGGTGATGTAGAAATCAGGAGAAAAGACGTGATAGCGCGTCATGAGAACCAAGAATCGACACGAGCTACAAGTTTTGTCACTCAGCTTGACACAATTGGGTTGTATTGTCATCCTTTGTGGATCCCATTCGGATCGCCCCCTCTATAACGAGAGGAGCACCACATACAGATTGGTTTATAGAGGATTGAGAAAGTCACTGATAGGCATTGGTTGGGCATTGTTTAGCTTCCCACAGTCAAAAATGGCCATTCGATCGACAACTGTCTTGACCCGAACCCGACGCTCAACTCGGAGCGCAGAGATAAATCTGAATGGCCATAACTGAGGCGGAAAGGTCAATAATGACATGGGACCAGGCATCAGGTCAAGTAAGCCATGCCGTGCTCCTCGTTCACGAACTTCCTTGCCCAGGGAAAGCCGCCATATGCTGGTGTGGTTGCTACGTCGATGACGTAGGACAGACATTGCCAAACCCTGATGCCGAAGATATTACATGACGGAAACCCAGAGTGATCACGAGTCACAAGAGGCAAGGCACCAAGGATTGAATCATAAGCCATTCCTGCTCAAGCTAAGCTGGTGTATCATGTCGACGTACGCGACTCACTCCGTCAAGAGGCGCCGCGCGTATGTCCCGGTATGTTCAAAGCATGCCAAATTCCACTTTCATTTTTTGAGGATGTCCAGTGAACTCCGCGTAGAGAGCGTCTTCACATTATCGTATGAGAGCTACTCTGTCCAGGCAGCAGGATATCGTGCCTCCACCCAATCCTTTATGATCGCGCGAATCGTAGAACCCCCGGATCCATGCAGTTGAAGTTACAAAGGGAAGGAAATCGTCGAGGAAATCGCTTAGTCGAAGAGACCGAATCCCATGTCGTCGTCGGACTCCTCCTTGTCTGTAGATGGGTGTCAGTATATACGTGCCTGATTGGGGACTGGATTAAAACATACCCTCCTCCTTCGGTGCCTCCTCAGCGGCAGCCTCAGCAGCACCGCCAGCAGCGGCAGCACCACCGGCAGCGGGGGCGGCAGCGCCACCACCGGAGCCGACGTTGGAGAGCAGGTCCTTGACGTCCTTGCCCTCAAGAGCCTATATGGTTCCTCAAATCAGCCTTCCAAGTTCCTCGTCGGGTCGGTGGGAAAAGTGCGTTGTCGCGTCGTACCTTGGCGAACAGAGAGGTCCAGATGGGCTCAACGTCCTCGATCTTGGCAGCCTTGATCAGGGTCTGGAGCTTGTCGGCCTAGTAAACACCATCACTGTTAGTATTCGTTCGAGTCGGGATAATTTGTCTGGTATAATTTTCGTGGCGGGGTGGTTTGTGTGTTCTCGGGGCGACGCACAGTGATCTCGACACCATCATCGGCGAGGATGAGGGCCGCGTAGGAAGAAGCGAGCTCGGCGGTCGACATTGTGACTGATTTGGGGGGGCGTTTGCGACTGGAGGTTGACTTCGCGGATGGTGAGTGTGATTGTCGAAGGAGCAGTCAATATGGTATCGCGAATTCATTCCACGGTCGAAATTTGGCAGGGCTTTCAAGACCTAATTTTGCTGTCGGCGGTTTTTCGGTTAAAGTAAGTGCCTTTCCGACGGACCCGTTCTGCAGTGCCTATGATTGGGCGAGGGCCCGAGCCAATGGGATAGCAGATCGACGGCCTGGGCTGCTCCGGCCTGGCCCCCGCTGCCGTCGGTAGGTATCACTTGGGTCATGCCCCACATCGATACCTCGATTTGACTTTCCAGTGTCCAGGCGTGACAGCACCAGGCCAGTCGACCCCACCTTATCTACTGTAGTGCACTTATCGCAAGCACCACTTACTGCTGCAGTTGACGTGCACCCTTCCATTGGATTCCGGACCAGCTGGGCTACCTTACGACCGCGCGCATCATCCGTATTTACACCACTCACCTTACATACTCATCCACGCACACGTACTTGCGGATGCCACGGGAGACATTCTTTGTCACGGATATCTTACCAATACAATCCTGGCCTCTTCAACAGCCCCCAGTGCAGCTGGAACATAGCCGGCAATCGGACTGACCTTGAATTCCTAGCCCCGCTATCGTGCTTCGTTGAATGTTGGAGCATTGGCAAACCTACAAGGGTACTGACAACCAACGTAAGAGGTGCATGCCTTGGCCGTCCATGATCGCGAACAGCCGGCAACTACCCTTATTCCAACTATACAATCCTCCCAGCAACCAGCGCCCATCGTAAACTACGTTACGCAAGATGGATACCCCTACATGCCCCCCGCCACGGGACGACCGCGAGAAGGAGATTCTTGAGAGGCTCGTTGCGATCCGCGACAGACTGCAGCTGCTGAAGCAGGATCGCACGACGTACGTTCGCAGTCAGGATGTCCTCCCTCTGTACGAAGAAACCATCGAACAGGTTCGCCAACTCAACGAGTGTCGGTCGTCTGACCGAAGGGAGGAGAACAGAGGTATTGCGCTATCGCCGCGACTGTGCGGGGTCAACGGCTAACCCGCACTACAGTGGACAGAGTGTTGGAGAGCTGTTTCCAGCTCTTGTCGCTCTTCTTCATGACGATCGGTCGAAACAACGAAGCCCCAGCCGCCTATGCCTTGACATCCACCATCAGGAGACTGTTGGATCACCTTACCGAGGTCGACCTGTACTCGGCCAAAGACCTAGAGAGCCTGTCGCACACTCTGACGAAGCTGGCGCACAACGTCAAGTCCACCGAAAACGAATACTCGCCATATATCATAACTCTACTGTCGAACAGGCTAGAGCTGTGTGAAAAGTCGCTGGCCAATCTCAGAAAACGCCTGGAACGTCTCGAGGACCCCCTGCCGAAGACGTACGAGAAGCTGATCTCTATCCTAAGATCAATGTCTCTAGCAAACACGCGATCCAAGGTAGGTTTGGTGCTCAGAAGGATGTAATACAATGTCTGACGCCGAGCAGTTCTCGTCATCCGAGGTCCAGAAGCTACAAGCTCAATTACGCGAGATCGACGAACAGAGCAAGGAAGGCAAGTTCGTGACTGCGGACGGAGGCGTCCCTGCTGGAAGCGAAGAGATGGCTGCACTCTTGGAGAAATGTCTACGATGGTCCGATGTAGTGCTTGAAAGGTACGACTCCAGCTCATCGCGAAGAAGTACGCTGCTGACTCTGTCCTTAGAAGAGGAGTGATCCCTGAGTCGTTCAGGCCGACATACGACATTCTTTTCCGTATCCGCAACGAGCTCGAAAAGCTGTCTATTACGCAAGCGTGGTCTCTACGTGAAGCAGACCTCTTCGACTTCCAGAGGCAGCTGGACAAGATCGACGAGAGTAGAATCAACGGCAACTGGCTGGACGACGACGGCAAACCAGCCGAACTCTACGTTCAGCGTGTAAGTGAACCTGTCCACCCACGTCGGATCTCAGCTGACTTTCTTGGCAGACGCTCCTTTATCTCATTAGAAGAAGCTACGCCTATATCTACTCGCTTATGATCTCCTCGGAACCAGTGTCCGAGGCCTTGTTACCGATTTACAATCAGCTGCAAACTCTCAAGAGATGCTTGATCGAGGTCAAAAACAGCGGCGGTGTCCAGTCTGTCAGGGAGCTGTATCCCTACAGCATGAAGGTGTGTTACTCAAGCCCAATATTTAGTCACGAGATGAGACTAACGTGTACTGTAGCTTCACTCGATCGACAATATGCGTCAAGACGGAAAGTTCATGATCAACAACGATATTCCGGAAGGACAGGGCAGTGTCAGCGAGCTTCTCGCCGAGTGTTTCGAGCTTAACTATGAACTCAGGGTCGCTGCTGAAGAGCAGGCTGAGGCTTAATGATGGGCGTTGACTTTGCTTTTTGGGGCGTAAACGGACTAGCGATTGTATCGTGTCGGTATTGGGTTCTCTAACTGGCCACTGCCACTGTCAGGACCGCAGTCTAATGGGAAAGGTTAAACGGGACGAGGCAAACTCAAGTGTATTCAAATACGGACCAATGACATGATTTCTCGACCCCTGTGGAGCGTGAGCTCGAGCTTCTGCGACATATCGGATGGCACCTCAGCCGACAGTAGTGCAATGTGCCCTGACGTTCCATCCCGACTCAGCGGCTACTGGAAGTACATCAAGAGTTCAGATGCACGAGCACGAGTACATCATATCACGTCGTAGCGTGGCCATGACCAGGCTCACAAGCCACGACTGGGCTCTGTCACGGTCCTTGACGCCCCTCTCCGCGTAGACGTCATTTGTCAGCATCTTCATGCTCTTTCCTCCTTGACCTCGGACACGCACACGACGGTGCTCCCGCTGACCCTGAGGGTTGTAGGCTTGTCGTCGTTGGGAAACTCGTAGAAGAGGTGACCAGATGCCCCCCTCGAGGACAAGCCTCATGCATACCGGAGGCACAGCAATCATTAGCCATGAACCCATCAAACGAGGACAACGGTGAGCTATTAATATTGACCTCGTCTGGTCGCGTGATTGGGCATTGGAACTCTCTTCCCCACGTCAGATAAGGGAGTCCTTTCGATACTGCCCCGCGGATGGGAAAGGAAAGCGCCCAGGTAGGCCTTGAAGCCTTTGGAGGGAATGTAAATGACAAGGAGCGGGAGGGGAGCGAGAGAGAATCGTCTCTACAAGTTGGCGGTCAAAACATTCCGCTTCATGAGGACGTGCCCCGTTACCCCGCAAGACAGGCTGACCTAAAAGGCCACTGAGACATCAAGATTGAGGATATGCATTGGAGAGACCATGGAAATGGAACATTGAGAATCTAGACCGTCGGCTCCTCGACCCCAGCTGCAGGAGCCGACAAGGACAAGGCAGGCTGGCGGTTGGAGCTGTGGTAAAGCGACGAACACCATTCTTATCCGCGGACTGGTGAAGGAACATGCTCTCTTGCTATTCTAGAAGGACGCTGCTGGCTATCAAAGCGTTTTCTAGACTTGAAGAAAAAGAAAGGGGGGGGTCCAGCTCAGTTTGATGGTCTATTTAAAAAGGTTGAAGCATAAGGAAGAAAACATGTGAGAGAGGGTGGGAGGCGCAAGATGCCCGTTTACAACTCCAGGCTCGACCCCTTGGTATTTTCCGGAGTGCGAGACTGAAAACAGGTTGACAACCAGCCCCGTGTTGTTGAGTCACCAAGTCCCGTATTCCCGGCACCATCGGCCCCGGAAGGGGGAAAAAAGGCTGAGAGGCTCCAGAGCTGAGCTTCCATCAATCCCCAGGAACCCCGGCCCAGGTCCCAACACTGCGGGAACCCACGGCGGGTCCAGCTGGCTACAGTCGGCTCACGCAAGGTTCGCGCCCCTTCGCGCATTCAAGCTCAACCCCGAAGCTCCTCCTGCTCCAGGGGCCCCTCAGAACAAACAGGCCCCTGCATGGCGCTCTATGTCATCATACAGCGCCCTTGGGGGGGGGGGTCGTCGTTCACCCAACGGGCCTACGCCGGTTATCGGACTAGCCGAACCCTTTCGTAGAAGCCGTCTTGTGATGCGGCCCGCTCCACCGAGGCATCGATCCATGTCAGGCCAGAACGGAGCGATACCAAGCTCTGTCAGTAGTGCGTATGTACCCGGAGTGGTCAATGGCCAAGCGGTCTTATACAGCTTCGAGGAAGAGCGAAGCGGCGGCGGCGGCGGCGACGAGGCTCCATCGGTGCCCGTATCTAGTGACCTATTGTATCAGTCATAGAATCACTCATCAAATGGCGCGAGACATTTTTTCTTGATATAAAAGGTGTCTGGGGAGGTTTGAAGAACCAGAGGCTGCCCACTATCTTGCTTTTGCTGTCTACTTAAGAGACTCGGGACTATCCCTTGCATCGTTCATATACCATTGACATATCATCTCACCGACTGAGGTCTCACAACTACATACCACACATCTGAACCCCAAATCCACACACAACCTACGCTCGCATACAACCTATCCAGCCGATATCAACCTGCACATCAATTCTCACAAGCCCTTTACACACATCCCATAACCCATTCACTCAACAACGAACAAACACACTTGACAACCGGAAGCAAATGACAATCAAGCCAATGTCCACCACGGAAGAATCCGCGCATAAGCGCAACGCCTCGGCCACCAGCGCCGTGCAAACCAGCCCTCCCCCCGCGAAGCGCCCCTCCGTTCCTAGCTCCTCCGTCACCGCCCTGCCCCCGCGCGCCGCGAGTTCCCGCACGCCGTCGCCCTCCTGCTCTACCGCGACGGCGGCGACGACGTCTCCTCGACGACGAGCGTCCTCGGAGTCTACGCCGGCCTCGCGGACGCCAACGCCGAGGTGCGCAGGCTAGCTCAGGACCAGGGCGTCAAGGTCGCCGGCGAGGCTGCGGCGAACGACATCAACCCCGTAAGGTGGGACGCCCCCGACGGCACGTCGTGCTGGGTCGAGATGCACGCCGTCAAGCCCAAGAGCTTCCTGCCAAAGACCGCGTCCGGCGGGTCTTCGCCGGCGGAGCAGCAGCAGCCGAAGAAGCTGTACGATGCCGAGGAGGGGGAGGATCCGGATCTTGACGACGACCAGGACGAGGGCGGGCACTACGACTAAGGATCCGTTGATGTCGTGCTGCCACGGAGAGGAAAGGGAGGTTATTTCGATTGGCGCCTGGGAAGTTAACCCCATTGTGCTGCGGGCTTGGTTGGCGCAAGGGTTCGGCGGACGAACGAGTTGATGAGCGGGATGGATAATTCATGACTTGGTTTATAAGTTTCGCGAAACGCGGCTTGCTTGATGGTTTTTACGAGTCTTTTCCCTGATAAAGTGTGTATATTTTTATGCGATGGATGGCGTTTATAGATATTGGAAGTCCCTCTATCCTATCCCTTCTAGGTATCTAACAAATCTCTCTTCTCTTGCTCTAAATATTTGCCATGCTGCTGGGAAATTTACGAGCACTCTACTCCCATACAGCCATTCAGGATGAGTAGGTCTAAATTGGCGTGGACCCAGGTCAGTATTTACAACTTGGCCTTGGGTGCCTCTTGCTGCTGCATCTTCTCGGCAACGATGCGGCGCTGGATCTTGCCGGTGGCCGTCTTGGGCATCGTCTCAGTGAAGTAGATCTAAAGCCATGAGTCAGTACGTCATAACAGCAACGAAAGGTATTACTCACCTTCTTGGGGACCTTGAATTTGGCCAGCTTCTCAAGCACCCACTTCTTCAAGTCGTCGCCCTTAAGCTGCTGCCCTGGCTTGAGAACGACAGCCACACCAATGTCCTGGCCGTACAGGTCGTCAGGAATGGCGAAGCTGACGGCCTCGGAGACGGCGGGGTGGCGCGTAAGGACGTTGTCGAGCTCGATGGGGCTGATCTTCTCGCCGCCCTTGTTGATGAGCTCCTTGATGCGGCCCGTGATGATGATGTAGCCGTCCTCATCCTTCTTGCCCTGGTCGCCCGTGCGGAAGAAGCCGCCCTTGGTGAAGGATGATGCGTTGGCACTCTCGTTGTTGAGGTAGCCCTTGGTAACGTTCTCGCCGCGGATGCAGATCTCGCCCTCCTGACCCTGCGCGAGCTCGTTGCCCGCCTCGTCAAGGATGCGCACGTCGACGCCCTGGCCGAGACCCACGGTGCCGGGCTTGCGCTTGGCGGGGGGAAGGGGGTTAGAGGTCATCTGGTGGGCAGCCTCGGTCATTGCGTAGGCCTCAAGGACGGGGGCCTTGTACGTCTCCTCGAGCTGGTGGAAGACGGTGGGCGACAGCGGGGAAGAGCAGGAGCGGATGAAACGGATGTTGGGCAACGGGTTAGGGGTCGGGTTCTTGAGGAGAATCTGGTGGATAGTAGGCACGGCGGTGTACCAGTTGGCCTTGTGGGCAATGAAGTCTTCCCAGAACTCGGTGGCAGAGAACTTGGACGGGACGACCATGGAGCCACCGCAAGCCAGGGGTGCGAGGAGACCGCACAGAAGACCGTGGACGTGGAAAAGAGGCATGACCAGCATCGTACGGTCCTTGTTCGTCAGCTGATAAGTGTTCTGAATGTTCTCTGGGGGCCGTGTTAGCCATGGATTTCCAACATCGATTCAGACTCAGACCTACTCATCGTTCTGGTCAGGTTGCGGTGTGTTAGAGGCACCTTGGTTGTGTTAGTCCATCAAGTTTCTGAAGTCCAGTTCACGAGTATGACTTACGACTTTGGGCCTGGAGGTTGTTCCACTGGTGTGCAGCACCAGGGCAACGTCGTCTGCTTCGGCTTTCAACGCCTTCTCAGGTCCCTTGCCCTTGAGCTGACCCAGATCCTTGACATCCAACACGACCTCCTTCTTGGACTCATCCCAGTACGTCTCGGCAACGGCAGCGTTGAACTTCTTCGCAGCCTTTACGGCGGGGGCACCAGCAGCATATGCGCCCTTGGGAACTAGGACGATGGCAGACTTGACGTCCTCGATGTAGAACTCAAACTCGTCTTGCTTGTAGGCCGGGTTCAGGGGCGCGGCAATGCCACGCTGCCATGAGGCGGCCAAGAAAGACACGATGAACTCATACGAGTTGACGGTCGCAATGGAGACGGGAGAACCACGTGTGATGCCGATAGCGGCCAGCTTCTGCTGGAAGGCCGAGGTCTCCTTGACTAGGTCGCCGTAGGTGACGGTAAGAGGGTTGGGCTTGGACGGCACGATGATGGCCGTCGAGTTGGCCGGGCCATTGATGGCAGTTTGAAGAGTCAAAGCCATCTTTGCGTATACTTTTGCAGGTCTCTTACTTTATTGGAGGACAGGGTATGGCTCAATACGTCTGAGGCTGGGCGGCACTTGAGAGATGCGACCACCAGCGAGTTCGGAGTAAATTTGGGGTGAGACGAGGCGACGTGAGCCAATGTAGGATCAGATGAATGGGTTTCAAAGCTGCAGCCCCAATAACTAACTCAAGGAATTAGACTTGCGACAAGCGGTCCTTCAAAGAGCTTATACGATTGGTTCCGTTCAACGGTGTATTCGATGGCAAATGATACAAGACAAGTTAGAAGACAGGTAAGAAAAAGTTGAGGCACAAATGGTCGACTGATAGGGAAATCTGACTAGGTCGATGATGTGCTCGGGGCCAGCCCGGTCTGGGCCAAGCCAGATTACCCCGGTCGCACTTCCTGCCCACTGAATCACTTGCCCACTCCATTACCTGCCCTCCAGCGTAATGCCCAGATCAGTGGATGGCTCGTCCCCCCGTGGGAACGGGAAAACACGCTAGGTACGCTTGCGCGGCGGGCTAGGCGCTGTGCCGGACCGCGCAGGGGATGGGTTTCCAGTGGCCCAAATGCCCCAATGCCCCCTCAAAGGTCACCCAGGCGCTGAAACCTAGGTGCGCCGGGCTCCGCCTGTTGGACGGAAGAACGGCAGTCCAAGCAGACTGGTGGGTTACAGTGAGGTTTCCCGTCTCCATGTGGAGCAGTGAGTGGGGCTGCAGCTCTGCAGCTTCAACTTCGATAGCAACACAGGCTGAGAGGACACTGCGACTTCTTTGCGACACCTCGAGGATTCGCTCACCATCCTCGTCCGTCACGAACCACGCTCCCATAAACGAATCGTCACGGCTTCGTCTACGACATTAATCTCTCAGCATAACTCCGCCGCCTCGAACCCGAGTTCAATGGCAGCGCCGCCGCCCCCTCCACCTCCCCCGGCACGAGGCGGCCTGTCCCTATACGCGAACCTCCTCGACCCGGCTGCCGATTCCTCTTCGGCCACGATCTCGAGCGCGCCAGTCCGCTACAATCAAGATGGCACCGTCGCCGACGCAAGAGACGAGGCGGCCGCCAAGAAGCTCATAGATCCATGTACCCCATCGCCCTCTTAAGCTCCTTGACCTCGTTCGCCTACAGAAAACTTACCACCTCGCCCCTATCCAGCCCTCCGCTTCCAGCCCATCCGCAGACCGCAGGCCAAAACGGCAAAGCCGAAGCCGACCTTCCCCAAGACGATACCCGGCGCGAACACCTCGGCAGCAGCATCGACAACACCGTCACCCGCCTCCGCGCCCTCGGCTGCAGCCCCGCAACAGCCCCCGCCGCCAAAGAGCACCCTCGCCGACTGGGCCGTCACCGAAGAGGACGAATGGCGGTACAGCGCTAATGCTGGCGGCGACAAATCCCACCAGCGTGGTGGCCGCCGAAAGAAGAAGAAGAAGGGCCACAACGACCAGCCGGCCGAGACGAACTGGGACGACATCTACGACCCGACCAAGCCCACGAACGTCGAGGAGTACCTCCGCAGCGACGAGCGCATCCGCGAGGTGCAGGAATGGAAGAGGCTGCTCTACCGCCACCGCAGGCACAGGAGCTCGACCGAGGACAGCGAGAACGAGCCGGGCCGTCGGCCGGCAACGAGTAAGCTTTCCCGGGATATCATTGCGTTGCCAGTAACGGACCATAACTTACACCGTTCCAGATCAGTTCGCGCCGCCGCCCGAGTACTCCTTCGTCCCTCCGCCCCCTGCCTCCCCACCACCGGCGCCTGCAGCAAGGGCCCCCGACGATGCGACCGGAGACGACGTCTACGCCCGCCGTCTAGCCCTCTCCGGAGCTGCACCGCCACCACCCTCCGACGCTAACCCTCCTCCTCCACCGCCGCCGCCGGATGCAGCGACTATATCTCGCGCCCCCGTCCGCTACACCCCGTCCACGGAAACCAAACCGGCACCAGAAGAAGACTCCGACCGGGACTCCCCTCCTCCAACCCTCGGCCTCGGCGCCACCCCCACTGCCGACGACGAACCAACGGCCCCGCGCTCCTCCCGCCCAGGCCAAGCCGGCTTCGCCCAGCGCCTCATGAGCAAATACGGCTGGACAAAGGGCTCGGGTCTTGGTGCCGACGAGTCTGGCATCGTCAACCCGCTGCGGGTGCAGGTCGAGAAGCGCAAGAAGAGATCCGACGCCGAGGGCGGCGGCTGGGCCGAGCCCGCGAACCGCGCCAAGGTTCTCGGCGGGAAGCGCAAGGACGACGGCGGCGGCAAGTTCGGCGGGCCCATGAGCGAGGTCATTGTGTTGCAGCAGATGCTGGATAACATGGAGGACCTGCAGGGCGAGATTGCGAACGGGTTGGGTCAGGAGATTGGGGAGGAGTGTGGTGAAAAGGCAAGTTTGGCTTCCACCTGCCTCCACCCCACAGCTTGGGAATATAACAATCTAAGTGCTGACTCTCCGCGAATAGTACGGCCGTGTCGAGCGCTTATACATTGACGTGGAGAACCGGCAGGTCTTCATCAGGTTTACGGACCAAGTTTCCGCACTTCGGGTAAGCTCTCCTCGTTGTTTTGGTTTGATATATATGACTGACTCGAGCTATATTGCAGGCTGTCAACGAACTGGATGGACGAGTCTTTAACGGCAACACCGTAGTGCCTAAGTTCTATGACACGGAAAAGTTCGAGAGGGGTGTCTATCGATAGTGTAACGCCAACACCAATACCGATTGTTTCATCAGATTACATACACGCTGTGCTTTGTCGGCTCATGAGTATTGCTTATATGGTTCACAGGCAGTCCATGGCATGGGTTGGGACCCGTTGTCATTGTACACTTCGTCTTGTTCACATGCAAAGGCTTGCCTCATCACATTGGCGAAGTTTGATAACACGAAAGAGTAGAAAAAAGGTATACACATCATGGATCTTCAATACATACCACAACCACTCTCTATCTTCGTTGCCTGGTATCCTCCCTGCCCCATCAATCTCACGCTTCCGTCAGATATCTGCCATCCCACCCCCGCTCGTGCTTGGCCCACCCTACCGTCTAAGCTCCGGCATGCCGCTCGACCAACCCTATCCCCAGTGTAGTCCAGGCGGATTATTTCGGGCGCGACATAGTCGGTGCCAAGCGAATAGGCAGCGACGACGCGATGCGTTGGCCTGTAGGTGCTTTTGGTTCGTCACGCAAAAGGGAGTGAAAAGTTGACTAGGGTCCGGTACATCCCAACCCATCGTCCAATATTAAGTCTAGAGGTTCTCCCGTACGTAGGAGATTCCCAGTCTAGGGAATGCGTGGGGGTTTTCGCAAGCTGCAAAAACAGAATTGCAGTAAAGAAATTGCACAAACAGTGAAAGATGTATGGAGAACGCCACCATTATCCGAGCCCATGTTTTCCGGTGTCAGTCTCTTACAAAAGCTGGGCAAAGCCAAAGAGGAGGGCAGCGCCGAGAATGGCGGTGTTGACGGAGACAATGCCAGCAGCACCATCGGAGCCGCTACCGTTCTTGGAGCCACCAGCGCTGCCGCCGTCGGAGTTACCATCCTCGTTGGCCTTCGTGTTGTTGGAGCGGCACTTGTAGTCACCCTGGATCTGGCGGCCCTCCATCTTGTTGAAGACGTCGCAAGAGCTGTCAATGTCGCCGGTGGACTGGGTGTCGAAGGCACCCTTGACATCCTCAAGAGCGGGAAGGTCGACCCTGTAGAACGGTTAGTCATTGAATCGCAAACTGTCCGCTGTAGATACTTACTCAGTGAAGTTGCCGCGGAGGAGGACAGCACCACCAATCTGCTTGAGCTTGGGAAGGCCGTCGATCTTCTGGAGGAGGGTGTTGTTCTGGATGGTAAGACCACCGCCGGTCTTCGCGAGCAGGGGCAGAGACAGGTTGGTGAGCTCAACGTTGTTGATGAAGGAGACATCACCGTCGGTCGTCTGGGTCAGGTTGGGGGCAATGAACGAGGTGAAGGTGTTCTTGTCAAACTTGATGGAGCCGTTGACGACTTCGAGGGAGTCCATCTCGACCTTAGCGGCATCGGCAATGATGATTTCGCCAGCCCAGATGAGGTTGGGGAGGGTGATGCCCAGGTCGGGGCCGTTCGAGTTGATCTCAATGGTCTTGGTGGCGTTGGCCAACTGGTTGCTGTAGGAAACCAGCTGGTTGTTGTTGTTGATGCGGAGGGAGTCAACGGAAGCGACGTTCAGGCCGTCCAAGCTCTTGAGGAAGGTGTCGCTAATGAGGATGTCGTTAACCTTGGTGACACCGGCGGTACCGAAAACAAGGGAGCCGAGGGCGGGCAGAGTGACCCAGTTGATGGAGCCAACAGTCGCGAGCGAGGTGAACTGAAGGTTGGAGAGGACAGTCAGGCCCTGCATCGTGAAGCTACCCTCAACGGAGGCAAGGGTAGAGCTGCTGAGGCCAACAAGCTGAGTGACGTTGGTGACGATCAGGTCGCCCTTGATGGTCTTGGGTCCATTGATGTCGATGTTGCCGGTGATGTCCTCAGCGATCTTGACGGCGCCGTTGATGGTAGTGCAAGGGATGTTGGTGGCCATGGCGGCGTCGGTAATGGTGACGGTTGCTGAGGAGCAAAGACCGGTGCTCTGGGCTTTGAAGTACACAATGTTGTCAATTTGACGTCTCCTCGGAGAGCACAGAGCGAGAGGCAGAACTTACCAGACACAACGCCGGCACCGAGGGCCGCGAGGGCGGTGATGACCTTGGAGTACATTGTGATTGATCTGGACGCTGTGGTCTCGGGGTCAGCGGGCTTGTAAAGAAACAACGGCTCGAGATGGCAGTTTGACAAGATAATAGAAGTGTTGATTTCGGGGGTGATTGAAGTTGGAGCAAGCTACTCCAGGTCGATAACGTTGAAGTGGTGGTCCAAAAAAAAAAAGGGCAGCGCGGCGATGCTTATGAGAAAAGGCCAGGGAGTAAACCGAGTCAACTCTGGGGGCTCAGATGGGTTTGGATACCGGGCCTCGTTGTTTCTTGTGTTTCTGAGGGAACCTGCGAGCGTCTCCTTTTCCCGAGATTCTTGACGATGGCAAGACGAGCCAGTGGTGGCAAGAGCTGGGGATAGAGAGGTGGGAAGGGATGGGAATTGGGCACGGGGCTTGGGGCAAGAGGTAGGAAGAATTCCAAGACGCGGCCAGCAATGGCTGGAGATTTCCTGCCGAGCATTGGCGGCGTCTGCTTTCCTCGCTCCTTCCGTTCGTGTTGGGTGGTTTTCGCATCGTTGTACGATGATTACGTACCTTGGATCCACGTGTGTTTTTGTTTGTTCTTGGTTCTTCTTTATCTTCTGGAAGCAAGGAAGAGGATGTCGTTAGAGTCGGGAAAGGAGAGAGCCTTTCTGAGTATGGCGATGAACGAGAGACGGGAATAGAATGTCAAGACGAACAGGAAAACGAAGCTGTCACGGAAAGGGAAGAGGGAGAAAATGGTCTGGGGAGAGTGAGGGAGGGATGAGACTGGACTTTGTCTGGTGCGTTGGATGGCGTGGGCTGGCACTATGAAGGGTAATAGAGGTAGCAGAGAGCACGGGAGGGTGTGGCTTGAAGGGGAAACACACTTTTGGAGAAGGGGGAGGGAGTATGGAAGAGAAGACCAGAGAGAGAGGGAGACAGGGGGGAACCCAAGAGAAGGGGGGTCCAGGCAATTATCAAGCTGCTATTCGTGGTGCACACTGCGGGTACGGAGCAACCATGACAGGGACCAGGGCCGGCGAGGGTGTGGTCAAGACTGGGACCAAGATACACCAAGAACTGACGGGGTTGAACCGAATTGGACCTGGTCTGGCTGGGGTGGGCTGGGCACTGGTCTCGAGGGAGAGCCGAAAGAGTGAAGCGAGCCGTCTGGACACGAGACTTGTTCATCATTCATTCATCAGAGATGCCTGGGATGGATGGCCGGCCGGACAGTGTTGCCGTTTGTTGTTATGGTGGAAGCCAACACAAGCCGGCTTATGCTACATACGTACACCACATGCGTCCCTTCAACTCAACATCTTATACTATGTGTGTATCTACTTCAGTAGGTACATCGTTGGCTGTTCAAACGGGCAGAGGTGCATGTACCTGACACTCAATGTGCTACGGCGTGACGGACGCTCCGCGGGCTGCCGCCGTTGTGGAGAGTGTCGCAAATCATCCAGAAACTGGCAGACAGGCGGACAGGCGGACGGGCACTGGCACTGGCAACTGGCATAGACGAAGTCTGTGGTATTTCGTCAGTGGGTTTCGAAGCAATGGACGTTGACCATGTGTTCAGCCATGTACAAACACGCCTCGCCGACCCCCTTTTCCCGCCAGACTCTATCTGCCGGCTCTGGGCCTGCTATTTTCTTCCTCTCCCCCTCAACATGGAGAGCTCTTTATCAAGAATGTGGTGCATCCGAACGGAACAAAGGCCGTGTCAGCATGTATCAACGTCTGATTGGTATAGAGTGATGATGGAATCGCGGTGGACGCTGAAGTCGGGACCCGTTAGACCAAGGTAAATACTCTGCAAATAACCCTGCTTCCACTGGTCTGGCGAGATTGAACGGCTTGGTTTCTGGCTTAGCTCCGCCCATCGGGAACCACTTTGGAGCAATCCATCTCCTTCTTTGCACTAGTACAGGGGCAAGGGGGCGAGATGATGAGTGGGGTGGGTGTGGGTTACATAGAGGGGGGTGTCCCTGGCAAAGATGGGCAGGAACAGACACACCATCCGCACAGAGGCTCAGACGCGAGCACAGGGCACAGGAATCACAAACTTCACAATGACAACACCCAGGCCAACAACATCCTGCAACACCTTCTTCTGCGCAGTACTGGCTTGCGAGAGTGGTCGTCTTTGCTAGTACATGAGACGAACATGCGAATGCGCGATCACGTCGAGATTAACTGTTACCGTCACCAAAAGATCATTGCCGTACTCGTGAAACCGGACAAGTGATTGAGGACCCAGTCCTCCAATCCAATCAAGCGCCTCAGATGAAAATTCTGTCAAAAAGTCAATGCGCCAGGTCGGTCGATGCAAACCTTCCAGTCATTGTACGGATGTTTCGACCATCTTCGACAAAAGGCACGACGGCGAGCAGGAAGAAAAGCAACCGTCGGCAAGCAAAACAAACAACAGCTCACGTCTCCATTGATTACCCCCAGCTACGCGGTCTGTACCTTACATAACTTGCAGCACATTTCCCTGCACAGTCAGGTTAGACCTGCTTATGGAGATGGAGATGGACATGGGAATGGCCGACGGACTCTCCCACTCCCCAGTTATCCCGTACAAGGCCCTGCCAAGGTCAGACGCGAGAAACTGCTCCGTGTCCACTGACGGCAGTCTGAGACGTCTCTCGACTTTCCCGCCCGACTCTTGAAAGACTGAGAGGGCCGGAAACGCCTGAGGCCCCAGCAGGGACTTCCTTTCTCTTGCGAAAGTGTCACAACCCAAGGACTCCCAATCCACAACCCGCCCCCTTTCCAGCGCCAATCAAGACCAAGTCTCCCGAGCGAGGCCTCATCCGGCAATCAATCTGCGGTCCGACCTCTTGTTTTTGCCTCCACCCCACGCCGTATCGGCACGGGTGGACACCACCAACAGCCCCAAAGCTCCTGCTCGAAGCATCCAACACCAAGCAACCAAAGTCCAGCGAACCCTTCGTTGATCGCCTCCATCCCAGAGAAAACCCAGCAGAAAATGGTACCGAAAGTGTACCAAGTACATTGAGGCCACTACCGCCCGACACGAACACCAGCACGCTATCCATCCACAAAATGTTTCATCTCGACGAGCGGTCTGCCGTTTTGATCAAATATGTTAATTGTTAAATCAGTTCCAGGACTGCCAGCACCACCAGGGACCGCTGCCGTTCGATGACGCATTTGCTCGGCCGTCGAATGACGATGGGCACGGCCACGGTCTACCTAGGTATAGTAGGTGCAGAGACTGCAAATGTTGACGAGGGTCGGAAAGAAGCAAGTTTTTCAAGGGCCCCAAACTTCGGCTGAATCTACGGATAGCCATGCGCCCGTGGATATCAAGTCTTGGCGTACGCGCTGATGGCCTTGATCATGATTGCAACCCGTAGAAAAGAGAAGCTGGCTGTGCAGATAGCGCGACGCGTCCAACAGGAGCTTCTGGGGCCCGGGCGATGTGCATTAGGCGCTCCCATTCGTCGACAGCTTGACACTGTCGGGACGCTCATGTGGGAGGATGGGGCCCGTCCATCTGCACATCTGCACGCATCGGCTCTGTCAGTTAATCCCACTATAGTATCTGCAGTGCTTGCTGCAGCAGTGCGGTGGTAGGTAGTCGTCTAGTGTAGGTATGGGACGGAGTACATTCCCGGAACCAACCACGGCGACATCTTGATACGACGGTCACATTAAACCTTTTTCCATGATTCGACGGCCCAGTCTCGCATCGCCAACCACTTCTTCCATCTTCCTGCACCAACGCTAAAACTTGACCAAGGACACGCCGACAAATCTATTTCAGCCAGGCCAGCAAGCCCAGCTCGTGAGAAGGCGGCTGAGTGTGCCGACGACCCTTTGCCTCACACGCTGGTCCATTCCCGCTTGGTTTTCTGGAGCGTCCCACGGGCTTTCAGCAGCCCACGACAGCATTCTCGGCTCTGAGTGGTCACGAGTGAGACCTCCTCCCGGCCTTGGTCTGCCAACAGTACCGTGCCGAGACAACGGTTCAAATAAGGACTTGACTCGATGGCATTCTTCCTTTGCCATTTCGCCTCAGCCATCAATGCCCAGCTCTCTCATCCGGAATTCGCCTCTTTGCCCGTTCAATGCCGACTACATTGCCCATGGGCTGATGATATCCACACAAAACAGGGAGATCGGAATGAGAAAGGAAAGCAGCAGGCAAAAACACAACCCTCTACAAGATTACGCCGCTGCTACTGCTACGCATCATATTACCACATGCCAGTCTTCATTTTCGATATCTTTAGTCTGCATCATGCTAGCAGGCGGGCTCGCCTGTCCGTACCACGCTAGCTGCACACCCAGCCCTTCCCCCCAGGCTTATCCGCGCTCATCCCAGCGCTCCAATTTTGCAGGCCTGCAGGGGGCGTCTAGGGCTTTGCAGGTTTTCCAGGCTTTTCGGTGGTTCTACTCAGCTGCCCTGTTGCTGATGTTCCTGGCACCCGTCAACGGTCCCGAACGGCGCTGGCCAAGGAGAATCTCCCAACACACAAAGACCGCAACGACTGATCTGCCATCGCAACCGATCTATAGCAACTGACCAACTGTGTCGCCAGAATCCGGCACAAGAGCGTCTTGGTCTCAAACAGCGGCGGGGTAGATGGCTCTGGATCCCTCGTCCTCAGCAATCAACGAATTGGTTCTCTTTGTCGTGAGACCGACCACAGACATGGAGAAACAGGCGTTACCCTGTTGACCGTGACGCAAATACCTTAGCTGATTCTCATCTATTCTGGCGTTGAACGCGTCCACGGATTATAATGGTGACAACGAGCTCATTCTGCGACAAGACTTCAAACATCGACACCCTTGGCTGACGCACGTTCAACAACTCTACCCCATAGTCACGATGTTCCAGACGGAGCATCCGCGTGGAAAAGGGGGGGAAAGCTTCCATCCATGCCGCAAACCGCCTCTTGTACGCCGCCTCAGACGGCCCGCTGGCAGTGTATATTCTGCCGCCTTCCCGTGTTTGTGCCGCCGCCCGCCATACCCTATGTTTGCGGCACTCGTGCCTGTGCGTCGTTCAACCCGCTACGCCTCAGAACTTCAGGCACAGAAGAGTCTGCTTCGTGTTATCCTATTCCTGAGTCTGATATTGGCCGCTTGACTCGGACAGATATGTCCCCTGCGGTGCGAGTCTAATTGTGACCGTCGCGCAAGGCTTAAAAAGCCGGAAAGCTTGTTTGCATCCGGTGGGAACTTTGGGGTCTAGCCGTGAATTGCTCCTAGTGCTGCTGGCATGGGTAAACTTCTGAGTTATCATCCGGCCCGCTCAACTCTGTTCCAAAGACTAAGACGACTCGGTTCTATCCTTGAGGATATTTGCCGGGGAAGCCTGCGGCCCTTCTTTGGGTCAATTTGAGGATAGGCGAGAGAGGAACGAAATCTCGTATCGTCGGGGCTCGTATTCTTTCATAATGCTCCACATGCCGCATCCGTCTCTGCAATTTCGCGATAACTCGAAATGGATGCATCGGAGAGCGGAAGAGCGGGTAAGGTTTATGAAAAACAGTTTGATAGCTCCGCTGGCTGCTTATTCCAGCGTGCTTATATCAGTTTCCTCGACCCTCCACATGTACCACATGAAGACGCTGCGATATGGCGCGAACCGACTCGCTATCTCGGTCATCTCCTTCTCGGACATGTACTTCCACTTGCCTCCCTTGGCCTTGAGCTTGGCCACATCCCGTCCGACAAAGGCTGCCATGCCTCTCTGCACACCAAGGTCGCCCAGCGAGAAGACGTCCATCCTCTTCAGCCCGAAGCAGGCAAACATTTCGACCGACCAGAGCCCCAGACCCCTCACCGCGATGAGCTTGTCCCGCACCTCTTCGTAGGGAGATTCTGCTAGCATCTGCGCGCTCAACTCGCCGCTCGCAAACTTCTCGGCCAAGCCCTTGACGTACTCGGCCTTGCGCTGTGACAGGCCGGCGGTGCGTAGGCGCTCGATGGAAGCGGCGGCCACCTCCGAGGGGTGAGGGAATCTTTTGGACTCGGACTCTTCTTCTGAGAAGAGAGCAACGAACTTGTTCTTGATGGACCTTGCGGCGGCACCAGAGACCTGCTGGGAGATGATACCGCTGCAAAGGCTCTCGAAGGGATCGATATTTTCGGCGAGACCCTCTGGCGAGAAAACGCGGCAGTGGTTCTTTTCGATGAGGGGCTTCATGCGCGGGTCGACCTCTATAAGGTGACGGCACGCTTCCTCTAGGATGTTCGCAGTCGTCGTGCGTTTCCCGGCCGCCATGGATGGCTTCGACGGTGATATGTCTTCGGCAGGGTGAGAGGCGATTACCCGCGAGGTTTCGGGCGAAAGGATGGGAGCGTTGGTAAGTTTCGGATCGGCGAGGCGGTTGATGGCCTTCACCTTGGGATTCGCCGTGCGGTTCGCCCGTTCGGCGATGATGCCCACAGCGCTCGGGGTGGGCGTGAGTGGCGGAGGGATTGGGGTAACGGGTGCAACCTTTGGGCCTCTTTTTCTCGCCGGTGTGACGGGGTCTGAAGACGGGACCGGATCCGTGAGAGTTGGTTCCGCCATAGACTTTCTCTTCCGGCTCTTTGTGACCGGTGGTGCGATTGGGAGAGGTGCGATTTGGGTGTCTGCTTGGGCGCCCAGACGAGCTGAGCGTCGAGTAGCCATCGTTGCTGGCTTTGCTGGTGATGATGTCGGTGATGAAGAGTAAGTTGATGAACGTTCGAATGACTTCCAATTGAATAGTGGGCTGCCCAAGGCGACGAAAGAGCTGCCGGGGGGTGATATCAAATGGCTTGTGAACGGTGTAAATTGACGTGCAGATGCGAGGGAGATCGGTGAACGGCGGATCAGCTGTAACCTCATTCGGGAGTCATTGGTTTTCGCGAATGTGTCATGAAGCTCGATAATTGAACAGAACTGTAATGTTTGAGGCCAATTTTTGTATGAGTGGTTCGAGAGATTACAAGAAAACGGAGCTCCTCCTACTATGATGTCGTTCTCGTTCACGGCGACAGGCAGACAGTCAGTCAGGGCGGGATTCAGCCGCCACTCGGCGAGCGCCTTTGCTTTGTCATCTGAAGTTGGGGAGGGAGCTTGCAGTTCCTGCCTCAACTCCCGCCACTTGGATCAATATTGGCGCCTGCCAACCAGGTGAGGACGGCTTACTTAAGCTGCATTATCATCTGATGGCAGACCTCGAGAGCACAGCCTTTGGAGATGAAGGCCGTCCGTGCTTTTTGCATCGCTGGAGCTGATGATGCTCATCCAAAGTTTAGCAGAGGAGCTGCACCTCATCCCATCCGCAAATATCGGATTACATGTACGTGCAAACAGCCCTTTGGAAGGCTACGCCTCCTTCGTTAGAGTTTACCCATGTTTGCCTGCCGACGCGAGGTCGAGCAGCATAACTTACTTGATTCAGTCTATTTTTTTGTTTAGAAAACCCTTTTAGCTGATATACTATTTCTTGAACTCATCCGTCTTTCAAGGACGGGCGCCAAGTGTTGTTTAGAGACTGCAGATGTGAACTTGGCCGTGTGAGATACGTATGTACACACTTCAGCGTTCCTTGTTTAGGCCGCCTTGGATGGAGAATTCCCACAGGTTGAATGTTGGCCAGTTACTATAATTAAGGATGACAGATCGATGTGGATTCGGTGATTTGATAATGTCGTGGGCACAAATGGGTCGTTATCCAAGGTAATTATGGGCAACTGGTTGTCTGTTGGCAGTGCTTGCAGTGATACACGAGACGGCTTTACGTTGGGCTTGCGATGGTGACGGATGACGACCACTATTGGGTTTTCCGACGGGCAGACGACCGGCCTGGGCCCGGCAAAGGGCTGGGAGGTGTAAAGCATTGTTCTTTCCGCTGCCCGTGAAGAGACCGTCGCGGAGCGGGATAGGACGAAGCAGAGGGAGGAGGGGGGCGCTGGCGCTGGAGACGAGGTCTTGAGAGTTTGCAGTGCACTGGCTAATGGCGCTGACACATGAGAATATCTCCATATTTCTCCCCCCGGTAATAGCAATCGCGTGCGTGCGTGAGCGAAAAGTGTGGGATAGTGGGTGTGACGGGCTGGAGATTGACTGTAATCCTTGTCCCTCCTCCCCTCCCTCTCCATCTTCCGGATCTTGTCGAGACACTCCGCACCGTGCTCTGTCTAAGACTTTGCCCTGAGAAGCTGACTGGAATGTATTAGGTCATTGTTTTGTCGAAGAAATGTCTTGGTCGGCTCGTCCTGTTTTGTGTAATGTACAGTAGTCCCGCTGCACGAAGAGCTCGAAGACGGTTTTTCCCCTTACGGTCGAATCGAGGGGTGCCGTGCCCGGGGGGGAGGAAACGGTTGGATCATGGACGAACTAGGACACAAGCAACGGTAATGGCGATGAATCTAACTCGGCCAATCGTCCGGGACAGCATCGGGGAATCGCTACCTGCCATGGTACGTGGTGTTGTGACATCGGATATTGGGCAAAGCAAGGGTGGAGCTGCGTGCCATCGGCGGCCATCCATCAATGAATAACAGGAGGAATTAAAGTCTGAATAGAGGGATGAAGATGCCTACCGCGAAAGCCCAGGGAGTTTGGCGGGCAGATGTCACGGCCGTCGATTGTTTCCGACTCCTTAGCTGCGACGAGGACAACTAGCTGCGAGGATTCTTGGAAGACGAACGGAAGGGCAAGCTTGCGGTGTCCAGTCTCAAGCCTGGTCGCGATGGTGCAGCCATCGAGATCCTCCAGGTGCTGGAGCGAGATGGCGATTCTTCGCTTGCTTAATGCGTGTGTAAGCCTCGGCTGGCCCCTGGCGGTCACTGGGATAGGCCCTGCTAATTCGTTCTGCTTTCCGTGAGATAGCCAGGCCTTGGCGGGCGGTTGTATCATTCAGTTGATTTCCATTTGCGTTCTATCCTTCATGCTGCGGCCTGCTGGTAGCCAACGCTGACAGCTCCCATCGCTGATTGATGATGGGGCGAATAGGGGCGCATGGTCCGACAAGATCCCCGTCTGTTGATCCTGGGAAGCTGAGCAGACGAGGGGAATTAATGTGGTGTAATCGAATGCCGTGGTGAAGCACCTCAGGAAATGGAAAGGAAAGGCTAAGAAGAAAAAAGAGGACAGGTACCGCCATGTTGCGGCACAGTCTCTCCTGAGTCCAGAAGCGCTTGGCGGTTCCGGCAATCTCGCGTGCTGAGAGCAATCGGTACCAGAGGGTACTTTGCCAGCGTGATTAAACTTTTTGGCGCCTTGCCATTGGCTTACCCTTCGTATTCTACCACCACCGGAACCGTGGGTTGCAGCTGCTTTTGCATTCGTTCCATGGTCGCCAAAGCACCTCACTGGGCAGGACACGTTTCAGTGATTCTGATTGAGTTGTCTTCGTCAGAGTTGAAGGCGATACTTCTGTATCTTGGCCAGACGGCAGAAGGTAGTTTTAGGTGTGTTGACGGCCCCCCAAGATCCGTGCCCGTGCCCTGTAGATAATCCGTGATGTGTATCCCGGGTGTGATGCTGTGGCCTGTCAGTGCCTGTCAACCCGTCTGTGTCTCCCGCGTACTTTCATGTACCTTAGCTCCGACCACCATCCAAGCCTGCCTTACCTTGACTTGCCTTAGCCTATCTCATCCAACCATCCAAGCCTCTCTGTCTCCCACACGCCAGTTCCTCTCCTCCCGGTCGACCCTTTTTTTTTTCGGGGCCCTGTTGGCGTGGCTCCTTTCACCCAATTCCTTCCATCCCCTTCCTGCCTAGGCCTACCCAAACGTCCCTCGTTCTTGTTCTTGTCTTCGACAAAAACTCTGGCCGAAACCATCGCCCTCTTCAAAGGCACAACGAGGCTGAAAGACGACCAGCGACAGTTGCCCAAGACCTTGCGACCGCACCGCACACCCGCAAGAACCGTGGAACCACTGACGTCCCGCTTCTCTCAACCCTTATCAGTTCAGTCCGGAGACTAGACCTTCGTCAGCCTTGGCCCACCCCTTCTGAGGAGAGCGTGCTGCTACGACTGCCATCTATCGGACGTCACGAAACCGCCCAATCAATTACCTCCTTCCTCCTAACTACAGCTTGTCGAACTCGGACTTGTCCCAGGGAGTCTTGTGCTACCTGACATTCCTTCCGCGCGACTTCTTGCCTCTACCTGGCCACCGTCCTCCAGCGATTAGTGCCGCAATCTTGCGCGCAACAAGCGACGACACCGACGACAACTTCGACGACGCCGTCACGTCACGTCACGTCTGCGACACCGCCATCTTTGTCGCTCTCCGTGCCGGGATACACACAACCTCCTCTTTTCTTTGTAGAGACGAGTTCTAGGGTGGTGTCCCAGACCACCCACCCATTTCGCAGGAGCCATGCTTCTCCCCAAAGGCGGAATCAACTGGAAGTCTGCCCAGGCCAGACTACCTCCTACCAGAGCGATATGGGCCTTCGTGACCAGAACGCGCTTTCTCTTCCTCATCGCCCTCACCGGCTTCGTTCTGCTACTATGGCGCGGTATTCGCTCATCAGCTTCCGAAATGCAGAGGTACGTTGCCAATGCCTTGGCGACCGGCGCTCCTCAGGGGGCGCGATATTTTTTACATGGGAATGCGCGCGCTCTGCAGACAAGACAACCTGCTAACATGTGATGCCGCACAGCTTCTACTGCTGGGGCCCCGCGAAGCCCCCCATGGAGATGTCGCTCAATGAGCAAGCTTCGTGGGCCGCCCACCTCCAGACCCCCGTCATCTTCAACCACCACGAACCCCTGGAAATCAACCACACCTCCATCCAGCACGTCAACCTCAACCCCATCAAGTCGACGCGCAAGGCCGTCACCAACGAGGAGCGCGTCCTGATCCTCACTCCCCTCAAGGACGCCGCCCCCTACCTTTCCAAGTATTTCGAGTTAATCGCCGAGCTGACTTACCCCCACCACCTCATTGATCTTGCCTTCCTCGTTGGCGATTCTAAGGATGATACCCTTGCCGTTCTCGCTTCCGAGCTGGACCGTATCCAGCGTCGACCCGACAAGATCCCCTTCAACAGCGCCATGGTTGTCGAGAAGGACTTCGGTTTCGAGCTCAGTCAGAGCGTTGAGGAGCGCCATTCGTTCAAGGCCCAGGGCCCCCGACGAAAGGCCATGGGCCGCGCTCGTAACTATCTTCTCTCTGCTGCCATGAAGCCCGAGCACTCCTGGATCTACTGGCGCGATGTCGACATTGTGGACAGCCCTAAGAAGATCCTTGAGGACTTTATTGCTCACGACACCGATATCCTTGTGCCCAGTAAGCTTATGTGCCTCGCAACGGAAAAACGGGTTGTGCTGACAGTCTGACAGACATTTGGTTCCACCGCTACCGCGATGGCCGCGATATCGAGGGTCGCTTCGACTACAACTCCTGGGTTGAATCCGACAAGGGTCGCAGACTTGCCGCGACCTTGGACAAGGATGTTGTTCTTGCCGAAGGTATGAGGCACTGTCACTATCATAAAAACAAATGCTTACTAGGAGCCAGGCTACAAGGAGTACGACACCGGTCGTAGGTACATGGCCAAGGAGGGTGACTGGCGCAACAACAAGGACGAGGAGCTCGAACTCGACGGTATTGGCGGTGTCAACATCCTTGTCAAGGGTGACGTCCACCGATCAGGTTGGTGTTCCTTTGGGCTTTTGAACCACGCGCTTTCTAACAACATTAGGAATCAATTTCCCATGCTATGCCTTCGAGAACCAGGCCGAGACAGAAGGCTTCGCCAAGATGGCCAAGCGTGCCGGCTACCGTGTGGTCGGTCTGCCCAACTACGTCGTCTGGCACATTGACACTGAGGAGAAGCCTGGAAACGCATGATCCTTTGCGACTGCGTATTTGGCCTTTTCTTTCGATTGTACGACCATATTTTCCGAATCATCCGCGGAATGCGGCTGACGGAACACAGCACTGTATGACCACGTAACGATACACACACGAGGTAGCCGGGGAGCGTATCACGACGAGAACTATTTCCGGATGCTGGTCTAGAAGCTTCTTGGGCTACTAACGATCGGCAAGAGGCTTAAAAGTCTTCGTCGCTTATTTTGGCTGCCCTGGTGCTTCACAAGTTCAGCTTCCGCCACCTAGATATCCAACGAAACCCCAAACCCTCTCTGGCTCACCTTCGACTACTTGACCCGGTTGGCCAAGAAACGCAAAATCGACAGAACCAAGACGGGCACTCTTTTTGTCAGAGCGGGCGATTCATACCAGATGAAAGTATGTCTCGCTGTAATAATAGACTTGGTTATATCACCTGTTAGCATAGGAGGGAGAAAGGTATCGCCCATTATAGGAAGGGAGGCCCCTACACGGCCTCGGACTTTGGGATGGTGATGATGGCAGCACTGCACGGGGAGGCTTCTTACTTGGTGAAGTTTTCTCCCGACGTATGAGTGTGATATCTAGGGTATGAGGAAACTCGGGAGTTAACAAAGGCGTAATTTATACATTTTGATTTGTCTCCAATCATCAGCATTTTGCTTATGTGATGTGAGTTGGGCATGGCTTTGCCTGATTGAACATGGACCAGCACGGTGAGATGAACTCGAAGCAACTGAGGCATCCACTTTGGGGATAAACAAGGTCGAGATGTAGTATGGGAAGGCTCGTTCCTTGAGCCAGGGTTTGTTCTGGCACTTCCCCTGGCTATGGGGCTAGGTTGATCCCCTGTTACTTGAGGCGTTTTCCTCTCAACTCTTGAGCTTCACAGTGAGTAGCACGTTAGCAGAAATTGGGGACAGCTTTGAATGCTCTGAGGTCCATATCGGGAAAGAATGGGACTCTTTATGAGGCCATGGACTGATAGACGCATTTGTAGTGGACGTGATACCGGGGGGTCAAAACTGGCTTACAGTAATGTGTTACTGACTGGGATGAAGGCGATGGGAACATGATCACGCGGTTGCGCCCTTGGAGAGGTCGCAAAGACCTAGTAATCAGTAGACAGTGTGCTAATGAGTAAAGGGTAGGCGAGGGCTCTAGCCTTTGTTCCAGGGTTGGCTGAGGGTCATCGATGCTGTGAGCTACCGGCGGGTGCTCCTTACAGGAGTTATCTCATCGAGTGTCGGTGGGTGAGATTACATATAAGTCTTGTGCGCTCACAGAACCTCATTGCCGTGAGCACAGCGATACTGCTACCTGAGATGGTCTAGCAACAGCAGAGACCAGACTTGGTATTTGTTGATTCCGGGATAGAGGTGAAACTAGGCCCCATTCCCTGGCAGTTGAGATGATTATTAGAAGGTTCTTAGCTTGCAATACTCGTTATAATGCACACATACAAGAACATAGCGTGCCCAGAACACATTGTTTCACGCCACCAGCACTCGTGCTTGCATACGTGCGTGAACCAGCTATAGAAGCACGATCCAGGGCGCCAAACGAACACTCAAGGTCTCTGCTGTATGGGGTTAGGTCTGCGGACCCAAGCCCATAGTTTTACAGCAATAGGATACACGTCTTACTTATCTTAGAACGTTTCCCAACCCTGTTGGGAGTGCATTGCTCTCAAGCTGACTTTCTTGGTTATATGCACGTTTTACATGTACCATCGAGTGGTTATTCTCCAGTATTAGAACCGATTATGGGCCTACTTTCCATCCATCACACCCATTTTTGCCGGGTGTTCCTCTCAAAAGACGTCGAACGCGGGCGCAATCGTGGCAACCAAACAAGACGTGGAACGTCTGTAAGATAACCTCTGCCTTGTGAATGACTCGATGAAAGAAATCCTTGATTTCACATTAAGATACATGTGTTTTCTTAACGCGTTTGGGAGTTGAGATGGTTTCTCTAGCTCTCCAGTCATAAGCAAGAGCGGGCATATGCCGCATGAATGTCTGGTGAAGTCTCTTTGAGTGTAGTCTGACTCCCCCGATCAGACACAATATATTTTTGAGTACCGAGAATATCTCATAAGACGGAGGGTCGGCAGCTACTTTTCTCCGTATATTGGAATTGATCAATAGCATGCTCATCTCCATGAAACATTCTCAGATTCGAGTTCTGTTCGAGGCCTAGGTCGCTTGCGGCACCTTGGGTACGGCCCGCGTAGATATACTGAGAGACAATATTGCGATACATCAAAGCAAAGGTTAACGTTCTTACTTGGAGTGTGATTACCGGCTTCTCATGGTGAGTTTTAGTAGAGAAATCCCATTATATTACCTTGGTGGTCCTTCATATTTGTTGTCATTGGATAGCACAATACATCTACGAGACCGTGTTGACCGTTACTGAGAGTGGGGAAACGATAGACAACTAGGTGCTATCATCTACTTGGATTCTGTGGCCTGTTCTTATTAAGAGCGTGCCAATCTTGCTGGGTACTTGAAGTTCAACCGGTTGACCAGACCAGAAAATGCTGTACTCAGTTCAAGAAGGTTGATTTAGATAACGTCCAGCAGTCACAAGCATGGGGTCTTTTGATTCTCCCAGCTCTGTAAAATAGATATACGGTATACTACTACGACTTAATTCAGAGTGACTAGATCCAAGTATTCTCATGCGTTGTCTGCTTGGTAATGTGCTAGAGCGGCATCAATGGCTGGTTTGCCAAGTTCTTGCCTGGGGCCAACGCGCTCGAAAGTTAGCCTGGAGTGGTATGCCAACTATGTTTTTGGGATGCTGCCTCATCACACTATTTAATGATGCTATCTAATAACTAGAGGTGTAATAGTATCTTGCGTACTCTTTTTGTTATGGCTGAATCACGTCGCTGGCAGACGATGGTGGCGTCAGAGCACAGGTTGCGTATTAAAGAAGAGCGTAGAGACCAAGAGAGCCGAGAGAAGGCTCATGCCAAAAATATGATAAATGGGCTAAGGCGCTACTTCAAACGCCATCTTGGGCAGTTGAAGAAATCTCAGTCAAACCCAAGACAGCGTGGTGTGTCTCTAGGCCATGCACGCATTGATGGCATGGAGGTTTATGGGTATGATGCCGTCTTTTATTTTATTATTTTAGGGGAACAGAACACAAAGCTGATCAGTCATAAGGATTTTTGCTCGAGTCTTGTAAGACTTACGTCTTTTTTGGAAACTGGCGTAGAGGACTGTGAGAGTTAATACGAATGGGCAGAAACCAACTTCAACTTTGCTAACCATGGATCTTCATAGACACTGTAGTAAGATGACTGAAAAGGAGATACAACGCATCCCATGGATGCTACTTAGGTACTGTTATCAACCGAGAGGACCTGATACTCAATGAACCAAGTCTAAATTGACATTCGGGGTTAATAAAGTTGAAGAATGCGTCAGTATTCAGTTGCGACACCATCGTCATTATCGATGAGCAGTCGTTGCTCATGATGTTACCGAAGGCATGGTGGGTCTGGGATTTTGGGCCAGTCAGAGGGCGCATAATGTCAGCTAGCTTCCGCGAACCCGAACCGGGGGGCGAGGACCGTGAGATTGTAGATATCCAAACGCAAAAAAAGAGTCGTCAATTGGTGCTATTCGGGCGCAGCGGAACCTGTATCTGTAGTAGGGAGTTCCAATTGACAGACAAGAACCCCCCCGAGGTCTATACATAAGGTACACGAACCGCCTGGCCTTGGTTCTACCCCCTGGTCTAAATTTCTGTCGCGCGCCCCGGCCAGGCGGTTCCCTTCGTCCCTAATACTTTACAGCATCGTGCGCGCGGTTTTGCTCCTCCATGGCAAACGTGTGTCCCCCACCAGAGAGAGTACGTTTAGTGGTGCTTCTTCTGGACCTCAATCGTCTCGAAGGCCAGCCTCTCGGCCTCCTCGGCCTGGATCTGCTGGATGATGGGTCCGAGGTAGGGGTAGTCCTAAATATTGGGGGTCAGTCCTGTGCTTCGAGTTGACTCCTGTATCAATCGTTTGTGGGGTGCGCACCTCCTCAGGCTTGGTCCACTCGTTCTTGGGCAGAAGCTTGTGCTGGTAGGAGAGCTGGACGGCGCGGCGGATGCGGAAGACGCGGTCGTAGGACTCCTTGGGGAGAGGCGCTTGAGGGCCTTCTGGACGATATCGGTCTCCTCCTCGATGAGGTCGTCGAATCTGTAGGCGAGAAAAAAAAAGTGACAATCAGTCATCGCTGTTCCGGTCGGTGGCCAATTGTTGCAGAGGATATTGTCGGATTGCTTACCTCAAGCCGAGCTTACGGTGGCCGGCGGCGTTGGCGTACCAGTTAGAGAAGGGGACGAAGATGCTCTTCAGGAAGGGGCGGGCGAGGATGCCATCGGCGAGCTGCTTCGAGATGAGCGAGGTCATTGTGGCGGCTGGTGGTGGGTGGTGGACGCGGGAGAGGGAGGTTTCGATATAATGCCTCGGAGTACGGTTTTGCGGATCACCTGAGGTTGGGACTGGTCTCTCTAGGAAAATCGTGGAGCATCCCGGAGAGGCGCAAAGATTCGGGATGTCGGGTCATGTGACCTCCCTCGAGATTCCGGCACTAGCCACATGGCGTCAGCCACTTTCTGTCCTGTGGCTGGTGAGGGAATCTTGAAAGCACGGGCCTCTAAACGAGTAGCAAGCAGATTTCGTGATTGGGCCTGGGGCATCAATGAGGTAATAGGAGCTCCCAACGGGATGCCTTGCCCGTGGTAGCACCGCAGACCCTGTTGCTGATGATTGGAAATGGAATTTTTGTGGTACTCCCAAAGCTGCAAAGAACCGGCGGAGGTGGAGCTCCTTTCTGTGGTCTGGAAGCTTGAGACTTCCCCCCTCCAGGACTCCTGGGAGTCGATTCGGAGGTTGAGCATGTCAGTTGGACACTTGGCATTTTCTAGAATGAAGCCGTTCTTCTTGCAGCGAAAGTCTTGACAATTTCAGTCTTGCAGAACCTGCAATCCTTAAACACCCCTTGCTTTACATGCTTGCCCGTTGTTGGACTGATACTATCAGGCCTGCGTCATCCCTCACTTGCTGGTCTGCCAGGGCCGCAAACAAGTATTGGCACATTCGGTAGCTTCCGGGTCCTGAGCCAACACCCGAGGAGAGCAGTTTTTGGTGGTCTTAGCACAACGCCTGGGCAGTGGTTGGGAATAAAGTACCTGCCCCCACAGCGTCATCGCGCAGGTCCCTTCAGCGGCCATCGCACCTGCTTCGGCGCCTCTTATCCAGCCCAGGAGGTGCTCCAACCCATCTTCCTTCCTTCCTTTCAGCCCATTGGATTGCTCCAGCCTCCACCCGAAGGGCACCCCGGGACGTGGGAACTCCTGCTAAAAGAGACATCCGACAGCTCGCATCATTTTGCTCTCGTGCTCCGTCCCGCTCCACCTCGGCGCTTTTTCGCAATATCCCATCTCCAACTCCCCCGACTGCGCTCTTACCATACCGACCACCACTTCTTCTCGTCCGTCCCTTCTCCTCCGCCGCCCGCCTCTCTCACCCCTCACTTCCCAATCCCGTGTGCTTGGGAGCGCCTGGCCCACCGAATCCGTCTTCGACTCTCCGCGCTAGATATTCTGTTCCCCGCAAGGCCAATGGGCTGCGATAACCGTTAGTCGCTCAGTGTCACGGCGGCGTGGGAGCGTTCCCCGCATACCGGGACACTTGGGAAGGCCCGGCATCTACCTGATTGAGAGGTACACAACAGACACATACCGAGAGAAACACAACCACCGACGACGCAGCACGAACCTGAACAATATTCAATACCCGCTTCCAGTGAACACGCACCCCGCAGCTCCATACCGCCTTACACGCTGCTCGGCCAGAGCTCAACCCCCCAGGACATCGCTGCACTTTCCTTTCGGATCCTGTGCCGAACCCGCCCAACCTCCGCATCCTGAACCCTGACCGGATTAACAGTGAGAGGGATGTCTCACGACGAACACCACGACGCTCAACGAGGCGCACCACACTCACAAGAAGAATATGGGCCGTATCCGACCTCAACATACCCCAACTACAGCAGCTCGAGAGCTTTCCCGGCCCCAGCCCCGGCCCGTGCAGCGTTAGCTACCATAGAGAAGGCCGCTGCTGCGATGCCCGCGAACGAGACTATCACTGCCTTTGAAAGGTGGGCCGCCGGCGCCTCCGACGCCCAATTCAACGCGCTTTCCGGCGCCGTAGGAGGCTTCACTTCGGGCGTTGTTACATGTCCGCTCGACGTTATCAAGACCAAGCTGCAAGCACAGGGTGGTTTCAATCCTGTTGAGAAAGGAAGACATGTTGGACACCCGAAACTCTACAATGGCCTGCTGGGTACCGCCCGCGTGATCTGGAAAGAAGAGGGCATACGCGGCATGTATCGGGGGCTCGGCCCGATAGTACTGGGTTATTTGCCCACCTGGGCAGTGTGGTTTACCGTCTACAATAAGAGCAAGGACTGGTTGAAGCACCGCCATGGTATGTTGGAATCCGCAAGCCAGAGGCTGGGCCATGGACTGACCGGACTACAGAAAACACGGTGTTGATCAATTTTTGGTCATCTATCATAGCTGGTGCCAGTAGCACCATCGTCACGAACCCTATCTGGGTCATCAAGACTCGCCTGATGTCGCAGAGCGTTGCACACGACCCAGGCAAGCATTACTCTCAGTTTCCGAGATCGGGCAACACTCCGACTTCCAGACCGACAATGCACAGCTCGTGGCATTACCGGTCGACGATGGACGCGGCACGCAAGATGTACACTTCGGAGGGCGTCCTTTCATTCTACTCGGGCCTTACCCCGGCTCTGCTGGGACTCACCCATGTGGCCGTTCAGTTCCCGGCGTACGAGTACCTAAAGACGAAGTTTACCGGCCAGGGCATGGGAGAGCCGACCCAGGGCGACACACAAGAATCACAATGGGTAGGAGTGTTGGGTGCTTCGATATTGTCGAAGATTATGGCGAGTAGCGCGACCTACCCACACGAAGTCATCCGCACGAGGCTGCAGACGCAACGAAAACCTGTAGGGGGAGCCGAGTATCTTCAGGGCCTGGGAATCAAGGTGCCCGCCTCCATGACCGGAGAGGATGGCAAAAAGCAGCAGTTGTTAGCACCAAAATACCGCGGCGTGGTCAGCACCTTCCGGACAATCCTCAAAGAGGAGGGATGGAGGGCCTTCTACGCCGGCATGGGCACTAACATGATGCGAGCGGTGCCGGCCGCGACAGTGACGATGCTGACATACGAGTACGTGATGAAGCATTTGAACCACGCGAGAGCTGAGGGCAAGAGGAAGCTGGGAAGGGACAGCACACCTGCTGATCCCTGACCTGGGCAATCCGGGAGCTCGGAACGGCATTATTCGATGAAGACGATGGGAGAGAATCAGGCAAGACGACACGTGCGGTTTAGTCACGATGGAAGTCAAAGAGCTGTTGAGATTAGGAAATGGGATGGGATTTTCCAGATACCCTTAACTTTGGTCGTCAGGTATAGACAAACTCGATTCAGGTCACGAAACAAGCACACTGCGGCAGTAGTCTCTCCAGTGGATAGTCTACGGATCGATTCCTCTTTCTCCTCATCCCCACTACTTCCTTTGTCATCACATCACAACCATCATGGAGCGCTTTTTTTCCTGCTTATTCCACACAAACTCGACCAAAGAGTTCACGACACCAAACGGGGACAGCATGGCAGGAGCTCGATCTCTCATGGACAGCACACTCCTGTAGCATTATATTGATTGGCGTGGAGAAATTTGTTGAACACACTGGCACACGATGCTGAAGAAAAGCTGACAAGTTCTGTTGATTTGGTATCTAGCAAATGCAAAGACAGAATTGGTGGGGTATTGGCTACATAGAGACCACGAAAAAAGTTAAACAACAATGTAAATGACCCCGCAAAGCTTCAACTATTCATCACTCTGCTATCCCAGTGGCGGGACCAGGAAGACGACAAGCTGATCCCGCCCGTCGCCCGTCCGGTCCGCATACGGACGGTGCTAGGAGGAGCTTGAATTCGGAGGTGGCGACCGAGGATTGCTGAGGCTGTTGCTGTATCGCTTGACCAGTGTTAGTAACAGGCCCATGAGTTGGGTGAGATGTGAGACGTGAGAACCGGGGGGCAGACTCACAGCTTGATCGCGCGCCGTGCGGATCGATGAGCGGGTATAGCTGTTTTGAATCAGTACGACTCTTGATGACTGTCATGACTCTCACGCAAGCCTCGTGAGAGTATGAAAATTATGCGACCTACGCGAAGAGGATACACGCCATCGTGAACGCCGCCAACGGGGCCGTGATTGTCTATGAGGAGTGGCAGTCAGGAGGCATTCGGTCGGACCGTGGGTGGGGATGAAGGCTCACCTTGGGTGTCAGGTTTCCTTTCCGCATACTGTCGTCATTCTCCCTTTTTTGCTACGAGTTTGTTTTAAGATGATGGAATGGGGGTGCGGTCGTGCTGTGGGTTAGCAGTGTGCAAGTGTGTAAGTGAGGTGAGTGGGATCATAGATGAGGTGCGGAATGGGCTGATTGTGGTTAGACGTGGCCCGGGGTGGGTCTTTGCAGGTATCGGGATTATCAGCGCGATAGTTGCATATATAGCTCGGAAGGAACGAGTTACGGCACTGGATTCGTCTGGCAGCTGGTTCAGGGCAGAGTAGCACGATATGGGAGGAAATTGGTCGATTCATAGCATGATGAGGGTTTCGGCAGTTGATCTGTCACGTTGCTGACACTCAGAGCTGCTGAAGGCTATTATTACCATCCATCGTTGTCACAGAAGTGTACCTAACCTGCACCGCCCTTGCGCCGACCCAGTCGGATCCTACTTTTGGTTGAAGTCAATGCGTCCTGGAATTGTACCTCGGGGCCGCAAGTCCTCGGCGCACTGTCATCTACACCGCGCTATTGATTGCAATTCTGAGGTGTTCTTTGCTGCATCTTAGAGCGGTTCAGTCATCTCAAAGTGTAAAGGGAAAGGCACTACGACCGGCAGGGAAGAGTGGATCCGCCTGGAGATGCTAAAAGATTTGGTGCCTTTCCGCGCTGCCTGTACCTATTGAGAGGTACATCGTGACATTGTAGGAAATTCGCCCAAACCTCACGATGAATTATTCAACACCACAACCAAAATTTGCAAAAAGGTTGAGCCGTTATTTGGCTTTTTATGACAAGAGTGGGATTCGAACCCACGCCAATTACTTGACTAGCACCTGAAGCTAGCGCCTTAGACCGCTCGGCCATCTTGCCTTGAAGTGGATGTTGAAGTCGTCTGGCTGAGTGGAGATTAAGTTTGATTTGCTGCAGGGGTCACCTCGAAGGGACGAGTTGACGGGGCGAAGACTAGACTTCCGCCAGTCGTATCCTCTATTGTGTTGTTGACCTCGAGTGGGGGATATCGATCGACGCCTTGCAAGGACGCTCGTAGTATGCACGCACTTGCGCATGCCTTGTGAGGAAAGTTGGTGATCTTCACATTCAGCTTCATGCCAACAAGTAAACAAAGGTCGCGTGAGGCCGATTTTGTGGAGGCTGCAACCCTCCTGGATGGTGGTCGACATATTGGTTGAGCATCGTCCATTGCGCGAGGTTTTTACTGGACAAGTGACATGGCCGATGTCAATTTGTGGTTGGCGCCATGCTTCGGATATGGAGGCTCAGCCCGCCCCCCGAAGTGAGTAAAGAGTTCTCTGGCCAGGTGCATCTTGATCGGAACTCAGCACTGTTGCAAACCGCTCTTGGGTTTGATTTGACAGCCCCAAGACCGTAACCTACACTAGTATCAACTTCGCGCTTTGGCTCGCCGCGTTGTTCGACTGCAGAAAGAAACAGAGACGCGGAAGGAGAGCACAGAATGGCTGTCGCCCTTTTCAAAAAAGCCCTGTTGACCATCCCACAGAGGGCCAGGAACGGCTTTGCACTCGTTGACAGTTGGGCATATTAGGTTCCAGATGGGTTCAAATACACCAGGCGTTCCGAAATTTGGCGTCCTGGCCTTTTGAGGCGGCCTCAGGGCTCAATCTGGGTATGAGTCTTGAAGGTCTTACCTCCTCGCCCTGAGATTGTTTGATTAGTTTCCATCCTAGAACCAGTCTAACGGCGAGCTCAGTATTTTTAGGTTCGCAAAACCTATGCTCCAACATGGTATCTGGTGTAGACATCAGAGTGGAAGCCCACTACATTCGAGTCGTTACGGAGACATCTCGTAGCGGGGACCTATCGAACAGGATGGCTTCGTCAATGGCGATGATGTTTGACAAAGATGTGGGCAGATTGACCTTGGGTCAAGCAGCTGCTAGGCAGCGCTGTAAAACTTAACTTTCGTGAAGGGCCCAGCTCTGGGTAACAACCTGGCACTTGCAAAGTCTTCGAGAAATAAACCTGAGCTAGCCGTGTCGTTCATGTCCTCATGGTGCGTAGGACAAACCCGTGACCGGTCCGTGACCGATTGTACCATCGGAATATAGAGTTGGCTGCCTCGGACAGTTGGACGCTAGAGTCCTTGTCAATGCAGCAGGTGTCAGCCCAAGCGTATGTCAGCTCGATCGGGCGAGCGGGGTGTGCCTTGAAATACCTAGCTTTTCCCGAGACATGTTTGTCGTTGCTCCTGAACTCATGAAATGATAACTCGTCGTTGCTCGATTCAGGGGAGTATGGCGTAAGGGAGGCCTGGTTCGTAGAACTTCTCCAGCGGTAGCGTGTGTACATTAATGAGCCACACGGTTTCGATGATGTGATGAGCTCAATAGCGGATGCGGGCCTAAAGAGGGCCAACAACAGCAGAACCACAGTAAGGAGTACTAGCTACTTATATTGCTCTGCAGAAGTTGCCCAAATGTCAACGGAAGACTGCGTCAAGTGTTGTCCGAGAGCCTTGAGAGTACCTAACAGAAGGAGATAGGAAAATGGGGAAAGAGCGAACAATTGCCGGCACTTGAAGCAGAGTAGATGCAGAAGGTGATGCTAGCAAATGGCGATGGCGAGCAGCCAGACAAGAGGTGTTGGCTGACCCCCCGAAGGAGGTACATATGCAGATAACCAATCCCTAGATTGCACGGAGTAATGCAGAGAAGACCGGCGCTACCTTGTGACGCCGCAGGAATCGAACCTGCGCGCGGCACAATTACAAATGAAAGACTTTCTAAACATTGCCTGCTGGTGGGAAATTGGACTTGTCGATAGCCAAAACTCGATGGCAGCGGCAAAGGCGAAGAAGAAATCGGCTGTCAAGAACGGTTGCCCTGTGGGTGAAACTATGCAATCTCACACATGGTGTTGGGCCCGGCAATCTGGTGTTCCCCCACACAAGCCCGACGGGCACCAGAACGTGCGCTCGCTCACAGAAGGGGAGGCTAAGCAAGACCAGGTTGGGGTTGAGGAACGCACGGCCAATGGCCAAAAGCTTACTGCGACTGGGACAGGGATGCGAGTGGATGAGGAAGAAAATGGCAGTTGGGGGGGAGAGAGAGAGAGAGAGAGAGAGAGAGGCTGGAGCTCGGCGGCAAGGAAACAGCCGAGAGAGCACGAAAATACGAACTGACGGATTTGCCTGCACCCACTCACTACTGATGGCGGTGCTGGTGCGGTGCGTGCAGCTTTTCTCTCTCTCATTTGGGGGAGGGACCCAGACACGCAGATTCCGAGCCAGCGCCCAGCGGTAGCCAAGTGAACCACACACCAGACACACGCACACGTTGACACGGCAGCACCAGCACCAGCACCACACCCCCCTTCCCCTTCCCCTTCCCCCTTCCACCCTCGCACGCCAGAAACAGCGACGGCAGCTCGTCCAGCCGTTACTGCTCGCGGCGACCGAGCTTAATAATTAGTCTGAGCCTGGGGGCCCGCACCGCACCGCAAACTGTAGCACCACCACGACCACCGCAGGACATCTGCATCGCATCAGCCCCCTGGTCCCGGCTGAAGCTCTGGCCATGGCCGCCTGTGATTGGCTCACCCGAGGACGTCCTCTTGAACCTCCTGTTTACCTCTCAACTTCCCTCGACTCCCGTAACCCCCTCCCATCTGTTGCAATTTCACCGGATTTTCCCATCGCTTCTGGATCGCATCATCAGCGCAACGCCGCTATCCACGTCGCCCATCCTTTGCGACCCCCATTGTATCCTTGTTTCCCACAGCATCCCATCTCAAGTAGACGCCATGCCCGTCGAGCTCCGCAAACGCAAAGCCCCCGAGCCTGCTCCGGCTCCCGCCCCCAAGAAGGCCTCCTCCAAGGTCGCCAAGGCGGCAGAGAAGGTCAAGGCCGCCGTCAAGGGCAAGACCGAGAAGCCTGTCGAGAAGGTCGTCGATAAACCTGTTGAGAAGCCCGCTGCTGCCAATGGCTCGGACAAGAAGGTCAAGGCCGTCAAGGGCGAGACCATCGACCTTGAAGGCTTTGGCGGCGAGATCGAGACCAACGACGGCGACAAGACGACTCTGAAGGAGCTTGTTGACAAGAGCAAGGCCGGTGTTGTCCTCTTCACCTACCCCAAAGCCTCGACTCCCGGATGTGGGTACCTCTCTGCATCGACATGTGCTTGGCACTCTTCTCGGAGCAATCATGCTAACTTATTCGTAATATTCAGGTACCAAGCAAGCCTGTCTCTTCCGCGACTCGTACGAGCCGCTGACCAAGACGGGCTTCGCCATCTACGGCCTGTCGACGGACTCACCCAAGGCCAATACTACCTTCAAGGAGAAGCAGAAGCTGCCCTACCCGCTGCTCTGCGACCCTAAGGCCACTCTTATCGATGCCATCGGGCTCAAGAAGCCGCCCAAGAGCACCCAGCGCGGTGTCTTTGTCGTTGACAAGGCCGGTAAGGTCCTCATCGCCGAGCCCGGCAGCCCCGCCGGCACCGTCGAGGTTGTGACCGCGCTGATCGAGGCGGCAACGTCGAGGCCGCTGCTGAGGCTGCCGCCGAAGCCGCCGCTACCGACGCTGAGGCGGAGGAGCCAGCCAACGGCGAGACCAAGGCTGGCGAGGAGAAGAAGGAGGCTGCTGCCGAGGACGCCGAGAAGAAGGACGAGTAATTATAGTGCTGCTATGTAAGTATAATTCGTGGTGGAAAACGTGTTTGCAATTGAAAGGGCCGGGTAGGACATGGGACGATTTTCTTGTATCCGTATAGTAGCTGGGAATTGATTGACTGGCGTTGGTCTTTTACACATGACACCCCGACATCAGTGACTGTGCCGCGATGCACCGCAAAACATTGTTCTGGGTGCCACGTCAACGCGTCGCCGAATCGTGAACCCCAGGAAACTCTAGCATTGCTGCATTGCGGCATTGCAAGGGGAAAAGGGTGAAGTGGATACCCGGCGCGAAAGTCGGGTTGCAAATTGAAGCACGGCTATTGCTTCGCCCGGCAAAACCTCGGCCGCCCGGTCCTTGCCAGAAACTGGAGCACTCTCGACAACCCAGTCGCCGGAACGCTCACATCCAACCTCAAGCTGGTCATCGAACCGTTGCCAATCCAACCCTCCAATCTCCCCTCCACCGTCCACAGCATCGCCCAAGATGGCCTCAAAGGCAGTTGCGAAGGCTGCGGCAGGCGGTCTTGTGGATATCTCCAAGGTACGCCTTGCACTGTGCGCTCAATTGGCGGTCCATCCTTCCTGCTCCCAGCGAAGCATGGAAAACCACCGTCACCACCCCGTTTCAACGATCACGAAACCGTTCAATTGGTCCAGCAGCTAACCTCCTTCCCTCCAGAAACACACCCTTCAGTCCACGGGCGTCTGGGAACGCATCCGCCGCTCCCTCGCCCTCGACCCCAACCGTTCCTCCGGTGTGCCCTTGAACCCGACCTTCCGCAACCCGACACCCGGCGCCCTGAACCCCCTCAGCTACGACGACCCCGTCACCCTGCCTGCGGGCGACATCGCCGACAACCCGTACTGGAAGCGCGACGCCCGCCGCAACTACCCGGCCATCAGCGTCGTCAACCAGGCCGACGTCGTTGGTCTGCTGTCGGTCGGCTCCGCCGCAAACCCGCGCATCGAGCTCATCGGCGAGGCCGGTGAGAAGCAGCTCGTCGCCGCCCGCGAGGAGGCCGCCTCCACGGGCCTGGCGCCGTACCTTGAGAAGAACGCCGCCAAGGCCGTCGAGGCCAGCAAGGAGGCGCTCTTCACCAACGGCCTGCCGCCGACGCCGAGCGGCCAGGACCTCAAGAGCGGAGAGTGGAGCGTGCACAAGTACGAGGTCACCGAGGAGCAGTCCTACGGCGAGAAGTGAGTTTCTCCTGTCGCGGGCGATTTCGTTTTATGGTTTGATGACAATGGTCTTTGCTAACACGATAAGTAACAGCTACCCCTGCCGGACTTTTGCGTGAGCATAGGAAATGCGGGTTTTTGCTGTACAGGAGGGAAGGGCGAATGTAAATATGAAGGGCACTAGATTCCATTAAACGTTTTACTTCTTGAGAGTCCCGAGTCTAAGAGGTTGTCCTGCCGTCCCTATGCTGTTCTCCCGGTGGGTATCTACGCCCTTTTTGTCCCGGCCATCCGTTCGTTGTCAAGCCCAACGATCCTCGATAAGAACGCCATCTATGCTTTTCAAAATCACTTTTACAACTCCTTCGTCCCCGCCACCTTGGCCTCGGCAACAGTCTCGCCTGTCACCCGCTCAATAATCTTGACCTTGCCCTGCGCCCTCTTGAGCCTGTCGTCAAAGTCGTTGACGGCCTCGTCGCTGTTCTCCCTGGCCAACGTGTCCGGCTCGACGAGCGCAAACGCCGCCGCGACATTCTTCTCGAGTCTTGCGTTGGGCGCTAGCGGCGGCAGGGAACACGTCTTTTGCTGTGGTACTTCCGTGGATTCTTGCGGATGCTGTGAGGAAGAGTTTGAAGGCTTGGCGGCGGCGGCGCCCTTTTGCGGCAAGGACAGCCGGTTCGCCCATACGACGGAGCGGCCGTGTATCCTGCCGCTCTCGAGGAACTTCTCGTAGCCCTTTGCCAGGCCGACGGAGCGGCCCTCAATCTTGCCGGCCTGGATGCCGTCCTCGGTGCCCTGGCGGTAGCCCTCGGCGAAGAACTGGTCCTCGAGGGTGAGAACGTCGTCGAAGGGGTCCAGAGACATTGTTTGCGAAGCGTTGATGAACAGAGTGAACGTTGTGTCTATATAGATATTGTCTATGAGGTGACTTCTGTTGTAAGTCGCGTCGGTGGTGAGTGCTGCCGGGTAAAGCTGATGGAGGGGTGATTTGAAATGGTGGCGGGGCAAATTTGAAAGTTTGACTCAGCGCTCTTTTTTGCTAGTGACATTTCACAATTCTCTTTTCTCAACTTTCAAACATCAAGTTGAGGGACCAAATGATACCAGGATTGATAACAACATGCCCAATAGGCTTTTTATTATTTTTACAAACAGGCATGCCTGCATTTAAAAAAAGTCTGTTTAAAAAGTCTAATAAAACAGAGTGGCACAACTATTGATCCAAACGGACGCGGGGAATCAATTCTACGTCTATCTCATAACTAACAAGCCAAAAATACCCATCATTTCATCATCATTGTCCGCAACTTGTTACTGCATGCCAAACAACATACCGCCGTTGGCACACACAACCTGTCCCGTACACCACGCCGACTCGGGCGAGACGAGCATGCCCACGATCCCGGCAATCTCTCCGACATACGCCGGCCGGCCGCCCTCCTCCTCGGCTGCCTTGACGAGCTCATCCGAGTCAATGCCCTTGCGTGCCTTCATCAGCGGCGCGTGCTCGATGAAGCCCTTGATGAAGCGCTTGAACTCGGGCGTGTTACCCGCGTACATCTCGGTCAGCACGGGGCCCGGGTTGATGGCGTTGACGGTGGCGTTCTCGCTGAGCTCGCGGGCCCAGGTGCGCGTCATGGCCTCGAGCGCGGCCTTTGTGCCGCCGTAGACGCTCTGCTCGGGGAAACCGGTCGATGAGCTGACGGATGACATGTTGACGATACGGCCGCTGCGGTCGGTAGGGAGGTAGGGCTGGACGGCCTGGACGAGGAGGAGCGGGCCGAGGACGTTTACACGGTAGGAGATGTCGAACTGCTCGACCGTCACGGCCGGCAACAGGTTGTTGTGGGCGACGCCAGCGTTGTTGATGAGCACATCGATCTGGAATTTGCCGTTGAGCTTCTCGAAGTGGGATTTAGCGGTCGCGACGAGAGACTTGGGGCCCTCGGGTGTGCCCATATCGGCCTGAACAGCGAGGGTCTGGATGCTGTGCTTGGTCTGGAGGTCCGCGGCCAGCTGCTCCGCGGGGTCTTGGAGGAAGGCGAGGTGTAGCCTAGAATGAGGTTGCAACCTTTTGCAGCGAGGTTCTCCGCAATGGCGACGCCGATGCCTGAGTTCGGAAGTTGTCAGAAGTGCTCCGTGTTCACGGCACGCTTTGGTATTGTATGCCCTTACCTCGAGAGGCGCCGGTCACGATTCCGAGCTTGCCTTCCAGGGAACGGGGCATTTTGTGGTTGTTTTACGTGGACTTCAAGCTATGAAGTTGATTGGTCAAAGTTGGATATAGACAAGAACGAGATACGGTTGCAGTATGGTAGGAGAGAAAAGACAAGACGGACTGGTGAAGAGGAGGACGACAACAGGACACAATGAGAGTAGGACGGAGAGACGGGGACCTCAAGGTTTATAGCTACGTGGACCACCCTACCCAGGAACAACTGGACCCCAAGGATCCTATTGTCCCGAACGGGCAATGCTAGGAGCTCTCGTGACCCGTCCGAAATCCGTTGAGAGACGAAAGATGGACGGATCCCGCCCAATGGAAGGCGAGCTCGCCGCATACATCCCGGGAGAAATCTGGGTTGCTGTTCGAGGCAGGAAATTCGGGGTTTATGGGTGAAAGCTACCCCGCTGTCGCAACAGCTCCCTAGGGGGATTGCCCCGCGGTGGACATGCAACTGCGCTGAGATGGCCGTCCCCACGTCATTCTCCCGCGCCAATCCTGGGCCAGGGTTTGATGCGATCGGGGGTCAGTTTCTCGACCTTCTGGGCCACCTAGACCTTCGTCAGGGAGCGCTAGGACTCCCAGAGGCCGGCTGTGGGTTGGTGGATAGCTAGACGTGGTTTTTCTTTCTAATACGACCGAGGATTTGCGTATTGAAGAAAAAACACCCGGAGAGGGAGCCGTAGTAGTTTTCGTGTTTGGGCCTGGACTGGAAGCAACTGCTGCCGCACTCAGAGCTCTCGCCTTGCGCTAAGAATTGCCAGAACGGAAAATCCAATTGAACGAGTAAGTTGACCTCAACGAGGTTTAATAATACCGAGTTTGAAGAAAATAAGAAAGCGACTAAAGCAGAAGAATTCTTGATTGATTGTTTCAACTTCCACCGCTTCCGAGAGCACACCGAACTCGACAATGAACTGAACGTTGCGAAGGCGAAGAATGCACGCTGTAAAAGCTTCACTGTAAAGCTCCCGTATCGCAATTGGCGGGGCACCTCTGAGCGACACTCGGAGCCTTGTGCGGCGGTGGTGGGGTCCGTGGCAGCCACCCACGGCCACCTCATGGTTCAACGACCAGGGTCTTTCTAAAAGTCTACCTCCCCTCTTCAGCGTCTTTCACCACCCAATTCGCAACCCACTCACCCCCCTACCTCAAGCCTCGCGCGCCTACCCGCACTAGACGACCTCGTCAGTCCCGACCAACTTATTTCTCCCTCGAATCCAGCCTTCCACCGAATCTCCGAGAGACCCCGCGACCGAGACCTGCCCACCATGGATATCCGTCTTCTCAAGCCCGCCGACCTTCCCCTCATACAGCACGCCAACCTCGAGAACCTGCCCGAGAACTACTTCCTCAAGTACTACCTCTACCACGCTCTCTCGTGGCCCCAGCTCAGCTATGTTGCTGTCGACGTCTCGCGCCCGAAGCGCACTCCCTACGACTACCCCAAGATCGTCGGCTACGTCCTGGCCAAGATGGAGGAGGAGCCCGCTGACGGCGTGCCCCACGGCCACATCACCAGCCTCAGCGTTATGCGTACCCACCGCCGCCTGGGTATTGCCGAGAAACTGATGCGCCAAAGCCGTACGTTGGCTCTGCCTCTACTTCTACCTCTGGCTTTGCCAGGATCTCTACTGACAATTCGCAGAACTCGCCATGGTCGAGACTTTCGGCGCCCAATACGTCTCCCTCCACGTCCGTGTCTCCAACCAGGCCGCCATTCACCTCTACCGCGACACCTTGGGCTTCAAGACGGAAAAGACGGAGAGCAAGTACTACGCCGACGGCGAGGACGCCTTCTGCATGAAGCTCGACCTGGGTTACATCCGCGAGCAGATCCAGGACGAGCGCGACCGCGAGGACGAGAAGGATGGCGAAGCTGTTGACGAGGGTGACGCTGTTGGTGACGTCGGCCGCGACCCCAACGCTGCTGCTGCCGCTGCAGACAAGAAGCGCAAGGTCAAGGTCGGCCGCGGTCTGGGCGTCGGCGAGCTGGTCGAGAAGAACGAGAGCAAGAACTAGGGATCCGACTCTTCATACATTTAAACGGCTAGGGATTGGCTGCAGCAGGGTGGTGGAGGCGGTGCCGTCGAGGGCGGCGGATCTTGTACTTAAGCAAGCAGCGGAGATGCCGGCAGCAATGTTGGCGGGGTAGATGCTGGTGGCATTTGGACAGACTGACGACGTAGTCCTCAGAAATTGCGGCTATGTCTGTTATCTCAACCTAGAGATTATTCGGGTTGTCAGGGCAGTCATGACGAAGAGCACATACGAGACATGGAGCTCCGTCGGCAGACGGTTAGCATGTCTCTACGAACCATAGAGGGAGTTCAAAAAGCCTCAAAGGAGAATTACGATGGGATACAACGCATCATAAGCACGGTTACCAAAAGAACAAAATAGACGAGGCAATGGCGGTGGTATCAAATGGAAGCAAACATCCCCTCAAATTATTTTCAACTCATTACATGCTACGTCCAGCCCCTCTTGTGTCCGCGTATTTGTGTGCTGTTTTACCACCCGCCAGACTTGTCATCCTCCGCCGCCAGCTCCCTCGCAAACTCGGCGTCCGCCTCGATCTTGAGCTTCTCCACGTTCCTCGACAGCTCATCAATCTCGGCCTCCATCTTCTGCGCAGTCTCATCACCTCCGCCCGCCCTGCCCGAGCCGCACCGCCCTCTGCCACGGCTGTTACCACATCTCCCCCTTCTGGGGTTGTTATCCCTCATCTCGTTTCTCACCTTATCCAGCTCCTCGACCCTCCGGGCGATATCCTTCTCCATCTCCTCCACAGCTTTGAAGAGCACCTGCGACGGCGGCACAGGCGGCGTAGACGCCCCCGGGCTCCTCTCGCCGCCGCCACCGACGGGCCATGCACCAGGCGGATGAGGAGGCCCGGCGTTAGACGGAAACGCGTGCTCGCTTCCGCGTCCGTGCCCGCGACCCCAGCCCCTCCCGAACCCCGCGCCCCAAGGCCCTCCGCCTCCTGAGAAACCGCCCCGGGGCGCAAACCCCCTGCCCGGACCGCCACCCCACTGGAAGTTGTTTGGAACGTTCGGCGAGACTATAGGGACGACTGGTATGGGCGGGGTATGTACCACGGGCGGAGGCGGTACGTGGATGCCGTGCGGCGGCGGTGGTACAAACGGCTGAGGCGCACCCCACAACGACGGCGCGGGCATCGGCCCCGGGCCGTGATGGTGATGATGGTGGTGCTGGTGACCCCCTCTCGCTCCGTCGCCGCCGTCGCCGCCGTCGCCACCGCCGCCCCTCCTCGTCTCCATCTGTGCTCGTCTGCCTTCTCTCCTCTGCTCCCTGCGCTCCCTCCTCTGCTCTCTACGCTCTCTCTTCTCTTCCCTCCGCTTCGCACGGCGCTCCCGCCGCTTCTCCTTGCGTACCGTGCGCTGCTGGCGTTTAAGCTTCCGCCATTCCTGCGTCAGGGTCTTGAGCTCCGCCCTCAGCGCCTTTTCGTCGGCCCTGCTCGGCGCAGATGCGGCAGACGGATTGTCCTGCTTCGACTGCCCTGATGCATCACTTACAGAGCGCGCGGAGCGGATCTCTTTGCGCAACTGTGCCACATCGGCTTTCGTGACAGGCTGGTCCGGGTGCGAGAGCCACGACGCCACGCGGTGTTTGTAGATGGGCAGCTGAGCGGGGTAGAGATCCTCGTAGTCCGGCAGGGAGCCGACGGAGGAGGCGGACGACGTAGAGGAAGAGGAGGAAGCGGAGGATGATGCTGAGACTGAGCGCTGGTCGGAGGGGTACCGGCCGGGTGGACGGCCACGGCCTCCGCTTCCACTGCCATGGCGGACGTGGGCGTGGTTGTGGCCGCTCTGGAAGAAGGGGTGCTCGTGGGTTCCTGAAAGTGCCATATGTTGCGGGTGTGGCCCCGGAGGGAACGGGCCAGATCCAGGTCCGGGTCCGAACATTGGCACAGGTGATGGGCCCGGCGGTGCATGCAGAGGGGGAGGGGCCCAGTTCGGATTCGGACCGACGTAGTGAGGTTGCGCGCGCGGCGTCGTGTTGCTTCCGAACCTTATACCGTTCTCATCCGCAATCAGGTTTCCCACCCTGATGCCATTGCTATCCGCAACGATGCGGTCCCCGATCGAGATCCCATCCTGCGTGACCGTAATACCGCCAAAGCTCCAACTACCCCGGGCCTCGCTCGCACTCGGGCCCGACTGTGTTGTCGGCCCCGGGCCCGTGTGCACGGGGAAAGGCACGGGCGTCGGACCACCGCTTCCTCCTCCGCCCGGGATAGTCGGGCTCTCGACGCTCCTATCAAAAGACCGGTCCCAGGCTCCAGGCACACGCAGCTCCTCGACGTCGGGGTTGAGCATCACAGCCACGCCCCTTGGGTGGAAGAAGCCCTCATTCCACTGCGCGACCACGGCCTCCACGTCCTCCCTTCTAAGTCCTGATGCGGCGGCGGCCGCGCCGGGGTCGGTGTCCGGGTCGGAGCGGATTTGATCCAACTGCGCCGAGGCGTGGCTGCTGCTGTTACTCCGCGCGCCGCTGGAGCTGTTGTCGCCCCTCCCCCATTCGACGCAGCGGCGGCGGCGGCGATGGCCTCCTCCTCGGCCCGCAGCTTGCGGTTGATGACGGCCTCATTTCGCGCGGCGGTGTGGTGCGGAATTAGGCAGTTTGTGAAAGTCGCCCAGTCCTGCTGCGTGACGTCGCGGGCGGCCCAGCTCGGGGGGCAGGGTACGTCGTCTGGCGTCGAGGACGGGGTCACGGTAAGTAAGTGAACGAGCTGGTCCTGCGGGGGGAAGGCGGGCGCGGGCCTGGATTCGAAGTAGGCGGCTGCGAAGTCCGAGTATGCCGATGAGGTGGAGGGAGCGGTGAAAGCTTGCGGGCGGCCGGACAGGCTGGAACTCGAGTCATCTTGGTGAGCGCCGCCGGTGCCGCTGGTGCGGGGTGTCAATGGTGGGGTGTAGATGACTTCGCTGCGAGACGAGGCGTGCGATGAGACCCGCGAGGCGCCGTCGTCGCCATGGTTGGAGGGAACATGTGGTGAAATCGAGGATGGATTCGAGCGCTGGCCGGAGGTCGAGTAGATGTCCGTCTCTGAGTATGGCGGAGGGGGGACATCGTCCATGTCGGTTTCCCGCATGGCCATTCGTGGTGAGGCCGGTGTATATTGTATCTATAAAGCTCGGAGAGTTGCAGAGCTCTCTGTATTTCGGAAATGCGGTCTGGAACTTCGGCTTGGTTCGTATTGTTCAACGCCCTTGCGGTTTCGAGATGTTCGGTAGATGGTTGGGAGGAGACGGAATAAGGAAAAAAAAAAGGCCAAGGTCAAGAAAACACCTAAGACTAATAAACGGCACAACGGCACATGGCGGCGGACGAGGAAAGTGTGGGATCATATGGCAATTTGACGAGCTGGGCAGGCTGGGCTGGGCTAAGCTCCATTGACTCAATCATCTTTCCCCTCGGTCAACTCGAACAACTCCTCTCAAGGCCCATGCATGTCCCATGCTCTCCGCTAGCAAACCTGTCTTCTATACCTACATCTACTCGCTCCCCCGTTCGCGTAGCCTTACGACGTGCAAGTCCTACCCGTCGAACCATAGTTCATCACTTAACGTAGGGGAACCCCGCCTTCAGGAGCCTAAGCGATGCTGCCGAGCCCACGCCGCCAGACAAGTAAAGATAAGCATCAAGCTTGTTTAGGGGGTACCCCTGCGGATGGCGCAGCACCTTTGCGATGAGAACGCGTTTTTTGGTTGCAGCCCAACTTTATCCCCCATTCGACCCTGAACGACTGATTGTCCGCAGTCAGAATTCGGGAAGGCTCGCTGCAGCAACATTGCTGACGCGGCCCATCCGTAGGCAGCAGTACGCCATCAGCGGCCCATCCACACTAGCCACCAAGGCCCCTCCTCCAGTGGGGTCGCGTTCTCCCATGCCGTTGGAACGCCGGACCCTCAAAAAAACTTATGTACAACTCCGACTGACGCCGTGCTGCCCGAATCAACCGGCCCTAGCCCTAGAACAGGAAGAGCTTAGGACCAAACCGCGGATTAGTCTAACTGTACAGCCCAGGTTATGCATGCGCCTGGGTAGATCGATGACTGGTCATGGCCAACGCTTCGCTCTCGCTGTCGGGGCCGCGAATCATTCTCAGGGCTGCGGGATGCCGCTGTCGCGTCCCGACAAGGTTAAATGCGCAAGGCGTTTCTTGCGACGTACTTGCGTAGGCAGCACCTCATCGGTCAGCCTCAGTGCTCCAGAGGTGGAAGTCAACATCTTCCGGCTTATAGTGATCCGCAATTATGGTTGACAGGTGGTTGCGAGAGTGCGCGCCGCTGCATACATGTTAGCTGTGGCTCAATGCCATAGATGCGCACGCATCAAACTTACAGGTTGGTGATGTATGTGTCGAGCAGTTCGGGAGGCACGAACTCGCTGACAGCGCTCCGAACGTCCACACCGTTGACCATGGCTCCATCTGCGAAGTTTACGTGGCTCATAGAGCTGCCCCATTCAACAAGGCTCTCCTCATCAAAGTAACTCTCTGGGCAAAGCTTGTAAACACCGCTGAGGATGATGACCGGGTTGCCCTGCTCCTTGGCTGCGCGCGCAATAACTCCGGCGCCCGCGTCCGTCAGGATGCCGCCGTTGGCTAGTACAGCTCTCGCGCTTAAGATGACCTTGTTGATACGTGGCATGTAGGCCATCATGCCACCGTTCAGGATGCTGATGGCATTGATGCCGGCCGCGCCCAACTTCTTCCTGAACGACGCATAGGGCGCCTCGTTGGTCGAGCTGCGGGTAGTTCCAGCGGCAATAAAGACGGTGAACTTTCTTCTCGTCGCAGCTCGCAAGATGAACTTTTGGACCGTGGCCGAGGGCTGGTGCACAAGCACGTAGTCGCCGGGGTGAATCTGAACATCTGCAGCCGCAGCGATCTGGTCATCAACCTGGCCGATTTCGTCCTTGAGCTCCTCAATACCCTCAATGACCTCCGATCTCAGAGCGTGTACCCTTGTCGACTGTCCGCGAAGGGGAGTCGATGTACCGGAGTCCTTGCCAAATGGCGAGCCCGCCATGATGCCGCTGGCGTCCATCGGGGGGAGGCCTCGAGGAGGGAGAAAAGTGACTTCGACACATGGAAAGAGCTCACGGATGTGAGGGCGCCAGGGCGCACTGGTCTCGGGCCGCTCGAGATGTAGTCTGCACCAGCATCCTGCTTGGTGTAGGTAGAGGGAGGCCATTGGTGCTCTAGCTTGGAAGGGTCTGGTACTGCTGTAGTCGGTGTCGCTCCTGCCTCTGTGGCGGTCTCGCTGATGTCCTCGTTTCGGTCTTCCGCCGCCTCGTCTCGGATCAGGCTTAATACGCGTCTAACGATGTTGCCTACCACCAATTCTTTGGGCTGGGCGGCGATGAGGCGCAAGCCAATCTGCTGAACCTTTTCCAACAATGAATCGACGTCGGTCCATTTTGCCTTGGCAACTACCTGGAGGAGAATGTGTGCGGTCGCGATGGCGCAGAGCTCGGAGCCTTGGATCTGTCTTCTCTTCAGGAGCCTGGATGGTTGATCTGTCAGCTTACGTTTCTACGATGCTGCTGTGCGAGTGATGGTCCGTACGAGATGAGACTGTCGATTGACGCTTCCAAGGGCTTACCCTTGAGGGTCTTGAGATACCGCTCGAGATCCCCCGCGCTGGGCTTCAGGGTCGCCATTTTGGGTGGGTGCCGATTTCAAGGTCCGAGGTTGGGAGGGAGGGGGTGTCGCGGGCCCGTCGCAAATATTTTTGAAGACAGTCTGTAAATCACTGGGGTCGCAAGTGGTCTCTTAGAATGGACACGATGACCTTTGGTTGTTGCAGCACGTGAATGCACAATGCAATGGCTGTTCTTGTAGCTAGGTATGGCCGGATGGTGAATTGGAAATTGTGCGCAAACGGTTGTGACTCAACAATGAAGCTCGTAGAGGGACCGTCAATCGACCCCCTGTCACACTAAAAAACTTCGAGGGGGATTGGATGACCACCAGCTCCGGGGACAGCTGGTGTCAGGGGGTGACGGCTTCGCTGGAGCTCGCTCGAAGCTCGGACCGAAGCAACCCGTGCTGGGTACATGGCAAGATCCCCAATGGCATTCCAGAAAGCCACTCCACTAAACAACTACCCCTCCATCGCTGCAAAATGACGTTGGTGACTGAACCGCCGCTGTAAGAGATGCGTTAGGGCGCCGGGTGGTTGGCCAGTGGCCAGTGGCCTGTGAGCTGCCCGTCATCTTGACGAGCCAGGTCTACTTCCATGGTACTATGTAGAACCGTTAGAGCAGGGAGGAATGCCGACAGCTGTAAATGTCTTGAGAACCAATCCGCCCGAATTCTCCAGTTGATCCCTTTCTGCTCGAGCTCTTCTCTCCAGGAATCCAACCCCATTTCCGATATTCTGCTCTAGTCAAGCGCTCCCTTGCTCCGAAAAAATAGTTAGAAATGCAATCATGTTCATGAACAAGTGTCGGTGGCCAGGGATTACGAACCTGCCGGGTCCGTTGGCAGCATTGGATCCCAAACTCTTAGTAGCGGACGGAATTCGCCAGAACCCATCACCTGGTCTCTTGTAAGAGGCGTTCTGTCCAAGAGTTGAAAGTCAATGCATTGCATGGACGCACCGCACTTTGCTTTAAGGGCTGCAATTTCTTTCGGCATAGTGCGGAATGCAAGCCATTTTATGGTTCGTGCTGGACCCTTACTTTCACCAGTTTCGGAAGGCTATCGGTCAGCATTTCGGTTCATTTTGAATATTCTGTAACGGCTTCTGCTGCCCAGCAATGCAAAGTTGAGATTGTCTAATTAACCCGAACCTCCAGCATAAGCCAACGCAACGCAGCTAAGAGTTAGCAGTGTTGAACAAGATCAATGCTGTCCTCCCACGCGCAAATAGCAAAGCCCAAATCAGAAAATACCGTAGTGGTTATCGTTGGCCAGTTCCTGCGGCCACGCTACTGTTTTATCAGCTATCCTGAAGGCTCTCCTTTCTTTGTCACACATTAAATTGGCCAACGACGACGAGGAGAATGAATAGCGCCACTTTCTAGACAGTTTGGTCACTCCCGTAGTGGGTTGAGTTGAAAGAAAGAGGGTTGCTGTCAAAGTTGAAAACCGGGGTGACTATCAACTAAGAGCGAATAGTTGAGCGACAATAGAACACGGATACGAAGAGTTGGATCGGAGTCGCGACGCTCAAAGGCCCGTATCCCGCAGAGATGCTCGGGTGCGCTGCAAACTGCGATTCCCAACTCGAGCCCTGTCTGCCCCAGCTCCGTTCAATCAAAAGTCTCAACAACAAAGGCAAAAGTGGAGTTGCGCTTTCACATGAAAAGAGCCAGGGTGGCTCGGGAATCGGCTGATGGACGCATTCAACCATATCAGAGACCGCGGCCGAAGTCCTTGAAAACTTCTCTCAAACCCCAGTTGAGAGGAATCATCTCAAACGAGGAGGACTGCTGGAAGACGAATTGCAGCGCAGCCACCTTGCGGACTCAGAGTGGCTTCGGGACCCGAGTGTCTCTACCTACCTATGTACCTTCAGTTTGTGTTGGGGAAGATACCTAAGAATGTGGGCTGAGGTACATCAGTTACGTAGCAGCTGGTCCCCTCCCCCCTTGCCCTCTCTCCTCCATGCATCCCCAAAAAAGTGCGCTGAGTGACTGGCAAGTGGGAAGATGAAGCGCAACGTGACAGGAAGAAAATAAGAAGCAACGCCCAAAAGGGAACCGGACGGTTCGAGATTCGACACGTGAACCTATCTTCATTCCGCATCCCCCACAAGGGTCAGCAGGCAGTGTAACCCCAGTATCCGTCCTACTGCTACCCACGCAGCACTGGACTGGACAGAACACCCTCCCCTAGCACGGCCTGCGCTGGACCAATACCGTCGATACATAGCTGCACCAGCATCAAACTGCCCCCAAGTACGACCACGGTCCAACCCGGCCAAACCCAGCAGACCTGCAGAGTGTTGAGCTACTTGCTGCTGTTAATCCCCCTCGCATCCGCTTCCCTTCCGTGGCTTCCACTGGGACGTCGTGCGAAACAAATCGGGCTCTCTAGACACTCTAGGCTCTCTAGACGCTTCATCGGCACCTCCAATCAGGGAACAGCTTCCCTGTCCATCTCAACCACTGCCTTTTGGACGCTACCGCATCTCGGCCGCCTCGATACCTCCAACTCCCGAGAGCCCGACCGTCCCTTTTACACTGGACATCTTCTCTCCCCTCACACACGGCCTAGTCGTCAGGTTTGCGCTGACGGCCACATATCGCTTTTTAGCGCTCGCTAGCACCAGACGGACGAACCTTTTCGCCAGCGCCACCCCTTCGCGCTTTATTTTTCTGAAGCCTCGTTGTTCGTTCATGGCGAACTGAGTGTTGCCGTTTCTTGGACTTGGATTTGGGGGGAAAACCATCTGGCCAACCCACGACTTGGACTCTTCTCGGTCATCACAGACTCGATTCCAGACCTTCCGCAAGCTACCCTCGAACCGAACCCCAGCGACGAATAAACAGACGATTGGCATCACTACACTCGTTCCCTTCGATCGCTGCGTCCATCGACCTGCTGCACGACGCCCGCTTCCCCTGACGCGACTACTCGCCCATCGCATCCTTCATCGCGCGGAACGTCTGGAACATTCCTGACCACCGACACCACCCCTTTCTACCGAACCCCCGATCTCTCCCAACTTTTTTTTTGCCCCTAATTCGCTATCCGTCGTCGAGCCTTCATGCCTCATGGATTGTACATGCTGTCAAAGATGAATTCCCTGAACATCATCACCTCTCGCGTCTCTCCGCCACCGAGCCCGGTTGCTTCGCGATCCAACTCCATCAGCTCCCTGGGCTTGGCTGTACAATCTGACGATCAGCGCGGTGACGAAGGCGCCGAGAAACACGACGACGACCAAGACGACGAGACGTTTCCACTCGAGAAATCCGCTTTTCAGCAGCGCAATGACGGCCACGGCATGGATCTCGCCAGCGAAGCGACACCGCTGATAGGGGAATCGAAAGATTCGGGCCCGAGGTCAACTACATGGCATTCCCTGCCTCGGCGCATTGCTGCGAGCTTCATCAATTCGCTTCGCTGGGTCTTGTCTACTTTGGCCGCCCCTGGTGTATATCTGATCGCATGCATGTACGACGAAACGGACAACTTCTCGCCCTTCTTTCCCCTCAAAAGACTGTTTGGATTCCACGGCGGAAACAAGAAACTTGCGACAGACTACCCTGAGTCCATGGGCGAGAAGTCAGGCCGTCATGGGAGCGCTGGATACGGAGGCGTCACTTACTCGAGGCCAATAGGGTCCTCGGGTTCTTCTTCTTCAGGCATATCCTCGGAATCGGAATCGGACGCAGATCGTCAACGTCAAGGTTCTTCTAGTCGACACTCCCGGTCAAAGTCTGCATCTGAAGAGATTGCGCCTGCTCGGAGATCCATACGCATAAAGCTACACAGCGACGATGCTCTGCCTCAGCGTAAGCACAGGAAAACGCAGTCTGCAGCCGTCCGCTCCAAGGGTAACAGCGAATCTGGTTCCTCCGACATATCCGCACAGCTCAAGTCGCCAACGTCGCCCGCAGGCGCGCTGACCAGGTATCCCAAGACGCCGGCCCCGCCTCGCCCCTTGATCCCTCGCCGACAGCCCTCATACCTCAACCTTGAGCCTTCGACCGATCCCAAATACCAGAAGACTCTCATTTTGGACCTCGACGAAACTCTGATCCACAGCATGTCCAAGGGGGGACGCATGAGCACTGGGCACATGGTCGAAGTCAGACTGAACCAGACTTACGTAGGCGCTGGAGGACAGACGTCAATTGGACCGCAGCATCCGATTCTCTACTGGGTCAACAAGCGTCCACACTGCGACGACTTCTTGCGTCGGGTAAGAAGCTGTCGCAAACAGCCCTTTTTGTTGTCGAGATGCTAATGTTTCATCAAGGTTTGCAAGTGGTACAACCTAGTAGTATTTACAGCCTCAGTTCAAGAATACGCGGATCCAGTCATCGATTGGTTGGAAGCAGAGAGGAAGTTTTTCTCGGCGCGATACTACAGACAACACTGTACATTCCGGCAAGGAGCCTTCATCAAAGACCTCAGTTCGGTTGAACCGGACCTGAGCAAGGTCATGATCTTGGACAATAGTCCGTTGAGTTATATGTTTCATCAAGGTATGTGGGATCGGCGCGTTCTGTTTAGGTGCCGTGGATGCGATCTAACGTGATCCTGCAATAGACAATGCGATTCCTATCCAAGGTTGGATCAACGACCCGACGGACAACGACCTCCTGCACCTGGTGCCACTGCTCGAAGGTTTGCAGTACGTTTCAGACGTGAGGGCGCTGCTTGCGCTGCGTGGAGGTGAGGACGGTCAGCATATGGCGTAGAGTTTGGGTCTGTAGAAGGAATATTTGGTGTACTGGCATGGGAATAGCGAGGCGAACACCGACGGCTTCAACTACGCGGTGTGGGTCTGTATTAATATTTCGATAGAGGGAAGGGAAGAGGAGCTCTTGGGCGGCACGACGTAATGTCGTTGCGGTTCTGTGAAGCTTCAGGAATACATGCCAGGCCACCAACCTTTTATCGGTTGCCGAAGTTCAGCGGAAGTTTGTGTCTGAAAAGGAGTGTTTGGTGCTCAGTGAATGTAAATGTTGTTTCTGGTCAGTGTTGACACTGAGCATCCGTCAGCCGGGCGACAGGGCCGTTCTTGCAGTGTTCTGTGCCTGAGCTCGTCTAGCCCGAGCCCCGCCGGGGACAAGCTTGACAACTTACATGCTCAACACATAGGAATGATACAATATGTACGTAAGGCAAAGAAAAGCTACCCTGGTTGAGGCGTTTCCAGTCCCGGCCGCAGCTCCATCCAGAAGCTGGTTGGCGGGAAACGAGGCGCAGTTTGTATGGACAGGCATGGAAAAAAACCGAAATGGCCTGGCGGAAGGTGATGCATGTGCCTTGGCCAAGAGAGTAGGCCATGGGATTCTACTTGCACCATCTCGATCATTTTGCTCCAGATTTTCGTTGATTCTCCACCATGATTAATTGCAAGCGCGGGTGCTGTGCCGGGAGTCGTGGAGGACATTCTCCGAGACCATCACAGAGCGGGCACCTGGCAGGCATAGAGAGATGATGTGCTTAATCCAGGCCAACATGGGGGACACAGGTGTACGGGTTAGAAGCGGGTAAGTGGTTTGGCCGGGGGTATGCGGCTAGGGAGAAGGTCTTTGGAGACGGTCTCGACCAATTATCGGAGCATGAGTGGAGTCTCAAGTGGGTTCGGCGGGGAGGGAGGTGGTGACATCATGGTACAGGTGACGACACCACGACATCGACAGCTGGAAAGGAGAGAAAGCGGCATGGCGCGAGTTGGAGCGAAAGCTTGGGACACCCAACCACACGTAGGAGGCAAGCAGAAGCACCACACAATCAGGAGCAAAAAAGCAGGAGGGAGAGCGCTGTGACATGTCTCTCGGTACCATCAACCCCTGCTCGCACCCTGCCCAGACCAGCTGTCTCCTAGTGTGCGTAGCTCATACGCCTCTTGCCTGAGGGAAAAGGGAAAAGGCAAAGTGGCAGAGGACAGGCGCCCAGGGACGACCGATGATGGAATGAGACCTCGATCTGGCTGGCTAGGCCTGCTCCCCAATCACCTCCCATTAGGTAGCTAGTTCCTGTTTCGCCTGGGATGAACGGGAGAACGCACTTGCCTTGCTCCGGTTACCAGCCCAAGCTTGCATGCAGAGGCTGAGGTCACAAGTAGCTCACACCCGTCCACCTGGTGCCTCCCTAGCACATAAAAGCCTGCCCTCCCGCCCTTCTGCTCCCAAGCTCCTGTTTACATTACTCCAACAGTCCAATCGATTCTTGATTTCTTTCCACCACAAGATACCCAAAAATCAACAAACATGTCTCTGCACTGTAAGTTGATGCCCTTCCTGACGGTGATGAGCGAGATGGGGGAGCTTTGGGTTCGCTTCGAATAGCTGCGTCTCTGCCGGCCCCACTTGTCCTCAGCGAGGGAAACGACGCGCCTTTGTTGGACTCGAGATCACAAGCTCGATTCAGCACCGAGGCGGGGCCGACATGGTATGAACAGATCGCTGACCTTTCATCTCATCAGACCTCCCCCCCGTCAAGCCTTCGGCCATTGCCCTCGGCACCATCTTCAACCACACGGCTGAGCTTGCTGGTATGTGAATCCTTCGATGCCCCAAAATCGCACCATACCCCAGATCGCATCAGCTAACCCAAGCTTCCCCACAACAGTCTTGACTCCCCTCTTCGGCGCAACCTACCAGCGCGCCAAGGCTGCCAACACCAAGGAGGAGTTCGCTCGCTCCAAGGAGGCTCAGGGTGCCGCCGTCGCTTGGGGTACCTCCCTCGTTGGCTCTGCCCTCCAGTCGTACGGTGTCGGCGCCCTCATCAACGCCACTGGCACTCTGTCCTACAAGGGCGCTGCCTACCTCGGCTCTTTGATCTTCTTCGCTACTTCTGCCCCCGGCGTACGTCTACTCTTTTTCCACATCATGATTTCGTGACTAACGAAATGCAGTACATCTCCCAAGTCTTCGTCGAGAAGCGTCCTGTTGACACCGTCGGCGTCAGCGTCTTGGCCAAGGTCATCGAGACCGTCGGTCTGTCGGTCTTCCTTACCTGGTGGGGAACCCGCACCAACCCCTTCGACTAAAGGGTTGAATGTTTTATGAACTCAATTGAGCGTTCTGAATGGATTGCTCGTGTGCTATTATCGTTGGGTCGGATGGGATGAGGTCATGGAGTTAAAGAGAGCCCATTATTGCGGCTAGGGTCATTGCCATGTACCTACACTTTTACGTCTGCTCAAGCCATGATTCCTTTAATCGACGAAATCATTTCAAATATTCATCCACCAAATATTTCACGCGGTGACTACAGTCTTCAACGCAGACGGTTCTTTGAACCAGTGTCTTGCACTTGCGTGGCATGATTATGGCATGCTTGGATGGCAGAGCTATTGAAAATGGACCTTGGCTCAACTGCATACTAATCAGATATCATCTGATCCCAACGAAACGCCGGGACAGCGAAGAGCGGTGATCAGTGTGATATGGATTCCAGCATGAGAGATCTACCTCGAGTTTTCAAATCAAGAAGATGAAGGGAGGCTGCCTGGTTTGTTTTTCACATGACACCTAATCACGGCATCACTCAGAAGCACTTCTCGACACCTCGTGTCGGAGAAGCAGATGAAAGTTCCTCCACACCTCCGCACCCTAAAGGTTCCAACGGAAGTTGTAATGATTGGAAATCATTTATTTGGTTCGAGCAGCAGCAAGACTACTCAATGCAAACAAAAAAAGATGTGCCCTAGAACGCCGATGGTCTTTTTTTCCAGCCAGTTTCCCGTATGTCCGCGCCGCAATTGGCCAAAAAAAAAGGAAGCGTGCATATAATACAACTACCCCCGAAAAAGCCGTTTTGCCATCATGAACCACGCGCCCCGTTCGTTCAAGTGACGGGGATAAGCGTGACATAGTCGTCTCTCCGCTGACGGTGGTTGTTTGCTTGTCAAGGGATGTCTTCCTCGTACCTGGTTCCGCAAAGGTCCTCTCTCCTGTGCTTCGCAATGTCCGTATGCAATGCATTTTGGGGGTATGCAAAAAACACACACCAAAGAACAATGCCCATCCATAGATTTATGGATGTCGGCGTTTATGCCCAGAAGGACTGCTTAGCAGTCTCCTTCTGCACAAGCTTGACGAGGGCGGCGTAGACCTCGGAGTAGTCCTCACCATCGTCCTCCTCGTCGTCCTTGGAGTCGGACTTCTTCTCGGCCTTCTTGGCGTCGGCGGCGGAGCGCTTCTCCGAGACCATGACGACGGAGGTCGGGCGCTTCGTCTTGGCGGCGGCGCCGAGCTCGGCGCGCGAGGTGACGAAGATGTAGGGGACGTTGTGGTCCTCGCACAGTACGGGCAGGTGGGAGATGACGTCCATGGGGGAGATGTCGCCGGCAATGATAACGACGCCGGGGAAGGCGGTGTTGCCGGGGCCGGCGGCGGGAGACTTGCGGAGGGTCTTGACAACCTCCTTGACACCACGCTTGAGGGTGTTGTTCTTGGCAGCTGTTTGATATCGTGTTAGCCTACGTTGTTTCGCGTGCAATGGGTTGCAGGATAGCAAGATAGCCCCCCGTAGAGGGGTTAGTGGGAAAACGTACCCTTGCGGATGGACTTCATGACCTTCTTCATGGCCTTCTCGTCGGCCAATGGCACGGCGAAGGGCACGAGGGCGCCAACGACGGGGAGGCCATCGACGGCGGACTTGGACGCGATGTCGCCGCTGGCGACAGCGGTGGCGGCGACGTCGGCCTGGAGGTGCTCATCGAGGGCGCGCTCGAGCTTCTCCTTCTTGTCCTTCTTATCCTTCTTATCCTTCTTGTCCTTCTTGATGGCGCCGTCAGACACGGATCGCTTCTTGTCCTTCTTCTCCTTCCTGTCGGGCTTCTCGGCGGCCATTGCGACGGTTTTTTGTGTGTCTTTCTTTTTTGGGAAAAGGTTTCGAAGGACGAGCAAGGAATTGGGGCTGTTCCGTCGAAGAAGGGACTCGGTGGTTTGGCGACGGAGGCGGCTGGTGGAAGCTTTCGGCTGGACGAGGTCGAATTCAAGTGGCTCGATTTTTTTTCATTCAGCAGAACCCATGCAACTTTTTTTTTCGGCGGGGCCCACATTGCAAGCTTGTGCGGCAGAGGTAGGCCGGGAGTGTGGTATATCCGTGCCGAATGAGCTTGGCCATGGTTCACTGAGCACCCGTTCTCGGTGAGAAGCTCACGTGATTTAGCTCGACCAATCATGGCCCAGACATTGCGCGAATGTCAGCGCTGAGTGGCCGTAGAATTGTTCGTTCTGGCTCTGAAGCCCATTCTAGGTTGATGACAAGCCCAGAGGTAACAGGTTTAGCTTGTGTATGTGCAAGGACTTAGTTCTGTAAAAGTATTGCCCAAGCCCGTTGCTCTTGCGAAGAGTGGTGTTGCTGCATCGGCAGGCCTTTTTCTGAGCCATTCAGCATTTTCACGAAACAGTCCGTAATCTCTTCCATCGACGCATGCTGCTGGCTACGTCGCATCTTTGTAGCAACCGAGGTGTCATGTATTAGAATCGTCAAAATAGGGTTCTATTCCATATCTCCCCCTCTACGTAGTTGATATACACGTGTTTTGACACAGGGAATCGTTGTCCGCCTCTAGCACTCGTCCACCAATGTCGAAAGGTGCGCTTACTCCTCGTCGCCGAACTCGGCACGGCCCTGCTTGGAGTTCAGGTAGTGGTTGCTGCGTCGCATGTCAGTATGAGCTGCTGCTGCTTCGTCGTCCTCGGAGGATAATTCGATGAGGAATAACTAACCGGTGGGTAGCCCAGTCCATGATGTACCAGCCGGCAACCAGGGGAGGGAGGAAGTAGAGGACCTGCTGGCTGAAGCGGCGCCAGGTGTTGAAGACGGCGTCGTGGGCGGCGCCGGCGAAGGGGTTCTGACGGTTGGGGGCAATGCCGTAGGTGATGATACCTCTCTGCTTCTCGCCACCTGTGACCCCGTCAGCTCGTTGTTCCATCCATCATTAACTCCCATCGTAGCGTCTCGTGGGCGAGCGGTTTGTCGTTTCCCTCCTCAATGTTTGTTGTCGTTTGTCCCGGAAAATCATGCATCGCTCAACCGCGTCGCCCTCGTCCGTCGACAACGAAGATGTTGCTAGGTAACGTACCAATGTGTCCCCACCAGCCGAGGTAGCTATCGAGATGTCAGCGGCATGCACTCAGAGCGCAATTGAACATGGTGCAGGACGCGGCGGGCGGACGGAATCATCTCGGTCTCCCGATCTGAAAAGCCCGCACGCCCTTCCGGATCCCTTCCTCAATTGACACTGAACGGGGCATCACTTACTGCTGGTACTTTCCGTGAGGGACGCTGGGTCCTCCCATAAGAGCTTGCGTAGGTCTCATCGTGACGGCGTGTGGTGGACGGTGATGTGTAACCGGGTAGAAAGTCGTTTGGCTGGGGATCGGGATGGGTCGAATCAGACGAGGTTCAAATCTTGTCCCCTTCCTGCCGAACCCGAATGCTGAGGCGCACGTCCCAATATGGCTTAGCGTATTTTCGCCTTCGAACCGTCACCACCCATCCGACAACCCCGGTCGACAGTCCCAAAATTCCATGACGGAGCTTACCGCCGCATCTGAGAGAGGAGCTTTCGACAGCTTCATCCGTCTTTACACTGCACGACTTGCCCACCACCAACGCCTAAAAGTCTAGTCGGATAGCCCGCGATCTCCGCCAACGGACTGCACTGCTCCGTTAAACGTATCTCCCGCCGATTATACCCCGTTTTCCGCTTTCGAAACCATGGCTCAAGCTCTGGGCTTTGCGTACCGTATGGCCGTCCCTGCGGCCATCGGTGTCGCGGTGCTGCAGTCGTCAATCTACGATGTCAAGGGTGGATCCAGAGCCGTCATCTTCGACAGGCTGTCTGGTGTTAAGGAGACTGTCATCAACGAGGGCACGCACTTCCTCGTGCCGTGGCTGCAGAGGAGCATCGTCTTCGACGTGCGGACAAAGCCTAGAAACATTGCCACGACGACAGGCAGCAAGGATCTCCAAATGGTCAGCTTGACCCTTCGTGTGCTGCACAGGCCTGAAGTCCAGGCTCTCCCTAAGATCTACCAGGTATGTCTTGCATTGTTACAAGCTGGCAAACGACCACGCGACTAATCACCCCACCAGAACCTCGGCCAAGATTACGATGAGAGAGTCCTTCCCTCCATCGGCAACGAAGTCCTCAAGTCCATCGTCGCGCAGTTCGATGCCGCGGAGCTCATTACTCAGCGTGAGGCCGTCTCGCAGCGCATTAGCTCCGACCTGCGCAAGCGCGCCGCCGAGTTCAACATCGCCCTCGAGGACGTTTCCATCACGCACATGACCTTCGGCAAGGAGTTCACCAAGGCTGTCGAGCAGAAGCAGATTGCGCAGCAGGACGCCGAACGCGCGCGCTTCATCGTCGAGAAGGCCGAGCAGGAACGCCAGGCCAACGTCATCCGCGCCGAGGGTGAGGCCGAGAGTGCCGAGACCATCAGCAGAGCCATCGCCAAGAACGGTGACGGCCTCGTCCAGATCAGAAAGATCGAGGCCAGCAGGGATATTGCTGCGACGCTGTCGGCGAATCCCAACGTCGCTTACCTGCCCAGCGGCGGCAAGAACGGCAGCCAGATGCTGTTGAACGTTGGACGGCCGTAAAGTGTTACGAGTATGAGGGGGGGGTGGAATGCGTCGAACGAGAGAAGAAAAGGCGATGCTGTATTATAGACTTTGAAGGCAAGTCACCGCTTCAATAAGTGTAATCATAGGGCAATGAATTCTGCCTACTTTCCACGATCCTAAACTGCGCTGCGGACCAGACGCCGTGATGGTTCTGTGTGTGACTGTTTCACTCACCAGCTAGTTTGGAATAAGTTGAAGTCGTGATACGGATTGCAACTTGTTTCATTGGAATATGATTATTTCCTTAGCTGCGGACTTCAACCTATCTCATATAGATTGAGTAAGAATGGAATTCTGACCCTAGCCATACATGGGAAAGGCGTTTGACGAACAAGTAGGCTGGCTTATGTTGATCTAATAAAGACGTTCCCAACATGACACCTCCAAATATGACATCAATCCTGAACGAAGTGTATATAGGTGCTTAGGGCTTCTCCACGAACTTGGTAATTTATGTTGTTTCGAGTTGATTGGTGTAAGATTTATATCATCACCTTTGTCTACGAGCATCATGAGCAATATGTCTCGATGTCAACCAATATAGAAGAGACATATTCATGGTGAGTGTCAGTAGCAAACTATTCTCAGATAGCGCCACTCGAAAAAGATGGATCAGCAATGGTGACATGAAAAAGCAGGAAGGAAGCATCGCTACAACTACGTCGATAGCGGTGTTGATAATGTCGTTGCTGGGACCAAATTCAAAAAGTGTTGCTGGCCGGTCATCTTCGAACACGATGCCAGGCATAGTCCAATGTTCCAATGTTTCCGGTTTCGAGACTATACCTTATCTCGGCCCCCAAATTCCTCGATGAACCAGAGATCCAGCCTCTTGGCTTCCACGTGGACTTTAGCTGTGCGCATACTTGTTGCACAGAGGGCCCTGATCCCATAAGGGCGCCTGCTCGACCATGGATCTCGTCTTTGTTTGACTGCCGATGCTTTATAGCACTAGATGATTGATATATTTCGAATAAAGTTATACTTAAACTACGCTTAAATTAAACTCAATACTTGAAGGTGAGCCCCGACTCGGAGCATCACACAGGCAAAGTCCATCATTTGGCTAATGCTTGGTCAGGTCCTGAATATCTAGGCTTTAGTGCGTCGATCAGTATGAGCGTTTGGGATATCGGCATCGTACTGCGTATGAAATTAACAAATGGAAAAATTATATGTCCTCAAGTTAGGGGCGAACGAGTTGCGTGCTCTCGCGATTCGAACCGACGCACCGCCACGCTTATCATTAAATTTCTGTATGTTTCTGTCTAGGAATGGAAAGTTAGGAAGAGATTGCATCGTGACTGCAAATCTTGACCCAGTAACTCCAGCCCAACCTGCTGACATTAGCTACCGCCTCAGACTCACGGCATGGTCTTTGGCTGTACGTATGCAAAGATCAATGAGGGACAAAAGTATAATGGAAAATATCCATTACTATTAGAGAAACCCTTTCACGGGTAGGTATCATTATGCCAGTTCCAGGCCTCCCCATGCACTCCATGACCCCTAATCCTCCTAAACGCCAAGACATATTTCCCGAGACTCAAGTATGGGCAAAGTCCGCCCGTCGCTAGAGAGCAGACTCGAGGAATTCCACGGTCAGATGACCCTGGAAGTCGTCCACCTTTCCACCAGGTGGCACGAACTCATTACCCTCCAGCTTCCAGCCCTTGAGCTTCATGCTCTTCCATTCCTCCGAGAGCTTGAAACGCACAAGGTCACCCGCAGCCCTAGCGTCCTCCGCACTGTCGTGGCCTTGGACTTTGCCGGTTGTCTCAACCTGAATCTTGCGGTTGAGGAGGTTGTCCATAAGCATCTTCAGGCCCTGGCGGAAGGGCAGGCCGTGTTTGTGAGGGAACAAAAGAACGGTATCGATGATGGTGGGGTGCACGATACGGACGGCATTCAAGTCATTTTCCAGACCGTGGCCGATCAGAGGGTATTGGGGGCGATGAGAGAGAAGAGCAGGTCGCGTGCCACTTCGGGAGAAGAGACAATCTTCATCTTCTTCTTGCCCTTTTTGGGACTTGCCATTTTCTTGGCTTGTGCGGGGGTTGGGTCTTGTTCCTTGGCAGACCAAGGCTCTGCGGACGCCATGTCTTCGGGCCAAACACCGGAGTATCGTGAGTTCAGATCCAGAACCTCGCCGACCGGCTGAACGAGGACGTCCAAGAGCTCTTCTCCGTTGGGCCAAGCTGTGGCAGTAAGACGGACAAGTTCAAGGCCGTGAACGGTGTAGCACATTTCGCAGTCGAAGCACACAGCTCTGTCGGAGGGCGCATTAGGGTTTGCAGGTGTCTCGGCATAGTTGAGGATGGTGGCAAGCCGTTTGGGATCTGAAGCCTTGAACACATGATGAGGGTTGGTGTAGCAGCCGGCGGAATCTCCAACAGCCTGACCACAGCATCGGTAGCGCTTCTGTTGCTTGGATCTGTCGCCGAGTTGGCGCTCGGGGAAGTAGGTCTTGCCCCAATGGAAGGTGCAAGTACCGCCGGAGGCAAGGGCCCCATCCTCTTCTCTTCTGCCAGGAAACATCTGGAAACGCTTGTCACAGCGATCGCACTTCTCCCACCCCTTGGCGGCCTCGAGACCCTCACGGGCCTTGTTGATCTCGATCTCAGTGGGGACAGACGAAACGTAGCCGTGGGCAGCGAGGCCATTAACGGGGGTGATAAGGTGGCGAACGAGGCGAACCTCCTGCGCCGGCGTCAACCCAGTCACAATCTTTTTGGGAGACACAGGCGGCTTCTTGTGAGGGCCTTTTTGTGTCTGCTGGTGGCGTTGGACGACCCTCTCGTCCTTCCACTGCAGCAGTGTCATCTTCTTGTACTGCATGATTTTGTTCTTGATTACGTTTGAGTAGATGGCGCCTTTCTCGATAGCGGTGGTCTCCTCTTCGTCAAGGACTCTCCAGATGAGGTCCTGGTCCGTGAGAACGAGTTGTTTCTCTTCGGCGTCTTTGGCGGTCTTCTTGAGTTCGTTATTAAGGCGAGTGTATTCGCCGTATAGCATCTGCACAAGCTTGTATCGAATATCGAACTTGGCCGGGGATGATTTAAGTAAGCGAGGCGTGAGAGCCTCCGGCTTTCTGAGCTTGGGTGGTGGCTCGGTCTTGGACGTGGTTGGTGTTGAAGGAGTGTGCGGAGAAGCAGTGCCTTGTTGGGCTGACTTTGGGGTGTAAGCAGTCGCAGAGGAGGTAGTGACTGAAGGAGTGTTGGGTTTGGAAGGGTGATTGGCTGCAGATAAAAGAGAGGATCTGGTGGGAGTAGAGTGATTCAACGACTTCTTGAGGTCGGACGAAGCGAGGGAAGGTGCGAGTGGTTTGGACTGAGGAAGCCTCTTCACGGCCGACGAGGAAGAGGCAGACGGGCGATTTAAAGGTGGAGGTGAAATGGGCCGAGCGACAGCTGACAGAGTGTCATCTGGTCTCGGCGCAGTGGTGTCTTGTTTTGAGGTGGTTTTGACAGGAGTAGGCGTTCTTGCAGAATTGGCGGGGTTCCTGACGAGCTGAGCAGCTTTTGGACGTTTTCGAGGGCCATCCTGGGTTGCATCCGTCGTGGTATCAGTCGACCTCTTGGCCGACGTTGCTGACGCGTTGAGCGCCGGTGCTGATGGTGCCGCCATCTTATCCCTGTCATCTTTATGCTGGAAAAGGCACTGGAATGCGGTGCACCTGTCCCCGGCAGGACAGGGGATGTGTTTGAGGTCGACAAAGGACATTGTGGCAATGCTTTCCTCAAGCTGTAGAAACACACCAAGTTTGGTTCAACCTCGGCAATGGCGGCAGGAGCTGGTGATGATGCTGCCTTTCCTGCTGTTGTGACGCAGCGGAAGGAAAGAGGATACGACTACGACGAAGATGCCGACTACGACGACGACGATGACGAGGGCGATGGGATCTGACGGGGACTGCCAGAGCCTCGCCTGGGGGATAGAAGACCTCTCTCTCTCTCTCTCTCTCTCTCTCTGTCTGTCTGTCTACGAGGAATGGCCTTGGCTCCCGATAAAAACTGGCAAAGGGGTCTGGCCGTACTCGCCTGGCCGTTTCGAGGGAGATGAAGGTGGAATGAGAGTGAAGGCACGAATTAAGGCTGCGAAGATCCGGGGGACTGGTACGAAGATCTCATAGCCAAAACCGCAGCCGGGTCGTTTGTGACGTTGTGCCGTTCCAGTCAGCGAATTCGCGGGTCCCGGATAAATGGGCGGTGGGCCAACGTGGCGCGTAGCCAGGGCGAGGCTGACACAAGAATGAAGTGAAATTGGACGTTGATCAACGCGGCGACAACGGAAACGATCAAGGCATAAAGATGGGTTGGTTTGGGAGAGTGTCACAGATGGTAGATGTGTCTCGCATGCTGTCGGAATTGGGACGAAGGGGAGGCTCCGAGCGTTGGACGGATTAGGTAAGGCTGCCTGCCTGTTGGGGCGTGGAACCTCACCTCGGGCACTTTGGAGCTGTGGTGGGGACGCCTGCTGGAGATGCACCGGTTGGTCCAGAATCAACCCAGGTCTCGCCGCTTCCGTTGCGTTGTTCGGCGGCTTTGTTCCTGTCCTCTTATGCATCTCACACGATATGGGAGGCCGCCAAGGTGTCTCGTGAAAAGGAGAGATGACCTTGTTCTCGCAATTGACAAGTGAAAACCGAACACCGGGAACTGGGTAGTCCGGCATCTCTTTCACCCATCGTGTGTCGTCTCGACACCCCCGAGTCATGGACAGTCTCTCTCTTCTTGTGTAGCACTGAATCTCAACCACGGCAATGTTCTTATGACCCCTGCCTTGCCGGCCTTCCTCATCATCTCCAAGGTTGCGGTACTTCTGCCAGGAGAATCAAGCTTAGAACCCTTATCGCGGCAGATTCAGGGACGCAAACTCTAATCCACGAACCGTCTCATCTTTCACGGTGAACAAGAGCACACGGACAATTTCGACAACGCCAGACATGGTTCCTTGGCTTGGAAACAGTCAGGACCACGGGAAGTGCTTGTCCTACAGGTTCGGCATCTCATCCACTTTTACAACGGTTTTCTTGGCGGCTACCTACCTTCTTCTGACGACAACGTGACGGGCCATGCTATCCTTAAGATACTCGCTTGTCTTCGCGCCTCTTATCTGATCCGCGTCCGAGAAGCGCACTAACTGGCTGAGAGGCAACGCGAAACATGGCATTGCATGTGACGTGCGCAGCGATCAGGTTGTAATCCCTTGTCCGTCTCTCGCTTTCGACTAGACATGCAGTCTTCGGACCTTTCTCGCATACGAGGCGACGCGGAGGGCAGTGACACAAGGACCTCGAGCGAAATCATCCAGCCATATCTCTTCCGTTGATAACGGGCCGCCGGTATCTGAGCCCCGACGGGTGCGAGTGGCACCAAGCCTTTGTGCGAAACCAAGGGCAGCCCTGGTCTCGAGGATGGACTTGCCTATCTCGGTGCAACGGTTGGACAGAACCCATTGGCGGTGTACGGCGGGGAAAATACCCTCAGTTGTTTATCGAGGAAATCGTTATCAATGAGGTTGATCGGGAGCCACAAACCCTTCCGGGGGGGTTTTCTGGGCTTCTGCGAGATTCCATCGTCTTGAGGGTCTATAAAGACAGTCCTCGTTGCCCACCACTCCATGAAATGGTTCCTCACGACTCTTTTGGCTCATTCTCGACAGCTTGGGCCTATCTATCCATCTATCTATCTTGATCTACGGCTGCGGTTGTGTGAAACGGACTGCTTCCCGCGATACGTTTGTTTGCACACTTTGAACTGTCGCAGGGGATTCCCGAAGTAACAACTCCAACGTGATTGACGTGCTCAAACTCGACTTGGAATTGGGTTCTCACCCATCAGCCCTATCGATCAGCAGCGCGTAGCATCTTGCGTGCTCAAGGTCCTCTCCAGCTTGCAGCTTTGGAGACAATTTACTCCCACGCATCGACCCCGTGCGAGCTCACCCAACCCAACATCACAAGCCAATCCTACAGCTCGTCGTCACGGATCGAAACTCCGATAGCCTTTTCCCCCACCCTCAACTGCGGACTCGTCCCCGGTACACTGCTGCAGCCCATCCACTCATCAGCAAGGTTCCTAATCGAGACGTCGCGTGCGCGAATTCCATTCCGGTCGTCTGCCTACGAAAAAAGGTCCAATTAGAGAGCAGCATAGGGAGGCAATAGCGGGCGAATCACGCTGAAGCCTCAAGACACACAGCGCCCAATAGCGCCCGCAGACTGCGCAAACACACACACACACACACACACGCACACCTCACTGGCCGCGCAGAAAGAGACTACTTAGGGTGCTAGCCGCCTTATCTCCCCTTAAGTCCAGGCACTCGTATTAGTAGTGGTGTGCCTGGTGGCCCTGTGTTAGTGTCATCGAATTTCACGACGACGTGTGCGCCGCTGCGAAGCAGGACCTGAGCGGACCCGAGGTCCCTCCCCCGGTCGGGCTTCGCGGACTGTCCGTTGGAGGGACTCTTGTGTGGTCGCCCCGAGAATTTAACTCGGCGCGCGTCCCACACGAGCTTCCCTTCGACGTTCCCCATTGCAACTTTTCTCAACGTTGTTACCCTTTGCTGTTCAATCTGTTCACCGGTCCCTGATCTCATCCGACTCCATCATGGATTACACCGGCGGCACCGCGGAGGCCGATCATCTCTGCGTCTTGGTCCATGGGGTTCGTACATACACTCATTTCCTCATACCCAACCCTGTTACCTATGCCCCTCACCCCTTGAACCTGCAGCTGCAGAAGCGTTGTTTCTCGCACCGACGTCATGAATGTTCCTGGGCTAACAAAACGCCGTCTCGGCTCCGTAGCTTTGGGGTAACCCCAACCACATGGCCCAGATCGCCAAAAGCTTAAGAGCAAAGTATTCCGCCGATGAGCTTTATCTGCTGCTTGCGAAACGCAACAGTGGCTCGTTCACTTACGATGGTATTGAGCGGGGTGGCGAGCGCGTGTGCGCCGAGATCGAGGAGGAGCTCCGCCTGATCGAGGAAAGGGGCGGCAAGATCACCAAGCTGAGCATCGTGGGGTACTCACTTGGTGGGCTCGTCTCCCGCTACGCTGTGGGCCTGCTTCATTCCAAGGGCATTCTCGACACCGTGGAGTGCATGGTACGAATGCGCATTCCCCCTTGTTGTGAGCTTACGGTTACTGACCTCGCCTAGAACTTTGTCACATTTGCGACTCCGCACCTCGGCGTTCGCACGCCGCTGCGAGGATGGCACAACCACTTGTGGAATGTGCTTGGCGCTCGCACTCTGTCCATGTCCGGCCGTCAGCTGTTCACCATCGATAACTTCCGCGACACGGGCCGGCCGCTGCTCGCCGTTCTGGCCGACCCGAACTCCATTTTCCTCGCCGGCCTGAAGCGCTTCAAGCGCCACACGCTCTACACCAACATCGTCAACGACAGGAGCGCGGTGCACTACACCACCGGCATTTCCAAGACCGACCCGTACACTAACCTCGACAAGATCAAGTGCAACTTCTTGGAAGGCTACGAGGATGTCATTCTCGACCCGAACCACCCGGTTGCGCCAAAGCCAAAAGTCTCGGAGCCGGCCACCCTCTCGTCGGTTGCCGGCGCCGGCTGGAAGTGGATTCAGCGCGTGCCCTTCGCCCTCGCCCTCACCATTTTCGTCCCCATTGGCATCGTCGCCTTCCTCATCAGCTCCGTCGTCCAGACGGTCCGTTCGTCGAAGCGCATCCAGCTGCACGAGAAGGGCCTCGCGGGCGTGGCGATCGACGAGTACCGCGGCCCCCTGTGGATGAAGGAGATCCGTGAGGAGGTGGAGCACGTCTACGAGACGCTCAACAGCTCGCAAGACCAGGAGTACCTGGCGAGCGAGACGGACGAGGACCTCGACGAGGTCGAGATGGACCGCAGCACGACGCAGCTCCTGGCCCGGGAGAGGCGCATGTCAGTGCCGTCGCAGCCCACGCTCGCGCTGGCGCCCTACCAGTTCCAGATGATCCAGAACCTCGACTCGGTCGGCTGGCACAAGTACCCCGTATGGATCCACAAGGACCGCCACAGCCATGCCGCCATCATCGTACGCTGGGAGAAGAAGAGCTTCACCGAGGGGCGTGTCGTGCTTAAGCACTGGCTGAACGAAGAGTTCATGGTTTAGAGGTGGGGGTTTTGCACAATGGAGTTGGAGTTGGAGCTGGAGTTGGCGAAGCGTTGGGAATTATTAAACATTTACTCCTCTCGGAGACTTTAAACTCTTGTACAAGGTTTTGTTCTTGTAATATATCTCTACCTGCCATTGCAGCAATATGCTTCTGAAGACATTCGATCGCAATGAATCCTAGTTGTCTACGCATCTCCATTCGATGTTATTCCCCAAGGGATTGGCTCAAGAGACAATCGACAGCGTGCCCGGCACTTGATACTTTCAACCGGACTCGCCTCTTTTTTTTATTTTATAAAAAACAAACCGCAAGGGTAGCAAGCTTGATCATGTTTAATAACACTCGAGTGATACCAATCTTTCCGGTGTAGATTGTGTACAAGCGACCACAACCAAGTCAAAACGACCCCTCCCACTCCCTCTCCCGTCTACTGGGCATGCGTTACACCAAACTCTTCTGAGATCACTTCCGCGTGTACCATGCCATCTGTCCTTTTCCCCGGCATGCACTATACGGACATACAAGGCAACGGTGCACAATCATCAATGCATCGAGTCCCGAGACCGAAAGGCGGCCTACGTCCTGCGACGCCCGTCAGCCGCATCTTACCCCAACCCAAGCCAACCCAAACCAGTGGGGACCTCCCATTCTCCCGGTGGCTCCCGCCTCGCACTCACAGCGTCATCGAACAGGGGTGTCTCGCATCGCCACCATGTATAGTAGATTAGTAGCCCACCACTATGCCGACAGAGCATCCCGGCTATCCGGCCTGCGCAGGGGTAGGTAGGTAGTGTCGGTACCCCAACCCACCTAGCCCGCACGACCCTTGGTCCCCTGCGAACCCAGGAACGGCCGCGGCCCCAGGGCCAATGAGTTTACGATTACGCCTACGGGGCCGGGACCTCTCCGTGCTGCAAAGTCAATTGCGTCGTTGATAACGCCCATCGCACACAAACCAGCCCAGACGCGCGTGCTGCCCTCGCTTTCTCGACAGCCTGGGAAACGAAACTAACCCCCGGCAGCATCCGATCCTGCGGCAGAGGGGGGAATGCCCACTGAGTGCTCGCAGCGGAGATGAGGACATCGAAGCTATCCAAAGAAACCTCGGCCCTCTTGAACAAGATGGCCCGCCCGTCGACGACAGCGACACCGCCGTCGCCGCCGCAACAGACGCGCCGGACGACGCGCTCTTCTCTTGCGCGTTTCGCGTATAACGCCCCCTCCTCCTCGTCCACTGCGAACACGAATGCCGCAACGCAACCTGCAACGGCGGGAGCGATTCACGATATCGTCTTGGGCGTCACCGATATCGAAGATGCGGTCACGAATGCGAGGGGCCGGAAACGAAGACGCGTGACAAAGGCGGAAGACGCCCAAGACGCAGAGCCCGAGGACGGTAGCACAAACGTCAAGATCGAACACGTCGAGGACGAATCCACGACAGCAACACAGCCATCCCCCGCGAAGCCGCGCAAAGCTGCACGTAAACCGGCCCGCGTAATCAAGGGCACCAACGCCGCCGAGCCGCGTACCGAGCCGCCCTCGGACTGGGAACAAGTCTACGACGCGGTGAAGCAGATGCGCCTGCACGGCGCCGCGCGCAACGCCGCCGTCGACACCATGGGCTGCGAGCGTCTCTTCCATCCCGACGCCTCGGAGCGCGACCGCCGTTTCCACATCCTCATCGCGCTGATGCTCTCGAGCCAGACAAAAGACACGGTCAACGCGGTGGCCATGAAGAGGCTGATGACGGAGCTGCCGCCGCACGAGCCGGGGGCTCCGGGCGGCTTGAACCTGGAGAACGTGCTCGCCGTCGAGCCCGCCTTCTTGAACGAGCTGATTTGGGCGGTGGGGTTTCACAACAACAAGACCAAGTAAGTGATGGATGGGATGCAGCGGTGCGTGCTGCTGCGCGGGGGTGAGATGGACAACATTTTTAAAGAGTTTGCGAAGCTGACTTGTTCAAGATACATCAAAGCAGCAGCCGAGATCCTACGCGACAAGTTCGACAGCGACATACCCGACACGATCGAAGGGCTCACCTCCCTGCCCGGCGTGGGGCCCAAGATGGCCTACCTGTGCCTCTCGGCGGCCTGGGACCGCACCGAGGGCATCGGCGTGGACGTACACGTGCACCGCATCACGAACCTATGGGGCTGGCACAAGACGACACAGCCCGAGGCGACGCGCCTCGCGCTCCAGAGCTGGCTGCCCAAGGACAAGTGGCGCGAGATCAACTGGCTGCTCGTCGGGTTTGGGCAGACGGTCTGCCTCCCCGTCGGGCGGAAGTGCGGCGAATGCGAGCTCGGGTTAAGCGGGATGTGCAAGGCGGCGGAAAGGAAGAAGGTCAACGAGGGGCGCAGGGCGAGGGAGGTCAAGGTTGAGGTGAAGGAGGAGGACGACGGCAGCGTGGTGATCAAGAAGGAAGAGGTCATCAAGGAAGAGGAAGTAGTAGAGGATAGAGTCGTCAACGAGGCTGTAGGGGTGTCGGAGCCTGCGCCGGAGTCCAAGGTGGAAGACAGCAAGCAATGGCCTGCACGGGATGCAGCAGAGAAGCCCGCGAGTGCGGCTACGCCGCGGAGAGCGCGAAGGGGAAAGGCGTCATAAGGGCACGAGCGGCGGAAAAAAAAGGGGCAACAGTCGTCTTGGGGGTTAACTTGCGAATTCGTCCGGGAGACAGACCATGTCGTAATCATCATTGTGCAACATCCGAGTGCGCAATACCACCAGTGCAACACAGGGGCTGCGACACGTACATCTGTCCGCCGGCACCGCATGCCGACCGTGCGACCAACGGCATGTCCGGGGCTTGCCTGTTTCCTCGTCGGCCAGCGGTGGAGAGCGGGCCCGAATCGCTCGGAGGAATTCCGACTCTTGAGGAAATGGACAGCCAGACTGATTACCCGTGGCGTGCGTTGCCGGCACTGTATGGTTAATTTGTCTTCCGCGGGGCGAAGATGACAGACAGCGACAGAAGGGGGCGAAAGCGCAGTCCAGCAGCAGCTGCAGCGTACGATATCGGAGATAGACCGGGGTTCGGCTGCTGCGCCCGTGCCCGCCGTTGCCGTCATCGTCGTCCTCCACCACCTCACAGTGTGACGTGGACACGGCGCAGGCGGAGGCGGCGGCCTGACTCGCCAGGTCAGAGGACGACAAAAGCGGCCAGGTGAAGCATGGCGTGCCATGGCTACTCCGAGGGACAAACCCTCCTTTCAAAGCCCTGGAACAACAAGGAGGTTACGGATCAAAGGACCCCAATTGCTGGAGGCGGACTGTATGTTCGTCCGTGGTTTCATTCGGCTGAAAATGGCGAACAACCCTCCGAGCTATCCCAGGCCCACTGCTGCATCTCCGCTGCCGGACCTGCCTCAGCGACAACTCATCGGGAATGTTAGGAGTCATTATCATATGTCAGGCAAAGAAAGAGGCAAAGAACACCGGAATGAAGATTTGGAATGGGAAATGTATTTGAAGGATCCAAAAAAATTTGGTTTGATTGACGACCAATCCTCTCCTTGGCGGCCGCTTGAAATAACTATACGCCGGTACGCCGTGCGGAGGAAGTGAGAAAACCGAACTATCCTAAGCTGAAATATGATACACATCGTGGTGTAGAATTCGAGGCGACATACCGCTCCGAGTCGTGCGGATAGACGATGCGAAATACACAGGAGCGCTGCTGCCGCCGCCGCCGCCGTCGCTACCGCTGCTGCACTCTATGCGAGCTTCATCGAGTCTCGCGGGAACTGTATCGAAAAGAGAATCCATCGTGTCGTGCAGAGGTCCCGAGAGGTGTGGGGAACGTGCAGTATTAGGGTCGCCTCGCGCATCGGACTGCTCAAGAGCTACTGGTAAAGTCTAGGCTGTGTCCGGTCATGAGGGCCGACTCGCCTCATCTCGACGGAAGTGTGATGGCGCGGAAGCCAGTCGGGCTTGCGATGGGATATGGAAATGGTGGTAGTACAATGCGACTATACTCCACGGATGACTTGCGTGCGCTCCGACTCGAGCTGGGCGGCATTGCGCTCATGAGATTGCTTCTTGCACTAATGGCGGACAAGTTAGCAAAGAAGGCCTTGGTCTCGCAAGACAGTGCCCAGGCCAAGAAGCCAGGAGCACGAAGAGTCAGAGGCGCAACTTACGTCTTCCAAGCCGGAGCACTTGTGGTCCTCGAGGAGGCGGTGCTTGCCACAGAAGTGGCCGTTGCAGAACCCGCAGTCACCAACAATACGCTGGGCAGCGTCCTTGCACTCCTTAAAGGTGCAGCGGATCTTCTTCTGAGGCATGATGGGCGGTTGTTGAGATGATGATGTGGTGATGTGTGGGTGACTTCGTTGAGAAGCGGTAAGACGCCGGGTAAGGCGATGTGGGATGTGGTGTCGAGAGAGTCGAGATCGAACTTGGTCGGTCGTGGAGGCGACTCGTTGTTAAGACGACGGTGGAGATGCGAGGCGGAAGGGTAGAGAGCGGTCGAGATGGGATGAGGGAGAGGGAAAAAAAGAGAAGGGAAAAAGGAGGAAGAAGAGGTGGTGAGCGAGAGTACAAGTAATAGAAGTTGGCTGGAGGCGAATTGTGTCAGTCAGTCAGTCAGTCAATGATGATCTAATAAGCAGAGCCAGGTCCAGGTCCAGGTCCAGCCAGGCCAGGCGCCAGGTCGAAGGCGGGAGAAGCGCTCACAGCGACAACCAAGACACAAGACAAGGAACAACAGGCGTGGGGCAGGGGACAGGGTGGCTGGTGGAGCTCGGGTCTGGTCTGGGGGGGGGGGGGGGAGGGGGGTGGATTGTGTTGTTATTTATTGGGATAATGGCCATGCAGGGCACACTTCATCGGAGGCGCCAATGCAGGATTGATTAAAACGGAGACCCGAGCGACGAGGCGAGGCGTCCAGGCTTGTCGTGGCAGAGGCGGAGGAGAGGCAGCGAGCGGCAGCGCGCGAGCGAGTTGCCTCGGGACGGTGGGTGTGACCACAACACACTCTCTCACACACAGCACAGCGTAGCACACCAGAGTGGGAGCACTCACTTCTGTTGAATGGACATCTGCTGAGTTGCGCACTGCGCTGCAATGCACGGCCAGACCATTCTGCGGTCCACGGTGTCCACGGTGTCCCCAGTGACATCCATGCCACGCTGCGTACCTACTAAGGTAGCCGTTTCCGTTTCCGCATGCAGAATCCAATGGAACAATGGGGGAGGCAACTAGTGTTGTAGGAGATACGAATCTGTACAATGGGGTGGAAGCTGAGGCGCCGTGTTGGCCGTATTTGCGACTTGGGCACGGTGCTGGGTTGGGCCGTAGCCCGGCAGGCCAGAATCGATAACTGGCCGGCGTGAAGCGATGGGGAGGGGAGTGTCGACTCCAAGCACAGTTCAAGATGCGGATACCGGCGCAGTTATGTGGGTATGAGGTCAAGTGAGAGGCAGAGAAGGTAAAGTCAGGGTAGGGGTCAGGTACGGATACATGAAGAATGAGAGGCTGTAGTGTACTCTGAACCATGAGGGTTCCCTGTCCTTTGTTCAGCCGGAACAGTGGGTGTTTCCCTGTTGCGATGGGACGGGCGGGCAGGTAGGCAGACAGGCAGTGAGCGGCGTACGTGTGCGTCCGAGGTACCTGGGTACCGTCCGCATTGCCCAAGGGGCCTTGGCACGATGGTGGGTGCAGGTAGGTAATCAGCGGTGCGGTGGGTTGGTACAGTAGATCTGATGGGGTGACCGAGACAGCGCTGACGGAGACGGGCGCGATGGAGTCAGGGTCGTGTTCCAGGGCGGGCGGAACGAGAGTACTGTATTCGTACGCATGCCTTCTTCCCCATAGTTTGTAATCTCTTATCTCCTTCGTTCTCTGCCGGCCTTATCAACCCCTCGACTGTCTCTCCGATTACCGGTCATCACCAGACTAAAATCGTGACGGACGGTCACCGGAGCGAGGAGGGGGGGGGATGAGAAGAGCAGGAGGACAACTTACACCAGGCTTATCCTGCCATCCGTGCTTCTCGGTGGCCTTGAGCCTCGGGATCGTTAAATGTACATGGGCAATGATGTGGATGCAATCCCCAACGGAGGCGGGCAAGGCGGGCTTGTGCCGATGCTGATACTGATGGCTCGGTACCGGGACTGGCGCTGGCGCTGATGCTGTAACTGGCTGTGCTCGCTGGATTGATTTGCGTCAAATGGAGGCCTGGGCAATGCCGATGACATGGGTTGACGGTTTTGCAAGGCTCCGAAAGCGGTAAAAAAGACGACGCAGAACACTGCAGCACCACTGTGGTACCGGTAAATAGCACACTGGACTGGACTGGACTGGACGGGACTGGGCCTTGCGCCTCGTGTGTGTGTGTCTCTCTCTCTATCTCTCTCAATCAGGGTTGTGTGCAGTGTTTCTCTGGTCTCTGTTTCTGTCCCAAATCGACGGGTCGTTTCTGCCGGATCTGTACCGGAGTAGCGTACGATCGCCGGCTGGATCTACTGCTCAATGCTGCAATGTCCGTTGCCGTAGGGTAGAGGGGGAAAGCAATGTGGCTGGGAGGATCCTGATGGTTCACTGGTGAGACTGAATAGGATCGAGGAACGTGGGAGTACTCTGTACCTCAACGAGAAACAAGGCGGTGCAAGGTGATGTACGTCAGCGGTGGTTTGTTGGTGATGTACGAGATGAGGTGACTTTTGGAAGCATTAGCTCCGACTGTATTGACGGAATTCCCGGGCCTGAGTCAGACAGATGCAACAATGCGTGTGAAGATGAGAGAGTCGAGGGATGCAGGCATTGACTTGCAGATCTGTATACGTAGTACCTACGCCTGCCGAGTCAATGAGGTAGGAATTTGTGTCGTGTAAGTTAATGGTGCCTTCCTGTATTGGTCAGGAGAGCAATAAGTGTGGTGGTTGATGAGATGGAGAAACAACAGGAAGGAAACGCCCCATGATTCAGCACCGAGGAAGGTACACGCTTGCACCGGCACCGGCCTCTTCCGCGTCAGGTCTGTTTCCCTCCCGATGGACTTAATCAAAGATTTTCTTGTGGCATATGATATGTTCATTACCACTTCTGCTGAACGCTGCCGTCAATCACCGTCATCATCAACGTCGCCGATACCCATTCTCCCAGATGCAAACCGTAGCGTCGAACGAACCCCGGCCCGCCGGTTATCCCACGTTTGCGTCTCGCCATCGCACCACTGATTACCTCGGACTGTCGACGGACGGGTACGGAAGCTATGCATTGCCCAATCCTTTGAGCCCGTCTTCTGATCTGCTAAGGTCAGTTCAGAGAAATCCTACTCGACCCCAACGGCCGGGCATCATGCCAGACTTGCACGCTGCTTACTGGCCCGCCCTGCGTCTTTCTCCCCCTCCCGCCAGCAGACACCCGGTTGTAATAATCCACTAACAAGGGTCCGAATCACATTCCTCTCAGAGGCTTTGGCAATAATATGGCATCGCATGGCGTTGGCAACGGTAATCGTATGGCCCCATGGATCAAGGCTCTGGTAGGAGCATGAGCTGCAGGAGATATCCCAGCTTCGCTTTGCAACCGTTCGTAACTCGGCCCAAAGATGGCTGGCGATGGACGGATGACTGACTTGCGATACGCAGTAGTGCTTCAGT